GCCGAGAGACAGCCTGGAATCCATCTCGACACCCTGGATGCACGTGGTCCGCACACAGGGTAACGGTAGGCACTTCACCATATGAGGGGGTGTCCTTGACTGAATCAAGCTCGTACATAAAGATGCCGACATTTGCCGGTGGTCTTCGAACAGAAGATGACTTCGACGGGTCCTTTTCGCTTTTTTCCTTTTCCTTTTCTTTGTCTCTGTCTTCTGGGGACTTGGGTGGCGTCGGCTCTTTCGGTACCGGAATAGCAGCTACCTTGTCACACCTGGCGCATTGCAGACACTGGGAGTGCCAACGCTGATAAGTCCCCAATCGAACACAGTCTTCTTCTACTGCTTGCGTACACTTGACGCATCGATCTGAAGGCGGGTTGGTGACCGTCAACCGAGATGGCGAGTTTGCTGAGAACGGGGATTCTCCTGCATTTTCTGGTGCTAGACTCCTGAAGCCGTAAGTGACGCCCTGTGTGCCAATGTTTGCTCCTCTCATAACCTCACCGCTTCCGCCTTTGATGATCCGGCGAGCCGCTGGGTCGCCACCTTGCACCGCGAGTAAATGTAGCTTATCAAGGAATGATGGCATAGCCTCCCGGACGCTTTGTTCCCTCTCTAGTTTTAGTGCGCCAGTTAATGCTATTCGAATGAGGATCTTGAGGTAATGGGCTATTCCTGTCACAAGTGCAAGTAGTTCCTGTGTCATTCCCATTCTGCGTGACCCAGTTTCCTGGGTACGTGAAAGAAGGGTGAACAGATCAACCGTTTTTCGACAAAGCATGCGGGCTTCTCGGACATGAGACATCCCTTCAGACGATGTAAGCGATACCGGGGATAAACCACGAGACATACACGCACCTTTCAAGTTAAGCCTAGCGGAATGGCACTCAAGGTCATCGATGGTGCCGAACAAGACTTCCACGTGTAGAATAAACTTCTCGGCCATCCTGATGGCATCAAGATATTGCCCGTTGCTGACCTGTCGCAGCATATCAGATATACATGCGGCGCTTGATTCCTCGAACGCCGAGAGAACCCTGTAATGTAGGCGTTCAGTCGTATTTCAGGCCACGTGGGAAGTACTCACGTCCAGATGCGATAGACCAGCTGCTCCATCCTGACTTGCTTGTCCTTCAATGTAGTGGGAGTTTCTCGCTTCTCTTCCTCGACGTAGGATGGCTCCAATTCCGACCCATCATTAATCAACACACTCGATCTCCGTGAAACTACTTTGACGTTCCAAAACTGCAAGGCTGAGTGAGAATTGATATAAAATCACAATCTCCTAGAACGAGGACCTTATTGATCATGTAACATTCTGGATGCCAGCACTCGTCCCTCATGTTACGATTTATCTCAACAAATTGCTTCAGGATGGCGCTGCTGCAACCTGCGCATTTTGTCGCAAAACGTGTCGAGTAGTGGAAGTGGCAATAAACGTCCCCATCGTGCTCGTAGTAGGAGTCCTGTGGGCCAAAAAGGATCGGGCATAGGGAGCAAGTGAAGTGTTCCACGTGATACTTCTTGTCTGCATAGGGATATTAATTAGCAAGAAAGGAGCGATAAGTAGAACCACTAACTGCATGCCGTAATATAGCTGCCTCGGAGAGCAAGCCCACATTTGGCGCATATAAGATTCAGGCGACGGAAGTAATCCCGTTCACAGAGGGGATGTTGTTTGCCATCAGGTCCATCAATGGGAAAGAACTTTGACGCGACAACATCGCCGCAATCCTGACGAAATATAAGCGGAACTGGCATCTGAAAGGTCAGGATGTTCATACCAAGCATTTAAAGCAGTTCAAGTGGTATACGGTGCCCAATGCGCGGACGAAAGCACCTTGCATTGTGTTTCCACATGCGGAGCAAGGTCTACAAGGAAGAAGCGTCAGATAAGGGATCGAAACCACAGACTACTATGGGAGTATTTGTAGAGGGAATGGCGGACTCACGATTGTGAGATGTTGGTGGATGTGGCAGAGGACGTGGATGTCATAGGACCAGTCTTGTTTGGGGAACTAGAGCTGGATGACGCAGAGTGTCCGGAGGAATACGAGACTACACTGTCTCGACGCCTCAACTCTACGTTCCTTTCGGTGTATGAGACAAGATTATATGGAGTGGAACCATTGGGAGTGGTAGGACGGCTACGAGAACGAAAGGCGGGTGATGGAGGCGGGAGAGAATCGGGGATACCATTTGACTCGTAAGGCCTGCTTGAATGGGCATGATTCAAGTCATCACTATAAGCATGAGGCACTAGATCATGCTTCACGGAAAGGTTATTACGGTTAAGGTCCTGGGTGGAGCCAAGGGTAGAGGCTCTCGTAGGAAAATGGGGACGATCAGATAGACGAGTAGTGGTTGTCGGTGGAGCATAAATAGAACCACCGAGATGAGATAGACCATCGTGCTCTTTGCGCAGACGAGCCGTTTCTGAATCAAAAGACATAATGATCCCAGACCTGACTACGATGATTAGTACCTCCAAAGTTAATTGGAACAGTTCTGAGAGAGATCCTTGACGATTTTCATACGGAACCTGATGGATTTATGTTCTAGGAAGCGATGGAGTAGAACGAAGGCAAGCTAGAAACACCACAGCTGGAGAACGGTACAAAAGCAGTGAGGTCTACTGAGGAACGAGGATCACGAACGTGACCATAAGTCACGCATCACAGTAACCACCTTTTCTGATCATCTACTACGCTTCCGTTACTTAACTGACAACTTGATGCTCACAAAACCCGAACCTGTGTTGCGTCATATAACCTGTTGGAGGTTACAGAACCAGGCTGTGGGAGGACTTGTGGAGACCCAAACTCCATGTAGAACCAGGTTTGTAACTTGTGGAGATATCTGACGGAATTTTTTGTGCTAGACACTGCTCCACGTTGTACTTCTACGTCAACCGCATCTAGTGCAATGTAGTTCTGCCCAGGCTCCGAACGGAACCCGGCCAACAGAACACTCTTCCACAGAAATGGCGCTTGGCTATCCACAGCGACAGTTTATGCAGTCAGCAAGTGAGTTGACCAGATAATCATGCCTCCGAGATGTCACTAAAATTGAACCAACTTATACGCAGAGTGCGGTCATATTCCAATGACGGGGACTAGATGACCGTCAAGAAAAATCATACCCGTGCTCAGTTGTTGATTGTAGGCAGTACTACGGATGCAAAGGCGTCGATTTCTTTCGAAATCTTTCCAACTTCAGAGTCGCCGGGGTATCTGAGCTTAAATATTTCACCTCGTGGCGACAAGATCCATGATAACCCTCATGACAATCAGAGATTGAAGGTTATAATATATCCTGCCTTCACCGATGTTCACTCGTCTTTTCCGACATCTTCAGACAGATTTGATGTTGAAGTACAATGGGTCAAATCTTTTCATATCCCGTTCGAACATTAAGTTCCTTCAGGCTCCTTCATTTCATGTGCCTTGTCGTCGAGGGCGCCTGTGGCGAGTTGTCTCTCTCCTGGACATCCTATCAATCTTCCATCATACGACTCCCCATCAACCACTCACAATTAATTTCCTGCCTGATGGTAACCTTCACCTATACTACCATGTCGAAGCTAACCAACAAATTAACATCTTCATTATCAACGATCGTACCTTGTTTACCGGTTGGAGTAGCACCGAATCCCTCACCACTCCTTGCCACTATGACCAAATACACGATTTCAAGACTAGTTGTCAAATAGGGATAATGGTACTTGTATCGTCTCTAACATGGAAGAGAGTTGGCGCGAAGCAATGTCAGCAAGGGTGACGAGGTGTGTTATCGATGTCGTACAAGCACCTCGTGGAGCTCATCGTATCTTGTACCGTCACTCATCAGTATATCGATAATCTTATAGCTAGGCGATCTATGAATCTCATCCATACCGCGCGCACGTCATCGACATAAACGACACTCGGAATGGCGTGTTGCATTTTTCCCTGTGCGTGCGAATTACGATTAAAACTGCAGTCTCCTCGTCACCGCCATATCGCCGTATATCCCTTTCAGTGCCGATGTCAAACCAATCCGGAATATATTATGATCGTCCACTGTGCACCTGGTTCAGCCCACCACGAGCAGAAAGTGGGACACCACCAAGTTCTCGTTTACAAACAGGTTCTAAGTGGTCTCTGAATGTTTGGAGTCCCCGTGGCTTATATACGTTGGCATATAGAACTTCCAAAAGTATACTTGTCCCCATTCCTAAGGCGCGATACGGACCGATTGACCACCAAGCAGGCGAGTGAACCTGATTTTCTAGATCTCACAAGGTGTGTCTCCGTGTTCATAGGTGTAGAATCACCTTCGCTTTCTATAGATGATGTTTCTTGGCATTCAGTTGGTCGTCGAGGTGCTTTCGGCGTCACCCGGCGTGGTTTGGTGCTTCTTCTGCCGCAGACAACGAGAAAATGGTCGTGGTGATTGCATGAGATTAGCGACAGCGCATCCTTCACGCATCACCTGAGTACTAACAGTGCTCATTGCTCAATGCGCTTGAAGGCGAGAAGATAGGACAAGGTACGATGCCATTGGACTTACCTTCGTCCCAGAACATTAATTATATACTGCTACTTAAAATTCAGATCTCATAGCTGGAGCAAGCACCCACTGAGTCTTGGCCGAATCCACTGACATAATTTTATTCTCCTGTATTGCCATTTTCCTACTTTACGTTATGCGCTCTTGTTACATGCGACTACTGAATCCATTGTTACCTTGGATCCACGGGTCCAACATCTTTGCTCCACTACGGTCTGAGCTACAAGAACTTCTCGTCTATTTAAGTAGCTCGTGCAGATGTGACTCTAACATCTGCATGATCCTGTCCTACGACCAAGGTAAGATATTTGACTGTCACTTCACATCTAACCTATCCTTACGTTGCGCAAAGCTATTTGATATAGGTAAATATGCCAGACGTCTGTATTATCGCATGCTACGACTGAAAGTATCTATTTAATGCAGATCCGCACGACACTGCTGTTATTCTTATACCCAAATCCTTGCTCGAATCTGTAGCAAACACTGAATTTTGAAACCTGCTGTCAAGCCACAAAAGGTAATTCTTGCACCTGACCGAGGTTTTGTCTGCACTCGACCTGACGACTTCGCCCCACAGATCTCCCGTGATGCACATTGATGAAGACTCTGCTGCATTGACCGAGTCTATGCGCGTCCTTCGCTCTCGCAGCAATGCTCGAGTCCCCATATCACGCCTTCCAGACGATATTCTCTTAATGATCTTCGAACTCTTCGAAGAAGAGAAGCGCCTCACTGGACACGATCGTGGTCACTATGCGAGTGTCATCGATAATGCCCCTGCTTGTCTGGAGGTCACACACGTCTGCAGACGTTGGCGCAATGTCGCTCTCGGGTGCCCGACTCTGTGGAGATTCATCAGTTCCATCTCTCCTCTATGGTTAGATGTCATGCTTCAGAGGTCGCAGAAGGCTCCTTTGGTCGTCACCTGCAAGCAATCACTAATTTCCATCTCACGAGAGGATTACTTTGAGACACTCCTTTCACACCTTCCTCGGATCAAACACCTCAAATTATACCAAACTTCCGATCGCATTATAGATCTGTTATCATCTATGCCTGCATCGATGCTTGAAACATGCATACTCGAAGACCGTGGTGGCCTTCATCCAACGGCGTCCATGTCAAACACCATCTTCCAAGCACAAGCACCCTTACTTCGGTGCCTCGAGGTCGATTCTTTTGACCGCAGATGGTCGTCGTGCATTTTCGGAGGACTTCGAACTCTTCGTGTGGGAGGAACCTCCTTGCCGAACCTCCTTTCAGCTCTGCGATGTATGCCTGTCTTGGAACACCTTATGTTCCAGCATCAGTTTCTCAGTTCCGACGAACCAATACTCCTTGATAAAGTGCCACTCGCTCGGTTGAAAAGTATAGCGATAGAGGCCATGCTCGAAACTGCTGTGATTCTCTTCACACATCTAGCCCTTCCCGTTGACGTTAAGATTGCTCTACATATCCCAACAATTGAAGGGACTCCAACATTTGCTGATTTGTTTTCGGTCATGCCTGATGGACCCGGTCCCGTCTTGCGGTCGATGCGTGCCATCAAATTCAGGCCAGGTCCATGTTCTATGGCTGTCCAATTTAGCACGTCGACGGCGATCAATTCCAAATATTCCTGGAATCCACAAGATGATAACATACCACTCTCGATCGAATTCGTCTACCGAGACTTCTTTTATCCTCCGCCAAACTCCGTTGAAATTTCGCGAAACATTGTATTCGATATATGTCAGATCATCGCTCAACGCAGACATAGAGCCTTCTTTTCTGAGGAGCTCGAATCCATCCACCTGAAGGGGTGCGAAGACTCGGACTTCGTTACAGGCTTAACCACTGCGCTCCGGACCGAAGGGTCGTCAAATGTAAGGTATCCCTCGCTCCGTGTTCTGGAACTCCAACGTATGCGGTTCGACGGCAATGAACTTGAAGATCTCCGGGATGTCTTGAAAATGCGAGCCCAGCATAATGTTCACATCCACAACCTCCGCCTCACGCGATGCAATAGTTTCACGGCTGATCAGGTGCAGCTTTTTCGGGAAGTGGTTGTGAACGACATTGATTGCGACCAATATACTCTTGAACACTCTTGAGTGTGGTTCCAGTCTTCCAGAACGACTGCGGCTATCCTGTTTCCTTCCTAGACTGCGTTTTGATGTGTTTTAGTTCTTATCGTCGACTGATGTATCTAATGGTCTCCCCTAGACAGACCCGGTATACCCCGGATAGATATCATTGTAATGTCTTGTGCTTAGCGATAATTATACCCCTCCAACTTGTGTACGCGTAGTTTCTCTCAGCGCAGCCACAAATGCTAGTGTGTCAGGCTATTTACTAGTACTTACGTGTCCGGTTAGGAAGCTGCGCGCGCAGATGTTCTTGAATGGACTCGTCTGGTTAATCCAAACTTGAAGGATCCCCATGCACGCGATAGTTATACTAATGGCCATTCGATCAGTATTGCACGTCAGGATTGGCTGCCGAACATCCTTTTCATTGTACGGCACACACCGACGTAAAATAGGTCCTGGCCTTGGAGACTGCAAACCTTTGCGGGACCGCATGTAATCAATAACATCTCAGTTGGTGGTGTGCTGACTAGTCGTGCCGCGATGACGAAGCACCACGGTTGAAAATGCCGCAGAAGAAATATGTCAGAGGTGCGAGGAAAGCGGTGCATACTAGTAAGACTACTCGTATGAACAATTCAAAATTCAACCTTGAGTAGACCTGGTCAGCGTCACAAACTGGAACAGCGGCAATCGAGTCGAAGCAGCGGGAAAATGCCGAGTCGCGACGTGGCCTTGCTCACTTCCGGACCCGGGACCCGATCCAGCCGATCGGCATTGTCACGAACACGGCTGACCCAAAAATGGACACGCCGAACAATTGCGTCAGAGGCCGAGCGATTTCGTCGACGGCGACCGTGATGGCGCATAGACGCGTCGAGACTATATAAATCGACTCTGATGCATCTCTACCTGAGAAACATAATCAATCCCCTGACTAATATGCACCCCTTTTATCACCACCATCATTTCCGTGGTCCATCCCGCATCATCTGGTTCGCCCTCGGCGCAGGTGCTGCTACTCTATGGCATTGCAATCGCCAGATGCGCGAACATTGTGCACAGTACTTTCCCTGCGTCATGCAACCACGTCATGCAGAAGGGGGCGGCGAACACCTTACTCCCCCTGTCTACTCCAAACCTGACGCTCCAACAGCTCAGGAACATAGGTGGAACTTCACCCATACTAGGAGGCAGCCTGACCGCAATGGGGATGGAACCGCAGGTTGGAATCAACGAGAATGGGAAGAGGACAAGGAACGCCTCAAGGAGATTCAGAAGCGCGCCGAGGATGCGGTGAGTAGAATGAAATCATGATAATATTTGATATCTTCGCTCATACCGGTTTCTTAAAGATGCTCGATATGTCTGAATCCACCTTAGAGTCCATTGTCTCTACCGTGGAAGCACTGAAAACTGTATGCCCTCCCGTTCATTCCCCAGATCCAGCTTCTCAGAATCAACCTCTAGAAACTTGCCCAACACAAGACCCAACGCGAACAAGAACGAAAGAATTACGAAGAAGAACTCGAGAGGCAAAAAAAAGAACCCCTTCGATATGTTTAAATCAAAGTACGGTGCATTACATATGTACATCATCACCCATCCCTCGTTATCCTTTTAATTGGATTTTGGCATTGTAAACAACCACTATATAATGACGCACGTTCACTTCTTGTTGACACTAATCCTTTACAACTATCACATAAAGGTATCACTGCAGGTATCCAACTAAACTTGGTCATCCAGGTGCATTCTTCGGATATATGCCGGAGCTTGAGGATCGAGTTTCCCTTGCTCCTCAGCTAATTTAGATTTTACGGTATTAATAACCGTTCAGACAAACACAACCAAGACACTTACGCGTAGCATGCCAGAAGTAGATGATGAGGCCAATGACGACGACGCAGAAAGCAGGGAAGTACAGCCAGTATGGCGAATAATGCTGCAAAAATTTAGTGCCATCGACCCTCACAGATACGTCACACTCACGAAAAGGAAGAGACCTATTAACATACAATCAGTCATCCTGAGAGCAATCGCAGGGAAGATGGTAGCGTACCAAAAATAAGACCATAAAAGTCACTCGTGAGTAGACTGATGTTGTAGAAAGGTGACGATGCCATGCGGTACAGCAGGGGAGCAACCGTATAAAGGGTAAACATTGCTGTTAACGAGTGTCAGTGTGAGGATCAAGCTAAAATTTAGTAGAAACTGACCGACTGTGTAAGCAGCAAGAAAGCCAACTGAAAACCCCAATCAGCCAAATCCATGATATAATACCAAATCGACTCACTCGTAGCACCATTCCATGACGCCGTAGTCATATCCACATGCTCTAAACTAGCAGCCTGGATCCCATTGATCAAGGTCCCCCACATACCAAGCTGGCCAACGACCTGCCAGGGTAAGATGCGTGATCCTCCATTAAGGGCGCCTCACCCACCTCATAAAGTGGCGATCTCCTCACAAAGAACTCTTCTGTGGCATTGGCTAATGACCGTCGTTAATTCGACAATTTGTTCACCTGAAGGATAACGTACTAAAGCCGTATAGGGTCGCTCCAACGATCATGAAGGCATCGCCTTTTCCCTTGCTTAGTGCAGGGTAGTTCTTGTCTGTGAGCATGTCTGAAGATACTAGCATGCCGAGTCCCCCGACACACACTAGGATGCCCTGTGCGCACCTATTCAGACACGGAGATAGCTACGCTTTGATGATTCCTCACCAATACTTGAGTCCAGTGATACTTCGTACGCATGTACACCCAACAAAAGAATAAGCAAACAGGAATTGCCCAACTAAGACAGACTCTGTGAGATGCAGCATACATATGAACTGTCGAGTACGACTCACGCATCGAGAAGCATGCAAGATAGCAGATCGGTATAGTTGTATGCCTGTTCGATGAGAGACGGCAATTGATGCGTGATCGAAATGACGGAGATGTATACTTACCTTTACGACCAAGAAGTTGCCCTCGACATCACAAGACGCAAGGATGAAATCTACGGCGTATCAGAATCTCTTGCCGGCAGGGATGATGATTGATATCACGAACATTTCCACCCATCCCTATATATCATCTGACCCCAACCCTTCAGGCCGTCTTCAATATCCATCTGTCATCAACGTCGATTAAGGGAAAAAAAAACAGCCATGCTTACACTTATACATCGTATACGGCGTATAGACGAGAAACAGCGAACAGTACCTGCAAGAACGAATATAGGCATCACAAGTCACCACAAGAATCAAAACACGCACAAGAACCACGTCTGCGTAGTAGGCAACGACCAATTCCTAGATACTAGCTCGGTCGTCGTGACATTAGTCACCGTTATGCACAGAGAAACCACCTGTCCAGCCAACAGCGAGAGTGTGAAGCGTCTAGTCCATAAACTCTTCCACCTAGCCCAGGAACTGCTCGTGAAAGCAGCTGCAGAAGAATAGTCGATCGGAGGACGAACAGAGCCCCGCACGAGGTCGCTTGCATCTGAGACTAAGTGCTCTGAGACGGTATCCTCGAAATTGCGCTTGGAATTGAGGGACTCGGACATGGTATCTCTGGTAGTACTGTGACCGTCGACGCTCGGTCCTGGATCTGAGAGCATCGCTCTCTTTATGGTCCCTACCAGATGGGAGCTCTGAATTCAGGAACGCATGGACAGAACCCACTTGGACGTGTGCTTTTGCCAGGTGACGGCCCTCAACACCACGTGGTACCTTTCGATTTTTTCGTAATGGGGGTAGCATCAACCAATCAAATTCGTTTACCCGTCTTAAATAGTGGTGTTCTCAGTGTCCTATAGGCAGACAAAATAGAACGAAGACAGTGTATGAAGCACACTGGGCTCAACAACGCACATGCTTGGCAACCCTCTTGTCAAACTATATCAGCGAAAAACGCGGTGACACTCTGCAATACTGCCAATGTCATGATGGCATGTGCCTGACATTCGAGTAATATCCCAAACAATCGAACTGAGCCAGAGTACTTGGCAAACACAGCAGTCTAATGAGCATTGGAAGCAAACGTCAAAAATTCTAACAGCTGTAGGTGCCTTGAACTTTCACCAGCAGCGTATCTGTTTGTGCATATGGCGATTTGAAGTTTTGAACTCGTCATGTCACTAAATTTGATCCGCTTGACAACGGCAGGCAGGCTCAAAAGCGGTGATACCCGCGCACCTCAAAGCAACCACCAGTCCATTAGAATTATATCGGGCTACCGTTTGTCCGCAAAGAAACGCTGGAAATGCATACATTAAATGAGAGCTCACAGAAAAGACACCCCATCACACACCTTCAAATGTCGTAACTGCCACGTGCACGTAGCAATAAGCACTCCAATCTGCAACACACTATACCAAACAGCCTTCGAATTCGTGTTCTCACTCAAGTTTCGGAAATCCGCCTCTCTCTCCCGCTGGTACTGCTGTTCTCTCCGAACTTCTTCAAGCTTTTGGTTGAGGTCGCGGAGCTTGCTGCTAAGTTCGCCAATGTGGGTACGATCGCTCTCGATGTCTGGTTTCGTAGTTCCTACGACGATATCGAGATAGAGCTTGATGTGCGTGCTTGACCACCATGATGTGTAGTTGGTGGAAATGCAAATAGAGTGGTCGCCTGATTCATGGGAGGTGAATGTGAAGCGACCGTCCGACGGACCTCTCGTCTTTGTGACGATATGCGACGTTTCCATTTCCTATGGGCAGAAACTGCGTGTGAGATGTGTTGTTCGTAAAGGTGCCTTTGGGCCGTACCTCGACTTCAACTATAATTCCGAGTTCCTCGTTTAGGGTGTATTGTTGTGTGCTGTCGGCCCACTCCAACGCTCTGTAGTGTCCTATGATGCAAGGTAAGACATTCGAGGTGCTACCGACCGGTGATGAGGACACTTACCCTCAACCACCGTATCTGATGGCAGCTCTTCCACAAAACATCGCTTTTCGTTTGCATCCAAGTAGAAATGAAGGGCATTAACTGTCGTTATTAAGAGAAGAAAAGACAGCAGAAGCACCGGAAGGCGGAATGCAAACATGCTGTTCGGTGAGCAGGATGAAGACTAAGTTCACGAGGAAGAAGATTGAAAGTCACGTGCTGCATACTCAGAAATTTCATGTCCTGCGAATCGTTTCATCACCCATACCAGTTATACCATGCCTCCCGCACGATTTCAACCATCAGTCTATTAAAAATAAGATAAAAAGAGAAGAGGTTGCGCGCAAGCTGAAAAAAAGCAAGAGCCAGGCAAAACTACAGAAAAGGCTCGATCAGGCCAAGGTCGAAGCCAACGACCCGGCAGCAAAGAAAGTGCGTGTAACGATTCATCTGTACTCCTTTCGCAGTTGACCCCGCATCAGAAACGTATTTCAGAAAATGTACCTCGTACGCTCGATAATACCCGCGAGGCAGACCCAGCTATGCTCTCTGCAGCTGGCCCTTCGTCTGCCCAGCATGCAGAATTCTCCAATGATATTGCATCTGATCCTTTTGCGGACTATTTCAACTTCACGCTGGATCCAGCTATTCCCCCGAAGGTTCTCATTACAACCTCTGCAAAAGCTTCGAAGGGCACATATGAGTTTTGTGATGAGTTGGTAGGAGTATTTCCAGGTGCTGAGTTTATACGGCGGAAAAAGGGGAAAGGCTTCGAGATGGGTCGAATAGCTGGCTGGGCTGCTGGCCGTGGCTATAAACATCTGCTTGTAGTGAACGAGGACATGAAAAAGCCAAGTTTGTCACCTCGGCCACATTTGCCATTGAAGACTCATGGTTTTCTAGATGCTATTACCTTGGTGTATCTCCCTAATGGTCCTATGGCGTATTTCAAGCTTACGTCTATAGAACTCACAAAACAGATATATGTGAGCCCGCCTTCTATTTTATCGCTGGCGCAGAAATAACGGACCTGTATTAGGGTCACGCGAGAGCAACGCCACACAACCCCGAGCTTGTTCTCAATAATTTTTCAACTACTCTGGGACATGATGTTGGACGGATGTTCCAGACTTTATTCCCGCCATTACCTGAATTCCAGGGACGACAGGTAGTCGCGCTCCACAACCAACGTGACTTTTTGTTTTTCAGACGTCATCGGTAAGGGAGATCAGAAGAATTGAATGAATAGGACTCTCAACCAAAATTATTAGGTATGCTTTTCGCTCGCCTGAGAAAGTTGCTCTGCAAGAAATCGGGCCTCGCTTCACTCTGAAACTTCGATGGCTCAAAAGAGGGCTACCAGCAGTTCAAAACTTTGGGGCATCACCAGATGCCCTAGAGATCAATGTCGGGACTGAGGAGTTGCCTGAACCTCCAGAAGAAGCGCCCATGCCAGAACAAGACGAAGAATCGGGGATGAAGCTGTCCTGAACCCCTTCCAGTGAGCAATCCTCCAAAAGATAATGAGTACATCTGGCGTTGGAAGGTAATGTGCCATCCACTTGTTCACGAACATTATACTAATTACTCTGTAGCCTGAGCTTGAGACAACAAGAAAAACATTTTTCTTATGATGCACAACATCTCTTTGTTTGGAGAAGTGGAGGATCAATAGAAGATTGTAGTGCTTTTTGTAGTTCGTATCACATTCGGTTTGGATCATCAATCGTCCTTGTTAGTCCATTTGTGATAGTACGAAATAAAAGCAAGGAAAAAATACATTCTCTGAGATACAACTATTTGACATCGCAGCATCCTGTCAACAAAGTTCAAGGTTATTTACTTTGCTTTGTAAGATGACGATTCTTGCACCTATGCAATTGTCATGTCTACTCCGTCGCCTTCGAATTCGCCACAGGATAATGTGAAGCCTGCGGATTATAGAGATGTTTTTGCCGTATGTCCTTCTCGCATGTCATCTCAAACTAGTCATCCGCACTCACGGTAATGATAGGCCCGACAATCATACACCCAACATACAGAGTGCGTTTCCTTCTTGCGCAGCCTCTCCCTTCTTCAATAACCTTGTTGTATTGGTGCTCAGTCCATGCGAACAAGCAGCAAAGGCATCTTTGAGCTGCATGGACCGCAACGACTATAACCGGGACAAATGTATGGAATTCTTCCAGGCATATAGGGACTGTAAGAAGGCATGGGTGAGAGATTAGTATCCCTACTAAGTCTGAAACTTTTGTGCTGACTATGTTCCAGCTGGAGCAGAGACGCGAGGATCGTAGAGCTGGCCGACCTACGCCTATGTGAACCACGTCAAAGTGCCTGGGACGTTGGTTGATATGCACCTCATCATCTTTACTTAGACACGCATTTTTTGCGCGGCATGATACATCACGAAGACGACGATGTAAATTCTCCAGTGCGCTCGACAGGCTTTGTTAACAGCTACAAGGGCACATATGCAACCACAACCTCAAGCAAGTCCTCAGAACATACTGGTGGAAGAAATCTGTATTCGAAGCGTAAACTATCGACCGTGGATACACAAAATGAGTGTCAAGATCAATGAAATAAGTATACATCACGAGAAATAATGAAACTAAATGAGCCAGTGTCGTACCGGTAAATGAAAATACAAATCGAAGCAGACCTCGGTGTAGAAAAGGAAATGGAAAAATGAAAGGATACATACTAGAGAAACAAAGTCCATGATGAGAAAACGTGTTCGTATCGTAAAAGTCAAGAGAAAAACAAATCGAGGGAGGAAACGATAGGAATGAAACTGACCAGTGGAGCGAGGAAAATACAGATCAAGAGGTAGTAGAGAAGGAAACGGGCGACGACTTGCTCTGACTGATGCGTGCATAATCGTGGCGGTGGCAATAGTGGAATGTCATCTAGTAGGGGTAGTAAAGATCAATTAGCTTATCGTCGAAATTGGGTCGTAGGAGACCTCTGGCGTCAAAGACACACGATGTGATGTAGTATGCGTAGACTGGAAGTGGCCTTCGACTTCTTGGGCGGTGAAGCTCCGGGTCGTAGGGGACAGAAGGAGGCCGTCATCCGGATTGGTCGTAGGGGACCTGGCATCGGAGATATGCTGTGTGTAGGTGTGCGTTAGCGCGGAGGCGGCCTTGAATCACTTGGGCTGTGGGCGAGCCCATATCGTAGGTTTCAGTGAAAAAGGCCAATGTATTTGACTCCGCATTGCTGTTTTGGATCTAGGCTGTCGAAGCAGCGTGGTTGAGAGAAGAGGCGGCTTGAAGTGTCTGGTGTCGCGCTTCGTAACCAGGATCAGGGGCTTCAGCTTCGAGGCGGAAGACGGGAGATCGCCGAGAGAGCGCGCCTCCATATTTCGAGTCAGCGCGTCGATAGGGCAGTCGAATTCAGGGAGAGCAGCGCCAGGATCGGTAGATGGACCGCCGGAAAGATAGAGCGCCTTCATACGTCTGGTCAATGCATCCATGGAGTAGGCGGGTTCAGGGAGCGAGGATAACGAATGGTAGTAGATGAATGATGACGGCTGTTGACTAGAATGAGTGGTCGAAGCCTAGAAGGACAAGGCGGGTCATCGAGAGTGAGACCTGTCATTTTTGCAATTAGAATGTCAAGCGTAGGTTCTAGTGCATGATGTTCCTTCTGAGGCTTTGGTTCAGAACAATCGTCCTAGAGACTCAAACGTCAGGTATTGTGGAAATTGAGTAGTACGCTGCGTCTTACCTCGTGGATAGTGCTTTCGTCACTAAACGACTCACAGTCGTTAGCGTCCGAGGCATCGTCAGAGAAGACGCCGGTAGCTGGGTCGTCATCATGGGGTACAAGAGTGGTGCTGGAATCGATAAACAGGCGTTTACAGTAGAGGTCCGGCGAAGTGAGAGTGATGCAAGACGAACAAGTGTTAGAACACGTGATTGGGGCAGACGCTGTTTCCGTCGATTCGATTAAACGCGATGGAGATGAAGTCGGAGATGGCTGCAAGTGATACGATTCGACAGGCTTAGGCGCAGCGGAGATGGTGTTGTGATTAGGCGTGCAAGTAGAAATTGGGGCGGATATTATTTCCGTCGATTTGATTAAACGCGATGGAGATGAAGTCGGAGATGGCTGCAAGTGATACAATTCGACAGGCTTAGGCGTAGCGGAGATGATGTTGTTATCAGGCGTGCAAGTAGAAATTGGGGCGAATATTATTTCCGTCGATTTGATTAAACGTGATGGGGATGGAGACGAAAATGGCTGCAAGTGAGATGATTCGACAGGCTGATGCGTAACGGACTCGGAGGTGGTGGGATCATTAGCGGATGGAGGATTAGAGTCGGCGTCGTCGTCCTTGAGAGGGGCGGGCATATGCTTGGGCTCGTTGCTGAGGATCCTCTGTGCAGCTTTGTCGGCGGCGAGAACCAGGGTGATTGTCGACAAGCAGACAGAGTATACAACGAGGCCAACGGAAGCCTTCTCTACTTTGGCAAGGACCTGAGCGGTATTGTCGACGACAGCCCGTTTGAAGCAAGAGACCGTAAGCAAGCCAGTGACGGCGACGCGGGAAGCAATGGCCATGGCGGTAGAGAGAGTCATGATGATAAACGCTGATTGAGATAGGTGAAGGTCGTAAGAATATGCTGGTACGCGTATGTAGAGAGGGTAAACTGCAGGAGGGAAATGTTTGCGAGGGTACGCCGTATTTATAGTCCTGGAATTTCCCTAGAAAATCAAGGTTTGTGTGTGGGCGATAAACAGACTCGATCGCGACGCGCTCGTCACGTGTTCCGAAAATCAACCAGTATATAATCTCGCGTACATGATTCCAGCATCTGAAGGTCCCCCATGTGTTGACAGAGTTAAAGCAGAGTGCAAACGCCTATATCCCCTTCTACGCCTCCAGCCACAAATGATCCGGAGTGAGAACGCCCTCGTGACTGGCGTGCTGTTCTTGCCAGCTACTTCAGCGCGTAAGTTTACAGCGACCCACGCGGGACCCTGGTGAACGTGTTTTGTCAGGCCGCTATCATGTAAAATGTAATCTCGCAGAAGGGGCTGTGTGGTGGAGAGAGGGCAAGAGTGAGTTGACAAGACAGCGAGGATGATGGTCGAGGCGCACACGATGGGGGAGCCATGAGTTCCTTGCGATGACCGCTCCGTAATGTTCACCTTGGTACTTGTAGCCAATGACTTTCTGCGTTTGCTGAGAAGTGATCCCTAGTGATGCAACATGGCGCAGACCTCCTGTGGACTACGAGTTAAATGAGATGCATAAACCCCTTGTGATTATGCTGTTGTTAGTTACTATCTGTGTAATACGAGCTAGTAATTGTCTACCACCGTTACGAATGAGAGGAGGGACATCACCGAATGCGATTTACGTAATGCATCAGTTGAGCGATGGTATTCTTCGACCCGACATCGACTACGCGCGCCGTCCAAGGGTGGCAGCGCATGTCATTCGCTCACGTCTTGCGGGCAATCTCTTGAATCCTTTCTGAAGGCCCGAGTGAAAAATGGAAACTCAAGGGAGCTGCACAAACGGAATGTAAGGACAAACGATCATCAAACTCTCTAATGACACCATGAGACCCTCAGGCAGCACTCAAATGATTATCATATCACAACGAGGCACTTCATTTGCACAAAATCAAAGCATCTGTACGAAACGACATCAGAAGCGGTACAGGACGTACATACGACCGAGCAACTAGATAGCCACTTCCAATCTCCCAAAGGAAGTGATCAATCAAGAGGTGGGAAGCGGAGGAGGAGCATCCGGTTGAGGGGCAAAAATCAAATTAAGTGGGGGCGTCGTTTGACTGTCCTCGTTCAAGACTGTAGCGATAATAGAGCGTCCAGCAAAGGACCGCCCAGCAAGCGCCTTGAGACCTGCCTGTGCGCCTTCAGCATCAACATACTTGACATACACACGGCCAACACCCGCTGCTTCATCTGCGCGCTGAGCTTCAATGGCAGTCTGTTGTCCAGGCTCTCCAGGAGCCCATTTCGATTTGTCTTTCTTGACCGGCCGAGGAATGCGCAGATCTTCAACATTCCCGTATTTGGAGCATTCTTCTTTGACGTCCTCGTACAAGTCGCCATATTCGTCGTCATTGGTGAGATCGTCGGGAGTAACCATGTTGAGCATGAGAAGGATACGAGCATCGGCATTGCTGCTTTCACCAGCAGGCATGATGGGTCGAGGGATCTCTGGAAATTGGTCGTAAGGAAGGTTTGGAATCATGCCCGGTGTACCGGGTTTTGCGCCGACCGAGGCTCTCTGTACAACTAGATAACGGTCTCCTAGTTCCATGCCGTTCAAGCTTTGAATGGCAACGTCAGTAACAGAGGCATCCACATATTCGAAGAATGCAAAACCCTGCTCGTGTGCACGATTAGGTACAGGCTATCAGGAATGACAAGCGGAAGAATACCTTGGATGAACCATTGCCATTTTCACGAACCAAGTTGAAGGCTTTGAGCTCGCCGAAACTCTTGAGCAACTCCTGTACCTGCTCCTCATTCAAGTAAGTCGGCAGACCACCCACAAACACTTTGTTGATGGAGTCGGGGACATTGGTTGAAACAACGCCTGGAACATGGACGCTAGGAACAGTGATCTCAACACCACCGTAGTCCTTGGGTCGCCGAATTTTGAGTGGACCATTGATAAATATGATACCGTCAAAGGCCATAGCAGCCGTTGCATCTTCTGCGCTGCGGAACTACAAAAGACGGAAGGTCAAGACATGCCCAGTACCGGCCAAAATATGGACAAACCTCGACAAACGCATAGTTCTTCTCGTAATTACACTGGACTGCGAGGACAGGGTTTCCGGGGCCACCGGTGCCAATGTCCATTTCAATCATTTTGCTGTTGAAGAAGTCGGCAAGATTTTGCTCATTAACTTCAGGTGTGATACTGCCAATGTAGAGGCGACGGGATTGCCGAGATAAATTTGGGTTGCTCCCAATTCCCATGCCAAAAGTTTGGACTGGGATTGGAGGTGGCAAACCAGCGATACCAAGGATGGGAGGAACTTGTGTACGGTTCGCTCCAGGAAGGTTGAAAAGGCCTTTGAAAGACGTGACATTTAGATACCCTTGGAGAACTGGATAGTCGACCAACCTGTTTGTTTGGCTTGCATGGCAGAATATTGTTCGTATCCTGGAGCATGAACATCCCACCCAGAAGCTTTGCGCCTCCGCTGGGCCAAAGGAACCGCACCCTCAGGCGTAGGGGACCTTCGTTCTGGAGTGCCAAGCCCATCCCGTCCCTTACGCCCACCACGGCGAGGAGATCCCTCCTCACGACCTCGGCCATGCCGATGCTCACGGTTTTCTTCGCGGTGTTCTCGGCGACGGTCACTGTCGTGACCACTACCACGCTTCCTGCGGTCATCGAAGTCACGACCACCAAAGTCCCGGCGTCGGTCGTCTCGACGATCACCGAAATGTTCTCTGTTTCTGTCTCTGTCCCCTCTCTCTCTGTGGCCATGGCCATCCCTGTCACGGTCCCTGTAATCGCGGTGTCCATCGTCACGCCTCCGGCGGTCGCGCTCCTCACGGAAGCTGTGCTCTAGAGAAAGAATAAAACCACGGGTAGTGAGTAACGTGTGATGCTGCTGGCGGGATCAGCAGTTCGGCGAGGAGGTGCATTTGCTGTATCCTAGCTAGCTAAAAAGGAAACACGGGGCAAAAAGAGGACGATTCTCATGGAACCATGAGTTTATCATCTTTCGCAGGAAAAAATCCAGGCAAAAGATGAAGCAAAGAACAAGTACCTCCAGCAGTGTTTCTCGAGGAATACAAGTCGGCTTTTTAGCGCCTACTCGTGAAAATGACGCATGAAGAATGGGAGACCAAACTCACCTTCTGCCATATTTGAGTCTTTTGCTCGATGTGGTTCGTGTTCAAGGAAGGGTCCAAGCTTTTGGCGATGTGAAAAAGTTACGTCAGCCGAGTCCTCCGACGCAGCACTAGTGCTGCCACTCCAGGCAATAATAATTTGACTACTTGAACCCATTCTGCTATGCCTACAGACCTTCCATACGCTGCTGACGCTGAAGTCTCATTGTCCTACGACGAGATAGAGGTATGCACTCCCTTGCACTCAAGTTGGTATCTTTTAACACTTTGTTATACAGGTCCTTCGGCTACAATACGAGAAGGAGCTTGGGCAGTCTCACATCACCGTCCAGACTAAATTCAACTATGCATGGGGGCTAGTGAAGAGCCCAGTACGCGAAAACCAGGTTGAGGGCGTGCGACTGCTGCAAGGTTTGCGTTGCTTTGGTGTCTCCTTTTCGTGGTGTCTGACTTGACGCTCCACAGAAATATACCGAACAGAGCCGTCAAGACGGCGAGAGTGCTTGTACTACTTAGCACTCGGATACTATAAGATGGGCAACTTCACAGATGCAAGAAGCTTCAACGGTATGTTAAGGACGTACCTCCTTACATTGTCTTCCTGGCTATTTATACTCAATGCGCAGACCTCCTGCTTTCACGGGAGCCCACCAATCTGCAGGCACAAAGTCTAGCATCACTGATAGACAAAGGTGTTACGCGAGGTACGTCATTTTTAGAGTATTTTTGCGTCTTACTGATCTGGGTGTGCAGAGGGATACGTGGGTATGGCACTTGCTGGCGGTGTAGCCGCAGTCGGCACCCTCGTCATCGCGGGTCTCATACGGCGAGCAACCCGCAAATAATTCGAAATGAAGAACTCTGACACGCCTTTCTATTTACACTATTGCACCGTCACCCTTGCTGTCTCCACCATGCATTATTCTATATCACGATTATCCCTTTGCGCAATACACTATTTCGTAAATATCGGTCACTGGGTTCGTATGTACAGTAGCCGTTGAGTATTCTGGACACAATGCGATATATGCCAAATATATACTGCTTTCCCTACTCCTATAAAACCTACAAGGCGCGAGAATGACGTTTACATTACAAGTAGGTGTGAAAACACAGGTCCTCCCAGCAGGCCGGCCCTAATGATTGTGTCGTTTCACAGCTTCGAGCTTCAAGCTTATGGCTAGAGCCATCGTGTAACATCATCATCTCGAGACCATATATATTGACCTCTCGTAATTGTAGATTAACTCCTTCGACACTTCATTCACCCCTGATGAGACGAGGAACTCCACGACCTCGTACAAAGCGGTGAAGTCCATGAGCATCGCTAGCCGGAATCACCATCACGAAGTTTGTCGAATGGCTCCAAACTCCAACTCAGTCAACAAAACAGGCACCAGTGATACGAGCAGGCCGCAATTATATATTATCTTCCCTCATGTAAGACCTAAAGGTGAACCGAGTGTGCGAGCTATAATTACAATAAGTTAGCGAGTGTTCTACAAAGACGAGAATAATGCATCCAGAAATACGGACAGTCATTGTCACTGATGGTATGAATCAGCATTGTCACGTGTGGTATAGATATTGGGCGGGGTAAATGTTGCAGCAAAGATACATGTAATTGAACCACTCTCCGATCGTACAAGTCCGTATGTGAATGACAAAAGCCCGTGAATTCTATGTGAGTGCAAGTGTGGTTGTTTTCGTACTCGTGGAGCTGTGCTATTGTCATGTTGGCAGGAAGACAGCTGCACCGCAGTCAGTGCTACCATTGCAACAGGGCTGTGTTGAACTACTCACCTGCTTGCGTGTTCATATCCTCCGTCGATAGCTAAATGCACGTTGTAGGTTTTGCAACCATCGAGAGGGTCATAACATACCTTGAACGAAACTATTCCAATGAATAGGAACGATATGCATACACCTGTCTGGAACATTATCCAGAAACAAGCCCACACTGGGCAAGTTAATCAGCTTCATCCAATGGACCACCACGTAAAATATCACCATGCGCAGATATTCGTGGAAACATAAGATTGAACTGCGTGCAGTCAGAGTCGTTCGCTTTTCGAAAGAACTTGTCATCTGTCAGGTCCCCTACAACGAATCAAGCGAATGGATGATACATAAAAAGAATTGAAGCATACAAATGACGTAGAACGTGCTAGAACCGCAAATTCCATTAGCTCGAGCTTTCAGAACATACACAACATCGATACGCACTTCATAACGCCGACGAATAAGCAGTACCATCGAAGGGCTTGCCTGTTAAGTTTCAGCACCAAGGCAATGTCATCGAATCGCTCCACTCACGCATGTCCGATAAACCAGAAGCCAACAAGTAGACCCTCATAAAACAATGTGAGCAGGATAGTCCTGCATCGGCGTCAGCACTCCGTGGAAGCAAGGTGAGATTCTTCGGCTCACAGTTTGTCTCGCACAAGAACCAACGGAGTAATAAGCCCCAGGCCAAGGACAAAGCTCAGAATTTTGGCGACAAGAGAATCAAAGCCAGCCAGTATGAAGGCGCCACCGAAGACACTTGATCCCACATACCCCGCTGCGAGTATGATTGGTGGACGGCCGCCTTCGACAATGGTCGCACCTGTTGTTATGCTCGTTATAAGATGCGATGCGGAATCAGAATGAATCGGGCGTACCACCTAGATTTGGATCGATCGTTACCGATGATATAGTGCCTCCAGTTAGGACGGCCTGGACACCGAACGGCATTGTTCAAACAGGAACTGTGCCTGGCAGCAAGACAAACTCACTGCTACGATGTGGCAAAACTCATGCCATCCAATGGTAAAGAGTTTGAGCGGGTTAATTAGCGTCCGTGCGACTGGTATATTCCAGATTCCGAATATAACCACAGCGTAAACAACGGTCTGTAAGCGAGTTCAGACACAAGATGCTATGGAAGAGTACGTGGGTTTAAAAGACGTACAACGTATAAAACGACTATCTGAGAAAGGTTAGCACAGTTAAGCCATGCGTTACGTGTCACTTTAAAGCGTCATAAAAGAAATACACGAACCTGGTCGTGAGTTGGGGTAAGTGGTGGTGTATGGGGCGCCTGGGTAGCAATGGGAACATCCCTTGGATACATGGGTTGGCAGAATGCCTGCCGTATCGATGAAGGCTCTCCAGACACAAGAAATAGCAGAGAAACAAGAGATCGAGGACAGCACAAGGAGGCGTGAACGCGAATTTTGAGAGTCGATTTCCTCGTGGACGCCTCAAGGCTCGAAGTGCTTAAGTACAATTCACAGCAAACCCCGCCTCTCTTAAGCAACTGTCATGTCCGTTTCCGTAAAGGTCCAATTTTCGTGGGAGAATGAAAGGCGCGTCAGTCACGTGTCACACACGAACGCGTTGATTGCAGTTTTGAGCGGAGTGCGAATCCAATCCAATAAAGTCTAGACACTTGGGGAGCTGTATGACCTGCCACGCTTGCTTCTCCCCTCTACCACGTCATATTTTTGCTGTTAATTGCTTGTTCGATTCAAAAACATGGTGAGCATACGCTTTACAACACTTGGAGTCATCAATTGAATGACTTTCACGCAGTCTGGAAAGGGAAAAGCGTAGGTTATATATCTGCCCCTAGCTAAGTGCAGGAAGCTCACATTCCTTCAACAGTGGAAAATCTTCGTCTGGAAAGACCGGTAGCGATTCGAAGGCTCAATCACGTTCATCAAAAGCCGGTCTTCAGTTCCCTGTCGGCCGTATCCACAGATTATTGAAGAAGGGCAACTACGCACAGCGTGTTGGTGCTGGAGCTCCTGGTGCGTCACATCTGCCATGTGGCTACAAATGTTAGACTAAAAGTCGCTCAGTATACCTTGCTGCCGTCTTGGAGTATCTTGCTGCCGAGATTCTGGAGCTTGCTGGCAATGCCGCCCGTGATAACAAAGTCTGTAACATCCGTTCCTTCGCAGCACGCAGTTGTTCAACCGTACACAGAAACAACGTATCGTTCCCCGCCACCTTCAACTTGCCATTCGTAATGATGAAGAGTCAGTCTTTATACTTGGGCACTGATCTGATATTTATGTGTCCGTGTCCGCCAGGTTGAACAAACTCCTTGGTGATGTCATCATTAGCCAGGGTGGTGTCGTGCCATTCATCAACCCAGAACTTCTTCCCACGAAAACCAGCAAGGGCAAGAAGGAGGGTGCTTCACAGGAGGTCTAGAGTGCTGCAGAGATTTGTATTCCACATTTGTATCATTGTACTTGTTCGCCTTAATCTACATAATTGTACCATAGATATCGCAAACATCGAGCAGTACTTTAGTTTGAGCTGAACAACGGGCTGCACTCATCGAAACGCAGACACTTGTAACATAAATTATATTGCGAGTCAAGAGCATGTACATATCAAGGGCATATCCTGAGCTAGATCATTGTTCCATGGATCCGAATTATATGCAAGCATTTTAGCGAAACTTCATGCTTCATCTGTCAACAACCTCATCCTCAGCATCACTAGCCATGGTCCTCCTGGAGAAAGCACCACTTCTGCCAATCTTGCTTTTCCCATCCGCAGCCCCCAGCATAGATCCCGGACGTGTTGTCCCACCAGAAAGCCTCTTGTAGTTCGGGGATGGAGGTGGAGACTTTGACATTGAACTCCTGTTCAAATTCGCCACCATGCTGCTTACATTTCCAGCCGGTCGTGGGCCACGGGATATACGCGGACCGCGCACAACCGCCGCCTGTCCAGAAGAATGCCTTGACAAACTAGTTCTTCCGGCGCTCAGAGCCTGATCTTCTGCTGGAATAGCATGTGTGGCAGATGAAGCGAGGGGAGACGGACTACGCGCCGGCGATGCATTGCCAGAGCGTATGGCTGAGTTGCGCCTGAGTGCCTTGATCGGGTTGTGGGGCGTAGCGGGCGTCACGGACACTGCAGGCGAAGATGGCTTCTCATCCATCACAGGGGGTGGCGAAGCAGGCGGAGAAACGAAGGAAGTAGGCTGCATGCTAGGGCTAGGGATATCATCAACTTCCGGAGGCGGTTCCTTGAATGTAGGCCTTGGGGGTTCGTCGAACTCAGGGGGTGGCTCTTTGAACTCTGGACGTTGGGGCGTAGAGTCGTCTTCAACAGGAGGAGAGATGACAGATTGTTCAGTACGATCAAATTGCTCACGCTCCTCAACGGCTGCATCAGAAGTTTCTGGTTCAGTGTCGAAGCTCTTCGACTCTGAGATCGGTGAAGGGTGGACTGCGGCACGTGGAGCCTCTTCTGGAACACGTCCTGGGATTGTCGCGTCCGGAACCTGAACAGCGACTCTCTGTGCTGCTTGCTGGGCAGCTAAGATCTCCCGAGATGGAGCACCAACAGAGATTCTGCCTCGACTCATACGCATGTCAATAGGTGCTGTGCGCTTCCGGACTGGGATGCGTCGCTCGGACTCCCGTTTCTTCCTGGCGATAGTAGGGGGGAGAATATCATCGTAATTCTTGAGCAGATCGATGAACAGAACTAGACAGCCCAGAGTATGAAATGATGGACATAATGAACGGAACAACCACTTACGCGCAGGGTGGCGGTCCTGGATGGACAACTCTGTCTCTACTTTGGGTTTGATGATCGCTGTTAGATTGTGTCAGTTCTGTGCTGTGAGTCGTGTAACTAGGAACGTACTGCGGCCGATTGACAGAGCCAACTTCGTGGAGTAAATGTCATCCGGTTCTTCCACACTTGTCGACTCAATTAAACTGCAGTGCGACTCAGCAATTTATCGTGAAACCATGTGTAGTAGACGTACTTTCTGAGATGAGAGACAATGGCATCTAGGACATAGAGATGGACCTTCGGCAGACGCTGAAGAGCCACTTGCAAGTCCTGGAGGTGTTGTTCTTCCGAAACATCGCTATCAGCCTTGGCAGACCCAACTATCCTCACCATTAGTCTTTAGAGCCGCCGGCACATGTTTCAACTTACCTGTAGGATAGAGTTTTCTAATATCATCCCATCCCTCCCAAAGCGCGAGGGGCGGATCAAGCTCAAGAGCCCATAACTTGATACCACCTGCGAGCACAGGAGCATCATATTTGACAAGCATCTCGAGCGAGAAAGGCTGCCCAGGATGAACGGCATTAAGAGCCTCTCTAAGGTGATGCAACGCAGGGAGTGGGACTTCGTAAATCCAGGCTTTCCGTTTTTCTAAACAGATATTTCACGCTCTGCATGACTCTGCACGATAGATTCCACTCACCTGAATCATTTGGTAGACGGTCATATGTTTCGGTCAACGCATTAAGCAACGCCGTCAGCACTGGCGGAATCAAATCCTTCTTCTCCTCGCCAGAGGTAAGTGCATTCCAACCACCCTCAGCCCACTTACGCAGGTCAATGCCAAAGACTACGTCTGACTCGTCATGTGCAACAGACTCATACAGCTGTGGGACGGGTCTGAAGGGACCGGTGCGGTAGCGTTCCATGAGCGCAGTTAAATCCCCGTCGGGCTGGTATGAGGCAACCAAAGTGGCAGAGCGTTCAATAGATGGCTCGAATGCCTTGGGTATGGTGGCCAAGGTTCCTTGGTACTGGAGTAGCACTGCAACGGCTTGAATTCATGTCATTGACATATGATTCACGAGGGCTTACCTGTCTTGACGGCTCTCAGCCTCTCCATCTCCCCTCTCTGGAGTGTTTTCAAGGTTTCCTCAATACGTTCCTCGAGACCAAGCCTCTGTCTGTCAAGTTTTCTGACAGCGACTCGATAGATCTTGTCGGCCTCCTCGGCCTCCTCACGAAGCCTGAGATGAACGGGCTCAGTCTGTGCGTTGGAATTCAAGGCCTTTGTAACGACGTTCACGAAATTGTTCGAGCGCTTGATCAGGTTATCTGCCAGAGGTGCAAGGTTACGCTTCGGCGCGGATGATGCAGTTTCTGTTTCGGATCCAAGTTCGAAAGCCTGATGGCGCAAATGAGCGCTTCAAAGATCGTCATATCGAATCAACACCCACCTTCGGTCGGAACTGATAGTACGCTTCATCAGAATGCTCAAACTCATTACCAAATTCGCCAATACGACGAAGGAGACCCTCTCTTTCCGTCAGCTCCCTCGCGGCGTCTTCAGCCCGATCGAGATTGCCATCAAAGCCTGGTACATTGGTATTCAACCAAGCAACAAACTCGTCACCCGTGAAGCAACCGGAATATTCTCCAAGTAAGGGGAACCGGATGGACCGTGGCTTCAGCTCAGTAGCAGCTCGTAAAAGCAATGCAGAAACAGCAGCCGGGGATATTGCCAGACCTGCCAATAGAATGGGCGTCGGAGGCAGGGGTGCTTCCATAATTAATGGGGACGTAGTTTCCAACTTTGCAGGAGGCAATGGAGGCGACAACGGTGGCGGAGATTCCATTAGACCAGGCGACGGCGACTCTACTGCTCTCCTTTTGCCTTTGTCCACTTTCGTGAAAGCTTGCTCTTCTGAAGCCTCGCTTGCTGCATCAGATTCCACGCCTGAACTCGAGGTACCAGCAGCCTTGCGCTGGATTTCCTTGAAGCGCTGGGCAATGCGTTCAGACACTGTGGCCGAGCGCTGTGGTTGGGTGGTCTTGTCGCGTGGCAAAAGGCGCGGAGAGGTCGTGTAATGATCTCCCAGATCATTGTTAGGCGCAAACTTTGCGCTGGTAGAGAACGCTATATCAGGTTTGGTGGGTGGAAATAGGACAGAGTACTCACTCATCCTCTGCCTCATCTGCCCGACGTGTCTTTTGCAGATAAGAGTTCTTTAGTTTAATAACCTGAGTTTGGGTGAGGATCTCGTGCTCATGATCTGTGTTGTCTCTTGCCAACACACACCTCTTTCTGTGAATCTTCATAGGCACGTAGCCAGTTGTTCATAACCATAGCTTTGCTGGAAGAAAGGCGCTCCTGCAAAAGAATGAGATCACGGGCGGACAACAGGGTGTATCTGCATATTTACCTCGTATCCCTGAGCCCATTCGTTAAATGGGTCTGCTACAAGAGCCCGTAGGTCCTTGGAAATGTCTTTGTGAACTTGGCCCTGTGTTTCCGACTCTGCCTGAAGTCCACGGAAGGCCATCAACAACGAAGCTCCATCATCCTTGTTGAAGCCGGCGCCTGCAGGAGGTTAGCCTGTGGTTTCAGCAGAGAGGCCACGTCCACCGACCATGTGAGCCAATTACTACAGGGTGTTGCAATGATGTTGCAATTTGAGCCTCAGCGACTGCACGAGCCTGCAATATCTCGTTTCAGGACATCTGAAATATCGCAAAAGAACTCACTCTTATGAATGTGACAATCTCATGGTTCTCCACTACACCCTAAAATTTTCAAGATATGAGACAAACACCCTAAGTTAGAGACGCGTCCTCACCTGTTCAAGCTTATTATACAAAACCTCCAAGCCTTTCCGATAATCTTGAGTCCAGAACGAGTTAGTAAATGTTAACGGCAAGGATAGTACTGCCATGAATGAATATTGAGCACTCTGAACAGTATGTCCAAGAAATAGTCTTGAGTAAAACGATGTTCAGGCGCACTGCTCCAACGTTGGGGTACAGTACTAGACAAACAAGGTGTGTCCAGGGCCTTCAGGCAGTAACATTAATGTTTCCACGTGGCGGACATATCGGGTAGGAATTATGACCGCTTTGCTAAAGACGCGAAAGTTTCACCTACAGCTGCCACCCAAACATTTACGATTGTATTCAAAACAAAATACTGTAACACTGCTCCTGAGACGCATATCTAGCTAGCGTCAACAGTGAATAAAATTTTATAAAAGGTGAGCAGATGGTCTTGCAGGGGGAACCGGTTACCGTGCTTTGCGGATTTTGCCGAAATGACATTGGACTAATTTTTGGTTTGAGCAGGCTTGAGCGGAAACAAGTCTAACAGGGTCAGGCCATCAGAAGACGACGGCTAGAGTGTCGAACACGACTTATTCTGCATTAATTTCTGCCAATGGGTCATGTCTCAAAACGCCTTTATTCCTCTGCTTCAAAGCTAGCTGTTTCCACTTCACAACTGAAGCAGTTTCCGCCAAAAGAGGCCATCCTTAGACCAGACTCTGGCAAACCGAATTTCTTTGACCCGGAGTCATGGGCAACTCTCCAACCCCCACCTACGTCCGCTCTCACCGCATTCGCCCACAGAATAGGTCTTGCAAACGTGCTGTCATCGGCGGATGTAGTTCGACGCGCTTGCACACACAAGTCGTTCGTCAATCTTCATGCTAAATATTACCCTTCGAGCCCTGCGCCCCCAACAAATGCAAATCTTGCGATGCTAGGAAACGCGTTGATGGGACTATTTGCCTCTGAACATCTTCATGCTGCATACCCGCATTTGCCGACTCGCGTTTTAAAGGCTGCAGTCAGCGCTCATGTTGGTCCGTTGACATGCGCGAGTGTCGCTCAGGAAATGGGTGCAGTACCCCTACTACGGTGGCATAGACAGGTAGAGTATTAAATGTTTAGGACAAACTCCTTGTCACTGATCCAACATTTTAGCCTACGACACCAATGTCTCCAGCGCTGCTGCACTCAGATGCATTGGCATCAATACCGAGGGCAATAACTGCCCTCGTTTACCAAGAAATGTCACTCCAATCTGCACGGAAATTTGTCCAGTCGTTTTTCCTAAGTAGGCAGGTTGACCTGCGGAGCATGATCAAATTCCGTGATCCAAAACGAGCCCTTATAGAAACTGTGGAAAAATTCGGTCATGAACGTCCAAAATCTAGGTATGCTGCTTGGATATAATGTTTGTGTCTCACTGAACTGAAGGGCCTTTGCCACACAGATTACTCAAGGAGACTGGTCGTTATTCGAATTCGCCCGTATTCGTAGTGGGTATTTTTTCTGGACAGGACAAGCTTGGCGAGGGTTTCGGTAGTTCGTTGAAGATGGCAGAATACCGGGTAAGCACCCTCCAGGTATACCCATTTATAATCGTCTTACTGTGTGTGCTACAGGCGGCTGAAGACTCGCTACACCGGCTATACCTTACTCGGACGCCAGACCACCTTCTCCAAGTCCCCTCATCGACATTCCCTTCCAAGCAGGGCAATATCTACAAGACTGGATTGGAGGCACCATACACCCCCGGAGTGCTCGGTGAGGCTGAAATTCTGTATGCGAGCTCAGGGCGCAGCAATATCGTTGCCCCCAAGCGACCGACACTAGAGGAGATAGAGGCGAAACGGGAGGGTCTGGATGTATAGTACACAATCTTGCTTAATCTGCACAGTTTACTCGTGAGGTCTTAAGAGCGATCCGAAGACCCCATATAAGAAGGAACGATTGTATTCCTTCTATAGGACTGGCCAGCAAAGACCAACAGGTCAACACTCATCCTGCATATCCCAGTGCACTTGACCTACACGGCCTATTTGACTGTGTCAAAATTCTACTTGCATCGTTCAAGATGCTTCCATGTTAAGGAATGCGGCAGCCCTTGCTCAGAAGCAGCAGGGCGCCCCCTCATCCGGACAGATCGTGAGATCCACGTCTATGTCCATGCTTAGGGACTCCGCGAGAGCACACGTCCCATTGAGTCAGAGTGTCATCCCTCTGTTCTCTCCACACATTTATGCAGTTATGTGATAATACCTGTTTTTCTAGATGTATTCCCCTCGCCATAGAATGCGCTGTCCAACTAATAAGCTTGGTTAGAAATATCTTCCAAGGAGTTTACGCAACTGGACATCTCACTCTCTTCTTGCAAGAAACCGTCAAAGATCTCTCCCTCTCTTTATTAATCGGGCTACCCAAGGGCAACCTGGCATTAATGGGCCATAATGTAGGAGGTCTCATGGCTTAAGCTTCAAGACCCGCATTGCCCGGGCTGTGATGTAAGTATCCTAAGTGTTTATCAGCGGCAGGAGTCTTCCGAGATATGTTTTGTTAATTGCTGGGTATGTCTGCCACAAACGAGAGAACAAACGAGTTCCTCCTGACAATCTGCCGCCGTGCAGGATGTCCGTAGAGTGGTAGAATACTGGCATAGTGATACTGACGACATCTGGTTGTACTGGCTATATTCGCATGCGGCATCTGCTTTCATATGGCGGCTGGAAGTCAATCCAAATATTTGCTGAGTGTCTCCAGTGCCAGAACTCATATTAATGTCTAACAATGCGTTGTGGAAGACTGTTTGTGACTCCTGTGAAACTGATGCGTGCAAGATGAGAACGGATGACTAGCTTTCAGGATGCAGTGAAAAGATAATATATTCAAGACCACACTGCCAATGATAATCGTGGTCGTACATGCACGAAAATAAAGTCTAGTGTAACAAAATCGGTGAAATAATAAGAGCAGTTTGTACATAATGAAATCTAATCAGCCCGGTCGAACCAGTAAGGGAGAAAATCAATCGAAGACTTCTATGTGGAGACAAGAACGAAAAGAATGAAACATGTACCAGAATGCTTAGTCTATAACGAAGGTGACAGAGTCCGATGTTGAGAGGTGATCCGTCAGAGCACCCGACCCGGTGTCATTCCAATATCACGTCTGTCAATGTATATATTCCCCCTTGTCATTGCACGTCACTTACCTAGTTACGTTTATTTTCTCTCCCTTTACTTAAGGCAGCCAGAAGCCCTCGTCGCACCTCAGTCTCTTTACCATAGACTGAGGTGTGTACACTCTTGTTCTTCCTGCCGATAACATACTTATTAGCTTACCCGTAGGCTCGCGCTATCTTAGGTTCGTACATTGGGAATATATAGTCTCTTTACCATAGACTGAGGCTCGCGCTATCTTAGCTCTCACTATTCACATCGATGCCTGTCTCATACCAGCAAAGGGGAAAACAAATCGTAGATAATGAAACGTACATGACACGCGAGTCTGTAACGACGAGTCACATTGTCTGTTTCGTACCAGTAAAGGAGAAAATAAGTCGAAGGTCACTGCATCGAGGAGGAAGTAGAAGTAATAAAATACGTGCAAGAGGTACATGCGACATGAGACTGAACGAGTCCAATATCTGTCTCGCACCAGCAAAGGAAAAGACACAAATCGAAGAAGGAAACGAAAACAATAAACGTACATGCCAGAAATGAATCTATGATGAAACTGACCAGTCGAGGGCATACAGATCGACGAGGTAGTAGAGAAGGAAATGAGAGACAACTTACTCTGATAAATGGACGGTTTGTTCTAAGCCATTCAAATATTTATCAATAGAAAATCAACCAGATGCATGGGAAGACTGGGTGTGCGATAGCGCCCAGGAAGCCAGAGAGATGCAGAAGAACAAAGGAGGTGCGTGAAAGTACCGGGCAAATTAGAAGGTAACTTGAAGACAAGCGCGGGGTGGGTGTCTCAGGAAACACGAGGGTGGTCTGGATGGGTAGACATGATGGAAGAGAATAAACCCCCATAACGCCTTTGATCATGCCCGAGAGGGAAGAGCATGTGGAGGCCCAATTCGACCTGTCCGCGGTATACGCCACACCGGTCTCAAAGCTGTCAGAGGATGCGGTGTCAATGAACACACGGAATGGTACAATGGATGTGTCAGGAGCATGCGGGAGGGTGTGAGTGTACTGCTGGCACCTCATGCATGTCAAGACGTGTGCAAAGGTCCGAGGGTCTCGCATGATGGTGCAAGAAAGTGCGCAAAGGTAAATGAGAGGTGCGGGAGGTGCCCTATATGGGGACCTGAGACGTCAGGTGTTCAGATTTCAAGTATGGGACTCCTCCTTCCGGAATAAAAGCGGAATATCATGGCGTCAACATGTTCTAGAGCTTGGCTTGCTAGGTCACCTGTTTGGCACGTCGAGCTCCCGTGCGACTAGTCTGCGCGAGTGCAGAAGTAACTCGATCTTTCTGTTTTCAACAGCGAAAGGAATGGGTCAGGTGGCCACCGTAATTTGCTAACGCACCCAGTAGAATTCTAACGCGAGTGTGACCTTTCCAGCCTGAGCGTGTGTGTGAGACCTGAGGCCAAGCCTTGTATTTTGTATGTTAACTGCTTTTGATTGCGGAACAATACTTAACGTTAATTTTGTGATTAAATTTAGTGGTCCACGAATTCATGCCTAATGGAGACAACACCCGGTTCTCAAGCTTTCAAGCTCAAGCTTCAAGCGCTAAGCTCTAAAAGTGTGATTACCCGTCAAAAACATATCCTGGAGTCTCCAGTTCTCAGGCTCAAGCCTCCCCTAATATCCCCATGCAAAATCCTAATTGCACCGAAAATCAGGCTTGCACTTTGTCACATGGGGCCTTTCCAGAAGGGGCAACACATGCAATAGTGAATTCGGACTTGAGGTAGCGGACGCTGCCACGAATGTGGGGGCCCAGCCTGAGAGTTTCCGATCTTCGTCGACCAACCGAGGCAAACTAATGATTCAATAATTGCTGCGAGGTCGTCACTAATATTCCCGTACATACAGATCATTGCAGGGACTATTGCAGGTAACCATTTTGCGATCTTCTTCAACAAATTAGGAGATGGTGGTGATGGCAAAAACACCAAAGGTCCGGAATGAACAATGCGCTGGCGCTAGTTACGTTACCATTAAGCTCCGCCAACTTGAAGGCGTCGTTCCATGGCATCAATTTGTTCTCCTCGGATCGACTCATGAGCGGACCGAAAATTCTTGTCTGTCCACTGCATCCGGTGAGTCAACGTGCATTCTTTTCGAATCGTCGAATCCCCTTCACGAGGGGCTGATATTCTCAGGGAATTAGCCATATTTCTGGTTTGTCGTTGCGATCAGCGTCAGCTTGTTTCGGGAGATCTTGATGATATGCCATTTACGGCGTGGTCTGTCTCGTTTTAGGTTGTTATCGGCGTGGCGCTTGCGGTCAGCAGTTCTTCTTGGCTCGACCTCCAAATGGCGAAATCATGTACGAGTCGTGACTACGGGAACAAAGTAGGTAACTGAAAAATCACAATCTCAGACGCCAGCTGTTCACAAGTTGTAGAACGTGCTCGACCTGCATGATCTTTCTCACAGGTCTTAGACTTGGCTAATCAAACAAAACCTTACTAAGTTACAGAGCTGGTACCCAGTCGGACCCCCCAAATGAAGATGTAACTGCTACTGTGTCGACATTAACTCACTAGTATGGCGTCATGCTCAGAGAGGCACGTCCAGTGAAGTGTTTGCGTGACGTCACCCGAGGCCCAGTTGCGCCCGCAACCTGTTTCACAAGGCAATCATTTGACCTTGTGATGATGCTTAGATCTCAGTTGGACAAAAATCAGTATCGCATGGTCACGCAGTTTTTTTTGGCCACGTACGCGTCAGAGTTGGGTTTTAAGACCTATAAAAACTCCACCAACATTACCAGACGTTCCTCAGCACTTCAACTTTCAGCACTGCATCATGTTTGACATCTACGCTTTAGCTGTATCGCTCATTGGAGGCGCTATAATCACATTTCTTGCTAACGTTGCCTCGATCGAATCTCGGAGTGTACCGAAGACGCTCCGTGATACATTATCCTCCTTCATTGTCCGTATCAGACATTTTCGGTCACGTGTTATGAGCTGAGGGTCAATGATTAGGGCTTCATTCGAGCTGTATTTGGCAGCGAACAAGACGACCAACAGGGTAATCCTTTGACAAGGTACGGACACGCGCTCCCCTTTGAGGCTGTAGTCTGATATTTCATTCATTTCAGAGCGCAAGTCACCGCAGCATTTCCGCAAGGAACGTGGCAGCGTAATGCCTACGAAGACTATAAGGCAGTTCTCCTCGATGAAGAACTAATCTTCCCCTGTGTCTATGCCACAAAGGGCTTTAAATCAGATGACCAGCTCTATTTTTTCATCGACTCGGATGACCTGTCAGACCCACGTCATATCCGTGCTCTTGCAAAGGGACTTTCCACATACCTCCGTCAAGCTCGCCAGCTTGGCCCCAACACCTCCCTTGTTCTCCTTGCCAAGCAAAATGACAATAACACACGAACAGTAGAGGAATACAACACTCTGTTCTGGGAACTCCTCAATGGTCTCGCCAAGCTTGATGAGAAGCCCTGGCCTTCAACTGTACCCCGCGACATTGACACAGACAGATGGTGCTTCTGCTTTGGCGGAGAACAATTCTTTACTGTCATCCAAACCCCTGCTCACCAGGTCAGGCGCACGCGTTATGCGCCAGGCCTGACCATGGTCTTCCAGCCCAAGTGGATTTTTGACATTCTCTTCAGCACTGATGCAAAGCGTGCGGGTGCGCTCGCAAAAGTTCGTACCCTCCTCGCCAAGTACGATCCAATCCCTGTCAGCCCCGAGCTGAAGAACTACGGCGAGGAAGGATCGCGGGAGTCCAAGCAGTACTTCTTGCTGGATGAAAATGATCCGGCGCCGTGTGCATATAACAAACTCAGTGACTCCGAGATCATTGCCACATAAAAGTGAGCTGATGGCCCCCGGTCAAGTTGCCTCCAATTAACCCATCTCCACAGCGAACTACAACACCTTCCTAATGCGGAGTCACACAGATAATGCAGTGCTTCGTTGAATTTAAAATTGTGTAACCTATAACATACCAGGCGTTGGGCTGGAGTGGGCCGGGCTTTCTCTCTTCATTGTATTGCTACTTCCTACTCAATACCAAGAATTTGGTTTGCGTTTCCAAGTTAAAGATGCTGTGTGATGCCTTTAGAAAGGGGGGTAAGGATCATGCAAGAAAAAGCTAATCGGAGATTGAAACCCAGCGAGAGGCCGCCGCAACACATGCCTGTGTTATCCCCTCGCATCACCAAGACGGAGTTGGAGCCAGAAGGTTCTTCTATAGTCTATAGAACTGCATATTGCATTGGATGTGATACACGTGTGACGTCCTTTTTTGCTGGCGGGGGTGTTGTGGTTGTTTCCACAAGATTGATATTATGTAATATTTCGCGACTGTCATCAATCGGCATTACTTCGATTCGCTTGTCTTCGAGTTCTAAGTCATTAATACGTATCTTAGGCTCCAGGTTCTCACCATCATCGGACCTCCTGTCATGTCCGGACTCCGAGTCGAGCTTCTGTCAGTGAACACCCAGTAACTAGCCGTTATTGATTGGGGTGATTAAAGTCAGCTGAGTACCGACCATGACCTCACCTTTCTACACTATCATTGGGACGCCATTCAGCACCTTCACCCGAGCTATCGCTCTCAGATTGACTCGCAAGGGGATGCCCTTCACCCAAGTTAGATGTGTTCCACACTCGAACACAGCATATGACAACCATCCATTCGGGTTTCTGCCCACCTTGATCATCCACGGAATTGATGGCAAAACAATTAACCTGATGTTGCGCGAGAGTATAGCTATCGCGCGCTACATTGACAAGGTTGCACCAGAACCCAGCTTGCATATTTCCCCAGGTCGTGGGAAGGCCATCATCGAGGAACAGATGTGGGAGTTTGTGAGTCTCGCTGGAGCACATGATAAACTTGAATTTTCAGTCAGACACATGGAGCCTATGATACTGATTTCATGCTTCAGGTTTCCCTGCTGTCGAGAAAGGGGTCGTGAAATTCCATGTGGCTGCCACCGATGCAGGAAAACTTGCAGACTCTGCAGTTCGCTAACACATCAAACTAGCTGTAGAATATCTTGGAAGATTGCTCGGTAAAATGGAAGAACTAATGGCAAACGAGGGCTACGTGTTCGGAAGCAAGCTGAGCTTGCCGGACTTCTTTTTGTTCCCGCTGCTTGCAGATCTGAAAGCAATCCCGGAGGGCGAATTACTTTCTCCAAAAATGCTGAACTGCATGGAGGAAAGGAATAAGATGGAGGCAAGGCCCCCCTAATCACCCAGCTCGAGCAGGTATGGTTTAACTTTCGTTCGCATTCATTCGTCTCACTGACTCGGAGACAGTGCAGGAATTTCCTGTGAATGGATCTCGAATCTGTGTTAAATGGAGAAGTCAACTTTCGATCTAAGCATTCGTGGAACTATTCAGGCAATCTTCAGCTGACATATCGTAAATCTTGAGAATGTTGCAATCTCCTTCCCATTACTGCTTCGCGCATAAGGAGTAATTTCATTATCAACTGTTAAAATATCATAGACGCGCTTCCGCAATGCAACGCTGCACTGCCATTACATTATCTGTCGCCGGGAGTAAGCCCCCGCACTCGAATAGGACTGTTGGTCAGGTCTGATTGGTTGAGCAGTCGAACGGTTTCTCTCGTAGACCCGGCACGGATTTGCGACTTCATGCGTCTTCGTGCTCGCGGTTGATCAATATCTGACCGCTGGGAAAATTTAAGTCATTTTATTCGGTGTATATAGTTAATCAGTGTTACTATTATTGTTCTGATGCCAGGCAGGAGTAAGCTCTACACAAGCTTTAGGACACTGGCTCGAGTGGTCTATGGATCATCGATCAATCCTCATATAGCATTTGATATCACAAATCTCCCACCCCCGTAGAATCTTAGCGGCATTCCGCCACTTCCTTCGTGCCGTACACACCGCAGCCCATATATATGGGTTGATCTACTCTTGATCTGACACGCTCTCACTCCAGCAGCTTGGAGCGACTTCATAGCATTGAGAACGAAAGGCAACGGGCCGCATACATGCGGGTCCCGAAATTGCCACGGAGTTTCACTGTTGCCAAGGCGTCCTTTATGTGGGATCAGGGAGACGAGCGGCGGAAAAGACTCAGGCAACTGGAATTGCCTTGGGGAGCAGGCATGAATGGAAAATGTAAAGTTGGGAGGCGACTGGCAGCCGTCGACTTTACTGGATGACATGTTCACAAACGCTTCTTGGATCAAGCTGAGCATGACATCCGGCTCCCACGTTGAAAGGACGAGCGTCACATCCCAGGCGCCGAACCCCTGAGCAGCGAGGTTTGCAATATGACGAGTGAGGCTCAAGAAAGACGCGAGGCCAATTCCACCAACAATCCACAACAGCCATCGCCCACCATCGCATGCTGCTGGAGACTCTGGGACAGGAAGATCGCCTCCGACACCTCGGAGTCAAGCGCAGACTTTCAAGTCTGCGACATTAATGTGTTTTCCAGTTAGCTGCGGATCAACAATCCTAACAAGCTGGTATAAAATTGGAGTGATAAAACTGCCTTTGATTGTGATAGAGGATGCAAGGTGCATCTGGGGTTGGAGGCGTGGAGATCGCCCAAGTACGAACACAGTCATCGTTACCTGTGCACGACCATAGCCATGATATAATGTCGTGTAGTAGGGGATGGTGAAGAAGGCCGTTTGGAATGTCGTCGAGATTAGGTCGTAGGCGACCTTTGGCGTCAAAGACTCGCAACGTGGTGGGACGGTGAAACTCCAAGTCATAGGGTAAATAGGGAGGCTGTCATCCGGACTGGTCGTAAGGGACCTGACATCGGGGATGTGCTGTGTGTTAGCGTGGAGGCAGCCTTGAATCACTTGGGGTGTGGGCAAGTCCAGATTGTAGGGTTTAGTGAAAAGGCCAATACGTCTGGCTCCGCGTCGTCGTTTAGGATGTAGGCTGTCAAAGCAGAGTCGTCGTGGGAGGAGGCAGCTTGAAGTGTCTGGTAGCACGCTTCGTAGCCAGGATTAGAGGCTTCATATTTGAGGTGGAAGACGGGCGATCACTGAGAAAGCGCCTGCATTCGTCAGGTAGAGTAGGCGGGTTCAGGGAGCGGAGGATGATGGATGTGGTGTCGCGGTTGGTGACTTGAATGACTGGTCGAAGCTTTGAAGGACAAGGCGGGTCATCGAGAGTGAGAGCGTTCGTTCGCGCAATTAGGATGTCGGGCGTGGATTCTGGTGCGGGTTCCTGTTGAGGCTGTAGTTCGGAACGATCGTCCTAGAGACTCAAACGTCAGGTAATGTGGAGATCAAGGATACATTGCGTCTTACCTCGTGAACAGTGTTTTGCATCAGAAAATGACTTATAGTCGTTGCCAGCTTCCGAGGCATCGTCCTGAGAAGATGTTGGTACAAGAGTGGTGCTAAAATCGATAGACAGGTCCAGGGAAGTGAGAGTGATTCAAAACGTACGAGTATTAGAACACTCGAGTCTTGATTGGGGCGGACGTTGTTTCGGTCGATTTGATTCAAGACTCACCACTGCCGCACTCCCCAGGGCCGGGGAATAGGTGACTGTCACGTCGACGGTGATCGATCAGACGGCTCGTGGGCCTTGTGCATGAGCCATCCTAGCAACGTGAAATCTGTTTGCCGATAAGGAGTACTACAAGCAACGCTGCTAGGTAAAAGGGCCTAGCTAGTCTCGACTCTCGACACCAATTTAGCGTTCTAGGAGGGGGGGGGAGAGAATTTCTGTATATACCGCAACAAAAAAACTAAAACTGATAAAACACGGTGCTCCACGGGCAGCTGTGCTGGGGTTATTGTACCGAGTATAGATTATAGGAATAATACGGATAACTGGGGAGGTCCGCGTTTGTGGTGATGTCGTTGGTTTGCATACAGTGAGTTCGCTTGATGTCCGGGTAACCGGGTTGGGTACTTGATGAGAACACCGGAAACATCCGGATGAGCGGGCTGAAGTGCCTGTGCCAGCGTTTTCTCTATTTCCTACTAAACACATCTCATTTCGAGACAAGAACCTAGTGCCTTAAGTTACCGATCCTTGAAGGGACAATTAATTGGTGCGAGTGCGGCAGCAAGGCGTCAGTGGTGTGGCAAGTTCAAGATGACTTGCACTTTACAAATTACTTGAGCCCAGCGACCACCCTCGAGAGCTGCAACGTTGAAAAGTCGATGCATGCTCCACCCATAAAGTCTTAGAAGGAACAAGTATGACTATTGCAGACCTTATCCTCTGTTCCATCTTCACTCACCCAGTGCGTCATTGATACTTAATATGTCATTAGGTTTCTGATTCGTCTCGGCCGCAAGTGGCGCTGTTCAGTGGCTAAGGACTTGGTTCGGTATGTCATAGTGTCAACTGACTGCTTGCTGTTACTTGCCGACAACCACATCCTGCATGGCGTGCTAGTCGTGTTCCACATTGTCCTTGTCATCTTTCGTGTCCGTCACTGGGAACACCGCGTGACACTCTCGTTCACAGCAAGAAATGATGGATTTTGGTCTGCGGTGCTGAGTGCCTCACTGCAAGCATTTTATACCGTACGTATTCATCGTCATGTTGTCTTTATGGTACGCCAATGACAGGACTTGATCCAGATATACACGGCTGTTCTACTCTTCCTTACCCAGCGGCTTGCGATTTCGAGAACACTCATACGCCGTGTGAAACTGACTACTATTCACGACATCTCTGGTGCGTGGGCTGGCCTCGGTTCTGCACTCAGTAACGTCTGGCGACAAACTGACGTCCCTGCCTCGTGGTGGACGACTTCCGCTGTGGCAATCTACCTTGCGAGCATAGCCGTGCTACATGTCACCTCTTCCACTCTCCTACAATTTCAAACTTTCAATGCTTCTATGACAACTTCCGTATCAACAACACTAGGGTGGCTAGACGATTCATCATACAGCTCTTTCGCGAACCTAGGACTCATTACCCCATCCCTACCAGTTGTTAATCATTTGACTGGGCTGGCGTCTGCAGGGTTATCCAACACCACACTCTACGACACCGTAAAAACAAGTTCTATAGCAGGAAACGCAATTGTGAACGCAATGACGGTAACCTCTCGTTGCGGGTTGATTCCAAATGTGACATACTCTGCAAATACCAGCACGGCAATTGTTCCATTTGGCCCAGATTCTCCTCGCGTGCTTAATGCGAGCACTCTCTGTCGGCGATCGTTTGCGGTGATGTTTTATCATACTGAACATGCTTACAGGGCCAGACCAGATACATATAGTTCCATGGGTGGAATTTGACGATCCTTCCAGCGAAGTCCCGGAGGTAAGTATTCTCCGAGATAGTTTGCTCGGACTGTAGAAGCCGAATAACAAATTGACTCTAGCTCAATGGTGTCTGTCTTATGGTCTCCACACTATTGGAGATCGAGCCTTCAGTACAGGATGAGGTTGCTGTAAACATGACTTGGCCATATGAGCGTGCGTTTGTTTGTTTGTGTTGCAATAATAATTACAAAACCTTTTGCAGCTGTTGGTAGTGCGACTATCACCGATTATGTCATCTACGTCTATTTTATACAATGCTCACTATCAGCCAACACTACGGATGGGATGGTCGATATGCAAACCAACAATCTACTGAGTCCCATATTCATATCGCAGCCATCTACGCAATGGGAAATGAATCAATTCGAGTGGTCGAATGCTAGTTGGCAAGCGCAAGTGCGTTATACGGTGCTCATTTCGAGGGGTTCGATGACATACTATTGACTTTAGATCGGCAGTGCTTTGGCCACCTCGGACAGCAGTAGTGGGATTATATTTGATGGTATGCCTGCACAAATCGTTGAACCCTCTATTGCGGACGAGTAGGCCTATTTTTTTTCCTTGACTGCAGTGCTGTATGTCTCATGTACGGCTTGACTTCTAGGTATATCATGTCATTGGTAGGTTTGAATCTCACCTATGAATATTTACAATCCCAATACGGCGGTGCACTTCCGATTTCCAATTACTTTGAGACCGGATGAACTAGAACTGGCGGTTGCGAAAGCAGCTGCACAACTTATCTGGTTAGGTAAGGGATACGTCGTGTTTGACGTTTTCTAAGCATCGCCCCGTTTTCTCTCATTCTGTGTCAACATGCTTAGCGGGACAATTGGGCACATCCAATGGTGGAATTCAGCGTGGCGATGGGACGGCCTATGTAAACGAGGAGTTCATTTCCCTACGCCTCAATGTAAGTGGACTGCACAGATGCTGTTTTTAAATGACTAATGGAGCATGTTGTAGATCAACCTTCTTCCTGTGAGTTTGTGGTAGTATATGCAATGATTATTCATTGAAAATGGTTCTAGTTGGCTTTTGCTACATCTGCATCAGTGATCATGCTAGGACTGGCGCTACATATGACAAGAGCATTCGATGCATCACACGACAGTCAGGCTGCTATCCAAAACATAGGTGTACTGCAACTCTTGTGGTTGGGTCATCGTTCAGCCTCTATCAATGAAGTTATGGAAGATGTTCAGCATCCGACAGAGGCCAATCTTCAGCGAGCAGGCATGGTAGATGTTTGTCTTTCAAAGATAATATCCGATGAAGGAGAGTTGGAGAGTTCAACTGCTAGCGGTGGTCTTCCTCGTGGTGTCGACCACCGTCGTGATGATGAGATGTGATTTGGGTTTGAGAATAAAGGGCTGGCAAGCTGCTGCTTATTTATGTTCGTATGCTATATATTTCATCTTTCCATGATTCATACTACTCTGGAGTGGAGGTCCGTATTATGGTCGTTTCCGTTTTTGGTGTCGTTTCTGAATTCAGATGCGGAGTTTTTCTCTTAACATCGACTACTACATGGTGGCGGAAACAGGCGCATCGCAGATTGACAGCCCTAGTAGATGACTTATCATTTCTACTAGTAGAAGTATCTCCTAAAAGACGGACAAATGTTTCTCCCGAGTTTCAAGTTCAAACTATGTCATCCCAGTGAGACCGCTATGGCACCTACTAGTCTCGTCTCGATAGACTAGACGAATCAAGAATCAAGATAGTTCGAGTCGTTCTTTCCATACTCTGGGCTACTGCAGGGTAGACATTGCATTGACAGGTGACGTGACGGTCGAGAATAAGTAAGTAAAGTTCGCGCGCTTGTCGATCCACGCGCGACAACGTGAGCAGGTCTCATGGCCAAACGGGATCCGAAGATCCGTATTGCCCGGGCCGTGATATAAGTACTTTGGTTCAGGGCTGCGAGAGTCCATACCTTGTTGGTTTCTGGGTATGCCTGCCACGAACGAGAAAACAAACGAGTTCCTCCCTGGTGTCTTGCCACCACGTACTGGCAGGACATTGTCGAGCGACAGGATAGTGACACTAAGGACGGGTCTGGTGGTACTAGCTGTATTTGCATCCACTTTTCTATGGATGGCACCATATGGCATTGGGCCGTACCAGTCCCACCAAGAAGTTGATGCAGATATCTGCCCTCAGGTGTCTGAGCTCATCCCAAAGTCCAACGGTGCTTTGTGGAAGACTTTGGGCGACACCTATGAAACTGACGCATTTAAGATGAGAGCGGTGGACTGGCTTGCAGGGGCTGTTAGAATCCCGTAAGCTTATCATTCACGTTGCGGACCCACCAGAGCACTCACTGGCACTAGAACAGAATCCTATGATCAGATGGGTCCTGTCGGGACTGACCCACGCTGGGAGAAATTCGGTGCTTTTCACGACTATTTGTTGAAGGCCTTTCCACTGGTGTGGGTGCACTTCTAGTTCATGGTGTCTAGACTGATTATCTCTGTAATTGCTCAGCCATGCTTCCCTTGAGGTGACAAAAGTCAATACGTATGGCCTGATATACGTGTGGAAAGGAACGAGTAGCTCTCTCAAGCCTCTCTTGCTTGCAGCCCACCAAGGTGAGCCTAGTACTGCCCTTCTTGCATGATGAGTCCTTAGATTCTTTTGTGATACAGACGTTGTTCCCGTGGAGGATACCACAATTGACCAATGGCAGTATCCACCTTTTTCTGGGTACTTTGACGGTCCGTGTGTTCTCTTACGATTTATCCGATAACCTCTGATGAGCATGATAGGTGAGCGAGTATGGGGACGCGGCTCGCAAGACGACAAAAGCGGGCTGATAGGCGAGTTCTTCGCAAGTTATGTGCTTTACATTTGGCTGATCATGGATGCACAGGCATCATGTATAATATATCTCGTAGCCTTTCTCTTACTCTAACTTATGTTTTGCGTTAGGTCCGCTATGGAAAATATGCTGGAGAGCAAGTTTCAGCCAACTCGAACCGTAGTTTTGGCATCCGGGTTCGACGAGGAGACCAGCGGCCTTCACGTAAGGACATCCCACAATTTGACAACTTGGCTGAACCATCGATAGGGCGCTCAAATGTTGGCACCAGTGTTACTGGAGATGTTTGGTGAAAACGGTTATGCTATGCTAGTGGATGAAGGCTGTAAGATAATACTCTCTTTATCACCAGCCAAACACTCTTAACGGGCACTGCTTTGGGTTATAGCTGGATATGGCGAACAGTTTGGCCGAGTCATCGCAACTCCCGGTATTTCTGAGAAAGGGTATTTGGATGTAATGATAAATATTGCATCTCCTGGTGGCCACTCAAGTCTTCCACCGCTTCACACTGTAGGTTTTTGCTCTAGAATTCATGGCTGGGTGCTCATATCAGCATAGAGCATTGGTATACTGGCGGATATGCTTGTCAATATCGAGAGAAATCCATTCGAAGTCCATCTTGTAAGTTCTAGAACACCAATAAGAAAATAGAATAACTCTCGCGCAAATCTTGCAGGAAAGAGGTTCACCGACGTACAAGATTGCACAATGTCTTGTTCGCACACCTGACCTTCCTGCATCGCTGCGAAGAGACATCATTCACGCAGAATACAATGAACTTGCTCTTCGCCGCGCTGAGCAGGAACTCTTCAAGAACCCGATGTTCAAAAATCTTGTCGGAACCACTCAAGCTATTGACCTCATTCATGGAGGGGTAAAAGTCAATGCTCTGCCAGAGCAAGCTTGGGCTGTAGTGAATCATCGCATTTCGACGCAGAGGTTGGTGATTAATCAATATTGCACAATTGCATGCTAACATCGAGCCTAGTTCCGTCACTGCAACGAAAAGGCGTGACACTGAGCTGCTCATGTCGCTAGCAAGCCAATTCAACCTATCATATACCGCCTTCGGTGCTAGGATAACTGATGCCGATGCTCCCGCGTTTGGCGCCTTGACACTATCTGAAGCTTATACGCATGGGCTTGAGCCTGCTCCAGTCTCACCCACTGGACATGACGCCGTTCCTTACCAATTGTTATCTGGCACTATCAGAGCTGCATATAACTCTCACAGAGGTCTTTCAGATGATGATAGCTTGATCATCAGTCCTGGAATTATGTCAGGCAACACAGGTGAGCGATATCGTTTGGCTATCACCATGTGATTCTTACACCCTTGATAGACACGAGGTACTATTGGAAGTTGACCGAGCATATCTTCCGCTATGGCCATACAGACGGTGCTACGGGTGGAAGCATCATTTCTGGGGTACACACCGTCAACGAGGGTGAGACTTGATTGTTTTTCCCTTTCCCGAAATGTATTTAATACATGATCTCATGACAGCCATCAAAATCAGTAACTTCGTTGAAATGATTCGATTCTTCACCACACTTATTCTCAATGTTGATGAATCGGAGTTGCCCTGAGAGCCTATTGTAACAATACGTTTTATGCGGCGGAAGTTTTACAGCATTTGAATTAAATTGGTAGATTCGAGAATTACCCCCTGCGTCGGTAGAGACCCTGCTTGACCTAAATGGTAGGTTGGTGCTCCGATATAAGAGTTTGTCTCGGACTTCACAGAACTCTGAACATTTTATGGATGGATCGATGTGTATTGCAGTCCAAAGATTACCATATGTGAAGAATATGATCACGTGATATGCTTAGCTCAGCTGGAATTTGCCGGTTGGTCGACTAATTATGCTGCCAGTAGATACCACGGTCCGCGGATAAGATATGTACATGTAGCGACGACTCATGACAACTTTTGGGTACCAAACCTTCACATGACACATGACCTTCTGATTTGTGCTGATAATGGATATCCAAAAAGGCCCGTGAAACGGTTCAGTGGGGGTTTTCCTCAGCCTATCAGTCTCCAGCTTGAAACAAGGAAGATCGTTTCCTTAGTTTTCAAGGGTTTTTCAGGCTTCTGTCGCATAACATGTCGCAAGCTAACTTGGTCGAAAAGAAAGCCGACGAGCTTCCAGGTGTCAATGCCCGCAATTCCACTATGAAGCTTTCGAAGGCCAAGGCCATCGCATTCAAGATCACACTTGTTACTGCACTCGCAATCTCTGCTTCAACATACTTTGTCAAAAGACCCTCGAACGGTTTCTCTGTCGGCACCCTCGAGTATGGCGTAGATTTGTGTCCTCAGGCGAATGAACTTGTTCCAGAGAAGAATGGGGTGATCTGGGAAAGTCTTCAACTCGCGTACAGTACTGAGGAGTTCAAAGCGAGAGCCATAGACTGGCTTGGGGGAGCTGTGCGAATTCCGTGCGTTTGTTCCCCTGCGATATGTTGGGTGTCTGCGCTAAATACAGCCCTCATACAGCACGGAAACGTTCGATGACATGGGAGATGTGACAGAACCTGTTTGGGAGAAGTTCCTCCCGTTGCATGATTATCTGAAAGACTCATTCCCTTTACTGTAAGTACTTTTCCGTACTGTGCCATTGTCTAGTTTCCCAGTTCACAACTTCACATTGTGTACCAGTCACTTAAACTTGGAACTTACGAAAGTCAATACATACGGACTGTTATACGTATGGAAAGGCTCAGACAGTGCTTTGAAGCCACTCCTCCTCGCTGCTCACCAGGGTAAGTTTATTTGTGCATCATACATATCTCTATACTGATGACTTATTGGCCGCTAGACGTGGTTCCTGTCTTAGAAACGACAATTAATGAATGGCAGCATCCTCCATTCTCCGGTTACTTTGATGGTCTATACAATAGTTTCGTGGTGTGTAATATGTTTTAACTGATACCTTGGCAGGGGAGAGCCTTTGGGGTCGCGGGTCGTGCGATGATAAGAGCGGTCTAATTGGTAGTGTTCCAACATCTAGTTCTATTCCTGAACTCATTGGTTATGTCTAGGGATCATGTTTGTGTCTTTGAGACGTTCAAGAAAAGCATACTGATTGCCCTAGGTCTGCGATTGAATCTATGCTAGAGAACGGCTTCAAGCCGACTCGCACGGTTGTGATCGCGTCAGGATTTGACGAGGAAGTAAGTGGAATGCGGGTAAGTCGCTAAAACTCTGCGCAGCTACGTTAACACGTTAACATTGAATACCGGTTCAAGGGTGCGTCTTCCCTAGCTACCGAAATGCTAGAGAGATTTGGAGAAAATGGCTTTACCATGCTTCTCGACGAAGGCTGTGAGTCATTATCAGACTAACTAAAACGATGAATAACAGGGTCTTGGTTGACAGCTGGGTATAGTGAGGTATATGGTCGTGTTATTGCAGTACCTGGAATTGCTGAGAAAGGTAACTTGAACGTCCGAATCAAAGTTACATCTCCCGGTGGCCATTCTAGCCTTCCTCCACCTCATACGGTGAGCTTGCTCACTCAATTCTTCACCAATCATTTCTGATTTTCTAAGAGCATTGGTATGCTTGCAGAGCTCCTTGTACAGTATGAAAAAAATCCCTTTGAGGTCCACCTGGTGAGCTTTAAGAGACTAACTGTGATGAATGTGCTAATACTTTTCTGCAGACAAGAGGATCACCGACTTACAAGAGCGCGCAATGCATGGCTCAACACGCACCAGGAATCAGCTCTTCGTTAAAGGAACATATGCTACGTGCAGAGCACTGTGATGGAGCACTTCGTGCCGCTGAGCAGGAACTCTTTAAGGACCATGCTTTTATGAGTCTTGTCGGTACAACTCAAGCTATCGATCTCGTGGACGGTGGAGTGAAGGTAAATGCTCTCCCAGAACAGGCGTGGGCCATTGTGAATCACCGGATTTCTACAGAAAGGTAGGACTTTTGATACAAACGAATTTCGTCGTTAACACGTCCAATCTTATTCGTAGTTCCACTGCCGCCACAAAAGTGCGCGACATCGAATTGTTGGAATCTCTCGCAAACGACTTCAATCTGTCTTACACGGCCTTTGGTAGCCATATTTCCAATGAGGATGCGCCTTCATATGGCACCTTGATTCTCTCCACTGCGTTTGGTGATGGCTTAGAGCCAGCACCAGTCACACCATCTGGCGAAGACGCTGCGCCGTTTCAGCTTTTATCTGGGACTATCAAGGCAGCCTACAACTCCCATAGAAATATTTCTGGTTCAGACGCAATCATCGTGAGCCCTGGCATCATGTCCGGTAACACAGGTGGGGTTTTGAGCATGCATCACCCTAGCTTTGGTAACGATTGGGATACAGATACACGGTTCTATTGGAAGTTAACTGACCACATTTTCCGATATGGTCACCTTGGGGTAGCCGACGGAGGGTCTCTTCCTTCTGGTGTGCACACAGTCAACGAGGGTACACATTTTAGACTGGTTCCTCAGAAATTGAAAGGCTAACTGTTCTCCAGCAATCTCTATCAATAACTTCGTTGAGGTGATCCGATTCTACACCGCTTTGGTTCTCAACGTAGACGAATCATCCCTTCCTTAAGGTAGCCTCGAGTTTGGTATCAAAATATCATTGGAGGTTTGCCTTGTGATTTCTACACGTCACTGTGATTGCACAAGCTCAGCAATGAGCAATTCTCTCGCTTACAGACTTCTGATATATCTGAGGTCTGAGCTGGCGGTTAAGAGCGATGTGATACTCGGGCTCACGAGTCGAGAGTGTCTAGACTCGAACACATAAATAATATTCAAGATCTTCATGTGTCCTTCTTGCTAATGTTGCACCGAACTGTCCCAATGAGTCGCTCTTGTTATGGATTCCAGTCTCTCCTGGGTGTCTGCTCTCGAATTGGGTTGTCCCTGACTATCAAACGTGGATTGAACGGTGTATTTACAACACTTGTATCCACGGTACGTGGCATCTAGTGATGGAACAAACAGAACCACCTGACTAGTCGCTTGAGAAGGTAGTATTCTAAAAGAACTTGAAGCCCACGGTTTCATTCACATGACTATTTGTCTGGAGCCTGCACTGGTGAAGTCCCAAAGATAAACAAATGTGGTCTATGCTCCGTGCGTTGTAGCAGCCACATCGTCAGTGCTCATTGTTATAGTGCAAATTACTTAGCAAGTCGACACTCAAGTAAGTTGACACCTTTGCTCCGAAGGACGCCACTGATACGCGTGCTGGCGCAAGATGCCGTATAAATGTATAATGGTTTCTAAAATTCTCGTCACGATTGTTGGATAGGATTTCGCGTATTCGTCAAGAGCAAGGCCATTCCACGAGACTTTGAGAACATTGAGGTTCTATACCTATCTCATCTATGCTATCGGTGGAGACTTCGTCCTTTTGATCGGCGGCTAGTCGAGACAGTCAACAAAGCGACCCAACACCACTCAGCGTTTGTTGTTTCCGAAAATATCGTGTGGGGCCCCAGCTTATCTCCTGTGAATGTCCGGCTATTGTTTTCAAAATCGCATTGGCCACGATGGGGGCAGTTCATATCCTCCATTAAGCTCGCTACGCCTGCTATCGGCTAAAAGAATAGCTTTGAGTGGCTATATGACTGCCATTTTTGTTTTGCGTGTGTTCAGATGGGACTCCTTCTCAGGGACTTTGCGGTATTTGACGTATAAAAGATGTGATACCAGGTAGAACCATCATCATTTTCTTACCTCTCCACTTGAAACTAACATGGGTCACCCGGAAGAAGTCGATGTCATCATTGCTGGGTAAGTGCATGCTCAACCAGTGCTCTGGAATTATACTGAAAAGTTATCATAGTGGAGGTCCCGCAGGTGCAGTAGACATGTAGGACATGTGCCATCTTGCAACTAACTTGGGCACTTTCTACAAAGGATGTGTCGTCGCCGGACGGCTTGCGTATGCGGACCCTACCCTTAGGGTTATGCTCATCGAAGGTATGTCTACTGGAAGCATTTCTTTACTGACGGCTCAACATGAGCTACAGGCGGTGCCAACAACCGTGATGATCCCTGGGTTTATAGGTAGGCTCTTCGCCAAATAATCAAAATTGCCCTGACTTTTAATAGACCTGGCATATACGTGAAGAACATGCAACGTGACGGAATGTTGGTCTTTACTATATGCTAGTGTTTTGTCCTGCTGACTTCCCGTCAGCAACGACAAGGCCACATTTTACACTGATACTCAACCTTCCCCATACCTGAGAGGGAGGCAGAGCATTGTACCGTACGTTGGTTACCATCATCATCTGAATGATCGCTAACCATTATTTCCAGATGCGCTAACATCCTTGGTACCCATTTTCCACCCCTGTATGCCTATATGTCTCACGAAGCTTCTTGGACTTGAACAGGGGGTGGTAGTAGGTAAGCTACGCGATCCGCTGACCTATCACTGGAACTAATTATATCTCCGACAGCATCAACTTCCAAATGTACACAAGAGTGAGGACGAAAATTAACCAAAAGTTCATGCGCTAAAATTAGTTTGACAGGCATCTGCATCTGACTGGGGTTTGTCGAAATGGTCTTGCCAAGATGAAATCACGAACAACTAAATAAACTCAATAGATGACTTCAAGGCCGAAGGTTGGACAGCCAAGGGTTTGTGTGATCACACCAATCGTTATCATCCATGCATTGATGGTTTTTGTAGACCTTCTTCCTCTCATGAAACGGGTTCGTGTCCTGCACCAGAGAAGAGCAAGCAGTACCAATAACAGCTCTTATGTAGCTCGAAAATTACCAGAAACCGGTTAACAACGATACTCACGGATATGATGGTCCAATCGCCATCAGCAACGGTGGGCAGGTCACTCCCCTTGCTCAGGACTTTTTGAGAGCTGCACATACTATCGATGTTCCCTTTAGCGGTAAGACCTGAGGCTCTAGCATGAGGAAACAGACTGATTGGTAATTTATACAGACGACATCCAGGGTATGGATGACTGGCTTGCATCTCTACCTGCTGATCATTAAATACAGATCTTACCACTGCTCACGGTTCTGAGATCTGGGCCAAATACATTAATCGTCACACTGGTCGCCGCAGTGATGCTGCCACTGGTGAGTATACTTCTGGCCATTTGGTTTTTTTAGCTAACGCAATCCAGCATACGTCCACGGCGTCATGGACACTCAGAGTAACCTATACTTGCGCACGAATGCCCGTGTATCTCGCGTAATATTTGAGGGTACCAAGGCTGTTGGTGTCGCATACGTCCCATCCAGAAATCGTGCGAATAACGCTACGGTTCAGGAGACCATTGTAAGCTTCACTCTCATCCATGCTGATGTATGTCTAACAAGAACCACAGGTCCGGGCTCGTAAGATGGTTGTCTTGAGCAGTGGAACCTTGGGCACTCCGCAGGTAGGATGTTATGTACAAGTGTTTTTCATTTGGTAACCTAATATCTTTGTGTAGATTTTGGAGCGATCTGGCGTCGGGTCAGCAAGTCTGCTCAAACAACTCGATGTCAAGGTTATCAGCGACCTTCCGGGCGTGGGGTGCGTGCACAACGAACCCCTCGTGAAGATAGTGCTAACATTGACACAGCGAGGAATACCAAGATCACTACACAACTCTGTCTAGTAAGTCTACAAAGCACTCGATCTAGGTGCACTGCTGAAGTTGTGGTCTTAGTTTACCGTGTCTCTAACGAGTCGACAACCTTGGACGATTTCCTGCGTGGTGATGAACAGGCTCAGAAGGAGGTAAGCCTGATGATAATGTAGACGCTTGTGCAGGCACTCAAGGAATTAGATGTTCGCCGAGTGGGAGGTGAGCCCAGAGAAGGCACGCCTGTCGTCGAATGCCATCGATGCCGGCTTCAAGGTCAGCTTTCAAAGTGATTGTTAGACTTAAGTTGTCTGGGTTCAAACACATCAGCAGATTCGTCCTACTCAAGAGGAGCTGAAAGAAATGGGTCCAGAGTTCAACGCTTTTTGGGACAAATACTTCAAAGACAAGCCTGACAAGCCGGTCATGTAGGTATTTAAAGCTTGTCCCAATTTTTGGCTCAACTGTTCTCGTAGGTTTGGATCCATCGTCTCAGCAGGTAAGATTAGTGAGATGACATTCACAACGATCTAACAACTAACACGCATGTTAGCTTATGCGGATCATTCCCTCCTTCCTCCTGGCAAGTACATGACGATGTTCCAGTACCTCGAATACCCTGCTAGCCGTGGAAAGGTTAGCCGACGTCGGTCTCCAATCTAGTGTTGAACTCATGTTGCGCGGCCAGATTCATGTTACTTCTCCCAGTCCTTACGTCGAGCCCTTCTTTGACAGTGGTTTCATGAACAACAGAGCTGACTTTGCCCCAATCCGCTGGAGCTACAAGAAGACTCGCGAGGTTGCGAGACGCATGGATGGTCGGCGAAGCCCACTTTCGAACATTTTCATCTCGTGAACTCATCTCGCCTTTCTTTTAGCCTTCCGTGGCGAGCTTACTTCTCACCACCCACACTTCCACCCTGCTTCGCCAGCTGCTGCTCGTGACATCGACATCAAGACAGCTAAGCAAATGATGCCAAACGGCTTCACTGTTGGAATCCACATGGGTTCGTGACTGACCTTCTCCTTGCACTGGAGCTTTGTTGAATGACTCGCCATACTTAGGTACCTGGCACAAGCCTGGCGAACCATACGACGCAAGTAAGGTGCATGATGAGATCAAGTACACCAAGGAGGACGACGAGGCCATCGACAATTGGATCGCAGGTAAGAAACTCCGAGAGACTCTGTGTGATATCGTCTCTGAGCTCCAAAAACTGTGCAGATCACGTTGAGACTACCTGGCACAGTTTAGGTGAGTACCACCGAGAATGACTTGTGACGAAATGATACTAAACTCTCAAATAGGAACCTGCGGTACGGTAGTCTCTCAATAAATAATTGAAAAAGACCACTCAATCGGCTCTTAGCTATGAAGCCTCGTTCAGAGGGAGGTGTTGTTGATCATCGCCTCAATGTCTATGGTACCCAGAACTTGAAGTGTGTCGACTTGAGTATCTGTCCTGTAAGCGACCATGAAATATCCAAGTGGCTCTTTCTTACCCTATCATGTAGGACAATTTGGGCACGAACACCTACTCGTCTGCGCTCCTGGTTGGCGAGAAGGGAGCAGATCTTATTTGTGAGGACCTCGGTTAGTGAATCGCTATCTTTTTAAGGATTGTCATCGCTGAAAGAATTGTGCATTAGGCATCAAGGTCAGGACGCCTCACGCTCCTGTTCCCCATGCGCCTATCCCACTAGGTCGCCCTGCAACTCAGCTTGTCCGTTGAAGTAGTCGGGTTGTCTTAATTGAGAAATTGCCAGGTCTCGACACCCCGAAATTTGTGTACATTATACATGGTATATTGATATATGACCATGATACCAATGCAAGTTATTCAGTTGTTTCTTGAAAGGAAAACATTCACTCGATCGAGGCTTGTACTGGTTAGTGCTCAATGATCGGCTAGTTGTGACTGGGGCGCAATAGCAGAGTAAGGTTTACAATTGGTGGGATAATTCATTTCCGTCCTCGAGATCTGGGATATGTTGGTCAACTATATGCGGGAACCATAGACATCTTGTGGCTCAACGCCAGCTTGGCCCTTGCGAGCATTGGCCTGACCCCACCTTGAAAAGATAAGTGAGTAGGTTGTAATGAGATCAGCTGAAAATATACTTTTTGATGCGGATGCTTTCAATCTGGATGAAACCTGTGGTGTCTGTTGGCTCAAACCCACCGAGTTCGTCCATGGAAGATTGGTGTTCATCATAAAGACCCTGAAAGGTAGGTAAGAAAGGGTGAGAGTCATGAATCAAATTCGTTACCTCATCGGAGTAGCGGCCGATAACAACGACGTTACCCTTGTAGAGCTTCAAGCGTACTGTTCCATTGACGGTGCGCTGGCTCGCGGGGATGGCGCTGGTTACGAACTCGCGCTCAGGGGTGAAGAAATGGCCATTGTAAAGAATACGGGCCAGTTCGATGGTAACGAACTGATCACGAAGAGCACGAACATTGCGGTCAAGCGTGAGACCTTCAATGTCCATATGCGCGACACGTAAAATAGTCGCTGCGGGCGACTCATAACAACCACGAGACTTGACGCCGATAAATCGGTTTTCGACGATATCGATACGGCCTACACCATGCTTCCTCGCGACAGCATTAAGGGCGAGGAAGATGTCGACGGGATCAGTGAGAGGGGTCTGGTTAGCAACTACAACCTTCACGGGAAGACCAGCCTTGAACTCGATCGACAACTGTTCAGGTTCCGCTGGTGCATCTTGCAGGGACGTGGTGAGTTTCCACATGTCGTCGGGAGGTGTAGTGTTCGGATCCTCGAGGATTCCTGCCTCATAGGAGATATGGAAGAGGTTTCTCATCGGTTGACCATGGTTTTGCAGCAGTCTGTTGCACCGGAATTCCCTTCTCCGCCGCGTATGCAAGTAGTGCTTGTCGACCAGGGAAACGGTTATAAAACTCTGGATGTTATGGATTAACAAAAAGGCTTTGTAAGTCCGGGAAATTGGATCACCAGGAAGCCTCCAAGGAGCGATGACCTTGATGTCGGGCTTAAGACCATAGAAGGCAAGTTCAAAGCGAACCTGATCATTCCCTTTACCTGTGCAGCCGTGCGATACATAGCTGTCAGAAGATCGCTGAGCTCAGGTGAGCGGAAGATGAAGGCGAGGCTCACTCGCAACCCTCTTTGTCTGCAACGGATATCATCCCGCGAGCAATAACGGGACGGGCGAGAGAAGTTCCAAGTAGATATACATTCTGCGGTGCCGATCAGCTCGTAATAACTGTCAGAGGACGGCACTTACTTCGTAGATGCAGTTTGCTTGTACAGCAGGGTAGATTAACTGCGTCACAAATTCACGCTTCAGGTCCTGCGAGTTTGTGAGCGATAAACACGGCAAGGTCAACGCTAGAGAATTTCAAACCTCCACGAAGAATTTCTTTGCACCAACACTGAGTGCCTTCTTTCTAGCTGCTTCGAAATCCTGTACAAAAAATCAGTTAGTACCAAAAGCGTATAACAGAAGATATCGGTACCTCCTCCTGACCGACATCAGCCATGAAGGCATAAACCTCATAGCCCTCCTCGATCAGCCATGCCAAGATGCATGAAGTGTCTGCAGATCTTGATATTTAACGATAATCTCCCCCACGCAGATCAACTTACCAAGACCGCCAGAGTATGCTAGCAAAACACGGCCTTGTGCAGGGGGTGACATTATTGTTGCAAATAGAGGGCACACGGGGGAGTCAAAGGTCAATCTGTCTAATTTAAAAAGTAGGCCGAGCAGGATTCTGGAAGCCGAACACGGTGACCAGTTAAGTAACTGCGAAAGTTACCAAATTTAGACAAGTACATTCCCGAACTTTGTTGGTCATGACTCATGAGTCATGATGGCGTCGAACATCAAACGATCAGGGGTTTGCCTTAAGTGCGCATTGTGTTGGTGCATTGGTGCACGTGTTTCTGCGACGCATGTGTCAGAGTTATGATATTTGGCGTACAAGCAACCATATATATGTTCTATTTCCCGCCGTACTTAGGATACTGATACCAGTGTCTAGGTTATAAAACATTGCAACAAATGTTAGCAGGGTGGGCTAGTGCCGCGGGTGAGTTCTGCGAATGGATACGCTATATAGCGATCAAGACAAACACCGTTCCAACGATGCAACCATTCATCATTCCCAAGCCAAGAAGCGCAGCTTAAATGATGACCACCTAGCAAGCATGTATGCCCTGGGCCAAGGGATATTTGATTCTATCTCGACAATGCAGAAGGTGCAGGTGTCGGGGATTGTACCATGGATACTCGTGGATCAGGACGTAGCTCTCCTCTACACCGACATCCACAACCAGAGCCGCACACATTTGACATAGCATCTCGCCAGCATCCCAAGTGAGTGACTGTGGAGGCAGTTTCCACAGCTGCGTGAGAGGCCTGAACGCCTAGCGTGAGTCAACATCATCAGCGAGTGTCACGTTGCCATACCTTTCACAGGTAAACGACAGAAAGAGCACCGCGGTTTAAGAGTCCTTAGTACACAACATGAACATGTTTCTATGTGGGGGTCAAGAGTGCGATTGCATTTCCCACAGGCATGTTGCACATCTACTGAAAGTTGTCAGGTGGCAAACGAATTTTCCATTTTGCTACGTACCGAAGATAGCCTCTCGATTATTGGCATGAAATGTGGTTATTTTGGCACTCTTCAGTAGTTCAAGTCGCTTGTTCAGGAGCTGCCATCTAAAAAGCATCTCCGCATATGCAAGAACATGGCACTTGTACTGGGCAAGGATCTGTTGATCATATGCGGCTGGCCTAAATGATCATGATAAGTGAAGATCCACTCATTACGCAAAAACAAATACCATACTTTTCTTCAATAGGTTCTTCTTTTATGACCAACCTCTTTTCATGGATTACTTCCTTTGGGCTGATAACCTGCGAAAAAGTGGGTCGACGCCTATGTATCGCCGGTGAAAGGGGTACAACAGGCGCAAGGGTTGACAAGACAGGTGTATCTGACCACGATTTTGAAACTGGTGACATCAACGTCGATACTTTGCCTCGTCTTGGTGTGTCCAGATTTGGTAGCCTCAGTACCACAGAACCTGCACTTTCGCTCCCAGGCAACGGTAAAGGCGTAGGCATTGGGGTCCTCGTCGGGAGTTGAAGGGTATCAATCGATAGAGGCGTCGAGATACTTTCCTGCACGCCGGACATAAACTGTCGCATGCTGCCAGTATTAAACAGGCTTGACCACGACCCGCGGGAGGAGCTAGATAACGAGAGTGACGAAGCCATAAGGGGCGGAGCTGTTGGAGATGTCGATGAGAACCGCGGCCAACCGGGAGAGAGAGCTGCCGCACGCGGGCCTTTCCTCCGCACAAACGAGAAGTAATCTTCTTCAGGGGTTGGTGAAATTGATGACGGGTCACTTGCAGATGGTGTATTTGGCACTGTGATATTATCAGAGAATGCTTCGATGAACGAATAAAAAAAACTTGCCAGTATCAGGAAGCGAGGCGAAGGCTCTGAGTAGAATTATACCAAGCATTGCAAGCATCTGCACGTCATGGCTTGCACAGTACTCCTTATACCTGTGGGAACCCAAGTTAACGCTTGAAATACTGCGTAGGACAAGAACATACAACGAATCAACAACTTTCCGCGCAATTTTGCTTGGACCTGCACCCTTGGTCACTGATGCGGGGAATAAGCCTCTTAGTGTCCTCCATACTCGTTCATGATTCCATTGCCCATGTTCATGCGCAATTTTTGCGTTTGCTTCGCATATAGCACTTACACTCTCGCCGTCGTGCCCAAACACATATGCCTCTGCGACTTTCCGTTGAGCAAATGTGGTATCCGTTGGACCTTCGATGAACACCGTGCTTCTTCGTGTGAGGACCGGCACCTTGGCATAATTCGGGTTAGCTGTTGGAAGGGAACTGGCTGAAGTGGCCATCGATTCGCGTCGCTTGTGGTGGTGATGGTGTGAAAAGGTAAGGAGGTTAGTCATCATGCGCATGGTCGTGTCGTTATCGCCAGACGACTGTGGAAGGGAGTCCAGCAACCTGTCACGATCAATCGCAGCCATATCAAGCCGTCGGACTGCATCAGAGAGCAATGCGGGAGATTGGAACAACCTCTGAGCAGAAGGAGACGAGCGTGATGCTGGAGTCGTGGCTGGAGAAGCCGACATCTCGTTCATGGGATTGCGCACTATCCGGGGTGGTGCACGGAAGAAACACACCAATTCTCCTGATCTGATCTTTAACGTACGCTGAAGATGACCTAGCAAAGTACCAACCGTTCGGCCCAAAGACACCTTGTGAGGTCCTCGGTTCTGCGAGATTCTTGTTGTTCCTCAACAACGAAACCGTAAAATCCCTTGACTTTCTTCCTCCTTCTCCTTTCCGTGCATTATCCTCCTCGTCCTCCTCGTTGGATGACTCCGAGTCAATTCCTCTCGGGATGCCAACTCTCTCGTCTTCATCCCCGAAAAGTAAGAATCTCAGACAGGCTTCAAGACATGGTCTTCTTCTGTCTCGAATACCTCTCAACCGTCTCAACATAAATGCGCGACTTTGCATCGAAACTAAGGGGTTTCGCTCAAGATCAATATCAGGTACGCCAGATTGAGGATATGTCTTAGGAAATCGGAAGGAAATGCGTATGAACACGCTGACAGAAGATGACTCGCCCCAGGGCCCATGTAGTCCAAGGGTACATGTACGTCGCTTGGTAAGGTCATGCTACGAATATTGAGTGGGTCAACGTATGCGCTCAGAGAGATGAAAGAGACCTTTTCAAGTTTTATTTTGGACGTCTGCAGCTTCGTCAAAGCAGAAGTAATTCTACGCACCGAGATCAGTAACAGCAAGGAGAGTCCATAGGTTTACTTACTCATCTTGCAAGCTCTGCGTTCCATCTCCATCCATGATACGACTGCCACTCCGTTTCCTCTTCTGACCCGGTGTAACACTCTCGTCGCGCTTCACTCTTCGCTCTCCTGAACCTACTCTACTTTCTGGTCTGGAAGCGCTGTCCTCGCGCCGTTCGCCGACCTTGATACTCGCAAGCCACTGTAACGCATCCATTCTCGCAGATCTGCCACCAAGCGCATGACCACGCGTCATTGTCATCGTTGCGGGTGTCCCAGGAATATGTTGAATGTGCGGCCTTAGTGTAGTGCCGGGAATACTGAGCGACGCTGATCCAGGAGCGTCCAGAAGCAGTGCACCGCGGCCCCGTGCTGCAGATCCATGGTGTGGTTGGAGGACGGGATTATGATCTTTGGCTCTGCTCGCCAGAACACTGGCGCTAGTAACTGTGGTCGTTGGTACTCGAGAAGGAAGCGTACTCGCTCTCACTTCAGCCAGGAATCCACGATGCCCGACGGGTGCTATTAGAAGTGACGGGTGCGCATCAATTGCTGTTGGCGGGTGACGGAAAGACTTGTCCGTGATGAAATGTGAACGTTGCAAATGAGGCTGCGAAGGCGCTTGAGTAGTAGCCGTATGGCCGACTTTCTGTGAAATAGAAAATGTTATGCACCGAACACACTGGCACATGGCAGATAATTGGGCACCTCCATAATTTCGGCATCAACTGGCCAAAATCTGAGAGTTCTGTCCTTGGACCATGTAATAAGGTGGTAATCTTCTCCCTCTGTTGACACCGAATTACACGATGATTGACATCTGAAGTGTGCGCGCTCACCTAGTCCTCCCTTCCTCCACACAAATTCTTTCACTACATCTGCATGTCCCTCGAACACCTCTACTGGTGTTCCAATCTCACTCCCCTCTAGTGTGTACATTTCAAGGGTCGTATCCCCGCGTTGTGGCAAGCTCAACACGCCGTGTCCGAAAGGAAGGTTTCGTGCGCGCCAGACGGGATACCGCGTTGAAATTTTTGAGCGTGGTTCAATTTCGGCTTGCGAGGACTGATTGAAGGAGAAGAAGGAGCATCATACGCGTCCCACACTTTGATCGTTTTGTCAAGAGAGCAAGTTACGAGGTCGTGCATCCGCTCATGCGCCCAGTCTATACCATAAATCTTCGCAGTATGCGCCTTTATTCGTGCAGTAGGAAGTGAACCTTTCTATCAAATTGATTAGTAAATGACTCCAGGGGCGATAGACCCCAGAAGACAGTATAGCGAAGGCGACATACCCGGCGATCCCATATTAGAACTTCATTCATATGTGAGGAGGCCAAAACATTGGGATCCTGTCGGTTCCATTTCACCTGCGTACCTCCCGCTGCGCAAAACATCACATTTCAACACGCGAGTACAGTCTCGACAACACTTACCATTGAACGCGCAGAGTCCTATAATAATTCAGACTACATTTGATGAGGATATTCAAAAAATGCACCTAGCACAGGTTTCCTCGGCTCCCTTAGATCCCAAGACCACACCCAAGCATCAATGCCGACACTAGCTACGATGTCAGGCTCCTTGGTATGCCAGTTGATGTCGGTGATGGCACGATAATGAGAGTGAAGTATATGTTCGATGGACGTCTTTCCGACCATCATAAGGTTCCATATAAGGCTTCAAGTTTTCTGCCAGTCAGAGGCTCCAGTCAAACAATATATAGAGCTCACAGTTTCTCGGATGAGGTAGATACAATGTACTCTGCGCGAGCACGGTGCGGGTTCCATTGCACGTCCGCGACATCCCACGTCCCGCCTTGAGGAAGGAAACGTGGCACCTCGAGGGGTGCCTCGAGGTCAATGATAAACAAACCCCGGCGACTTCGCACTATTGAGAATCATTCGGCACAACATATGCTGACTCACGCTGCAAGGACGATGTCTCTACTCGCAGGACTGATACTCATCTGTATACTTTGGTCAAGAGACTGCCTTTTTGATGACACGAAGGATACGCACATTTCCGACTGCATCCCCGACAAGCTCCTTCATGTCTATCTGAAGATTTCTCCGAAAGTTGCCACCATCTTCAGGCGAAGAAGATGGATGCGCTGTCTGTGTTGTGCCAAATGATGGTACATCGCGATAGGAACCAAGCCCAGAGGACATTTCTTGAGTATGATCATAAAGTGGAGGAGCCCATGACGGGCGGCGTGCTGTTAGTAAAGATAAGGAAGAGGGAACGGGTCCGGCGTCTCTGTCCGGTGTAGCACTTTCGTTTGCAATACGAATCCGTGTTGACTGCGAAGGTCCTGTATGTGCAGGTTGTGACTTGGACGATGAGCGCGACATCGATCGCGGAGCAATTGCAGTAAGTGCCTCCAATATAACGCCATGTCACGTGGATCACTCAAAAATGCAGACCAAGTTCAGACAAAACAGTTTATAGTCAATGTAATAAGATACTGCTATGACGAGATGAGTGGTGGTTAATAATTATGCAAAGCAGTGATAAATGTGTAGTGTGTTAGTGCACGGTATCCAATCAACATGACTATAAATACGCCCTGGAGGACCTGCGTGCCATCTGCATAGAAGAATATCAATACGAGTAGCACGTGAAGGAGACAAGACCCACTCGACGACCTTCCACCCTCCTGTAACCTCGTCCGATAGCTCCTCGCGAACGCGCGTTATCACTGCGGCATATACGCACTGTTCCACTCGATTTTCAGCGCCGACGACGATTTCACGCGTGGCAGCATTGCGGAAGAGGAGAACCTCTTGTGTCGAGAATGTCACAACAAAGACAGGGATAGAGGAGTCGAGAATCTTTCCATCAGAGACCTGGAAATATTCAGCATGTCATGTCTGCATGATATAGATGGACAGGAAATAATCTAAATGAAATACTTACATCTACCGATCGGATATCAAGCACTTTGCTATCACTCACGAGGCCCTGTCGGAGATATTGTTCCATGGTTGCCCAAAGAACATTGTAGGTCTAAAAAGAGGTTGTTTAACCTTCGAAATACGATTCTAATCGCATACACTCACCGCCTCACTGCACCACCTAACAAGCGACTCCCTATCTGCACTCAAGTACGCATCTACGACTTCAGGAATAATGTATTCTCTCAGCTCCTTTTCGAACGCCTCCCTCGAAAAGTTCGGATCCAATGCGCGGATCATCCGTGTCACTTGTGCAGTTTCGTTCTCCTCGAACCAGGACCCAATCGTACTAGTCACAGCACGAAGTGGTGTAACGAGGGGAGACTCCGACTCTTCATACGCAGCATGTAGCGAAGATAAACGTTGCATCATAGGATTCGTGGATTTGAAGTTCTCCCAGGCTTCAGCACGAGGTGAGGTTTTAACAGAAACCAGTGCTTGGCCTGCTCTGTAGACGTTATGCTTGTTATTAACAGCACACATATTTCACTTCCAAACAACGCACTCCAGGTTCTCCTCCATTATTCGACGTCCACTTAGGCCCGCCTTTTCAAGACGTTTTTGCCTGCGTCGTCTCCGAGCTTCCTTGTCTTCGAACCCAGCGTGCTTTGCAGACCCAGAGTCATCCAGGGCATCGACGAGAGTCTCTGCAAGAGTTTTGTAAGCAGCCGTCTGACGGATGGGCTCGGTTGTAGTGGCAATGGTACTAGAGAGGGACGTTGTTGCTCGCGAAATCTGCCGAAATTTAGTTCGTGACATCAAATAGTTAGAAGTAAACCACACGCACTGCGCGCATAATTTCGCTCTCTTCCATCGTCTTCAAAGCCTCTGATACCGCATCTCCGACCTTGACACCCGTCTTCTTCAACTCCTCTGCTGCTGCCCTCAAACGAGGGTTCTCTTTTATGCTGGATGTCAACTATATGCGGAATCGGATGTGAGATTTGACCCGGATATGAGAGGAATTAAAAGTACAGACTCTTGCACGCTCATACACTTCCCTCGCCCGTTTCATGGCCTCCGAATCCTGAAGCTTGTCAACGTCACCCTGAAGCTGTTTGACGTTTTCTTGGAGCTCCCTGTTCTTCCGGAGTTCATCACGAAGGACATCGACAAATGTTTGAAAGGGTGATTTCGGGAGCTCATCATGTCTTCGTGATGAGGAATGAAAGGAACGAGATGTGGAAATGCTTGCGGGTCGCGACAGAGGATGACTGACTGCAGCATAACGAGGCGGCGAGGAGGACGCTACAGCTAATCTATGCGCAAGCAACGAGCGCGCACGCTGACCTGCAACGAAGCTACGGAGATGACGGGGGAGCATCACTTTCAGCGACTAAAGAACTCTCAGGACAGTCTCAAAGAAATTGTTAAAAATCACGTGGTCACGTGATGACATATTCACTACAGCCAACTTTAATTTCAAATTTAGCGGCATGGACGGCCGACCGCAACGACTACTTACAACCGCGGGGCGATTAATCATTACAGGGATTTCTTCCAGGCATTTAGGGATCATGGGTGAGAGATTAGCATCATATTTTATCTACGAGGCTTTCATGCTGAATACTTCCAGCTGGAGCAGACGCGAGCCTCGATTGCAACTTGAAAGTTGACCGACCTACACCTATACGAGCCTCACCGAAGGGACTGATGCATTGGCTGATATGTCACAACTCCGTAACTACTAGTAGAACCGTCCCTTAACAGTTACGCCAAAAGGCAGTGATAATCAAAGCTCACGCTTGATTATCGCGGACAGTATTTATGCTGATTATGAGAACAGCCAACAGGCTTACAAAATTCTCCAGTACGCTCGACAGCTATATGTCAATTGGGAACATGTGTAAAGATGCCATACCAGCGTCTGGTAACCTGTTATCACTCAGACCTTTCTAGGTTCCTTCGAACGATTTCGAGCCCTGAACGAAAAAAGGCCGGACACCCTCATGTCATTCATAATGAAAAGACCCCAGACTCTGCGCAACATCTTCGCTTCAAGTTGATGTTGCAGCCATCACCGAGCAGTATACAATCCTCAACCGTATATCCCCACTGCCCGCATGCCGGCTCCCTCCTCCGTTGAATCGCTGTCTTTTCTTCGTGAATGTCTCTCCTTCGTTACTTGACATGGCGCCTTCCGTTGCTGACGTGGCAGATAAACTTCGTTAGGATATTGTATTATTTGTATCCTAGCATGTAGCATATCAATGAATACCCATATGATGGATGGTCTTATACAAGTGCGCGCGTCCGACCTTGAGTTCTGGAGCGGGACACGAGAGCGGCGAAAGTTACGGAAAAATGAGGTCTCGTGCGATGAAGTAATATTCGATAAAGTGGGAGCTTTACTTGTGAGTTAGAAGAAGGGGGGTCCTCTGGACAAGTAAAAAGACGAGTAATGAAGAGCACACAGCCGCGAAGCCTGCTCATGACCGTAGAATGGGTCAGAGTGCCTTGTTGTAGGTTGAGTAGACTGAGGTTTGGTGACACCTAGGCTACCACCATTCACGCAGTGCACCACCGAGAGTACTGAACTATGAGACGGGAATATCGGTGGGGTGGAGTAGAGCGAGTGAGTCGTCAAACTTGCTAGTCATGAGGGCAGTGATATGATTGTGTATAGTATACCGCAGCCACAGACACGGCTCCGGTACTCCTCTAATAGGTCAAGGGGCATTAACAAGCGTCCAAGATGGCACTGGCCCGGGCGTGGCCGCGTGAATGGTATGTTTATCCGGGGCGATGTTGAACAGAGTCTGGGGTCTTTTCATTGTGAATGACGTGAGGGTGTCTGGCCTGTTTTCGCTCAGGGCTCGAAGTCGTTCGAAGGAACCTAGAAAGGTCTGAATGATGACAGGTTACCATGAACTCGTACCATACCTTTGAAACACAAGTCATTACTAGAAATGAAGTTTCCTTCACAATCCCGTATGAGACAGCGCCCATCTTGAAACGCCTCGCAAGGCTGCCGTGAGGTTGAAAGAGTCTAGTACGTTATAAGGCTTTACGAGCCGATGTATGCACACATTGCATGATGTGACGCTCAAGTCTCGGAAGGCAACATGTGGCCGTGGCTCCGGACCTTGCTAGATTTGGGCACTTTGCTGATCAGCGAAGCAAACTAGTCAGTGGCGGCTCGCTGAGCGGCCATTTCCGCACAAGCTTGGCACCAAGTTTCCCTTTTCTTTTCATTTACCTTTCAACGACTTTGCGATAACGCGAGGCTCCAGCACTACCTAATGGGTACTTGGGTAGAGTTCAGTTGCTCCGGCTAACCAAGATCTGAAATGAATTCTGCAGGTCGAGTCATATCAGTTCATTTTCATTCGACCTCATATTATCACTCGCCGTGGCCCGAATGTGCCGTCTTCCTACGACAATCATACTATTAGTTACTACTCCTTCGGCCAGATCAATGAGTGGTAACCGATAGTATGACGGGCTTGTTCACTGTCAAGTTTCCGAGTCTGCACCACTCTTTCGCCACACATCTATTTTGCCATAATGTCGGGTTTCATCTGCTATTTGTGTTCAAGTTGGACATCGTCAGTAGTAGTTCGTCCCTTTGATGAAGTGTCAAGCCAAGGCCCTAGGCTGACAGCAGAACCACTACAGGAACTCGCAGGGATGTCTCGTGGGAGACGTGTGTCATTGGCGCTGACGTATCTCTTTCAATCCAAGTATGTATAGTCGTGTCCATTGCATGTTGTGCCCACAGGAAATACACGGATCGGGAAAGTTCTTTGTGAGACTTGACCTAACCTTTCATTCATCCATTCTTGCGAGTGAAACCCGTCATGATAGGATGTGGGCACTTGATTGTTTGTCCCAGGGTATTAACATGATTGTGGAGGCAATTTACTTTCTAGGCTCAGATAGGATGTTTCGAAGATATTAAAGCTGATTATGAGGTGTGGATCTTTATCATCACTCGAGATGTTTCCCTCTCCCATGATCTTTTTTTCTGCCATCATATGCCTCTTTCTAGTCGTTCACCGAGTTCGACGAAAAAGTTCATCCAATATCTCCTTTCCCCCTGGCCCCAAGGGCTTGCCGATGCTAGGTAACCTGCTCGACCTCAACGACAGTCAGCTATGGGTTAGCTTCAGTCAGTGGGCATCGACACACGGTAGAGTCCATCGATTTTCCAAGGAACAAACCTCCTTACTTTTTCTAAGGGAATGTCATGTACTGTAAGCTGTTCGGACAGCAAATTGTTGTTCTACAATCGCATGAAGTTGCCAAAGCACTGTTGGAGCGTCGCTCTAGTATTTATTCTGACAGGCCACCAATCTCTACCACAGAGGCGTAAGAGAATCAACATCCAACATGCTATATATACATCTGACAATCTCATAGAATCGGATCTGGGTTTAACAGTGCCCAGCTAAGGTATTCTGATGAATGGAGAATGCATCGGCGAATTTTCCATCAATCATTCCGACCTGAGGCGGTAAAAGATTACTTACCTATCCAACTTCGCAAAGCTCGTCAGCTGTTGCAGGGCATCATAGAAGCTCCCGAGCGCTACCAGGACCACATCGATCTGTAAGTGATAGTTTGTTCTTCGGCAAGCTTAATGATAAAAACGCGGTAACCCCAGCTTCGCCTCTTCCGTCATCATGTCTGCTGTATACGATTACGAGGCCAAGCCTCATAATGACCCGCTTTTACTTGCCGCTGAAAAGGCGATCAAGGTCTTTTTGGAGGTGGCAAACCCCCAGACTGCAGTCATCCTGGAGGCATTTCCGTTTCGTAAGTTTTTACCAGTCTCCGTCTCCAGAAAGTTGTCTCTGACTTAACATAGTGCTGAAACTGCCTTCTTGGTTTCCTGGAGCGAAGTTTAAAAGACTCGCTATCCAATCACAAAAGAATGCTATCGCCATGGTCAACATCCCGTTCAACTATGCACGAGAACGCGCAGTAAGCATTTATGCCCCGAATAAGAATGAATCCTATCAACATGAGGCGTAGATGACTGCAACTTCGAATCAGTGTATGGTCTCGGAGTCTTTTAAGCGGTTGGACGCATTCGGCAATGCGGGCGAATTCGAGCTTGCGTTGAAGTCGACTTCTGCTACAGCATTCATTGGTATGACCCGGTTTGTTTTCGAGTGACACTACTAACACATGCTCGTATCTAGCTGGAGTTGAAACGGTCAGTCCCACTTATCTACATTGTTGTGTTTCCCACGAACTGACGGATATCCAGACTGCGTCGACGTTGGCTGTCTTTATTCTTGCAATGATGCTCTATCCAGATGTACAGAAACGTGCACAAGAGGAGATTGAGGCAGTTATAGGCACTGACCAACTTCCTACCTTTGAAGACCGGCCTTCGTTGCCATACGTGGATGCAATCTTGCGCGAGACGCTTAGATGGCATCCAGTGTTCCCTCTTGGTGGGTTGATCTCATCTATCGTGTGTCAGGATCTTACATTTCTATGTGACAAATCAGGTTTGCCGCATTACACTTCGGACAGCGACGTGTACAATGGTCATTACATCCCCAAAGGTCTGGTAATTCCTGTGTCGCACCACTTTTGCTGCTTACCATCACGTAGGCGCGCTTGTTATGGCAAATATCGGGTGCGTCGTGGTATTTGCTAGTCTTGAGTTGCGTTAAGGCGACTGCTACAGAGCCATGTCACAAGACGAAGTGAAATACCCGAACCCTGATGAGTTCAAACCAGAGAGGTTTTTTCAAGCCGATGGACAATTGAACGATGACACTGTAGACTTTATTTTCGGCTTCGGGCGCCGAGTATGTGTTGGAAGGTACTTCGCTACTGCTTCGCTGTGGATTTCTATGGTGTCTCTGCTAGCAACTTTCCATTTTATGAGACCATTGGACAACGAAGGCAAAGAAGTAGACCCTGTCTTCCAATGGTCCACTGGACTAAGTTCGTAAGTATCTTGTTCTATACCATCATCCAAGGGAGTACTGTGAGCTAACCGATGACAGACACCCTGTGTCTCTTCCCTGTCGTGTCATTCCCCGACACCCGGAAATGACTGCACACATGCTTGCAGACGTAATCGGCCTCAGCGCATGAAGCGAGCTCGGTCAGCTGTACAATTGTATCTAAATGGAGGATAACATAATTTTTGTACATGTCATGCGCAATAACTTCAAGCTCAATTTGAAATTGATTCTGATTCTGCACATTGACAAGTCAGTTCGTACTACTATACATGCCAGAGATGAGTCGGTTATAAAAATGAGTCCCGTGGTCCGTCGGGTACTAGTAAAGGAGAAAATATATCGACGAAGGCCACTACTATATCAAGGAGGAAATGAAAGGTATAAAATACGCGCCAGAGATAAGTCCGTGATGGATCCAGTTCGTATCATAAAATGTGGAAAATCAACAGATCGAACAAGATGATGGAGAGAATGAGAGGAGAGGAAGAAATGTACGTGCCAAAGATGAGTCTGTGATGAGAGTGAGTCCAATGCGTGTCTCGTTCCAGTCAAAGGAATTACAGATCAAGGAGGTAGCAAATCTGATAGATGTGTACATGACAGTGGCGGTGGCCGTAATAGAATGTCGTCTAGTGGGGAGTGAAGCCCGATTAATCTGTCGTCAAGATTGGGTCGTAGGGGACCTCTGGCGTCAAAGACTCGCGACCTGGTGTAGTATGCGTAGACTGGAAATGGCCTTCGACTTCTTGGGCGGTGAAGCTCCGAGTCGTAGGGGGCCTGACATCGGAGATATGCGTAGCTGTGTGTTAGCGCGGAGGCGGCCTTGAATCACTCGGACCATGGGTGAGCCCAGATCGTAGGGTTCAATGAAAAAGGCCAATACATTTGGCTCCGCATTGCTGTTTTGGATCTAGGCTGTCGGAGCAGAGTAGCTGCGAGAGGAGGCAGCTTGAAGTGTCTGGTGGAATCATCGGGCCTCCAGGACAAGAGAGGAGATGGAATATGATGCATAATGGATCATTGACAATTTCATCACGACGGATATCGACAAATGTAAAGGGGAATTTCGGGAGCTCGGCATGTCTTCGTGGTGATGAGTGAAAGGAACGAGATGCAAAAGTATTTCTAGTCATGACGGCTGAATAACGGGGCAGAGAGGAACATACTACAGCTGATATGTGCGCAAGCAACGAGCGCGTGCACCGTGTACGCCGCTGGCCAATGATTAATGAACTTCAAGGTATCCTGACGCGGAAGGATTCAAAAACTTAGAACTTGAACATAAAACGTGATCACGTGATGATCCGTCGTGCCAAGCATATGTGGCTGCAGCCCGCGAGGGGCCTAGGATCTCCTGCAGGCGATGTTTTCGCTTGGTGTCGACATTTCACTTACTATCAGACTCCTTTACCGTTTTCACAGATCTTCAAGCTTCAGGTCCTACCTCATCGCTATCGTTCCGTTGACATATCCCGTCTATCCGTACCGTAGTTATATCTAACCCGATTTTGTAGTATACCATTCTCTTTAGGGCCTTACTTATCCGAAGGGCTCTACATGAGGCGCCGAAACACTTACAGCAAATATGAGCTACCGTGAACATACTACATCTAGACACCCTAGTGTTTTCTGGACCCCGAATCCTTACTCTATCATTCCAGGAGCATTCCTCCCAACTGTGACATTGCCTTCAAAAGAATAAACAAAATGTTGTCTAATTGTTAGTGGTTTGGTAACGATCAATACGAAGTAAGTAAATGGAAGAGTTAATAACAGTCGAGTCCAGCTACGACTGTGTTCATCGCCTCATAGATCTGACCAAGCGATGAATCTCGGCTACCTTTTGCTCTACATTCATCTAGATAGTGGGTACGTGTTAATGATGAGCAATCCACAACGGGAAAGTAATGTTCCTCACCTTAAGAAATCCAAGCAGCTTCTCAATTTCCCCATGATTCTGAGTGACTTCATCGTCAGCATGCTCGCTTGGAACTGGGGTAGGGGCAGGTGTCAAGACACGCCGAGGGCGATGAGAGAATTGGCGGGTGCGGACGGGTGTTACTAGAGGAGCATATGATACTCTGGATGCCTTCGAGGCAGCTGAGTCATGTTTCCCAAGAGGTGACTGGAAGATGATGAGACACGAGGAAACCTATATCCGCAACCCTACTCACTTGGAGATCTGGTGGAGTGTGGGAAGAGGGAGCGGGTGGGATAATACGGGCGTCATTTGGGGTAATGGTATGGGCTAATGGGATATCCAAAATGAAACTTGCCGAAGTAACGTGGGGGACGATGGGACGAGGCTCGCCGGTCCTCTCGACTTCCTGACGTGGCTTGGAGTCTTGCTCACGATATAACTGCCTTCCTCGCTCCGGGGATAACTCGCCACTAACGCCGTAATCTTCATGGTCCTCGATAGGAACGAAAACTTCATCATCCATCCACTTCCTTGAGCTCGCATTGGAGCAATCGTCCAGGTCTTCGTGACTGCCGCCTATCCAATCGTTGTTAGGTACCCCCAACATAACATGACCTGGGCCCCATTCTATTCCATTCTTCCCGCGAACCCAGCCGCCCGACTGCCACTTCCGCTCATCGTTGCCTTCCCAGCGCTGACGAACTTCTAGGAATTTCGCCCAGGAAGGCACGTAGTCATCGGAAAAACCTTGCCATAGTTCGCACTCGTGCGCATCGATCACATTCAAAAAGTAATCGAGGCACATGCCTTGCCCGTCAGCCACCGTGTAGCGCCAGTAATTGCAGAGATAGTCTTCCTGCGTACACTGTCGGTTCAAGAAGGAAAGGTCAAGCCACGGTTCCTTTGGGTTCGAACTATTGAGGTTTGCAAGAGGCTTCTGAGAGCGTTGCTTTTTGTTTTTCTTACGCATGGTTGAAGAGTGCTTGGACCGAGAAGAGCGCTGAGTCGTCAAAGAGATAGCAGAAGGATGAGATAAGTCATTGGTAGGGTTGGTCGAAAGGTCCTTGGATATCTGAGTAGTAGATTTGGAGATGCGGGAGGTGTGTGGGGTTGGGACGCGATGACGAATTTTCTCTGCGCTGGACGGTTTCCTCTTGGAGAACATGGTAGAGAATAAATTGAGACAAATGTGAGCTCAAGGTGATGGATGATAGGGATGCTTTCAATGGGAGAGAAACTTGGACCTGACATTGGTCCACCTTTTATGGCGAAACATGAGATGTGGACATACACGTAAGGTGGACCTGGTGGATAGTGGATTGAATAGAATGATAGAATGGCTGTGAATATACCTGTGATGGGCTATTGAGTGGAAATTCATTTTCGGATTGAGCGGATGTCTCACTTGTGGATGTCTCACCTGTGGTCACAATTCTAATAGAATTGCTTCCACATGACATCATAGAGCAAACAACTTCTTGAAACATTCATTGACTTTGAAGAGAAATTCGTTCAGGGCACGATATTAATGATTCGAGTGCGTCAGCTCTAGTGGACAAAGTAGTTGACAGACGTCACCTCAGGCTTCAACAAAAAGAGCAAGACCAGCCTCCGCAGACATTTCGGTTTGCATACGTTTTGATCGAGACCAATCGAGATTGCAAACACATTCCCTCAGGCTCAAGCGTCAATATAAATTATGGCCTGTGTCAGTTGAGAAATACCATCGGGCATACCTGATGGTCAATCGACCTATATGCATCGTGTGGCACCTTTAACAGGAGGAACCACCCAGACCACCTCATTATCAATTGCTCTCAGCATTCACCTGTTTCATAGAGAACAAGTCAAGACCCAGGCGCCCACCACTGGATGCACCTACATGTGCATCTTAACTTGAATTCTAACCCGAAGCCTGTAAGATAGAGAGACGACATCAACATATCAAATAGCAACCCAGCTCATCAGAGATGGCATGCGCATCTTCCGTTACTTTGACCAACATCAAGGAGCTGGAAATAATTGTGTCAACAATGGCATAACTTTCCGACAGCGAGTCTATCACATTAGTGTATAATACGAGAGGTGTTCATTAGCTTACTCAAAGCAATATAAATATTGACAGTCGGGCGACTGATCCAGTATTGGGAAAGCAGAGCGCGCATGCCCCACAACCTCCTACGACGCCTGTTGTGTACCCCCACGTTCACTCTTTCCCCACCCTTTCTCACGAAGCTCTTCCCATACGTTGTCCATACCCACTGCCATACGCTGTTGAACGCTTTCGAACGAATCGAGAGCAGGCCGAACATCCAATGCAAAACCAGGGTCCCCGTTAGGAGTAGACGGTGCAGAGTAGTAGTCGATGACATAGCGAACCTCCGTTCCATCGCGCGGACGACGCACTACCCAATCATGGCGATCGAATGGAGGCTCAGTGCTGCAATACTGATGTCAACTTCCAGTAAACACATAGCGGGGATAAACCTACTTGAATCTAGAAGGAAGCAACCAGCCAGCCAGCATCCAGAACCTTGCCTTTGGCGACATCTCGCCCGGACGTCCTTTAAAGCGAGCAAGATGCGGCTCCTCGTCACCCTCCCTGAGGAAAAAAAATATCAGTAATCGTAATCAGCATAGTAAGCATACAACGCACTGTGCAACCCTGCTCTCCCACTTCATCACTTCTCCCCAAGCTCTTTCATTCAAGAAATTGTGTATTTCCACTACTGTCTCAACATGCTCCGCGGGCGTATCCAAACCTTTTCTTATCAGTGCATTATAGAATTGCTGAGGGGATGGGTATTCCCATGTTTGGCGCGTGTCAGTTCTCGTTTCACCATCCACCACACGCGGTATGGATGACATAGTACGCTCAGTCGGTAGTGCTACAGATTGCGGGTATATGGGAGTCTGAGGGAGATTGGGCATCTGGTTTGTGGGATTCAACGTATTAAGTGAAGAATGATCGATGGGACATCCGCCCGAGGATTTTGCAACAGGTGGGTTGTTGTGCTGGATTGGACAGCCAGTGCTGGGCGTGTCACGCATTGGGCACGATGACGGTGAGGAAGTGCGCGTTACGGTTGCGGGAGGCGGCGAGGAGATTGATTGTCCCATGGTAATAGAAGTAATTGGGCTGCTTTGAATGTCGTCGTACGGTGAAATCCAAGACGCAGTTTGTTCGGTGCATAGAACAGGAAGCGACTTTAAATATTTACGAGATTGACATCAGCCAGCCGGAACAACCCGCACTGAAGTCGATTGAAGGTTGGAGCCAAGGGCGTAATTTTCGCTATTTAGACAAGGCATGATATATTGGATCTGCCCTAGCTAGGGGAGACCATCATGCATAAAGATACAGCAATCGACAATAAGAACAAAAATTAGGGTGTCAAAATGTCCTCGATATGTAAGAACAGTGCTAGACTTGACGCCGGTCCATGTCTGGATCATCAAACCACCAGACCCTATTCTCTCGTGCTTCATTCTCCAATCGCACCTCCTCTGAGTTGATAGATCCTGCTTCATCTTCATCGTCATCGGGCTCTACAAATTCATCCCAATCCACAGTCGCAACCACTTCCCTAAAACCTTGCACTTGATCAGCCAGTAATTCTCTGGACTCAACAAGTCGGAGCGTGTGTATGCCGACACCACGTTCGGCCCGTGTTTTCATGACATCCTGCAGCGTTTCTTCATGTTCCCCTTCGTACCCGGTCAAAAAGCAGCCATCTTCGAGGTCCAGAACCCTGAGGGAGGGATATGGAATATCCCCTTTGGTGATCTTGAGTGCATCGATCAAGTCTTCAACCCAGATGCCCTTCATATGCATAACTTCGAGGTCCGGGAGGCAGACGGACCCAGCGCCCCAGAAATCTTTTCCTGTAAGATCAAACTTTGACAAAAAGAGTGTTTGAATCCTGTCCTGCGTGACCATCTGACGGATATCAAATATGGTGCTCGGGTCGGGGTTCGTGATTATGTTATAGTGGTACATAAATTGAAGCGATAGTCGTATGTCATCGTCATCGGGATTCCAGCAATTTGTATGATTCATTGCCGTCGACGTACTGAACTGGACACAAAAAGATCGTAGCGTATGGCGGAAGGCACGCATGGACCGAATGATGGAACTAGATCCACCAGGATGCATGCCCATAGCCGAAAACAGATCAGAAATGTCTTGAAGGCCTTGAACGTCTCTGAGACTTAGCGCGATCTTGGCGTCGACGGGAAATGCTAGTTGCGCGAAGAGAGAGATGGCAGTTCGAATCGTGGGGGAACCTAGCGTGATACTCTTCAACCGAGCAAGTGGCACTTTTTCGAGGAGCTTCGTTCCCTCGGGAATTATGAGAAGCCGCTCAAGCGTAAGGTGCTCCAATGCAGGCATACGTCCCAAAACTGACAGGAGCTGCGGCAGGGTAGGGAAGGATATCTCTTTTGTTCCCCTGACAGATAGAGTTTGAAGCCCGCTGAAGATATGCGCTGACCAGCTTAAGTCAAAACTCGTCAGTTCAACACTCCGAAGTCGAGGTGCCTGTCCTTGAAAGATTGTGCCGGTCATGTGTGTGGTTTCGGGCCACATCTCGAGCGGCTTGGAGAAATCGAATATTTCAAGCAATGGTGCGGGTTGCGATGACAACAATTGAATAATGCGATCGCAGTCAGGTTGGAATGAGCGAAATCGGAGAACTTTGATTCGAGGTAGGTGTGAAAGGACTAGCTCCAAACAATCTGGTAGCGAGACCGGTGATTTGTACGTGACAACCAAAGGAAGGTTCTGCGACCTCTCAAACATGATGCCTAGCCAACGAGGAGAGGATGAATGGATGGATGTCCAGAGAGCTGGGCACTGGAGTGCGATTGTGCGCCAGTCTTTGCAGACGTGTGTTAAGGGTAGACAAGCGGGGACATCATCGCTCGCAGATCCATCGAAACGCTTCTCTTCTTCAAAGTGTTTGAAGATCATCACAAGAATCTCGGTCGGAAGACGAGAAATAGGGAGTCGTCTATTCCTGCGAGAGCGAACGACGCGCATGGACTCGGCCAACACCGCAACTTCTTCGTCGACATCAGCAGGTCCCACTTCCAGACATTACGTCGGTCATTGAAGATAAAAAATGTTGACACGAAGGGCTTGTGGGGCGGAGTCTTCAGTTGAGAGCAGACGAAACCTCGGTTGGCTGCGGGTACGGTTTGAAATATAGGTTTCACAAATCGGTGTTGCTACGGATTCGAGCAAGGATTCGGGTATAAGAACAATAGCGGATCTATATCAAATAGATGTTCTCAGTCGTAGCACGCGATAGTGCAGACGTCTGGTATATTACCTGTGTTAAATATCTTTACGCAGCATTAGCATAGGTTAGATGTCAAGCAACAGTGAACTTCCTTACCTCGGTCGTAGCACGCGATAACTCAAGCGTCTGCAGAGGTTAGAGTTATAAGATTATATCTGCGGAATTCAAGCTACTATTTAAATAGATGAGAAAGCTCTCGTAGCCGAGACCGTGGCCAGTGGAACGAAAATGCGGCTGTGGATCCAAGTTAACAAAAGTTTCAGCAGTCACAATAAACAAACAATGTAACAAGAGCGCATAATGTACAGTAGGAAAATGACGGACCACAGGATAACGAGAGGTGTGCATTTGTTCTGCCAGTCAGACTGAGTCAGTGGATTCAGTTGGTATTACTGCTGAATTCTGAACGAAACCAGAGGTACTACCGTGACTCGATCGGAGTTGGCGGGGGGTCCAAAACCATATCCGTCGGACTTTATGGCATTATATTTGCACATTTATTATTTGCGTGTTGCGCGTCTTGTCAATCAAGGGCTTGCGTGTTTTATTCAAGAGTTTCCGCGTGTGCGCACTGCACGTTTTCGTCAATGATGAGCGCTAGCCTCCGCATTTGCGAAGACGAACCTGACCTGCGATAGTAAGATTCAAGCTTGCCAGCGGTTGCCGATGCTGGCAACTTTCAGTTCGAGAATACCAGTGACGATTAAGGTAGGTTTTGATATGAATCACACCCATAATAGTCTTTCTGCCAGTGGGGTCCCAACTAGCCTATCTGAATATCATCGGTATTCAAGTGAAATTGAGGGACTGGGAAGTACCCCCCACCCGATTCCGACAACCACCAGTGCTTAGCGCACATGCCCAGCGCACGTCAGCGAATGTTGACGTGGCTCGAACATATGCGAACGACACAGGAAGGCGCCAGAATGAGCGAAGGAGTGGAAGAAGGCAAGAAATAGACGAGGGAGAAGGGTTTATTGTGTCTTGGATGTCTATGGAAATGAGATAGTTAGCAACATAAAAACGCACAATACACGCACCTCTGCATGCTTAGTAGCCTGACCGTATCTTGAGATGATGCCCACGATTGTTGAATGAGAAAATATTTTGAAACAAGATGAGGACAGGCAAGCAAGCATCGCATGTAGTGAAGCCACTGGAAGGTGGCTAAAGCGCTGAAGTTCGTTTGGCGCATTACTTATCATGCTAAATACTTTATCTCTGAAGCTTGCCGCTTTCCAGTCGAGAGGCTAGTTTTCGAGCCGTAGTAATTAGTGTAGGGGGCAGAAAGGAACTGGCAATTGGCAGAATGGCAGAAGCCGGCAAAAAGTATTGTGAACGCTTTTGGCTCTTTTCCACTATGTTTCTACTACGGCAAAAATAGCTTCGACGACTACAGATGACGCTACACCTCTGACATCAAGTGCATCATATCACCTGATACACTCTCTGAGCCTTAATTGAGTACCTCAATCTCTTCAACAAAGCCAGCTGGCATGATGCATTTGTCAACCCTCTCTAGCTCACTCAAGTCGATGATGCCGCTGTCCAGAATGTCCGGTATATCACCTGCATGAATTCCTCATCAGTCATCGATTCCGGACCTACAAGATAGTCTTGGTCACCAGAGTCTGCTGTGAGGGGAGGAATCCATGCAAACAATTTTTGCAACTCGTGGGCAAGAGCAACATCGAGTCCATGTTCAGGACGGGTATGCATACGTGCGCATTTTCGACAAACAGGCTTCCCAGTTTTGGAGCCCATCTTGTACATGAAGCATGCATAACTTGCACGAAGTAATTCGAGCGTGTGAGCTGACTGAGGCTCATCATTGACGAAAATGCGCAAGCCCTTCATTGACAAAACGCAGCGCGCAAATAATAAATGTGCAAATATCACATCATAAATAATTGTGAGCAACGACAGTTAGCTGGCTGTGTATAGTTCAGCTTCCATTTCTTAGAATTTGTAAGAGCTTCTCCTATGCAGCTTTAAGCTCCGGTTTCTATTGTGTTTGGCTCAAAGACAAAGAAGAATATTAGTATCACCATCTTCCTTCTGGCAGAAAGGGAGATTTGATCAAACAAGGTAAGTATAACAAACAAACCGGCTGAGCCAAAGTGTGTTCCATGGAAGTCGAGAAGGGTCACTTGCAGATCACCCACCAGAGATGTCTTGGACTCCTTCCACGTTGAATTGACTCATCCGGCTGCGAAGTCCATGAAAGACTCGTCACCGAGAACGGCAAATCGAAAATATTTTTGCGCCACAATAAGGATGTCGGTGCCTGCAAACCCCACTGCAGTCATGATGCGTTATTGAGATGAGGCGTGGCTCGTTGAACGGGCAGCCCTGACTAGCTGACTACCCAAGTCATGATAGTATCCCCTACGATCAGTATCTAGCCATATTGGCAAACCTCGCACCGTCATAATCGCTGAATCGCGAACGGTAATTATATCAGTGGGTAGTGCAGGCCGTTACGAGTAGCTTCTACTGCGCATGCAAATCCATTGTGAGAGAAGTGCTACGCCACATGATTTTGTCAACGGACATGTCAACAATAAGCTCTAGACATCGCACCGAGGAAACCAAGGGAAACCGGAACGTGTAAATAGAATATAAATTGACCCCGCATAATGGGTACGCCAGCGGCACGGTAGTTTGCAATCCGGGAAGCTTCATCTGCTTCGTGAGACTGGGTCAGACGGAGTTTGAAACGCGGGAAATTCAGATGGGCTGATAGCGCTTGTTGATGTATGAGGGATAATTCCTACTGAGGAGTCGAGCACCTGGCACATGTACACGCGAACAATGTACTCGTGGATACATGCTTCTAACGTAACATGGATAGCCCCGAAATCGGGAATACAGTGTTGCCGCAGTGCGATAGGAGTGACGAGGCGGAACCACGTCCATAATGCTGTTGCAGATAACCCAGTGTTGGCTGCCCCGAAGCATATGGCAACCTCTTTGCCCACAGCCATAGCCAAGGCGATGCGAAGGGGAATGTGAGGGGGGCGAGGTCTATTTCTTCCGGCCCTTACGGCCAGGACCGGACGCAGGAGGACCCATCTTTCTAAGGCAATCATCACAGAACCAACTCTCAGGGAGTGGTTGCTTGAGGTTGACGCAAGGGAGGTGAAACTACAGATGGGTCAGATTATGGTTACCAAAACATGAAGTATAGGCTTACCCATTGATACGGGCAATCTGGGTTATCACACGCGATCATTTCTCCATAACTCAACTTCTGACAGAAGCAGTATAGTTCCTTATCTTCACCGTCTTCACCGTCTTCACCATCACCTTCTTCTGCTTCTTCTACACCTTGAGTTTCATCTCCATAATCAAAGTCGAAGTCCTCAGCCTCAGATGAAGCTCCCCGTCTTCTCCGGCGGCCCCGAGTAGATAAAGCGTAGGCGGATGGTGCGGGTGATGGTAGCTTGATAGAGCCCTGCGTCCCCATCAATCTCCGTTCTTTAATCTGACATTTAGCACTAAAGTTAATGGCATGAGCGCGAACTTACTTTTGAATGCATTGTCTTCCCCAGTCACCGAAGCGCGCCCTCCGACAGAAGCCATGCCTCCTGAGCTACCTGCCAGAGGGGTAGCGGCACCGCCAGCGAACGCATTTCGCAAGCTTTCATTGATTTGAGCGGCTGGATTGCGTCCTCCAAGCACATAGCCGGCAGTGCCACTACCAAGTCCTGATCCAGAGACTGGAGTCGAAGCTGCAGCACCAGCAAAAACGGATGCTGGATCCGTTTCTCCTTGTAGAACAAGGACACGGCCCAGGTCATATTCTAACCGAGCCCGCTTCCTGGATAGTAGGTCGACAATACGAGAGGCCAGAGCAATTTTTGCGTCTGAAAGCACTGAAAGTTTCTCTTGAGCATCCCTTAGTTTCTCAATTGGTGGAGCTGATGTTCTATCCTTCTCTTTCGAGGCAGGGTCCGTACCGTCCGATCGTAGGGAATGTCGCATATATTTATGAGATTCTTTGGCTAGATCATTCTGAATGTCTTGAAATATAAATAAACATTTCGTCAGAGTCTGTGATATTATAGCCGCATACCTTGAGAATCGGTCTCTTTCGAGCGAAGTTCTTGCAGAAGAAATTGCACTTCGCTAGGTAAGTTATCAAGGGCTGATTATTGAGTCTCTTTAGCTTGGCGAACACCATGGACTGTGAGGTTGGCTCACTCATTATGAACTCCGACGCTATTGTGACAGCTTCCTCCAAATTTTGGACGCTTGCATTGCTCATGGTCTCCACGTTCTAATATTGTTTGTTAGCTCGCGGGTGTAGGTACAACAGCGGCTTGCATCATATTACATAAGCTTATAGGACCAGTTAAAGTGGTAACACCCGCTACCGGCTTCGTGTGAAATGACGTACGTATGTCCCGCTTTTGTTTTGTTTCTCTTTTCCTTGTGTAAGCTTCTGAAAGGCCTGAATTCCCCTTTCGCTTTCGCAAAAAAAGATTTAATTTCGAACACAGCATACCCACTGTGGTATGGTTGAACCGTCAGTCACATGATTATCGAAACCAAGTTTTTGAACTTCTTGTTTCTCAGTCAGTACCATTGGGTGCCCGCCCAATCCAGAGGCCGATACGCGCACGATGCACGGCTCCCCCGAGTGGGACACTTTCAACTGCTCAGCGCTCAGGCGTTGATCCGTGACCATCCGCCGTCGCACGTGACCTGGACTGTAAGGCTCCAAAATCGAATCCATTTGATTTTGAGTTGTAGAATGGTACCGGCTAACCAACTTCAAAGGACGGAAATTCCGGAATCATCTTCATCAGTCTGAATATGTGGTTCCTTAGACGAGCTGAAGATTATCGTTCAAGTTCATTATAATTTATCCTTGACACATCGGTGACGATTGATTGGTGATAATTCATAGGCCACAGCTGGTCTAGGTCAAGCACTCACCCAGGTTTATGAAAGATTAATGAAACGGTTTCCATCTCACTAATTCAAATGCGCGATCTTAAATTTGTAGTTCCGTCTACCGTATGAACGGGGCACTCCCCTGATGTTATTCTACTTCCGATAAGAATATTTGTATCCAAAAACACAATCTAATATTAACCCTAGCAGCGATCGCAAGAGGAGATTGCGGCCCGGGATTGTACGTTGATCCTGGTGGTAAGGACAGCGGAGTCGTAGTCATCATCTCGGACGGGGGTTGTAAAGATGCCCGCGTCAACAGATTTGTGCAGGTTGAGCATCAGCCGAGAGATGAGAGTCACGGACATGCTAGAGCGCATAGTCAGAATCAATCTGTATCTACCGCACTAGATACTTACCAGCTAGTAAATGTAGCTAGACTGCCTCTGGTGGTATTCTTGCCAGTCGCCAGCAATAGTTAGTCAATCTGATCATAAGAAGCGGGTGTGTGCTCACTGAACCACACTGAACCGAAGAGTGAGCTTGTGACTCGACAATCATTTCATTAGCAGACTCACGTAGTATGTCAGAATGTTAGGTAGATTAACCAATGTCATCACCCTGAAGGAATGCGGATCAGATTCATTCGAATCACTGCTTCCCTGGCAAGCTCACGCGAAATACATTGCGCCTGCGTTTGCTTGGATCAATGTTTACGATATCGATGTAGCAAAAATTACCATCTTGAAACATGATATCAAGTATATTTCTCCTCGATACTGCCAGAGATAGTTTTCTAGTTTTGCATATCCTGCAAATTGTGAGGGCAAAGATGAGCAATTCATAGACAAGTAGTGTCACCCATCCCAGCCCAGGACCTGCAATTTGATTAAGTCATAGCATTATGTTCCACGCAAATTCGACTCCGAATTCACTAACTGACGGCTCTGCAGCATCTTTTGAGCAAGCACGCGGAACAGTGAGGAAGATGGCGCACGTCTCTTCTAAATATGACTCATAGCAATTAGATCCTGGCACGGCTGTGTCTGAACTTAGCCTGAACGTTCCCGCCTATAAACCATAAGTAGATTCCCAAAGTGAAAAGGCTTGTGCGAACACGTACAGTCACTCCCCCAAGAGCAAAAACAATTATTATCATCCAAGTAAGGAGGCGTTTGCTACGGCAGTAGAGAGCATAAGTGCGAATAGTCAATATAACTGGAAACATCAGTACAAGTATATAGTTCTTGCCATAAAATTCTACTCACGGCAAACGAAGATTTGTTGGAAAAAAAAGAGTAGGTCTCTGGATATCAAATATCTCTGACAACTAGGATTTTGTTGAGCAAAATAACACATATTGAAGAATCAGAGTTGAAACCTCTGCAGAAATAAGATATGAGTCCGCCAGCTGGGTATGCGTATAACAAAACCATAGAACCTCATTTGAACTGGGCAGAAGATACACAGATAACATATAGACATTGCCGAGCAGAGCGACATAGCGATTGACGAGAAATAATATTGCAGATAGTGCTTTCGGACGACACCAGATGAAAGTGATTTCATCTGTGATGGTTATGATGTGGTCGTATATCAGGATACCTAGAATATTTTGTTATCGTCCTGAGGCCAAGATAAAAAGTCATAGTACTGTCTGCCGTGAGAACGGCGTATAACTTGAAGTTCATGGACCTGGGAATGCTCGAGTTCAATGGCCATTAGGATACATCCAATCCGTGTATTACTTACATCTGTTGCACTTCACTGGAATCTATTACGCATTACGATGAGACAGGGTACAACAGGGAAGGGTGGGGATTATATATTCACCCTGTGTTGATGTTTGTTCTCGCAATCATGCGATCAGGTGCTATGCCGCATACTAGACATACTAGTACACATTCACACACGGTTAACGTCACGGATTGGCATGTTGAATGGGTCATGACGTCGATGACTGGGCCGACGGATTCCTTATCATTGACAGACCAAGCACTATCCTTGGGAACAACACCCAGGGAAGCCCAGCCCAGGGAAGCCCAGTCGAAGGTAGTAAGGGACCTCAGCTGGGCTATTCTGAATTTGAAACAGTTGTCAGTTGTTTAGAAGCAACCTACAAATGAAAGATGCGATGGGCCGCAACACATGCAACGAAATTTAGCACAGACGAACTCGAACCGGATATGAACCGCGATGATCGTGAATTTGTGACTGCTGCGGACCGGTCGACCTCTCAGGGATACAACACGGTGTGCTCGTCCAGATCATGGCGGTCTTCCATAGATCCTGGATGAAGATGACATGGGTGTTATACTATTTGAAACACAACAACTTGTCACTGCATGCACGAGGGATCCAAAATAAAGTCATGCCTGATTTCAATCTGGGTATAAACAGATAGCTGTGTTGATATTAATAATAACCGCGAGGTCAATTCTCAGACAAACATACCGATCGGGCCCGATGACTTCAACAAAATATTCACTGCCTTGATGAACGTTGCTATGTGGTACAATTGGGCTTGTTTGAGGCTCGTTATAAATATCTCATCTCCCTTCTCCAGAATGATGATCAGCTTCCTGCATCATCAGTACAACTGCTGCAGACAAATATTGTTGGCATCTTCAATTGCTCTTCATCTTCATCCCAATCGACAGTCGCAACCACTTCCCCAAGACCTTGATTTGCACTTTAGATGGCGTGTATACCGACACCATATTTGACGCACATTTTTATGACATCTTCTGCTTGCCTTCGAGTGTAACGATCAAGCCTCTGATGAAGCTGCTGTCCATGTGGATAACTTCGAGTTCTAGAAGACAGGCGGACCCAGCGCGCCAGAAGTCTCTCACTGGGAGGTCAAACTCTGACCCATAAGAGAACTTTTGACGATCGGACGTATATCAGATATAACGCTTGACTCAATTTTAGCTCATTCCCTGTATGTGAATTGAATAGACGTATGTTGGTCGTCATCGCTAGGATTCCAGGAATGTTCAAGATCGATATCACTATCGACGTGCTAAACTGAATACGAAAGGCGCGGTGCGAACGGCGGATGGTACGTATGGACCGAATGACGGGACCAGATCCATCAGGACGCTGTACCAGGGTGGTCTGGCGCAGTAGCAGGAGTCTTGGCTCGTAGTCGGTAGTCCCGCAGTGTGTTGCAGTCGGTCCTCGATAGATAGAGCCGTAGCCTCCCGCTATAGATGTTTGACCTTGGCTTCCCTCGCAGTCCGCGCCCGTTCCAACACACGCCCATAACTAAAATTTTCCAGGAATTCCTTAAAGTCCTTCAATTTGAAAGAGTGGTAAAGCGATTTTGACGTCGATGGGAACGACTGGTTGCGCAAAGAGAGATGCTGCAGTTTGGATCATTTCGAAACCCAGCGTTATACTTCTCAACTGAACGAGTGCCACTTTCCCGGGGTGGTTCTTTTCCTGGGATGTAGGAAAGGAGGTGTTTCCTGTTCCTCTGAGAGATAGAATTCGAAGCCCGCTGAAGATATGCGCTGTCCAGCTGAAGTTAGAACTCATAAGTTCAACACTCCGAAGTCGGGGTGATTGTCCTTGAAAGACGGTGATATGAGCTTCGTTGTGGGTTCGCTGAGCAACGCGTTTGAGAATTCGAATATTTCAAGCAATGATACGGGTTGTGATGATAACAAGTGGATAGTGCGAAGTCGGAGGACTCTGATCCGAGGTAGCTGTAAAAGATGTTGTTCCAAGTAATCTCGTAGCGACCACATCACACGCGGCGAACAACGAAGCGCTCTTCGACCTCTCAAGCATGACGCCTAGCCAATGAAGAGGGGTGACTCCGCCACTCTTCTACGAAACAGTGGCGAGAATCTTTGATGGAAGGCCATATATAAGAGCCGGATCATTCCTATGCGAGAGAGGGATGCATATATCGACCTGGGGAGATGATAACGTCGCAATGAAGGGCCCGCGGGACGGAGTCGTCAGTCGAGTTTCGGTGACATCGAAAGTAGGAGTAGACCTTTCAGCGTTCAAGGTTCAACTCGGGGTACAGTACCACAAACTTCCGAACACCAACTCTTGGCACCTTAGGTTTATATCAAACCTCCTACGTCCTTCGACCGTGAAAAGTACCGAGATGTGAATGGAGAAATGAAACGTGCCAACTTGCCAAGTGCTATTTTTTTTGATAAGAACTCGCCACTCGGGTAATAACGGCTGAGCCTAATCAAAGCCTGATATCAGAGATTGATGGAAATCCCAAATATATAGACAAGAATGACTCACCAACGGTGTAGAATCTTCATCTGTCTATGGTCTGTCTAGGAGATATTAGGGACTCACTATGATCGTACAGGCGTTTCGATGGGCGAATTCAATGCATGAGTGCATAAACTTCAGACCGAGTAATAAATGTGGTAGGATAAATATGGCCTCGATCGAACTTGCGCATATCTAATTGACCAATGGTACCGTAGCAAAATCAAACAGTTTCCCCATTCAATGGTGTAAGTATACACGTCCGGCGTGTGATGCGGCAGACCAGGGTGCTTTGCTACTAAATATCAATGGATCGGTAGGCCGTCACCATCCAAGTGGTCATAAACATAAAGGCCTCCACCACAATGACCACTTTAATCCATTCAGTGCTCACACAGAAAGCAGAGTAGCATGATGACACTCACAGAACGAGTGGTTTCTCTCCTGTCCACATATCACCCATGGCAAAGTATGCGACGTCAAACTCCGTGCGAGCCAGCACTTTACCTTGGGACTTATCCGACGAGGCAATCAACGGATCCCATACTCGCACACACCCGTCGTTGCCCCCACTGACAACGCCAACTCGCCGCCGATCCCGCCCCTCGACCCAGCATGCATGAACAGCACCATACCCAACTGAACCTACTGCATCCAACTCTTCGTGTTTGAACATGGCGAGAGGACCTCTGGTTAGCGCGCGAATGTCGTACATATGCACAGCGTTATCTGAGCGTGCCACAGCAAAGAGGCGACCTTCAGAAGAGAAAGTGGCTGTTGTGGCTTCGAATGTAGCGACCTGTGAGGCTGATGGTTCGAGCGTTGTTTCGGCGACAGCATGCCCCGACTTGCGGGCAATATCGTACAACCTTATAGGATGCTGATTATTCTCACCGCATGTGATCAAGACATAAGTGCTCCCTGCACAAGATTATACCAGTCGTATCATGGGAAAACACAAACACTCACCATCTGGACTGACGGCTCCTGCATCACCTGACTCATTAGCACTGAAAGGAAATAGCACTCGACCTCGTGATATATCATGTGCACGGTGGAAACCTTCATCCTTGCCCTTCCCAACAGGATCGTGAGCTTCTGAGGATGTATACATAAAGCGTTCGGTCGGACCACGGCCCCAAAGTACGGTACCCGCGGCATGGTCAGCGTCAGGAGGGGCAACGTGAAGTTTTGTCTCTGGATCAGGCGGAGGTGTAGTTCTGGACCACGTTGACGAAGTGAACAAATTTATCGTCTTGAAGACAGAGACGGTGCTGAGTGATTAAGTCAACTCCAACCAAATCGATAATTCAGATGAGATACAAACCCATCTCGACAAGACACGGCAATATTTGCACCGTCAGACGAGTGCACCAAGTCCTGGGCGACGTCTCTGAGTGTCACTATGAAACAAGACATCAGTGAGTACAAAGGCAGTAATGGTTAACTCACTGGAATTCATCATCCAGGGGGCGCCGGTGATGGATTCACTCATTTCCATCTCATCAACCTTAGACAGCTGCCAAAGCTGCACCTGACAATCATTCCCGGTCGATAGAAATTGTTTCGGGCTACAGTGGCTATTAACTCATCAAGCACAATAAATGCAGGGCCCAACCATACTTCAATGGATTGAATAAGACATCGTTCACCGTGTAGTATTTCTTGGCAGAAGCTGCAATACGGTTCAGTCATAAGTATAACTCCTGAAGAAGAGAGTCACCTCCGTGATCGATGCAATGAGCATCGACAACATGGCCTGCAAGTGTAATCAAAACAGTGCCCTCTACAACTTGCTGACAGACTCACACCGGCCCTGGTGGAGCACTACCATTGTCCCGGCATTGTTGTCTGATGGGAGTGGCGCTGCGGGAATTAAGCGTCTCCAAGTAATAAGAGAATGCGACGCGTGCACCTTCTCGGTCTTCATACGAATAGTCGGGATGCCCACCCGATGCTGCCGCACACGCTACGATGGCTCCTGGAACTTGAACAATCTTATTTATGGCTGAGAAACTCGTCAGGGACGATGCCAAAATATTAGTTACAGAATATCACTGACACCCTGATGCTGCCTGACGATGAGATTGCACAGCACCTAACTTATCGTATGCAAGATCTTGGAACAGTTTGAGAGGGCGCGTGCGTCCCGGTAAGTGCCTAGCGAAGCGAAGTCGGGCAGGTGGTTTGAGTGCGCGCGGTCGGAAACCTGGCACCGAATTTAGCTGAGCAGAATTTCGTTACTTGCCCACATGAAGATAAACAACGACGCACTTTTCCCCAAAAGAACTGCTCCTTATGAATTGGATCTAAGGGGGTGACTGGATAGTGTACGGCGAAGTACTTCGGACGCAACGGCCGCAGTTCTCCATGTTGTGGACGTGCCGGCTCGACCTCAATATCCGCATTTGGCGAAAGGTCTTCGGCTTTGTTTCTTAAAGGCGCTGGATTCCACTGGAAACGAAGTTTGAACATTATGAGTATCGATTGAAGAGACTCACTTTGGATTCATCCGAAATATTGAGAGAAGCCATATAATTTGTGTACTCCTCTTCGGAGTCATATCCAGGGTCTTTGGATGATAGTGATTGGGACAGGGACGGCAGTGCCATTGTATGAGGAAGAAATCGTTCGGGTCATGTATATCGTTACTACAATCCATTCGGTTGCCCTCATCATTCGCGTAGATATCGGTCGTGCGGTCGGCAAACAAGTGGTATTCCTCAGATCCGACTCTAGGTTTCTAAGAGGACAAGTGCATGAGGCAACTACAGGAACGGCATCGAGCAAATCTTACTTTTGCAAAGATGTCATCGTCGCTGCTACATATCGACAAATCTATGATTTCCGGCTCCTTCCACCCAGACGGCTTCTTGCGTTTTTCCTTTTGTCGACTGGGCGCGTTTGCAGTTGCGATGGTTGAACTTGTTGCACGTTTCTTCAAAGGTGGTTCTCCAACGCGTTCCATCGTGATTCTTTTCCTCTTTTCCTGAGGATAAAGGTGGTCATGCATGAGTCCTTGACCGCCTGAACGTTTGGAGGTAAATTTTTACTTCTTCAACAGCTTCAAAGAGCCCTGGACGCGCGTAGGTGAATAATGCCTGACTGTTGCACACGGGAGAGATAATCAGGAAATGCCTAATTAACACCGATGGTTCACTTGGAGTCATGATGGCAAACTTACTCCTTGAATTGCAAATTGGGTCCTGGGGGCGAAGGCAAGCGGGACGAGGAAGCGATTGGTTCATTCTTGATAGTCATCGTTCGACCCGTGCCAGTGGCGTTCGTGCATTGTGAATTCCTCGCCGGGCCGTACCTCACGAACTGAATCGCGTCAGCTTTTTCGTCTTCGTCCGACAGGAGAGCGTCGACATCGATGATTTCAGCTGGTGCTTTGAGAGACATGATAGTAAACTGAGAAACATAAAAGACTTCAGCAAAGAGGCGCCTCTGAGCGACCTGACTGAGCAGTGAGTGTTCAATGTAGTAATGCGCAGGCTGTCAGGAAACCTTCAATGTCTTGCAGGTCCTAGGAAGAATTTGTGTGTGATGGGAGTGACCAACTCGCAATGCCTCCCGTCACCCCTTTGAAGTTTCGCGTTATACAACCAAACTAATATTGACACTGCGGCATCATTACATGATTAAAAGGTTAAGTTGGTCACCTGACCATCACATCGCGTCTTGAATGCGCACGCCGCCATCAGATCCAAGTCACTGCCTATGTGCGTCTAGGACATGTATTACTGCTGAACGTCCCTACTTGTTGGCCCTAAGAACCATATCCTCCAAGGTAATTGCCCTATACTCATTCCCATCAGGCGCCCAAACAGCATCGTCTTGTACATAAACAAGCAAGCCTCCTTTCCCTCCAATGCTGGATGAGACGCGGAACAACGGCATCCTCGACTTCTCATGGGCGCGCCCCGTAGGAATAAATAAGAGATTGTGCGACGCAGCAAACTCCTCCACAATCGAGCGGAAGGTGATTTCTTGAACCCGCGCAGGAGCGACTTTTGTTGCAGTTGGCTTCTTCATAGACGCATTTGTAATCGCCTGTTCCGCACGTATATCCGGACGTTTCAGCATCGTAGGCGCATCGGGGCCGAGCTCGATAGCTGTGTTCATAAGTTGCAACCCGCGAGTGAATCCACGTGCAACACCGGGCATAGACTGTACACCATCCGGGAAACTGCTCTTCCAAAAGGAATACCACTGTGCAACTTCCTCGAAACTGACCTTTGGCTGTATGAGCCAAATGTGTAGTACATCCAGCCACTTCGGGAAGAACTCGGTTTCTAGCAGTTGGACAAATACACTTCCACGGAGAAGCGTGGCCCACACGAGAACATGCTTCAATGGTTCCATATCCTGGTTGCGGGGGTTGATACGGAACTCGTCGCGCAACAACGAGCCCAATTTTGGTACAACATACTTGAGGAGCATTGCGTCCCACTCGCCTGTGTCGAAAACCTCCCTCCATCCATCGAGGTCCTTTAGTGCGCCGTCTGCTGGTACCCAACTCCTGAGAAGACTCTTAACCTTCCTTTGCGCATCACCCAGAACACCGTCAATACGCAGACCGAGGTATGGGAGCCAAGGGAATACAAGCGCGTGTAAGGACACCGTACTACGCTTGGGGCTCCAATCTGCAACGGCTTTGCTCACTTTGGGTAGTATGAGTTGGTCAAGTATGTTATCGCGCACAAATGGTGGGAGGAATGTCGACCATGCCTCATACAACTTCACAGCTGGCGTGGGGCACTCAGGTGACCATTCGTTGTTAAGGCAGGTACGGACTTTGGGTAGCCATACATTCCATAGAAGGGACTCAAAGGGAGTCATGGGCTTTTCAATAGCAGGAGAGATTGCCACAGTGTGAGCACCATATATGTCAATCTGAGTATCTGGTGGTTTGTCAACAGAGTTGACTTTCAGCGCTTGCTTCCATGTACGGAAGGTTGCGACCAAGCCTGAAGGATCCTGGAGTGGATTCCATTGGGTAACGATGCGTCTGACTATCGGCGTGATTGCTGCAACAACAATCTCGTCTAACCGATATCTGTCGAACTCTGTGGGGTACTGCACCAGCAGTGTGGAAAACAAAGGCGAAAAATCATCCAAGGTCGCCTCATAAACAGACGCTAGCTCCTTTGCCTTTGCGCCAATATCGTCCACGACAAGTTTTACCTGCTGTAGTCGTGTAATGACTGCATACACTGCGCGTGAGTGATGATGGGATTGAAAAGCGGGAGTAGACATACGTTCAGCCTCATCAGTAACTTTCTTTTGCAGCCGAATGTTTTCTTGAGCAATAAATCTTTTGCGTTCCTCGAGAGCCTTGGCTTCACGGGCGAGTCCGTCAAGATCATTCTTGCATGCGTCTTCAATAAGTCGCAGGTTATGCCGTACCTCCGGTATGCGAGTAGGATCAGTTGATGGCGTCCACGATGACAAAGATATGTCGGCAAGTGATGCGACTTCACGAGGCTGAAAAGAGGCGTGAGTAAGGTGAGACAGGAAGATGTGAGCAGCATTCACCGTTCTACCAGTTGCATCAATGATTTGACCAATACCGGATGCGGCGGGCTCCTGACCAGCCTCTGCAACGATTTGTTCGTACGTTTTGTGCTCCACCTTAGTCTTCACCTTCTTTGGCTTCTTCCAAGCGTCACTCCTATTCTCTTTCGCATTGCCCTTCTTCTTCTGTCCCGGCCGGACCTCTTCCTCATCATTGCTGACTACTTCTCCCCTCCTTTTAGCCTCAAGCTTGCTTTGCTCCGTCTTCTCCCTGTACCCCTTGAACGCAATACCCATTTTCCTCGGGCGCAATTTGCTCTCGATTGGGATGACGATACCGTCCCCGGTCGCGCCGAGACCTGTACCAGCCTGCCATCCCATCTTTGCAAGCATTTGAGCACCGAGGGTACTTCCAATCTTGTTGAAGTGTGCTTGCTCATGTGCAGGCAACGGAGTGGATGGTTTGCTCGTAGAGGAAGTCCCGCTACGGAGAAAAGAACGTTGGGCCCGAGGGGCGCTATTACCACCAAAGGCGGTTGGCAACTCGGATGTAGACGCTAGTTTGGTAGGAGCGGGGGAAAGCGATAGCAGGCTCAGATGGAGCACTAGATGTAGAACCGATACCACCTTTCGTGAACCCCATACCTACAGTCGCAGATCCAAGTCTCGTAGAATTGCCTAAACCACCCTTAGCAGAACCTATCCCACCTTTTGAGCCAAATCCACCTTTCGACGATCCTATACCGCCTCTCGTAAAGTTTTGCATTGAAAGTTCTGGCTCAGCTCTAGTTGAGCCAAGGCCGGCAAACGCTGGCCGCTCTGGTGGTTCGACCTCCTCTTGATCTCGTATCCGGGGTGAAGAAGGCGCTGAAAGTCCATCCTCATCCTCATCATCCTCGGCATATTCAGCTTGCTCGATGTCATCACAGGAACTGTCGACCCCATCCGCTTCATCAACCACTTCTTCCCCTTCCCCATCCCCTGCCTCATCCTCCTGCGCCTCCATATCCTTCTCCAAATCTACTTGTCCCTTTGCGACAAACGCAGGAGCCTTCGTCCAGTCGCTTCTCTTGCGTTTCGGGCCTAGGCCGCCGTGGTCTTCATCCTCACTGTCGCTACCAAATACACCGTAAATTGCGTCTTCTTTACCATTCTTCCGACGTCGTTTGTGTGAATTTTCAAAGAGGGCGCGCTCAGCACGAATGTCTGGATCATTGTTGTCTAGGTTAACTTCAGCTTCTGAGCCTTCTGAAGAGTCGGAATCATCATCTTCGAGGAATTGATGTTTGCGGCGTGGCATGATGATGTTAAGGTTTCAGTTAAACTGTATTGGCAGATCCGCGCGTGACCCGTGACGCTAGTGGGATGCGGCCACTCAACTGTCACGGTTTTGTCCTTCAACGTGGAGTACTAAGAAGCCAACCACAACTCACGAGCCTACATGGTACGAGTGCGTAACATTCTAGTAACATTCATGAAAACCGCCTACTGATAAATTACTGACATGCTGAATATTCGCATGCCGGGTAGTCATTGTCGTCGTCGCCATCGAAGTCATGACCTGCAAGAGCCTCGACTTGCCGCAAACGGTGACTCGGGGAGCTGTTCTTTTCAACGATATCTTATGCTGAAGGTGCGACTGTCACCTATAGGCTATCGCTCCTCTATAAGTTTTGTCTACGTGTGTTATTCGGTGCTCTAGCGTTTTGCGGTATACCTGGCGCACTCCTCATCGCAGAATGTCCACGAGTCCAGTTTATCCTGTTCCTGAAGTTGAAGCTCCAAGTTGAGCAGCTTTGTGGTGTACTCCTACACCAGTTTTTCGGGCTGCTGCAGCTTCTCATCCTCTTTACTTAATACTAGCCGCGAGGCCAGGCCGTGATATAGAAGAGGATGTCCTTGGTTTTCAGAGACAACAGAATTTGAGACAAGGTTATTATTGAGGACAATTACCGTGGTCATTCGTGAGCTTATATTTTCCGGCAATATGTGAAGCCACCGACCGTATCGGTGACTTCAGACGCTGCCGGAGCAACACGAGGGAGGGGTTGCTGGAAACATCAAGCCGCGTATGTGGGGTGGTTACTGACTTTCCGTTTTCCATTATAGATGAGCTTTGCAGAATGCTGCAAACAGTATGTGCTGCTGTTATGTGGTCGCTTGAACTTTGACCCTGCGTGTACGAGAGTGCAACCATCAAGCCACTGCGCGGCTTTTGTCCCTGCGTGTCACATTCTGGCTGTGAGTCCTTTACCTCATCTCGTACACTCATAATGTTCTAGTATATATATGGACCGGATCAAGTCTGGACAGAAGGAGACTGAAACAGATGTCTCAAGGGGTCTGTTACGATCAAAGAACGAGATCTTGAGATGTATGTCTGCATGATCATGTGGGCATCTTCTTTTCCCTTCCTGTGGCCTCTCATTTCTGCTTCGAGCTAGCCTCTAGTGGTGGTGTCATACAATCAGCAGATGTGTCTGGCTGTACAAACTGATGTCCCACCGACTCAATGATTAGCTCCAGGATGGATTCAGTGCGAGCAATGTGACAAAATCGCACTAGTACCCTTATTATAATATACATCCTTACGACATGTCACCCCATGACCAAGGCAGAGTGACAGGAGGTGTACACGAGGCTACTGATACAAAATGGGGTATTGGATGAATATTAGCCGTTGATAGTCTGGGTGTGAGATTTAGAGGTGAGTTATCTAGTTGTTGCATCTCGATCTATGCATGGTACATATCTTCCACGTCTGACCTTCTTGGCGTCATTCCGACAGAATATGACCAGGGCAAGCTCTTACGCTCTCGGGCGCGGGCAGTGAGGCAGGGGTTGCGCAGATTGGCATTAAAAACTATTAAGACGATAGGTTTTTCTATGGTGATATCACGTTTGGGCATCTAACATCAAAATGATGGAGCTCCTGAACTAATGCTAGCACAAAGATGTCAGGTTGGCACCGGATACGAGTACCGAAATCCCGATCAGCTTCTCAAGCTTTTGTGGTGTTCATACATTCTACGTGATGCTTTGCAGGTTCACCTCTACAATCCCCCAGAATCGACTTCCGCTTCCAACTCCATTTCATACCAAAATACTTCAATTAGTCATGGCAGGATCTCCATTATTATTCCAACGGCAAAAGAGTTCCATAGTGGTATATCTAGCATGAACGCTATCGTCTATCAAGTTCGCCGCTCCACCATGTACATCCTTCGAAAATGACCCTATCGAAATAATCCCAGTAGGTGGCCGACAATCAGTTCGTCCAGTATCTTCAACTATTTTGTAGGTTCGTAGAGTCATCGGATAACGAACACGTCAATGATGTCTCCATAGAGTCTAACCTTCTACTGCGATTTTGCAGTTGCATCTTCTATTGTGCTGGTATATATACGGCTGTGATGAGCAAGATCTTATTCAAGAAGTCGGGATCATTTATAGGCTTTCTAGTACTCACATTCGGACAAGAGGTAGGATCAGTTTGTTTCATCAGCGGAGCCATCTCACCATAAATGTATCTATAGATTGAACTGATCTGGGTGAGTAGAGTCCCACGTCAGAAAGAACAACAAGTAAATGATAGGACCCATTTGTGGTAAGAGCGGCGCTGGTCCCTCGACCCTCGTCACTTTTATATCTCAATGTATGTATTTCATGTTGTGAATTGTGCTACATTGGAATAATAAACACTGCGTATGTCTCCTCGCACACTATATTGGTTTGTTCTTTCTCCTGACTGGCAGCATACAGCAAATCAAATCTTCTACCAATTTTGTCAACAGACACAGTAAGTATTTGCTTTGATCCCTGCAATTCCCGTCTGAATATCTGTGCTCCTGCTGTAGGGGTGAGGTTCTCGACCGATTGCTTTGTTCGACATAATGACTGCAACAGCTACGAGTTTATCTGGAGTGTTTGGTAATCCGAGGCCTGTGACTCACGGATTTTCAGGCGATGTTATGAACACCTTATAAAATTGGCCAAATTTTGTCGTAAATGCCATGCTGGACGGCGAGCTATTGACCTTGCTATGTCATATTGACTTGACTAAACGTCATGTAAGTCATCGTGCATCACGCATCATGATCCATCTTATTTGAATATGGTTGTGGTTGGGTTTCCCGCCGAACTTCCAAGGATGTTTTTAGCTTTGCTGCTGTCTCTTGCTTCTATCCACAGCTCTCGGTATGGCCTCTGTTCACCTCTGTGACCACTGCTCATGATTTCTATAGAACTCATCATCAATCTAATCTCAAACTTACGGTGGTGCTCCTGAATTTTCCAACTAGTGCAAATGTCTGTGCTGGGACCGCGCCTGATCCTTAGTATTCGTGAATATCACGATAAGGTTGTAGCCGACTCTGATACAAGAATAAGCATGACTACGGTGGACGTCCGGGAGCACCCATGTCAATTGGTAGTGATACACTTGTTTATCGAAGGTTGGCAGTGATTGCAACAGTGTAGTATCAGAGAGAGCTCCATGTATTGTCATGCATATTGTATTCTCCCTAACTCACCGCAATGTCCGATTGCTTGAATATTTGATTTTTGTCTTCACAAGTGGCTCTTGTGTTCATGAAACCACGATAATGGGATGGCTTTCAAGACAGCGCCACGGTACGATGGGAAGGAAATCTAGGAGAATCAGCTCCTTGCTATCTCCACACCTCATAGAGAGAAGAGACTGACTGCCAAGGAGATTCTTGTAATGTTTGTATGGTTGCAGATCACTTGATTTCAACACGCTAAATTGGAGTCAAAACAATGTTGACAGTGAATTGCCCTCGACAATTTTGATGTGCTGATTTCACTTGACAAAATTACGCCTCGCCACGTTGTAGACCCCGTCTCAGTACGCAATATTGAAGTTTTCAAATGCTACTTCCCAATGCTGAGTTTCTTCGACAATGAGTGGCTAGTGAGTGTCGATGGCTAAAGCGTCGTAAAGCCGTTTGATATGCTACTAAATCTGTAGTAGCGATTTGCTCAGTTGGTCTTGGCCATGAATAATGATCTCGTACTCGAGTAGAGCTTTCTATGCGACAATGTCTGCATAGTGTAACATGGTCAGACTGCCGCCCGCATAACCGTTACACCAAAAGGTGAAATACTGAAAGCTTAGCTTTCAGCATCAGCGACAGTATATGTACTGATTATGGGAACTCAGGTAAGCCGGCGTGCTTACACATAGCAGCATAGGCCAGTGGCTGCAATTGGTAGCCTACGCGGTGAATGAAGAGTTTCTGTAGGGCTGCCGCATAGTGCAATTGAACACTTGTACTTACTTGAATCCTAACGCACATCTACGTCCAGAGAAAGTGCAGAAGCTATTCGAACTTCTCCGAGTACTGGTAGGAGTCGTAGGACAACACCCTAAGGAATGATTTAATGGTGACGTTTCGTCAGTCTGACCGTCCCTTCATGTTCTATCCTATTTCTTTTATATTTGTGGCAGTGGCTTATAATTCTCCATGGGCAAGTAGGCTGGTAGAGAAGGAACGGCCATTTTCAAGATCTGCCCTGGGGGAGACTAGATATATCAGGTTGTGAATTGGCATGCGCCGTGCAATGGGTATCACAGCGAAAAAAGCAAAAACAAAGGGCCTGGCCGGGAATTGAACCCGGGACCTCCTCGAATTTGGGTGAACCCTAACAAGGAATCATACTACTAGACCACCAGGCCGATGAAATCCCTGACTTACTAAACAACCATAATCGTGCAAGTTCCAAATAGGTCTACTGACGCGTCCCTTCGCGTTCATCTTAAGGACCGACATCATCACCCAACATCATCTAGCACAATGGACCAACGAAGAAAGGACGCTCTCAAAAGCTACCGGGATGTAAGCGAGCTGCCTGCCTTGCACTTCTGCTGATTTCAGCTTGCTATAGAAAATGCAGAGTCACGAGAACTCGAGCCAGAGTCTCAAGAACTGTTAGTGCTCGTCGAATCAGCGCATTCGAAGTGTTCTGACGTTGCTACCATACAGTGCGATTTTCGTTGAAAGATCTCGAGACTGACTACGCGAAGACCGAGGATGACATCAAGGCCGTGCAGTCCGTTGGGCAGATCATTGGAGAGGTTATGAAACAACTAGATGACGAACGATGTCAGTCGCATTAGGTTTCTCCGTCTATTGAAGCGCTCAATCATTGCATAGTCATTGTAAAGGCATCGTCAGGACCTCGATATGTCGTCTCTTACCGCCCCGCCCTACCAGCAGAGAAACTCAAGACAGGCACACGAGTTTCCCTTGACATGACCACCCTCACAATCATGCGTATCTTGCCAAGAGAAGTAGATCCTATGGTTTACAAGATGAGCTTGGAAGATCCTGGAGGTGCATCGTTTGCGGGTATTGGTGGCTTGGGTGAGCAGGTACGAGAGCTGCGTGAGGTATGTCTGCTGTAATTTCTTCCTGCTACTTCATACTTACTATTCTCCAGGTGATCGAGCTACCGCTGCTCAGCCCAGAACTTTTCCTACGGGTTGGTATCAAGCCTCCCAAGGGTGTCCTCTTATACGGTCCTCCAGGGACGGGCAAAACCCTCCTCGCCCGTGCTGTTGCAGCCACTCTCCAAACCAATTTCCTCAAAGTAGTATCCTCTGCTATCGTCGACAAGTACATTGGTGAGAGTGCCCGAGTTGTGCGTGAGATGTTTGGGTATGCAAGGGACCATGAGCCCTGCGTCATATTCATGGACGAAATCGATGCCATCGGTGGAAGGAGGTTTTCGGAGGGTACCAGTGCAGACCGTGAGATTCAAAGAACATTGATGGAGGTTGGTATTTGTTCCCTACTTTCTTTCTGGGATTATGTTTACCTTTTCACAGCTATTGAATCAAATGGATGGTTTCGACTCCCTAGGACGAACAAAGCTCATCATGGCAACAAATCGGCCAGACACTCTTGACCCTGCTCTCCTCCGTCCTGGTCGACTAGACCGGAAGATTGAAATTCCTCTACCGAACGAACAGGCACGATTAGAGATTTTGAAGATCCATGCACAACCCGTGAACAAGAGCGGATACATTGATTATGAAGCAATCGTGAAGGTGGGTTCTATTGATGTTATCTTGTATTCATCTCACCTGGCTTGCAGCTCACGGATGCATTCAATGGTGCTGACCTGCGGAATGTGGTGACAGAAGCAGGCATGTTCGCCATCAGGGACGACCGGTGAGTTCTAGCCTGTCATGACAAGCACTTGTTTCGCTCATTCTCGCGAAGAGAATACATCGTCCAAGAAGATCTCACTAAAGCTGCACGGAAGGTCAGCGATGCTAAAAAGCATGAGAGTGAGTCCAAGCTCTTCGTAGTTCGTTACATTTTCTCAAGCAATTCACAGCCAAGTTAGAGTATTCTGCATAGACCCGCATGTAATATACCGCCTGCATTGTATCTCATTTTTATTTCGCATTCGAAGGTTATCCACGACTAAGAACCGATAACCCAAAAGGTTTATTAACGTCACCCTATTATAGTCTACAAACTTCTGCGTCGTTGAATATCGTCCACGGGTAGTTCGAGCGGAAAACTGGTTAAGCAGGAGAGGTATGATAAGAATCAGAAACGGAAAAGTCCCTTCTTTTTCTTCTTCTCTTCCTTTTCTACCGTACCCGAGCCGACCAGCGATGCCGATGATGTAGACGACGGTGTCTTCACAAGCTTGCCGGCGAAAAGTTTCGAATCTTTCGGCACAGGGAGTGCGGGGCGTTGAGGTGTAGGAGGGTCTGGTGTGAAGTATTTCTCATCATAATACTCTTGGTATGAGTGATGTGCTTCTGCCAACGAGACACCGTTTGGCACAGCACGTGAGCCGACCCCCGCAATTTCAATGACTTTCAAGTCATCAATGAAATTACGGGGCGTAATAGCGTGCGTCGAGCCTACAGATAACAAGCTTTCAGCGACCTTGAGTGCTCCTAATGGGAGCAAATGACATACCTATGTAGATATCCTTGTTTAGCGACGTCGACAACGAGTATGCTTCTCGAATCTCCGAGTATGTCATCCCGCCGACTACAAACACGATAACACGCTGCTTGCTCTCCGCAAGAACATTCGGTCGAACAGCCTTGTGCCAGCTAGGCTTCGCACTGCGTAGGGACGTGGTTTGGGGTGTTGTCTGTTTAAGACTTGCAGCCGGCGACAGAACTGTCGGGGAATCTTTGACGTAGGGGAAGAGCGTGGGGTCTAATTTGCTGGCGGAGTGTTCCTGGGGATGGTATTCAGCACAGAGCAGTGAGATGCAAGAGTGCCCGTACTTCTATGACTGTCCGAAGCAGAGGTCGGTACCGTGAGAGCTCATACTCGTCGTCACTGCATGTCTTCTGCTTGAGTTTCTTCTTTGTATCCTTGTCCGAAGGTCCCTGGGCGCAACCATGAGTGAGATAATGGATTACACTTGCCACGCGCGTACTCTGCTTATGCGAACACCAAGATAGACCAACGAATTGACGGCGTCCTGATCAGCCATGCTCAGCCGTGCATGTTGATACAATCGTCGGAGATCCTCGCCTGGAACACCATCACGGTGTTGGATGTAAAGCGCGACCATGCGCACTTTGTTGGAATTTCTATGCAAGACTATCAGGTCAGCTGCCCAGAAGGGTTATATGAATGCTAACATGACCTCTTGACTATCCAGCAAAGGCACCATTTCCTCAACAAGAGTCTTCGGTGTCTTCCCCTCTGCGGTGAGTCCAGTAGCGCAACACTGGATATGCGTTAGCTTTGTCCATCGAAAGAATGTATCACAGCTACCTGCTCAACGTTGGCTGCCAGCGGTAGTTTATGCTTCTCAAACAGGTTCATACAATCCTGCGCCATGTTCAGATGCAACGAGAACTTGAATGTCACCACCAGATTAGTATCGTCGATACGGGCAGGCATACGCAAACACTCACCTTTTCTCTCTGCTCTTGATACTGAGGCAAACTTGCAAGCATATCCTTCATGTCATTAAGACTGGCAGCACCCTCCCCCTTGAACCCTGCATTCTCTTCCATGAACTTGTTAAAATCTGCCATGAGTTTGTCGATCGCTTCACGCATATGCATGTGGCGGACAGTGGTCCATACGGAGTCGGCATCGGAAAGAGTGGCGATCTTGTCCTCATAAGATCCGACCGATGACTGAAACTTGTACCTACGGGTAAAGCTGTCAGTGAACTTTCGCGCTAGCACACGCAGACAGACATGTATTTCGTGCCGTCGTCTATCTGCAGCAGATCATTACACATAGCCTGATATGTGAACTCGTGAATGAAAGGTGCGATGGTATCCATAGATCGGTCTGTGATTATGAGAGTGCCGCGGGGTCGGGGAGGATCAGAAGCTTTCTAGCGTCATCAATCACAATAATTTAACAAGCCATTCGAAGTCGACAGGTCACCTGAGTTGAGCACTCACAGGGAACTCCGGATTAATCCGCTTGTACTCGTCTAGGTTCTGCTGGATCATGAACGCAAGCAACTTTGTAACGAAATCCGTGTCAGCAACCTCGTACGCGCGTGCAGCGTCTCCGCGAGCTAGATTGGTTCGCCATCGACCACTGCCTTCAGGAGGCGGAGGGGCGCGCGTTTGGTCGTTGGGCTTGAGGGGACCAAGGGGAGTGTGGTGAGTTGGCATGTAGTACCGAACGTACGGGAACTCGTTGAGGGTGATGCAGACGTTTGCTATCTGCAAATAACAGAGGTCACGAACATGGCTCCAAACACCTGCATTTGAATGCGCACAGTCTTGCTAACGAACCGCAACTCCTCCTCAAGCTTCGATCGCGCTGACTTGAACGCAGCCTCATTTCGCGGTGGGCTATAAGTATTAAAGAACAGGCCTGGTGACTGAAGAGAGAAAGTTTGCGCCTCGGTCGCTACATACGGAGGCATCCTAATCAACATCAAGCTTCGTCGTGAGTGGCCTCCGCGCGAAACTCACCCCAAAAGTTGACAAATAAATCCTGCAGGCCTTTCAGGTGCGGTTCAGCAGGGGACGTCGTCAAGTGCTCGAACAAGGCTTCCGATAACCCTAAAGCACACGCCCGTCCTCAGCCGATGCAGCTGACAGATGAGAAAGCGTACCATCGACGAAGAATAAATGAGCCCCAAGATATTGCTGGCGGCCGTCACTAAAGTCTTTGATGATGCGTTTGACATTCTGCGTAGTCGGCATGAGTAGATACACTGCCTCAAACTGTTGGGGTTCCCGGTGACTGGATATCGACTCAATCACTGACCCATATAGCTGTCAGTGCTAATTGGATTATTCAACTGACAAGGGCTCACAGGTAACATTCTCCTCAAGGATATCGAACTGCTTGAGAACTGAGCCTAGCAGCTTCTGTGAGTGTTCGTCCACCACAAGGATCTTCCATCGTCCAGGGGGGTTCACGGATCTGATGGCTTGAAGCAATTCTGCAATTGTGATATGTACATTAGCGCTCGCTGGCTTATAAGAAAGCAGCGCGCATACTTGAGCGAACAGCGGTGATGAGTGAGGCCATGAATTGATATGGCTGGTAGTGGTACAACGCGTAACTTAACTGTCTTCCAAGCCTTATTATCGGCTATCACCGTAAGTGACATGTTTATCGCCAGCACTTGACCCGTACGATCCCTTGCAGTTCATGTCAGGGAGTATACTCAGACGTACGCCGAAGCAATTTATTGTTCTCTGCAAAGCCCTCTGTCCCAAACTCAAACCTCACACAAGATTACAACATATTGAACAGAAAAAACGGGGTATTTGAAAGCAGCATAGATAGAGCAGCATCCACAAAAACATACTTGTCCACGAGGGGCGAAATATATATATACAGCTGCTGTGCGTCCGTCATCGTCTAGATTAGTATCAAGCTTGCGTAAATGATATATCCGTCAGATCACATAAGGAGGGAGCCGCCAGCAGCCAATAATGAAGCGACAACCATAGATATAGGCATTATGACATCCGATAGAGCACCAGAAGTCTTGGTGCTGTTACCCTGCCCGCCTGAGCCGCTGGGGACGGACGAGTCACCACTAGTGCTGTTCGGGTAGGGAAAGCTCGTGTTTGTATTGCTCTCGCGGTACAGGTTCGTGCTTGGGATGCCATTGCAGTGACCAATCGAGTCGAACTACATAACGGGGAGTCAGACAATTGTACGCACATCAGGGAAATTACGAACAGTAAGTGCGGGGGTAAAGTTCATAGCAGCAGGCAGCGTGTAGCCAATGGCAAGATCAACGGTTTGTGCGTATAAGTCGTGCTCAAGAACAACAAATCTAGGAAAGAAATGAGTAAAGTCAAACGCGGACAATTCGAACTCCACCTACCCAGTGTTCAGCATAGTTGCGTTAGTTAGAATAGACTCAAAAGTGGCGAAGGACTGAGGACCTGTAACCACACCGCCAGGAACCTTCCAGTCTATTGTCGATTAAGATAAATTTAAATTCGAAACCCAAACGTAAAATTGAGATAGCTGACCGTTGGTATCAAAAGTTGCACCAGTACCAGTGCTAGTCCAGATGACGGGGACCATACCCATTGCCAGGGAAATGGCACGAACACGATCGTCAATGTCACCGTAAGGGGGACGCATCAATGTGGGAGTAACACCAATGACGTCCTTGATAGCTTTACGTGCCCAACCAAGCTCAGCTACGACTTGTGCGGTAGTAAGCATGGTAAGAGGCTATTGCACAATTAATTATAGACGCAAGATTAATTTGATCACACGTACGCGATGCGACCAGGTGTGGACAGCGATTTCGTGCCCAGCCATATACTCCTCGACAAGAACCTGGGGACGCTCGACGATACGAGAACCAATAACGAAGAACGTCGAGGTTAACTTCTTAGAAGCCAAGTAGTCAAGAAGCTCCCTGTCAATCAATGAGAAAATTACAGTCGAGAATGTCAAAAATAACATACTGAGCTGTTCAAAAACATCAGCCTTGATTAATGTACAATGCTAGAAAAATATACATACTGTAGAAACCTGGACCATCGTCAAAACTGACACCCCATGTCAGCTTGCTCGGACAAGCAGTGATATCAGTAACACGGGTAAAGCCACCGCAAGTCCACCAACCACGACTAGCAGCTTGCGCGGCGGCAGCCGGGTCGTTGGCGCAGGTGCCATCTACAGTCGGAGTGATATCGGGGATATTGAAACCATCGAGTTCTTCCATCCATTGGGAGACCTCCGACGAATCTGCGTAATGATATTAGGTTTCGTAACCATCAGAATTTTTTACAACACGCACTAGTAGGTGCAATCTGGTCCTGAGTAGGCCAGCTTGCAGCTTGGAATACGACTATGTACAATATTGTCAGCACCAGATAAATACATCGGTAAGAAAGCTTACATGGCGTAGGCAAAACCGGAGCACCGGAAATTAAAGGTGTAGCGCCTGCGGAATATGTAGCAGAGAGGGGGACGGTCGAAGGGGTCGCCATGCCCGAAGTGATATTAACAAGTGGTGGAATAGTGGTGCCAACAGGTGTAGTCGGAACGGGTGAATTCGAGGTCAATGTAGCCGATGTAAAGCTCGTTGTCGGGGCACCAGATGATGAGGAACTCGAACTACTGGCAACGACAGCGCCAGCATTCTGTCTCTTTCCGAGACGAATGTGATGTTCGGGGGTGGCATTAGCAGCACCGAGAAGGGATAAAAGAGTGACGATGGCTTGCAGCTGCATGTCGGAATGGGCCTAGCCAAGACAAAAAGAGTGACAGGACAGATGATGGTCTTGGAACTTGAAACGCGATGGAGAAATAGAAAAAAACATCAACAAATTAAACCGGCTACATGCCAAATTTGGATACCCGATCACACGATATCTAAAAATGGTAATGGTGTTCCTGGAAACGCTATTCTCGGTTCGAGATGCTGTATATCGAGCTACCAAACGTTATTGGTCGAACAACTACACAAATGCAATAGAAATATATGCTATGATGAGGGTACTAGTAGTATCACGAATTAACAGACAAAATCATAGCAAATGATACTCATATAACACATTTGAATATCATAACGTGCGCAAAACAAAAATACCTACAGTCATCGCGATGACGCTAACGACGCCGTATCACAAGTAACATGTGATCCCACAGTCATTCGCAGTGTTAACACACGGTCGTCAGAGACCATCAAGATCTCGTCGCGCCCCGACGGTATGTAGCGTGCATGCTGAGACTGAGGGGAATGGGCGGGTGAACCATATCCTTGTCCATAAACTGACGGAGTCGGATGCTGATATGGACTATATCCTTGCTGCCCGTAGTATTGGTTTTGCTGTGCATTACCTAGATGCGTCGCCGACGGTGGCATGTCAGCGAATAAAAGACGGAGGTTGTTCCCCTGAATGACTTGCGACATGAGACCCGTTTCGACGTGTCGTATTTCCACGAACGTGGGTTCAAACGCTAAAACATACGGAAAACGAAGGGCTGAATAACTACATTAGCGCTAGCCCAACGTACCTGGCGCCTGGACGTACCAAAGCCAGTAGGCGAGCCCTCCCAGTGTACCATGAAGTCTTGTCGGGACCGCCAGCCATTTTTATTCACATAGAACGCGAATTCTACGGGCGGATGAGTCATTTGCCGGAAGAGAGATGTTTCTGACTTGCCGTCATAACAAAGCAGAAACTCATTGTCTACCCGATAGATAGCCATCGGCCGAAGATTTTCTCTTTTCCGTACAAAGTCGAGGGAGGCGTCGGCCGGATCTAGGAGCCCCTGTGTATCAAGACTCTCGAGGTCGACAATCTCGAACCCTTTCGTGCACCCCACGCAGAGTTTCGTTTTCAAGAAGTGGATTGAACTCGACTCCACGGGAATATAAAATTCCTATGGCGAAATGAACCACTTGAACACCATACACATGAGAAGACTTACTCGGAACGCCTTTAACGTATCATTCCCGCCCTGCAAAATCTTACGGAACGTTGGTTTACTCCTTCCGCGAATGTTCTGGTCAATCGGCTCCAATGTCTTAATCGTACTAGATAGCGGACTCGATTTGACGATACAGACGAGGACTTTTCCTAGGCAAATGCCAGCCTTGAAGAACGTTGTGTGCGACGATATCTTCTTCGCCCGCTTCAAGCCAGACATCGGGTCCATGGGGTCGAGAGCGTCTAACGGGAATGTAATGACTTGTCGTTCTAGAGTAAAACCTGTAAATAAAATGCTACTCGGAAATAATGAAGACTGACCGGAAAGTACTATGAGCAATTGAAACTCTTCCAGGACATCAACTTGGGAAACATCCAGCAGAGCCAGCACTTTGACCGGGTCTCTGTTTGAATGATTCAAATCCGACAGATAGATTCCGTCATCCGTCCCATAGACGATTCTCCTTCCGTATGCTACCAATCTCATTAACATTCTTCTACCGGAGTATGCACCAGAATTACTCACCAAACGGCGCAGCGCAATTCACCCTATTCTGCCCGAGGAAGAAGCCCTCGCACAAAGTGATTGTCTCAAACACTGCACTCCGCTCACGGAGAGACTCCTGTTGCTTTGTGATGGTCTCGACCCACTTGCGGTGGCTTACAAATGTGCTCGCCCAAAGCGTCATCTGGTAGTACTTGCGCCCCAGATGTATGAATGTAATAGCAAATCCGCTTTTGCCATCGACCTTAATTGGAATGGCAGGCGCATACGGTGTACCACGGTTGAAACTGTTTTTCTTCGTGAGGGTTTTATGCCCCTGGCGAGCGTTAGCAGGACGATGGGAGTTATTGGATTCATCTGTGACGTGCACGAAGAGGAGCTCGAGAGGTATCGGCTGCGGTGCGGATAAGGGTGAGAAGCAGGCATTCACAGTGGGATTCAAGCACCTACTCGTCGATAGACCTTGAATTGCTCGTGTTTACTCTTCTGCTTCACCATCAGTAGAGCGTGGTCAAAGAGGTACACAAGCAAGTCCCCGCTGTCTCCTTGCCCACCACCTCTCTTATTCAGGGCACCCTTGTATACTAGTTCACGACCAGGATCCTGCAGCTTCAGGTCCTATCGAACATCGTCAGTAAAACATCTCAAGGTATCATGATGACGAAGTGGACACATACCACTTGCTCCCCTGGCCTGTACACGAGTTGCTGGTCGAGTTGTAGGAGGTTGAAGCGGTTCTCTGTCTTGCCTGTCTCTACGTTCACCTTCCCTAGGAACTCGCGGACCATGATGACCACCTGCGCAAGCGTTTGTTTATCTGGGTTGTCGTCAGGTGTTTGCTTCAACACCGCCTCCAGAAGCAGCGGATAACGAGCTAATCGTGTGGTCGGCTTCGTCAAGTATCCATTGAGCTCAAGCTTGCGCGACTCCGGCAATCTTTCCGTAGTCTAAAAGAACCGTATCAATCACCAGGAAGAATCATGATGGAAAAGCCGACTCACTTCCACAAACTGTGCGAACGCTGGATTGGAGCTCTTCTCCTTTTCGAACTCATACTTGCCATACAATTGGTGAGCACCGTAGCTTACGAAGGGCGCGAAGTGCGGCACAGAATCAAGGAGGATGTCTCCAATGCGCTCTACAACAGCGTACGACTTTTGTCGCTTGTTGAGCGCATCTCGAAGGCGGGTATTTACTGCGATTATTTCGTGGATATTCCAGAAGACCTGTGTGACAAAGTCCGCACGACGTTCAGCGGGGATGATGTCACTGTCTTTCAGCCCATTTATCCAGACCTGTGCCAAAAATTAATCCACGACGGATAGTATAATGTACGAAGACGCACATCGCAAAGGTATTCCATGTCACGGACAAAATCACGTTCCGTGTATATAACTTCGTTAATAGCTTCCTGTCGCCTTTTCTCAGCGTCGGAGACACTGTTAACGACCTCTTGCGGGACGGAGTGTATCCATAGCGTACCAGGTTCCTGCCCAGAGGGAATATAATCAACGCTGAAGAAAGGATGACTATGTCACACGCACCACAAAGTCACCTAAGCTCTCCCTCGATATCTGCTTCTTAAGCCCAGGCTGTGGCTTCATGTTTAGCCGCGACTGCTGCTCAAGCCTCCTAGGGCACGCAATACTATAGCACAGGTGATCTCGCGTACACGTCGGCGAGTAGCAGTCCGTAAGAAGCGTGAAAACGCCCGAAGGAAGGGGCATCTCATCGATACTCTCTGAATCCTGGGGCCCATGCGGGTCAGGTATCTCAACAATAGGTGAAGCGTCCTTCTCCTGTGTGTCAGCATGCGAATCGTTCGATCCCTGTCCAAAAGGCCCCGATCCACAATCTTGAGGACGAGGCGATGGCCGCTCCGGTTTCAAATCACCATCATCATCCCTGTCCCCATAGTTTGTCGGCAGCTCACCGCTTACGAATGGGCTCAAATGCGTGCGGAACTGGTACAGCTCTGCAGCGCTATCCCTGAGCCGATGGTCATAGGTGACATCATGGAAGAACTTTTGTGCGTCGAGGGCACGACCAAGAAGTAGTGCGAGATTGCGGTCAGTAGTCTTGATTATATATGAGATCTTGTCAACCGCCTCACGACCGTCGAAGGCATCCTTGTATGTAAGACCATCCTTAAGACGATCCTGGAGGTTGATACGTTCACGGAAAGCCTCCGCGACGCGAGAGAGGAGTGCAGGGTATACGATAGGTGCTCGGCGAGGTAGTCGTGCGGAGGTGGTGGGGCTGTTGCGACCCTCAGCCATAAATGGGTTCGGGGCACGAGAGCCGCGATCGATCATAGTGCGGACGCTGCCCGAAGCAGCTGACATGGACATAGATCGGTCTTGTGGAGCGCGGTCACGACGAAAGGCAGTACCAGGCATCGTACGGACAGAGTCCGATGATCGACGACTCTTGGAAGCGGCAGCATGGTCGAGACGGGAGGATGAAGCAGGGGAAGTACTGATGAGAGAATTACGAGTGGACATGAGAGTAGTGTCGAGCTGAAGGGGTTGTGGTCGGGAACTGGCAGATGAATTGCTCTGATCAGATGCGATGGAAAGAGGGCTTGCTTGTCGATATTGCTGTGCCTTTGGGAAGGGAGCCATCGCTTTGGAAGGGGGACATTATGAGCTCATTGTGCAATGGGATCAGATATGGGATAGTGGAACCCACGTGTATATTCTCTTGCATCTGCACCTGTGTCCGGAATGGCCCATGGCAATTCGCTTGTGGACCCTTCTGGGCCTTGTTGATCATCAGTGCCAAAATCGATATTGAAGCGAGTATCCTCGAGGTCAAGATTGACGCCCAGACGGGGTACGTCGTTAGAGACACGATGATGGTTGCCGTTCAAAGAGGGTTCCCTTGTGGAATCGGGCTGCCCATTGGGTTGCTGTTGATGGGTAGGCCTATTACGGTAAACTTGAGCCTGATAAGCCTGTGCAGGAGTGAGGCCTGCTCTCGTAAGAGCCTCGAGGGACTCATCGGGGGGATCGTCTGGTAGCGGTGAGATTATACCAGCAGCATGGGGTGAACTGACCACAGATCTAGTTCGACCATGGATCATGGGAGGCGCCAGAGTGTGTGGACGGGTGTACTGTGCATGGTGGTGTGCAGGCAGTTGTTGCTGGGATACGGCTGTATGTGGATATGACTGCCTGTATGGAGACTGCAGGTGCTGCTGAGGGTGTTGCGGTAAGTGATTTGGATAGTAATTTTGAGGTTGGGAGTGTGATGTCCTCCTGTCATGCTGGTAGTGCGCGGGGTATGGTTGGTTGTGGTATTGAGCGCCATGCACAGGCATGCCGTGTATTGACTGTGCATATTGCAGCTGTTGGGCAACATGCTGGCCAGGATATTGCCCTGCCTGGTGGTGAGAAGCGGAGGGCCGACCGAAGATGGACTCGTATGCTTCATTTCGCTTGTCTGGCTGGCGTGGCCCAGCTGGCCTGTCCATCGCGCCCGTATCTGACTAATGATGTTCTAGGGCAATCGTGGACAGTTGAGAAACAAGAGAGTTACCGTCACGTACGGGTCGCTGGTGCTAGCGTTGACTGCGTGGTAGAGATTCAGTTTACGGCCTGTAGTTGCACCAAGTTTGGATATCACCCGCTGATTCGCTCACACGTTCTTCCTCAGCGTCAACGGCGGCGAAGACAATGTAGTGATCGTTGATGGCGGCGACGACCGCAGCAACTTTGATGTACTTAATGTAGAAATACAAGATACAGTCGAGATACGGTTTGGGTTACGTAGCTAGAGGGCATCGAAAACGTCATGGGCAAATTCTCCACATGATTTCCCACTCGCATTGGCCAACACGGATCAGTCTGACCCTCGCACGAAGCACACCAACACGCAGAAAACACATGGACATACCGGAGTATGAAAAAAAAAAGATGCGGCTTGACATGCGCATTGTTCATTGTACCACAACATAACAGACGGGCCTTCATCATTGTCGTTGAGTTGTAATCGGTCCCGCCTCAAACGAAATGTTGCTCAGAACTTGCTCCAGAAAGGAATTAAGAAGGAAGCTACTTACTTCCAGGCCTAGGGTTTTGAAATAGTACGACTAGGAACCGAAGGGCGATTAGAACCATACTTTCATCTTGCAGCACGAGCGCTCGACCGATTCTAAATAGCGGCAAGGCTCGGTCTTTGCAGACATTCCTCGGACCGTGTCGTAACAATCAGCAGGTCAGGGGGTTCCCTGTTGGTAATTGGTAACTATCTGCTATTATCATTTTGCGAGTCTGACAGAGAATTATTCCTGGAATAGACGCACCAGTAAAAACTTCGCTTTTACACTTTAGCTATCCATACGGCCCAAGGATAACCAGAAGTCTTTCGTTCGCTCAGGTTCGCCTGTGTCCGGATGCTGTGAGTTTGGACTTGCTATTGCTCTACCACCGTGTTATGCATAACTTGTAAATAAGGAAACACCATCGGACAAAGCCCTGCGCAAAACACTGGATTCCAAGGAACTCACCAAGCCAGTGCACATGCTGCCAAACTGTCACGGAAACCGAGTACGCCGCAGGCTTGGCGATCCAGGCCAAGCTGGGATTCGGTTACTTCACAGGAGTCCCGCCGGAACCCCATACCTGGTTAGTTGTAAAAGAAGGAACAGCTGTCTTCCTTCTACTATGTATGTATCGGTCTGCCTACCATAAGGAGACTTCAGACTAGCAAGTTGTATTAGGGAGAAGGGACTTCGCTTATGGGAAGTCTCTTCATCATGAATCATAATAGTCAACCGGGGCCGAGTAGAAACGATTTCATTGTTTGTACTTACGTTCTGAATAAGAACTCTCGGAGCTCGACAATCAAAGAGTTCAAAGGGGAGCGAGTATGACATCTCCTCGGGGCCAGAGAATTCAACTTGTTCTAGAACTTTCTGAGTTTTTCCCCGAACCCCATTAATATTCAAGGTCAGGGGAGACAGGCTTCTGCACAACAACTTCAAGCCATGACGAGCACTTGCCTCGAATACAGGAAAAAAAAGGGCAAGGGTAGTCAAGTATGCGAGAATAACTTAGAGAAGGTAGCTTGCAAGTTCAACTAAAGAAAAGGGCAACTCGGTCCACAATTTGATTCAAGCAAACATTAAACTTTGCTTAAGCTCGGTATTAAGTTTGCGGACATCCCCAAGCGATAATTTCCCAGTGGTCGGGAAAACCCGTCAATTTCCTCTGCAGGCTCTCAGATCTCAGCGCTCAGCACAGGTCCTTCAGGTCTCAATAGCCCTCCTGCACTATGAATTTTGTGAAGTATTTTTTAATCCTAGTCTCTAAGCTGCCTTGGATATATCTGAGTGAGTAGTCTATCACAAATATCGCGAGCAACCGAGGTAGTGGAACTATCTGAAAATGAGAAAGGACAGGAATCACGCGTTCCGACGATGTTATGTGATAACGCATACCAAATTCTGAAGAGGGACACGTATCGATACTAACGCCTGAGCTGCCTTGGACCATGCCCATCAACGGCTGCGAGTTATCACTGATGACTCCTTAAAGGATCTACTTCTCTTGGCTGACGTCCAGTCCTAATGTGTTACCAGATTACGGAGAGGATGTCTTCAACCATCAGACCGCAAAGCTCCAATAATAGGACTTTGAGAACAAGGACGACGAACTGATCCCATCTGAAGAATGGTACTCATCTGCGTGGGCGCACATTGGTCATGGCTAAGGCCTATAACCGTCGGGCAGAGGGTCGGGTGGGTTTTGGTCAATCATATACACCATAACGCCGGCTGACTTCATTAACCGAAGGTGCATGCGCACATAATCAGGGTGATCGATCAATCCTCAGTGCTAGCGGAAGAAATAGCACCCGCAAGAAGAACAAGAACCGCATCTGCTGCGGATACCGTCTTCTGATGGACGTCATGCGCAGCCTGATGAACGATTTGTTAAGGTCCTGACTAATGAGAATTGCTCGCTTACCGATGCGGAATTGGAGACAAGTTAAACCACTAGTACTTATTGTTGAATTGGTCACAGCAGACATTAAATAAGGAACAACCACAGCTGCTAGTCAGAACCATAACAAAAGCTTTGATCGTGTTCAAGTGTATAGTATATCAGACAACCGATTGCGAAGGAGTACATATATTTAATAATCAGGCGGACGCCTGTACCAGTGGCCCGGGGCCCTCACATCCATATGCCCAAATCTTTTCGCGGTCCAGACAAAGTACACACAACCTGCGAGAACAGGACACTGGTAGTGGAATAGATGGAATGGATCCCACCTGGGCCTGAGTCTCCATAAACGTCTTGATTTCCTGGAGTGTCCAATGGTCCGGTAGTAGGGAAGCAGGGAATGTGATCAGCTCCACCCATATTGCCTTTGCACTAGACGCGGGGACACATTCAGCGACCACCTGTTCCCTGTGTGGAATGAGCCTAGAAAACGTCTGAAGTTTCTTGAAAGGAGCCCGTGCCATCCAAAAAGGCACTGTGTAGGGTTCAGAGTCTTGAGGTTCAATGTCGTTGGCGCAGTCGCCAGCGAAGTGCTGATGTGTTTCGTAGCATGTGTCGGAAGAGAGTAAGGTGAGGTGTTGGATGGAAGTGAGGAAAGTATATCCATGGATAGTTCCCATGAAGGACCACCATCGAAAAGAGATACTACCCGATAGCGTCAAGCTTTTTGTGCTCCAAGGAAGCGGGGAATTTATGTGGTCAACATTCAAGTCGACATCGGAGTTACACACATATTTGAGGCAACCTAAAAGAATGTCCAGACTGACAAATTCGATCGCGAGAGACGGTACAGCGAGGATCACCGGAGCTAGCAGGCTGACATCTGGCTCCGAGTCAGGCTCAGCCGCAGAAGGGGTAAAGTTGGTGATGAAGGGAGCATTTGAGTCTCGCAAAGGTCCCCGACACTCTCCGATCCACATCCTGTGCACGCAAGATGCATAATCAAGAGATAAATCACGATCGACGTATTTTTTCTGCGTACGTAGAGCCAGTATGAAAGCTGCTACGTGGCGAGCTTCTGGCAATGATACTGTATACAGAAGTTCAGGCAGCACGGTGCGCCTGACAACTTTGGAGACGTAAGATAATGAAAGGGCAGATGAGTATGGATTTTTGGGAGTGTGAGTGTCAGGTTGAGCAAAATTTGGTCGCGCTGCATATTTGAAGATAAGGAGGGCGAGCTCAGTTGGAAGGTCACTAAATCTAAATGAAATGGGAGTAGGAGGTTCCATGATGTGTGAGTAAGAGACGGAGGTAGCTGGACGCCTTTAATACTCGCCCCATGAATTGCAGCGTCATCCACAGCAGTGGGCTTGCATTATGTGTGGAATCACCAGCTGTGACCCGATATAGTTTATTGTTTCTTCTTTTTGAGTCGTCCAATGTGCTTTGGCTTTGTGAATGGTGGAAATTACTAGAGACTATCAAAGGAACAAAGGGAATGTAGCACGAACCATAATGAATATTGATGATGGGCAATGGTTTCGAGCTTCGCCATCATTATAGAAACTCACGCTCAGAAGGGCTTAACATCATGAAATCAAGTGAGCGGCACGGAGTTTCCTAGTCATGTCTTACCGGTGCACCCTTTGGCAGTCTTTGTTACAAGTCTATGCGCTTCAAAGACCCGCGACGACAAAAGATGGTGGCCCTTGACGAAAGAAAATGTTTATGACTTTGTGACAGAGCGCGACGCTACAACAAGACTGATAGAACTAATACGAGGGGGGAGGAACTAATTGTTGGGTCTTTGGGCGAAAGCCCGAAGAGCTTTTCCGGTCCAAAACACGGGTATGTACCTATGGCGCAAGATGAGCTGTGAGGCCTGTAAGGGCGAGATCATCAACTGTGGGAGCAACATTTTAGGGAGCGTACACTAAGCGTCGGATAAAAGTTTGTTTAAATTAGTTTTATGGCGAGCTGGTGACAACGACTGGCATGTTGTTTATCGAAATTTTGTTCGCACACTGATCGGGGAGTGGTGGGAGGAGAACTTGAGAAGTGAGTAGCTAAACCTCGGAATAAGATAAAGCTGCGAGCTGTGGGCAGGAGCAGAAGGCGCTGCGTTTCGCTTAATTGCGCGTAGATGGTGGCCTCGTGCCTCAGCTAGCTTAGATAATCAATGGTGAGCCAGCGTCAAATGAACAACGCCTCTAGTATTAGTACCTACACTGGGTGTGAGGAGGGCGAAAATTCCTCCAAACGCTTCAGGCCTGCATACATCGATTGTAATAATATACGACAAGGTATCGGAAGCGCCACAAGTTAGTCCCTCATATGCAGACCAATAAAAGGAAGGTGACATGCACGGTCACGGTTGTTCCTCCTGTCAAGGCTAAGTAGGATTCAACTTGATTGCAAGTAAGGCATGCTTCTTGATAACCGGGCACTATCCAAGAGAGGTTTGGACGAGGACATACATAATCAGTTCAACTGATGGATAAGCTGGCCTGAGGTCACGTGATTTTATTATTACTATAAAAGGCTCCGGCTAACTTTCGACAAACACGTGAGCCGTGGCGGCGACACTCGTGATATCGTTAAGCCGAAGTACATCAGACTCGGATATTGTTCAGTGCTTCAGACAGATTCAAATAAGTTGCATTGCGTTGCAGTACTATTCCAGCCTAATGCTTGCCAGATTTCCTCCCTTCATAATTCGTCGGAGATCGTTATTACTCAGAAAGATACATATGCCATCTCTCACCGGGCCACGTCCAGCTGACTGGAAAGTAGCTGCCCCCCCAATACCCAACTTCGCACCCCAGCATGATTCTCTTCCTCGTTTGCCAGTTCCAAATCTCGCTGCTACCCTCGATCGACTGAAGACGTCATTGTTGCCGTTGGCACACTCGGAAGCCGAATTCACTGATGCTGCTAAGAAGATCGATGCATTCGGATCACACGCTGGGCCAGGGAACTTATTGCAGTCTCGTCTCCTGCAGCGTGCAAATGAACGCGAACATTGGCTGGAGGAATGGTGGGATAATCTCGGCTACTTGGGCTATCGAGATCCGGTATGTCCAGTTCCGCTACGCATGGCACTATATTAACACGTGCACAGGTGGTGGTGAATGTTTCATATTATTGTGAGCTGTATAATAGTTCCTCATGTCTTCGGCCCTGACGGTTCATACACAGATGGCTTCGATGGGCAACCTGCCCACCTTTCGCAAAGCCCTGCTGCTCGTGCTGCTGGCCTTGCACGTGGAGCCCTCGTATTTCGGCAGAAGCTGCTGAGTGGTCAGGTGAGCCCTGACGGAACAAAGGAGGGTCAGCTCTGTATGGACACGTATCGGTACGTGATGGAATATCGAAGTTTTTTTCATCCTTCAACCCCCTATCAAGATGGATGTTTGATTGCTGTCGTATACCTGGCCTCCACGGTCTCGACTGGAGTGTATCTCACGCGGGTTTCCAGGCAGATGATTTAGGCCATATCATTGTTGTCAGGAGGAACAGGTTCTGGAAACTCAAAGGTATTATAAATGGGCAAATACTCAGCATGACTGAGCTAGAGAAGTGCGTCCCTCCCGTTGTGTTCCATGTGCTCAAACCTAATATTCGCTACAGACAGATACAACACATTTACGACTCTACAACCGAAGAATACCCAGGAGTTGGCGTTTTGACTGCATCAAACCGTGACGTATGGGCCAAGGTACATCTATCCATGCACATCATTCGTGACACCCCCTGAAAAATGTTAGGACCACGCCCACCTAGCCACGAACCCACATAACGCATCTATCTTACGTACAATACACTCCTCTGCCTTCTTGATCTCCCTTGACACCGACACGCCCTCCTCTCCCATTGGTCACAGCCGCTCTCTCTGGCACGGTTCGCTCTCACCCTCTACATCGGATGCACCTGGTCTGAAGAACCGCTGGGTCGACAAACCTGTTGAGTTTATCGTTTTTGACAACGCATGTGCTGGCCTCCTGGGTGAGCATTCCACTATGGACGGCACGCCTACTGCCCGTATGTGCGATGAGGTGCTCGACTGGCTCGCTGATCCTGCTTTTGACCTCGGGACGCCCTCTGTTATTCCACCGCCGGAGCCCGAGCCATTAGATTTCGTGGTAGACGATACGACCCGTACCGCAATCGATAAGGCGTCGAAAGCTGCATACGAGCTTGCCGATTCACAGTCATTATCATACCACCTCACATCCTATGGCAAGGCAGCCATCAAGGCGTTTCGTGTGTCCCCTGATTCATGGGCCCAGATGATCATTCAACTGGCGTATGCTCGCTTACTCCGTGCACGTGGGCTGAACAGGGAAGGGGGGACGTACGAGGCAGCGACTACACGCAGATACTGGAAAGGCCGGACGGAGACAATCAGGGTCGTCACTTCACAATCGGATGCTTTTGTTTCGGCAATGGATGACCCTCATGTCAACTGTGAGGACCGGAAACAGCTTTTTGATGCGGCTGCCAAAGCGCACATTGCACTGGCGAAGGCAGCAGGGACCGGAGAAGGAGTGGATCGGCACATGCTGGGCGAGTCACCCTTGTTTTCTTGGAACGTGTCTTACATGCTGACGAGCAAACCAGGATTGAAACTCTGCCTGAAAGAAGGCGAGCCAGTTCCAGAGCTGTACAACGACGCTTTGTACAAACGCTCTGGAAACTGGGTCCTAAGCACGAGTGCCATTTTCTCGGATCATTTCCCTGTGTATGGATGGGGTGAAGTTGTACCGGAGGGCTTTGGGGTGGCATATATGACTGGATACGATGGTACGTTCAAGTCGGAAGTTCAGGTTCGTGTGCCGAACCTCACACGTATACACACAGGCCGGCTGCAATATACCATCACCTCACGAAAGGAGATGCCAAACCAGGAGTTTACGGATGAGATTGCGAGGGCCGCGGTTGATTTGTATGATTTGCACGCTGGTCAACCAAAGTCCATGCTGTAAGAATTTTTGTGTGCTGCTTGTAGAGTTCTACAGGATAACGGCGTCTGCTTTCGTTTGTCCAAATCAATGACGTGGAGAGTTAGTGCTTCGAGGCGAACCCCCTATGAGTGGAATATGTAGTTACTAGAGCACGAGTTCACCTCCCAATATCTTTTTGATCTCTGAAAATTTATGAGTAAAATACCTAAGGGATGAATAGCACTCACTGTCAATGATATCAAGGTATGCATCTGACGCGGGGCTGTCGGGGTATTCGTCCAAAAAACTAACACCATAATCTGCGCTCTTCCCAATCCGTGGGTCAAGTGGGACCTTGCCCAGCAGTTGAATCCCAGTTTCTTTTGCCAGTCTTTCCGCACCCCCAGTAGTTGGTCTGAATATTTGACTTTCTGTCTTGCACCCAGGACAAACGAAACCTGACATATTCTCCACAAGGCCCAGCACTCGTATTCCCACCTTCCGGCAAAAGTCTATTTCTCTCCGAACATCTTGCAAGGAAACCTCCTGCGGCGTAGTCACGAGCACGGCACCATCTATGCCGCTTTCCTTCAAGTACTGAACGACACTAAGATGCTCATCTGAAGTGCCAGGAGGTGTATCGATGACGAGGTAGTCAAGATCACCCCAGTCAACATCTTTAAGGAACTGCGCAATGAGCCCATTCTTCTTCGGACCACGCCACATGACGGCGTCTCGCGATGAGGGCAGCATGAAGCCGACAGACATAATTCCAAGATTATCCTGTACATAAACAGGAGACCAGCCCGATGAAGATGAGTGCACTTGCTCTGAGGCAACGCCAAAGATAGTGGATATAGATGGTCCACAGATATCGACATCCATGACTCCGGTTTGTAGCTGTTCATCTGCAGCAAATGCCCAACCAAGCTGGGCAGTGAAGGTAGATTTCCCGACACCGCCCTTGCCGGATAGAACAAGGATCTTGTGCTTCACGGTGGCCATCCGATCGCGAATAAAGGGTAGTGCTGGGTCAGGACCCTTGGGTGTGTTAGAAGCGCAGATATCTTGATTTGCGCATCCGTTGCAGGCATCGGCTTTGCCAGCTAACTCAGATTCTGTGCCCTGCCATCCAGTGCAATTAGTGATGAGTCAGGAAAGTAGTAGACCTGGTTGGGACTTACAGGGCAGTGTTCTGGTGCATTTGAAGGAACAGACGGAGGCCCTGAAACTACAGCTGAATGTTGTACAGCAAGCATCTGGAGAGAGCTTGGAAGTCGAGTGTAAGAAATGCCAATCTACCTTGGACCTTATTAATTTATTACTAATAGGGACGCTCAAAAACTTCGGCGTGTGCGCACTCGTCTAAGCTCTTGCCAGCATATTCTTAGGATCTTCATCGATGCATCCTTCTCAATCATTATTTGCCATCATGACACTCTATTACCGTTATGACAACAAGTCTCCCGCGTCGCCGTCACTGGCTTCAGCTTACGGCCCGAGTCTCTTGCTTCTAACAGGCTGTTGTCAACAATACCGCTCAGGTCTCGTCCACAGCAGGGAAGGCTTCCGTTGTATACTCTGTCTGCTTGTTGGCAATTACGCTGATTCTCTCCGCCAACAAATCTGCACAGAGGACCCTCACCAACGAGACCAAGCATATGCTGCCTGCCGCTCTGAAGGACGACAACGCCGACTCTAATCCTCCATTCGTTAGTGACACCACCAGCTCTGTTGCGCCTCAGTCTGTCGAACCATTTCATTTGCAGCCATTTTCGTCTCCGCCTCCATCGCGTTCAATCGAATCGACGGAAACAGTATCCGCCCCAAATTCTACTTGCACGCCTAATGACAACATCGCCTCCGCTACGCATAAGCCTGTCGAACTGTATCATTTGCAGCCATCTCCGACTTCATCTCACTTCGCCGGACCTCTATTGCAAAAGCCTGTTTATCGATTCCAGCACCACTCTCACTTCGCCGGACCTCCATTACAGATGTCTGTTTATCTATTCCAGCACCACTCCTGTACTTCATGACGACTCGGATGAAACACTGTCCACGAGGTAAGAAGCAGCGTAGCCTGAATTACCTGATGTTTTGAATGTTTAGGACGATCATCCTGAGCCCTAGCCTCGGAAGGTACCTGCTGGAGCGGTGTATCCACGACTGTGTGCCTGCGTGTCGCGAGCAAGGCAAAATGATGAAGAGCACTACGCTACGACAAAGCCTGAAGGACACTGAGTGGCTGACTAAGCTACAATGCTGCGGCTGCTACTACCCCCCTCGCCTAGGGGTCCCCCACTCCACTGCTCTAGAACCCATCCTCGATATGCCAATTGCAAAAATGACAACTCTCATTCTTGACTCAAGATTCGATCACTTGTTCTAGTTATTAGCCGCGACACTACATATACTATTGTTTACCGTCCTCTGCCGAAACACGACTATTCCATGGACGCATTGGCCCGATGTATGGAGGCTCTCTTTCTCTCTGATCGCCCGTTCTTCACCTTCGAACTAAAGCCCTTCCTCCTGGTTATGAATTGCGCCATCGGGCATTTTAAGCATCCTCTTTCCGCTACCAATGGCCTACAACTAATCGATAACGCGGCGCATGACATGATGGCCTTTTTGCACTGTCCCCTACGATCTGGAGCCCCACGACCAAAGTGTTTCTAGGCCGCCTCCGCACTCACACAGCACAACATATCTCCGACGTCAGGTCTCCTAGGACCAATCCTGACGACGACCTCCTTCTGTCCCCTGCGACCCGGAGCTTCATCGCCCAAGAAGTCGAAGATCGTTTGCGGTCTACACATACTACACCATGCCGTGAGTCTTTGACGCTAGAGGTCCTCTACGACCGAATCTCGACGACGCGTCACTCAGCATTTTTCACTACTAGACGACATTCTACAGCTATCGCCACGGCCACATACATATATCAGAACAAGTCATTTTTCATCCTTCTTCACTATATTTTCGATTTATATTCCCCTTGACTGGTACGGCTCATTCGATTTCATCAGACTCATGTTTCATTCCTTTCGTTTCGTTCTCTACATCATCTTCGATTTATATTTTCCTTGACCGGTACGAGACAGACATGGGACTCATTGATCATCTTTATCTACATCGCCATCTTCGAATTTTCTCTCCTTTATTGGCACACGACAGACATTGGACTCCTTCAGTTTCATGGAATTCTGTATCTCAAGCGTGTACTCTTCATTTATCTGTGTTTCTTTCTCGACATAACGGCCTTCTCCGACTTGTTTCCCTGGACTCGTTTCTGGGTTTCATTATGGTAGATGCAATCATACCATACTTGATTTTCGTACATGTGCGATGATGATTATCATGAAAAATGGACTTAGAATACACTCTCTTCCGCTTGTTCTGTTGAGAACTCCACTTTGATGGGCTAGACTTCAAGGAAAGATCATTAGCAGAATTGATAAAAGTGTTGAAAAAGGGCAGAGTGTGGAAGGGAGTGGGTGTGGCTTACATAACCGGCAATCCAAAGGAGAAAGGGGCCCCTGGATACTGGTGTACAGGCTCAGTTAGCGCTTGCTGTACAGACTCGTTCGAAAAAGAAGACGTCGACGCCAGCAGGACTCGAACCTGCGCCCTCAAAGAGGAACAGATTTCTAATCTGTCGCCGTAACCACTTGGCTATAGCGCCTTATTGAGTCGGAGCTCGAAGATTTATAATATTTAGTGGGTCGGGTACAAACGTGTTCGGTGACGTTAGGATTGCCGACCGACGACCATACTTATACCGAGGAAGAGTCTTGTTCCTGCACTTAGAAGGAACAGTGCATGCATGATTCACGCCATTAACGTCGGACTCTAGGCGGAAACAACGCATACCACGATATTTATTACATCACTTGCTGCGCACCGCGCACACGAGTCACCACGCGTAGATCTTCAAGCACCTTTCTGAGTCTCATACCAATTCGATCTAGAACGATGAACGCCCTAGCGTCCTCTTCACAAGTACAAGTGTCTACGAATAACAAACCTCAATCACGCCAGCAGAGTCCTGCAGGACTTGGTGGAACTGCTTCACGCTTCTTCATCTCAATGCGCAAGTCCATCAGTCATACCCTTCTGACTTCACCGAGAAAGCGACATGCAGACAACTTAGTGAGCGGAGCATCCTTATTTGCTCCAGCAGATTCTCATTATTCTACTGTGCAGCGTGGTGGTATTGGCATGTATTCTACGCCCGAAGAACGAAACTCTCATGTCCATCCACGAATGCACGCGAGATACAGAGACTCCGCAGCTTCCCGTCCTACCATTGAACAAATTGCGATGGGCCTTCATGTATCCTGCACACCCCATCTGCGAAATCCGTGTCACCACCGTCATTCTGCACCATCATCACCCTCTCATATACACTACCCCCGCGACTCATCCGCATTGCATCGTCCCACACACAGCCTCCCACCACCCCCTTCCCGCTCTTCCCTCAAGAAAACAAGCAATAGTGCTACCTTAAATTGTCCCCCTTTGAGCTCAACTGCATTAATCCGCCCATCTCCCTCCACATCTACAATCAACTCGGGAGGTCCAATAACACCTGATAGTCCGCGTTCCGTGCGGTCCATAAAACAGCGTATGTCAAAGCTGATACTCGGATACCGATCTGCGTCCTCGCCGACCCGAGTCATATCAATAGCGTCATCAGGGAGTGGAAGTGAAGGAACCCGCCCGACAACTCCAAGAAAATCAGTGCGATTTTCCACCAGCGTGCTTGCATTGGACAATGAAAATTGAGTCAAGCACTCATAATTATTGATCCGTCTCAACACAGACACTACATACTACTTCGCTGCGCGAAAGTCTGGCCAGCTACCTATTTCATATCATTAACTCGCACTTTCTTTACCCCGTGCCACATTATTCCAACATTCACTATTTTATTCCACCTCATTGTAGCACTGGATTTTTATTCGCTATACATCATGTCTGTGCAAATACGAGATCGCAATTTTACCCAGAACTTGACAAGAACTATTAATATTTTTCGGTCAAGTCCGCTGCTTCCATCGTTTACAGGTTTTGTGGCTGTGCCACTGTCTTTTGGAGTGAGGACTCAGCAGTGACATCAGGTTGTTGACGTTCATCTCCCTTGCTTTAGGACTTTTCTTCTGCATCTCTTGCCCTTCCCTTCCATCTCATAGACAAACCATCTACACCTGTACTATAGAGGCGACAGACGCACAGATAATTCTAATCAATGGCACCAGTCGAGACAGAGTACTATGACTTGGTGCGCAGCAACTCCCCGTCCCTTTCACCATGCACTAACCACCAGCGACATAGCTGGATGTCCCTGTGGATGTCAGCGATACAGACCTCAAGAAGGCATACAGGAAGCAAGCAATGAAAGTGTGTATGCGTCTCTCTGGTCTCACTTCAGCAAGACGTTTCAGCTCACACGTCTGCTGTAGTATCACCCAGACAAAAACCCATCTCTGGATGCAGAAGAGAAATTCAAGGATATAAGGTAAATCTACGATTAGTTGTCTATGAATTGACGGCGACTGATGAGACATAGTAAAGCGTATCAGGTGCTATCGGATGCTGTACGCCTCTTTCTTAAACTCTGATGATTTGAATCCAAACCGAGACACGATTAGAATTTGAGAGCAGTCTATGACAAGAATGGGAAGACCATGGTTCGTCGACCTTTCAAAGTATACAAAGGTCGACATTTAAATTTTGGTTTGCGTGGTTTAGGTGGACAAGGAGAGTACAGAGCTAGACGATGCAGCGGGTTTCTTCGCAAACGTGTTTGGTGGAGAGCGATTCAGAGATTATGTGCGTCTCTTCCTGCTTACACTTGAGACCCTATTCTTAATGTCTCGACTCCATCCGTCACGACTTAACTGCATTATCGACTAATCCTGGTGACACACGTAGATCGGGGAGATATCTTTAATGAAGGAGATGACGTCCGTGGCACAGACAGTAATGACCGATGAGGAACGTGCCGAGCTCGAGAAAGAGGGTATCGTTCCGCCACAAGGAGCAGTCTCGCACGAACCGCACGTTTCCGCTCCTAGGTCCATCGACACATGGACCATCAACACCCAGTCCCACTGATATGGCTTCGAAGCGCCAATCTGTTTTAGGATCCCCAACCCCTTCCACTGGCGGCAAAGAAGGCAAAGAGAAGGATAAGAAGCGCAACAGACTCACGCCAGAGCAGAAAAAGAAGCTTCAGGAGCTTGAAGATGAACGCAAACGTTCGATGGATGAACGAGTAAAGACGCTCACTGCGAAGCTAATCGAGCGATTACGACCCTTCGTGGATGCAAAAGCACCTGGCGACAAGGAAGACCCTGAGACAAAGGCGTTCGAATCACGGATCAAGCTTGAAGCAGACGATTTAAAGCTGGAGAGCTTTGGGGTTGAGGTATGGGTAGCTGGTGTGCATCAGCGTTTTGAATTAACTAAGTGGGGGATCGACAGCTGCTACATGCAATTGGAACAGTATACATGATGAAGGCTACTTCGTTTATGAAGTCGAAGAAATTCCTAGGGATGTGAGTAGCACTCCTGTTGGTTCCCTTATCACCTTCATTATGTGGCGCAGTGCGGGTTTCTGGTCGCGAATGAAGGAGAAGGGTTCAGTGGCAAAAGACGCATGGGGTGTCATTGGCAGCGCGTTCGTTTTTCACCTATTTTTACCTTTTTACACATTCACGATATATGTGAAACAGATTTAGCGTGCAGTCTCTCATGTCTGAGATGGACCGCTTGCAGAAGAAGGGGGAGCTCGATGAGGACGTGCTGCGTGCGCTAGAAGAGGATGTTACGGGCAAGGTCCGTGTGCCTCGCAACTTAGTCAATATTTTCATGAGATAAATTGACACGCACTAGATCATGCTAGCGTCTTGGCGAGGTACACGTTTCGAAGTTGTTCAGGTTCTTCGGGAGGTGCGCTCATGAGTTACTTACGGGTATGCAGCAGTTGAACCATTCCTATTCAGGTTGTGGATAACGTGCTGAAAGATAAGGAGGCATCTGATCAGGTTCTGTTCCACCGCGCGAAGGTGTGTCATTTTTGTGCCATTCGGAGATCGTATCAGCATCTAAAGCGTTGACATGACGTTAATCTTACCTTGTCAGGGATTGATGATTATGGGTCATATATTCAAAAGCACGGTTCCCGATGAGAGTGACGAGGTCCGACGCGAACTTGAGCGGTGCGTTCGGCTCCCAAGTCGATCCGCGCTGACTGATACTCATGTCAACTTTCTATTTTACATTTTAGAATGGTCGCAGAAGCAGCAGAGGGCAAATCAAAGCATTACCACTTACGTGGAAAAGCCCGAAGAGAAGGTAACATAACGCCTGAGATGTCGTCGAACGGAGGCGAGCATCCAATGAAAGAACATGTTGAAGAAGACTCAAGGACACGTACATCTAACTAGTAGTGCTGAGACAGCCAGGGTGAACTGAGCAAAGGCTCACGCACGCGTCGTGGTTACATATGCGATCGGATCTTAGGACTGCTTTTGATTTTTATGACTATTCTTTCAAACGACTATCGAATGGGACCTACGATGAATCTGTCTGTGATGCTCTACATATAAGTGCATACATGGTACAATAGTTACCTATCTCTCTGAATCTCATGCTAAACATACACACTCTTATAAGCTCTCCGTTATGGATTGCATCACATGCTAGCCTCGAAGGCCTCTCGTACCTGTCATATTAACATTTGAACACGACGGCACGACGATTCAGATCAACCAAAAGGCAATACACATACCTGCATGAAAAAAACTTTGTCTTCCAACACACGGAAACCGGTACACGCCAAAGCCTTGGTGGTAATCATACATGCTTTGTGGGCTTCCGCGGTTCGCGCAGAATCAGCGAAAGCTGGCGAGTGGTTTCCCCCATTGGGCCGCGTAGGGATGGCTAATTTAGTGAACGCACCGAGGACGATCAGATAAGTGCAGAGATAGTCGCGCCGCACAACATACCAAAAGCTGGATGTAGCGAGGGCAAGACTATAATACAATGAGCACAAATTTGCCATGTGACTTTAGAGGGATGCACTTGCCGTATGAAACATTACCCTAGATTGGGATTGCTCAATGTGTATGTATAGGGAAGATTTAATATTCACACATACAAAATCTGTGGATGCCCCTGAGGGATATTGCCCGACACTCCCAGATTCTTGAGATATCGCGTGAGAGAAGGCAGCTGCTACATACCAGTGTTAATTATGTAGATTCATCAAAAACATCTGAGAAGACGACTTACCAAGGATGCTATTCTGCCGTAAATCGTAATAGGGCGTGTTCTTTGTGATCTTGAGACGACAGGAAGTTGCCAACGCGGCACCCCTGTGGACATTGTAAGATGCTGTTGACCGTACAAATGTCATAGAGGCTGACTCAAAACAGGCGGACACTCTTTCTGTCAGTCGCGTTAACTCATCTCGTGTCGGCGCTCGGACATACCACCTCATTTTGGCGTAGTCAGGGATTACTGTGAAAGGTTCATTGGGTTATTCATGTATGGTAGTTGCTAGACTGTACCATTCGCAGCTCTCTTGCTGCCATTTATGACGCCGTTTACTCTGTGGTCAGGTTTGATCTGCTGTCGTAACACGGAGACGCTGGAGTATGCTAGGAACGCAGCATCGAGTGCGTTGGCACCTTCCCATGGAGCATCTCCAGCATGAGCGCTGTTTCGGATTAACTTATGAAACCATATACGAACCACAGGACCCACGATTGCCCAAAGAATTCGGCATCTATAGATTGCATTGCCAGCGAAGATACCACAAACGAAGACAACTCGGGTCCAGGGGAAGGATGACACCTGTATTAGCCACGCATGTATCAGCAATGTTCCGAATGCATTCAGCGGGACACACGGACATTAAACATGCATTCATCCCTTTGTAGGCTCCCCGCTCAAGCAGGATAATCTTTCCTCCACCGCCTTCTTCAGCTGAAGAAGAGATTAATGCCTCGTGTCGGGCCGAATTCAAACTCGTTACCTGGGGTTCCTAGAAGAACGACAGTGCCAGGAACGTTGTGGGTTTCCAATGCGGATTTTATGGCTAATGCCACACCTACCCCACTAATTGCAATGAGGTTGTGGCCACATGCATGCCCAATCTCAGGTAACGCATCCATCTCCGAGTTAATCCCAAGGGTTCTGCCTCCCTGTCCGTGGGTATATTCAGCCTTCCAAGCAGTCTCGAGGCCGAGATAATGCCTCGTCACAGAAAACCCGTGGCTTTCCATGTAATCAGATAGAAGTTTGTGAGCAAATCTATGAAGGTTTTATCAGTAAGATGCACGAGGGATACACGTGCTGCAGACATTTCTTCAAACATCAATTCTGGGTGGCCTGCGTATCCCACAGTTAGAGATATAAACGAGGCCAGAGCTGAGGAGCTTACTATGAATCTGGAGACTGAGTACTCGTAAGGAGGAATCGAGTGTGTCGATCATAGTTTCGATCGTGTGCCTTATTTCTCCACGTATAGAATCATTAGGAGAAGGCGGGTCTGAATAAACGGGAGGGGCCTCCCACTGGTATGTTGCAGTACTGAATTTGCTGCTTCCAAAGTCACAACAAGTATCGTAAAACACGCGAGAGGTCAGGTCTGTCTGTAGGGGGCAATGGATAAGTTACGCGCAAAATGATGCAAGGATAAAACATACGATATCAGTATCCTTTTCTGAATCAGGCGCCTTTCGCGTCTGATCACATATATGGGATGAGTTCACTTGTTTTGTGAAACTCTTAGGTACGCGTTGAGTTTTCAACTTGAACAAGCGTCTTAGAGAAAGGCACCCGCTATGGTGATTGGCATCAGAGGCGTCTAAGGACATCAGAGAGACAGTGATAAAGTGGTGGCGAAGAGTGGGGGATCACTAAATGGGGTCCCTGGTAACATGTCTGAGTTTATCAACTATTCGGCGCTTGACTCCTGGTGCATATCGAACGCGGAATAGAGTGTGATCCGTACTCCGGTACCATCGGAGTTAGGTAAGTCTACGCGTACGATTGCTCACGTTCATCTGTGATAGAAGATTGAATCAGGCGCTACTTCGTGTGTATCTACACAATCTCAAGAACCTGATCGTGAGGTCAATGAAGTCGTGCGAGATCCTGCAAAGAACTTCCCGTACTTTCACCACCGCGGAAAAAGGAACCTATTTTTCTCCATATGTTACTATCTCGTTGTAGTGTTGGCATGCTGTCTTGCCCGCTCAAGCCTAGGACAATCCTTCCGTGACGTGAGGAGAGATGACAATGATCCGTGGATTTACTCCCTTCAGCTGTCGGAGTATTGTCGCCGATGAGTAACAACGTTTTTGTCCTCTTCCCGTTCATGCTGCGGATGCTGCTAGACAGTCCTGGAAGAATGTCATAACCACCCGTTTTGCTACTGTGTATCTGCACGTCCCCACAAAATGTCGGGGGAAGCAGTACTACCATCTTGCCTGGTGGATGCAGAAATGCGTCAGTACAAATTACAATTAAGTATGACGCAGAAGAGGAGCTGAGTATCGATGTCACCTTTTGATGTGTGACATGGACAAGACAGATTTAGGTGTAATAGAAATGAGATTTTCCATGGTTTCCCATGTGGAATCCGAAGAACACGGCCCTCAGGTCATCGGATCTTCCATGCGCGCAAACTACTACTACTACTGTCAACCTGAGCACCATCCGTTTCAACTCACCTCTTCTGGAAGTCACTTTCACCGTGATGCGTTTACCAGGATGTACGGAACTCTGTTTTCAGAAACGTGCATAAGACCCAACGTTATGGAGATGAAGTTTAGAATTCTTACTCACCAAGTTAACGGCAATATCCCCATGGCGGGTCGAAACGTCGATTATTACCCGATGACATCGTTCTGACGATCCTTTGGTGGCTAGAGTCAGAAAAATGGACCCGAACCGATTGCGAAAAACGGCATGCGGCGCTGCAGAGAGAATGTCGGTTGCTTTCCTTAGGCCTACTACTAGGTCACTGTGCCTGGCTGCAAAGCCTTGTAGAGCGGATGTCTGGTCTCCTGACTCGTCAGGGTCAATGATGTACTTTCCTGCATGGGCCGAACTTAAGACAACCGCATGTGCAGAATACACAAGACTCACCGGATATCAACTCATGGTGCTTTTCCAGCCGAATGGTCTTCACTGTGAGCGCATTGGTGAACTCCGAGTCTATCGTGACAGCCGACACTGCAGCAGAACCTGACACGGAATTACTGTACGGCGGAGAGTCATATTCTGGAATATGGGATGAGGGTTCCTTATCGTCTTGAATGAGCATAGCGGTAGTATGTAGCTGCGGTTCTTCCTTGCTCTGCAGTATCATTTTGACAGCACGGTACTAGTGGAAATAGCCAGAAGCCCATTACCAAAGTGGGTCACGGTGGACCCCGAGCACAGTATTATCCTGAACGGAACTGCACATCCCCAGGCTGCGGGTGCCTGAAGCGTTCACAACTGTAACTGTCATAGGTTGACCGGTCAAGTTTAAGTACCGCGTCGCGTGATATTGGAAGAAATTGACAAATATTCTTGGCCTATTCCGTACTCTAGTAGTGGGATTCAAAGTAAATTTTGAATATTCAAGAAACACGCTGAAAGCGCGTTGAAAAGTGTTTGAAAGAATTGCGAAACTTTTCAAAGTGTGAATTTAAACTCCGCTCGATTACCTTAGCCACGCATACAAGTCGACGATTAGGGGTTAGGGTTAGACGCAATGCCTCGAACATCCGTGCATCAAGACCTCTTACACCAGCTAGACTGCTGCTTCGCTGCAAGTTGCATTGGCTCGTATAGAGCATGCTAGATGTAATACAGAAGATTCTGAATCATCCAGCTCCAATAGCTCAATCTTAAGTCCTATGATTATATCCCCAATATCTCCTCTATCAGATATGTCTGATGGTTCAACTAACTCAAGTACTGACTCCTCCAATATTGATCTACACTTTCTGCGCCTTTTGGGAGATATTGTGGTGCTTCGTGATGAAATAGAGAGAGCATGAGTCCTCCATCACCCTGATGAGCCCCCCATGCGTGCACCGCAGATTCAGCTCTTACCTCATTTTGCTGCCCATCACCCAGATCTCTTTCACCAGAAATTGCATGTATACCCTGACGTTTTTGATGACATCCTCGACTATATCAGCGATAGTCCCATTTTCCAAAACCGCTTGAACAACCATCAGCTTCCCATCACCCTACAGCTTGCAATCTTTCTAAATTGTGCAGGTCACTATGGCAACATGATAGCTAACAAATACATCTGCCAATGGGTGGGTGTTAGTGTTGGATCAGTCACTAACTGCACCAATCGTGTCATGATCGCTCTACTTGAGCATCATGATGAATTCATCTTCTTCCCAAGTCTCACTTTGAATGATGCTGCTCGTGCCTGAGACTATGTCTTGAAGATCTGCCCACAATGGCATAATGGTATCTTTGCTATGGATGGCTCTATGGTTAACCTCTGCTATAAGCTGGGGCTCTTTGGAGACACGTTTTACAACTGCAAGTCTGATTTCTCCCTCAATTGCTAGGTGTGTTGTTTTTCTTCTCAAATTTCAACTGATAGACCTCTTATAGGTAGTGGTAATGCCTCATAACCTCCTTATTGTGGATTATTCAATCAGCCACATGTAGTAGCACACATGATGCATATGCTTTCCACTCGACACGCATTTTTCAAGAGCATGAGATGCTCCTTGGAGACAAGCACTGGATCTGGGCCAATAGCACTTACCCTTTGGAGACCTGGTGCATTGTGCCATTCAAGAAGCCACACAATGGTGCACTGAAGTGGGAGCAAAAAAAATTCAACTTTAATCTGTCTACAGTATGTGTACTATTTTTTTCATTGTGTGTACTTACTAATTTTTGGACTTAGGTCCATGTTCGTATCGAGCATGCCTTTGCGGTGCTCAAAGGCCATTTTCAGTCCCTCCATGAGCTTCAACATCTGATACAGACTGAGAAGCACCTCGAGTACACTTCATACTGGATTATGTGCTGCTTGATCCTCCACAATATGGTCATCTGGTTTGAGGAACAGCATTGCATTGACACTACAGATTGGGCCAGGAGGCAGGATGGGTCTGTAGAGGAGCAGGAGGAGGAGGATGTTGGCAAGGATGGAGCCAGCGATATGACATATGCAGGAACTCCTGGACAGGCGTCTCGCAGTCAGTTGATGGACCACTTGCTTGTCACACTTGAGAGGTGGAGGCAGGCAGAGCAGGAGCAGACAAGGTGCAACAGGTAACAGTAGGGACACACAACATGTAAAGCATACTGGACATACAACAATGAGATTAGGAATGCGCATATCAATGTGACACGAATGAAAGACAAATGTATTATGAATTAAGTGGATGAGGAACCCCCCTTTGATGAAGACACTTCTTTCAGGTTGATCAACTCGATTTCAAGGTGAAGGGCAGCCGCCTTCTCAGACTGAACTTTGGCCTGTGCTTTGAGAAGATGAAGCTCAAGTGCCTTTGCCTCCTGTGACCACACATGCACTGAAGCAGCTTCATCACGCTCTATTGCACCCTGGTCTCATTGGAATTGGAGCTCATGCTCTTGGCAGAGAGCATTGACCTTGGTGATTTTATACTTGGAGGAAGCTGCCTTTGCAGAGTAGATGTAACTCATATCATTAGTAAGAGACCCCACCTGGTCAAGTACATCTGATGTTCCCAATTGAACATGCTGAAGGTTCAACAGCTCTGCTAGGCTTGCAGAGCAAAAGAAAGAAAGAGAACCTCTACCTCTGGGGTGAGAGGAAGGCTACTGACTCTCTAGGTGTTGGTCAAAGTGCGCCAGGCAATATGTTCGACCCTTAGGGGAAGCAAGGAAAGCAAGATCCACTGGGTGATGCCAGATCAACTCTGGTGAAGCGCGTGCACAGGAATATAGAGTGTGTAGGAGTGCGAAGCATGGGAATAGAGCACGTGTGGTGTGTGGACGTGTAAAGACTGAAAGATGGTGTGAGGGTGTGTGCTGGGACTGCTGAGAGGAGACTGATGATAGTAGACTGTTGCTGATGGCTAGGGTGATGACTAATGATGGATGCTAACTCATGATAATTCTGACTGCTAGATGCTACTAGACATTATGGTGGTAGGTGTATCTCTCTGGTGGTGGTTGGTGTATTAAAACTTCCTAGGCCACAGGTAAGCTGTGCCTAGGTGCGCTCCCAGGGCTCGAAAGCAAATAGGGAGTGCTCTAAGTATGCAAGTAAGGGTCCATGATGAAATAATGTCATACAAATACTAAATATGGTCTGATAATGAGAATAAACAAGAAAGGACTCACTAGGGAACTGGTTGGACAATGGATGGATGCTCTGGGATGCTGCATGACAATGTGTGACTGAGTGCAGGAAGAGCGCACTAAGCGCATGCGTGGGAATGCATCACATAGTGCGGGAAAGTGTCGCACCTCTGGTGCATTTCACAGGAAAGTCATAGATGGTGAGTCATACACTATACCAATCGTTGTGAGTCGTAATATGGGCAATATACGCCTAGAGGAATCTCGTTCCCTACAATGCCCTGAAAGGTTGCACTTGTGCTGAGTTTGTTGGCATGAGGGCTGTGAGTCTACATGGGACAATGAAGAGAATGTCCATGCAGATGAGCTGGGGGTATTGGATGACAAGGATGCCATAGATGCTGGCTTTTTTGCATGAGGGGGCCACGATTCATGGCATGACTGACATGAGACTTGCCAGTGAAAGCCACTTCACAGCGATCATACTCAGAGGCATGATTTAATGGCTTGAAGGTAGGGTGTGGTGAGGGGGACATTTGGTATGGGTGTTTGCTGCTTAGACGCTGCCAAGTATCGCTCTGATCCCCATAGTTATCTTCCTCCATCTCCAAGTCCTCAGCACCACCATCCCAATTTCCACCACCCATTGTGTAGTCCAACTCTTCAGGCACAGGGTTGTAGTTGTTATACATAGGGTCATAGTTGTCATGTGCAGGGTCATAGGCCTCAGTAAAGGTGGCAGGTGGGGCGCTGTCAGCAGGAGGGTTGGGTATGTTAGAGGTGGTAGTGCGAGGAGCATCATCATCCAGGAGGTCATCAGGATCAAAATCTAAAGCCCTCTCTTTCCCCTTTGGTTGCAAGCATACCACAGAGCTAGAGGCAATTGGTTTGGTTTTAGGTTGGGTGAACATGTGGAGGCCACCAGCACGATCTTTGCCAGGAACAGAGGAGAAGGTCTTCAGAGAAAAGGCAGGGTTGTCCTTCCACAATGCATCAAGGTCTTCGAACCACAGAAATTCAGATGCTACTTGTGCTGTGATTTTTCTAGTTTGATAAGATAATTTAAATAATTTAAAACAAAACTTACCTCAGAGATTTACTTTAGCCTGAGGGTTGAGAGGGTTGACGCCAGCACCAGTCATCCCAAACCAAGCAATTGCAGCCTTATACTTCCCCCTAAGACTGAGATTTTGTCATTAGTATGTACAGACAAGATGGGAACAAAGTACATACTATGCAAGGCAATTGGCAACAGCTTGTCCAAACTTTGGCCTATTCTCTTCTACAGCATACTGGGGCCCATATACTGGGTCATTGGTGAAGATATGTTTGGCAATTACAAGGTGGATTTCGGCTTTACTCCTGCCAGAAGGACAATCAGTGCTGATTGTCATGTCACATTGCTTTTTGTTGTCGGAGAAGAGTATGTGACAGTCAGGTGAATGCACAGCAAGCCAGGATACAAGGGGGGTAGTGTGATCATGGTTGACAGTTTCCCATCTGATCTTGGAAGGGGCAAAGTTGGTATCATCCCCAGGAGTCGGAGTGGCATCTCCATCATTCAGATCTGCTGCATGTTGATATTGGGGGGGGTCTGGATGGTCGGTACCTCCTCCTCCTCCTCCTCCTCCCCTCCCACAAGTCACAATAGTGATACCCCTTGCCCTTGCCCTAGCCCTAGCCCTAGCCCTCCCCCTGCCACATGAAGGTTGCAGTGGTTGTGGTGGTGGTGGTTGGAGCTGGCTCATATTCAGACCAGCAGATATTTGAGAAAGCTGTTGGAGGCATGCTGAACGTCTTACAGTGGATGGGCATATTGGGGGCATCATTCATGTGTAGCATGAAGTGTTGATTTCAGACTCTGATGCCTGCTGCCAGGGTTCCAAAAAGTTTGCATGTTTGTTAATGCTTTCAGGGAAGTTTCAAGACCAGCTTTGAATCCCACTAGTATACTAAGGATCTACATGGAAGTTCAGAGAGCAAAAAAATCTGACAGTCGTGGAGTCCGGGAACTCGAGTTCATCGGATAATTTGGGGATCACGTCAAGAAAAATCTGGGCCTGGCCGGGAATTGAACCCGGGACCTCCTCGATATTGACTACCGCCCTAACAAGGAATCATACTACTAGACCACCAGGCCATGGTGGTCGACTCAGCCTTAGTATATCATCAGCACTCATTGCTTTTCCGGGCCTTGAAAGCTTGAAGCTCCGGTAGTACGTGTGAATCATAGTGTCCATATTTCAAGAATTAGGCGCCATAGACGAATGAAACAAGTCGTTCTTTCAATATGTAAGAATATATGGTCAAGATTCAGGGATACGCTGGCGGCATTGATTTAACATTGAATGTTCATGAACTTCTTGCAACGTTGATCGCTGAGCTATGGGTGATAATCTTTAGAATTCAATAGACGTAAACAGGTCGGATCACTACCGTAAGTAGTCTTCCCTCTTCCAGCTCTTCCAGTGTCCGCAGCGTGTTGCCTGTAGTCGGCCTGCAGGTGCAGCAGTGGAATATATAGGACGCTGGCGACGATAAGTATGGCGTCCGTAACTCAGTATGCCCACACGGATCACCTCGGGCAGATCTTTCAAGGCCTGCGGAGCGCTGCCCACGATGCTCGATTGCAAGCTGCAACAGAGTTGCGTCGTTATGTGCGTCCATTGTTCATGCATGGGAACCACTTCTCATGGTCTAGCAGGTTGCAATGACTGTCGCAGAAATGCCATCTGATGCGGTTGCAAAACTTTGGGATGATGACATCAACAAACGCCTATTCGACCTAATGCACAGCCAGAATAATGTAGATAGATTAGGCGGACTTCTGGCCATAGGTGCGTCCAAACGTCACAGTGCCATGGCCGTATAACTCATGTTACTTAGATCACCTCCTTGAAAGTGAAGGAGAGGACACTATTGGTTCAAAGAAGTATCTCTTTCGGTTTTACAACTACGTCAAGCAGCTACTGCCAAATCACGATGTCAACATCATGCTGGCCGCATCTAAGACACTCGGCCAAATTGCTGCAATCGGCGGGGCCGACTTTGGAGAACGATTCATGGAATTAGAAGTTCCAGCCGCAGTAGAACTGTTGCAGGGTGACAAGCAGGAGTCCCCCCGCTATGCCGGAGTGCTCATCCTGAAGGAACTCGCACGCAACAGTGCGATATATTTTCACTCCCACATCAGCCTCGTATTTGACAAGATACTCATACCTCTTCGGGATTCTCGAAATATTGTCAGGGAGGGAGCTGCAGAGCTTCTTGCTGCATGTCTTGAGATTGTTACGACACGTGAACGGCAAACACGTACAACTTACCTCATGAAGATTCTTCAGGATGCACAACTGGGACTCAAAATGTCTCAACCTGAAGTCATTCATGGGTCTCTTCTCACATACCGAGAGCTGTTGTTACATGGCGATATGGCAAGTGATTTCAACGCCGTCATCGCATTTGAATGATATTTGTCTTCAGTTTATGAGGGAATCGTTTTTGGATACTGCGGAACAAATTCTTCGCTTCAAATCGCATCGAGACGGTCTCGTTCGCAAGATGGTCATCACCCTAATACCAACTCTCGCTGCCTACGAAACACAGGTCTTCTCGGAACATCACCTGCACAAATCCATGGGACATCTACTGACGCAGCTGGAAAAGCCAAACGAGAGGTCCTTTGGTTCGCACTCCCTTATCAGTCAACATGCTACATATTGATTTATTTTTATCAGCATTCATCGCCATCGGTCACACTGCCACTGCTGTAGGAAGTGATATGAAACCTTTCCTCGACTCTATCATGGCTCAAATTAAGTTTGGTCTACAAGCTAGGGGGTACGTCTTATACAGACTGTTGTATGCGGTCATCATAATTCTTTCTACAGAAAAAAGAATGCTCCTTCTGAAGAACCTATTTTCCAATGCGTTGGAATGCTTGCTTCGGCTGTTGGTCCAAATCTCACGAAGCTTCTTCACGATCAACTTGATTTATTCTTTGCGTGTGGCCTGAGTGAGCCTCTTAGACAGGCGCTGATGGCCATTGCACGTAATATCCCTCCTTTGCTAAAGACTATTCAAGGTGCGTCAGTTGACATCACACATGACATTCTTATCAAATCAAACACCTCGTCAGACCGTCTACTGGATCTGCTTTCCATGATCTTATGTGGACAGCCTTATAAGGCCATCGGAGCTCCACCTTCCATTGTCAGGAGTGACGTCTCTGCGTTTACAAGAGACTTGAGCTCATCCCAGGTGAGTTTTTTCACACATCTGTCGATCATACTAAACATGACTCGCGAAGACCGCTAGGAGTGGTAAGAGTCCTGAGCTCATCACACTTGCGTTGTCCACGCTTGGCACCTTTGACTTCAGCGGTGAGCTACCTGCTGCTATTGAATATAGTGTACTCAACATGAGCAGGTCATATTCTGAACGAATTTGTCCGCAATGCTGCTCTTCCTTACCTGGAAGACGACAATGCAGATGTTCGGCGTGCTGGTGCTCTCACGTGTTGTAGGCTGTTCGTCAGAGACCCAATTTGTTACCAAGCGAGTAGTCACGCGATTGAAATAATCAGTGACGTTCTCGACAAACTCCTCACAGTAGGCATTGCAGACCCGGGTAAGTTCATTTGTTTCCCTACAGGCCACCTAACATAATTATTATTACTTGAAGACCCTACCATTCGGCAGACTGTCCTGTCCTCTCTTCATGAAAGGTTCGATAAGCACTTGGCGCAAGCAGAGAATGTCAGGTCAATCTTTATCGCCCTCAATGATGAGGTCTTCGAGAATCGTGTTACTACTGTTACTTTGATTGGACGTCTTGCCAAGCATAACCCTGCCTACGTCATGCCCTCCTTGCGCAAGGCCCTGATACAACTACTGACAGAGTTAGAATACTCAACTGTGATGTGTGTGCATTTATCCCCGTGAACTAGAACAAACCATGATTATCTCTACAGGCGAAATCGCGAAGACTGCACTCGTCTTCTCACTCTCCTAGTGGGCGCGACTCAACGTCTCATAAAGCCATACGCACTCCCTATGCTCCGCGTCCTACTGCAGAAGGCGAATGATAGCAACCCGGCTGTAGCTGCCAATGTTCTTATGTGTCTCGGGGAACTGGCAGCTGTTGGCGGGGAAGATGTGGCTCCTCATATCCCGGAGCTCATGCAGGTCATCATCTCCAGACTCTCCGACCCGGCTCATGTCAAGCGTGACGCTGCTCTCCACACTCTCGGCCAGTTGTGCTCCAGCACCGGGTATGTTATAACACCCCTGGTAGACTATCCTCAGTTGCTTCCGATCTTGGGACGCATTCTGAGAAGCGAATCCGCTCCGCATGCACGCCGTGAGGTTGTAAGGGAAGTAGTCAAAGTTCTTGGTATCCTTGGAGCTCTGGATCCATACAGGCGAAAGGTTTGTTTGGTATGCGTTTCCGCTTCAATTTACTGACACTTCCTTAGACAAGGCCGGATGAGGAAGCCACGAACGAAACCCCACTTCCTGCTGTCAATGCTGTCGCCATTTCTCAGACAGGATCATTGACAGGTAGCGACGACTACTACCAGACCGTTGTGATCACGTCTCTTCTGGCTGTTTTGAAGGATCAGTCACTTAGCAATCATCACCACACCGTCATCGAAGCGATTATGAACATTTTCAGGACGCAAGGGTTGAAATGTGTTGCCTTCCTACCGCAGGTGCATTGGCTCTCTTGCTGCTGCATGATCAAATGTTGTACTAACCCGAATTTTTCAAAAGATTATTCCTGCCTTTACTGCTGTGGCTCGCACCTCTACAGCCCGTTTGCAAGAATTTCACCTGCAGCAATTGGCTATTCTGGTTGGGATCATTAAGCAACACATTCGCAATTATATGCCAGAGGTCTTTAGCCTCGTGACAGAGCTTTGGGAGAACGCCTCCCTTCAGCTTCCCATAGTATCGTTGATTGAGGCGCTTGGGAAGGCTTTGGACGCCGAGTTCAAACCCTTTCTGCCAACTATCCTGCCTCATCTTCTCAAAGTCTTCGAGGGAGACCTCGAGAAGAAAATGGCTACTCAAATCAAAATTTTTGATTCTTTCCTCACATTCGGGGCAAATATTGAAGAGTACCTTCACCTCGTCATCCCTGTGATTGTCAAATCTGCCGAACGACCTGATGCTACCACCCAGCTCCGCAAGAAAGCAATACAGACTATAGCCCATTTATCCCTCCGCGTCAATTTCTCCGACCATGCTTCTCGCATCGTGCACCCCTTGATCCGTGTGCTAGAGGGAAACAACAACGAGCTCCGGCAGGCGGTGATGGACACCCTGTGCGCACTAGTTGCCCAACTTGGATCCGACTTTGCTATCTTCGTGCCCACTATCAACAAGGTGCGCATCATCGAGTCTATTCCTCCTTTTTAGATTATTGACAGCAAGATAGTGCCTGCTCCGGAACCGTATCTCTCATCCCCGGTACGAGAATTTGATATCGAAGCTCCTGAATGGGGAATGTCTACCGCAAGAGCCGGGCACTCATGACTTGCTGTATGTCTCTTTTTGACAACTTCACGACGTCAGTTCCTGATGTTCCTTCAGTGAATCTAAGGCAGCAGAAATCTCTGTACCTGCGGAAGCGGCTAAATTGACTGTAAACCAACAGCATCTGAAGCAAGCGTGGGACGTGTCCTCCGTGAGCACAAGGGAGGATTGGACAGAGTGGATGCACCGCCTTTCTGTGGAGTTGATGAAGGAATCTCCATCGCACGCGCTTCGGGCTTGTATGAGTCTTGTCGATATTCATCCTCCTTTGGCGAAAGAACTGTTCAACGCAGCATTCATATCCTGCTGGACGGAACTCTACGATCAGTATCAAGTGAATCCACTTTGTACTCATGACCGATTTATGCTAACCACTTAATCAGGAAGGACTGGTGCGATCCATCGAATGCGCCGTCGCCTCCACCACTGCTCCATCTGATCTCGTGCACCGACTGCTTAGCTTAGCTGAGTTCATGGAACATGAGGAGAAGCCACTCCCCATTGAGCACCGCACTCTGGGAGAGTATGCCATGAGGTTCCATGCCTACGCAAAAGCTCTTCACTATAAGGAGCTAGAATTCTTTACCGAAACCTCCCCGAACATTATCGAAGCGTTAATCGGAATCAACACCAAGCTACAGCAACACGACGCCGCTTGGGGCACTCTCATTATTGCGAGAGAGCAGTACGACGTCAGCAAGCATGAGGAATGGTACGAGCGCCTGGGCAGATGGCAAGAGGCACTCAACGCGTATGAGAAGAAAGCCCAAGAGGACCCAGACGCACCCGACGTCCAGATCGGGCGTATGAAATGTCTGCATGCACTGGGTGAATGGGATCAGCTTGCCGCTCAAGTAGATGAGAATTGGTCAAATGCCAATCACGAAGACCGCCGCGAAATAGCTCCGATGGCTGCTGCAGCGGCATGGTCGCTTCGTGAATGGGATTCAATGGATGATTATATCGCTGCCATGAGAGCCGATTCTCCGGATAGAGCGTTTTACAAGGCTATTCTTTCTGTACATCAGAATCAGTTCCCAAAGGCTCTCAAGGAGATTGGCAAAGCAAGAGACTTACTCGAGCCGGAGTTGACTTCCTTTGTTGGAGAAGGATACGGCCGATCTTACAAGTGAGTTAGGCCTTGTGCCCTGAGTTTTTCATGTGCTAACATAGTTCAGCACTCTTGTTCGCGCGCAGATGCTCTCGGAGCTGGAGGAAATTATTGTATATAAACAGTATGCAGATCAAACCGACCGCCAGGCAGCAATGCGAAAAACTTGGATGAAGAGGTGTGTATCCGAAACATGTGCAATACTTGCGCTCACCCTTCTTCACAAGACTGCAAGGCTGTCAACCAGATGTCGAAACCTGGCAGCGGATTCTGCAAGTTAGGGCCCTTGTCCTCAACCCAGAGGATGATCCTGTTATGTGGATCAAATTCGCGAACCTGTGCCGCAAGTCAGACCGTATGGCATTAGCAGAGAAGACGATCAATTCATTGCTTTCACCAGAAAGGGTGCGTGAATGACAACGGTAATATATTACAATGATTCCATTTTTTGTTTTGTTTTCAGCTACAGCATCTTCGAGACGACCAGCACATGAAAGCTCCTCCAAACGTTGTCTACGCACAACTCAAATACATGTGGTCCACCGGCGCTCGTGAGGAAAGTCTCAACTTCTTGCGGCAATTCTCTGCAAGCCTCGCGAGGGATTTGCAGGTGGAATCTAAGGATCACTCACAAAGATCTGGTGTTGGTAAACCTAAGTTAGATGAACTCTCACGTCTTCTCGCTCGTTGTTACTTCAAACAAGGGCAATGGCAAGTAGAACTGAAGGAAGATTGGGGCGCTGTACGTGGGTTGATACTAGTCATATCTCTTACTCACCAGCTGGTCAGCGGAATGTCAAAGATATACTGCATTCGTACCTTCTGGCAACCCACTATGATCCCAATTGGTATAAGGCCTGGCATACGTGGGCGCTGGCTAATTTCGAGGTCATTGGCCATCTGGAAAGTCAAAAGGAAAGCACGGCTGTCGACATCCCTGGGAGTGGGCTTGCTGCCCATATCGTGCAGGCTGTTCAAGGTCAGCTTGTTCTTTCTAAAGTTCAGGTTCCCACTCACTCTGAAATAGGATTCTTTCGCTCAATTGGCCTCCGAAATGAGAATGCTTTACAGGATACTCTTAGGTTACTCACGTTGTGGTTCAAGTTTGGCGCACACGACGATGTCAGTCAGGCTATGGCCAGTGGCTTCTCCGTGGTCGAGGTTGATACGTGGTTGGAAGTCATTCCTCAGGTGAGCGCAGATTAGCATTAGACCTGTTCCTCGTTGAAATATTCCCTTAGATCATTGCCCGCATCCAAACTCCAAGCATTAATGTGCGGCGAAATATCAACAACCTTCTTACCGAAGTCGGAAAGCATCACCCCCAGGCTCTTATATATCCATTGACTGTGGCTTCCAAGTCCTCCAGCATATCTCGGAAGAATGCAGCCCTGGCCATTATGGACAGAATGAGAGAACACAGCCCTATCATCGTGGAACAGGCACTTGTCGTCAGTCATGAACTCATCCGAGTTGCCATTCTTTGGCACGAGATGTGGCACGAAGGTTTAGAGGAAGCCTCTCGTCTTTTCTTCAACGACAAGAATCCCGAGGGGATGATTGCGACTTTGGAGCCCCTCCATGAGATGCTCGAAGCTGTAAGTGCACTCACTCGAAGTTTATCAGAAAAGTTGCTCATGCATCACGGACTAGGGGCCAACAACAGCTAGGGAGACATCATTCGCGCAGACATTTGGCCGCGATTTGCATGAAGCTCGGGAGGCTTGTCGGCGGTACCGTGCATTCGGTGAGATGTCAGAGCTGAACAAGGCTTGGGACATCTACTATGGGGTAAGACTTTGGGAAGCAGATGATCAACTCTGTTTGCTTATCTTTCGTGTCCTTTCAGGTCTTCAGAAAAGTAGAGAAACAGTTACCTCAATTGACGACCTTGGACCTGCAATATGTGTCACCGCAACTGCTAAAAGCCCGCGATCTTGATCTGGCGATGCCCGGTATGTACCTTGGATTTTACTTTGGTACCGCATTGTACTCACTGGCCGACTTAAGGAACATATCAGAGTGGTCGAGACGTCGTTCGCATTGCATCATTCGCTACCAAGCTCACTGTTATAGCTTCCAAGCAGCGGCCACGGCGACTATCCCTGAAGGGCAGTGATGGCCAAGACTACCAATATGGTTTGAAAGGTAACAGAACAGTTACCCCAGCACTGCGACATCGCTTATTCCTTTATATACAGGGCACGAAGACTTGCGTCAAGACGAGCGTGTTATGCAGCTGTTCAGCCTTGTCAATACCCTTCTGTCTGTTGACACCAATAGCTTCAAGCGACGCTTACACATCCAACGTTACTCTGTCATTCCATTGGCACCCAACGCCGGTCTCTTTGGCTGGGTAAAGGACAGCGATACTTTGCATGTCCTTGTTCGCGACTATCGAGACTCTCGCAAAGTTCTTTTGAACATAGAGTATCGACTAATGCTTCAGGTATTCATTACCATTCAAAGGGCATGTCTCATCTGCTGATATATCCCAGATGGCACCGGACTACGAGAATCTAACGCTACTGCAAAAGGTTGAGGTATTTGAATATGCCTTAGAGAATACCACCGGTCAGGATCTTTATCGCGTCCTATGGCTGAAGAGCGCAAATTCGGAGCACTGGCTTGAGCGCCGTGCGACCTATACTCGCTCTCTGGCAGTGAATAGCATGGTTGGCCATATTCTGGGTCTCGGAGATCGCCACCCGTCTAATCTTTTACTGGAACGCACGACCGGCAAAGTTGTTCATATCGACTTCGGTGACTGTTTTGAAGTTGCTATGCACCGCGAGAAGTTCCCCGAAAAGATTCCGTTCAGACTTACTCGTATGCTCACACATGCCATGGAGGTAATTTGTATAACAGACCGTAGGCATTCTCAAGCTCACTGACGTTGCAGATAAGCGGCATTGAAGGAAGTTTCCGGCATACCTGCGAAATTACCATGTCCGTACTGCGCGCAAACAAGGAGTCCCTGATGGCAGTCCTGGAGGCCTTCGTTTATGATCCCCTGATCAACTGGCGGCTTATGCAAGCCGACGTCGATTCACGCCGACCAGAAGGTGTGCCTCACTTTATTATCATTATTCGACTGTCTCATGTGAATAGCAGATGGGGAAACCGATCCTGTTCGTGCTGCTGAACTTGCTAAAGTATCGGGATTTCCTCAAGGTCCAACTCGCAAGCTGCGCGCAGATGAAAACGATATTTTTAACGGTAGGCATTCAGCGCACGCCCTGAAGGGAGAAACTAATTCTCTTGCAGAGGTTGTCGGGGGACCTGGAGCGAGGCAAGAGGTCCGGAACGAACGAGCATTACTTGTCTACAACCGTGTCCAGCACAAGCTCACAGGTCCATCCTTTCCCGTGTGTTTGCACCTTTGCGTTACTGATGATTTCTCTCCATCGATAGGGCGTGACTTCAACCCTGATATCGTCCTTCCCGTTACTGCTCAAGTGGATAAACTTATTTTACAGGCCACCTCACTTGAGAACCTCTGTCAATGTTTTTCTGGATGGTAGGATGAATTTGTTGTCTTGAATGTATTGAGCTCAATTATATTTCATAGGTGTGCATTTTGGTAGCCAGTGTCTGTTGTCCCGTCGATCTCACATAGATATCCACATGTTCTACATTTCTGTACCTATACAATAGCCATCTGCATGTTTTCCCTCTCTTACCAAACGTTCGACCCTTGAAATTTTGAAAGCTTGAGAGACCTCGAATCATTCAACTGCCGGCAGAAGCCGATCCATACGTGATGATTTCAGAAGGACTACATCCATTACTTATCCCATACTACTCGCACTTGTTCCTCTCACTTTTCACCTGCACAAACCAAATACAGTACCATATGCCAAGGGGAATACCCAACGCGAAAAAAGATGACTCTGGTATGCGGTACACATCCATGCATGTGCCCCTGGCGTACGTTGACACCTGCATGACTATATTTCGAGTGTTGATAATCGTGTCAGGCCAAACCCTAAGCATGTGGGCACTTCTTACTTGAAATCGGAGACACAGACCATTTGGTCGCGTAATGCAGCACGAAAGAAAGAATTGATGGCAGAGGAAACTGCTCCTTCATCAGAACAGCGGTGGGCAATTTGCATGATTGGACTGGTCTTTCATATGGTAATGCTAAGCTGCTCAGAATAGGCGTGGCTCTCACGTTATTGTTATCCACCCTGGATCGCGTTTTCTAAGAATCGGCAAGGCGTCGGATGTCACACCTGCGTCCATCCCAAATGTTATTGCGCGTAGGCACAAGCCACCGGTGCCAGTTCCGACATACGTCGAAGGTATTTCCCGTCCGAGAAAAGGGCAAGTGCCACAGCTATCCGTGTCTGCGAGTCCCGACGGAGACGAATATGCGGTCGATATCACTTCAGATGATCCTGTATATGCATTTCTTCCTTCACCATGCCGCATAGTGTGCTAAAGTGCCTATATAGTTTGATGCCAAAATGGGGTCAATTATTGTTTCTCTTCGCGAGCGGATGAGGTTCTACAAACTCCGCGTCACATGTAACGCTGCAAGGGTCGCGTCGACCTTTAACGAGCAATTCAAACCTGAAATCATCCCGGAAGTTAATGACCCGTTCCTTGTCGACTGGATCCAGGACCCCTTAGAAGATTCAGAAGTTTTAGTTGGCGAACGAGTATGTATCATACTTTAATTATAAGTGTTATTCTCTCAATCTTTCGCATTAGGCACTCCGGTTGTCCGATCCTCAACTCTTGAATTATTCAGTGAAGTGGCCGATCCATGGAAAGAACTTCAACACCAGGGATTATCCGTCACACCAAATGATACTGGATGACATTGAAACTATTATCAGCACTGTACTGAGTGAGAGGTTCAACGTAAGACGGCCTGATTACAAGGTTCGCCATCTTTCACTCCTCGTATAATTGGTATCAATCAATACCACTAGGACTATTCTGTCGTTCTTGTTATCCCAGACTTCTATGATCGGGCATACGTCCGCGAATTCGTCAACATTCTTTTAGTTTCATTAGGCTTCAAGCAAATATGCGTGCAGCAGGTTTGTGATGCGTATATTGATATCAATGAGTTCTGACATGAAGCAGGAGTCATTGGCGGCAACCTACGGCGCTGGAATCAGTAATGCGTGTGTTGTCGACATTGGCGCTGTTAACTCCAGCATAGCATGTGTAGATGAAGGTCTTGTTATTCCTGATTCGAGGTAAGGAATACATTTAATGCCGAGTTTACAGCTGATGATCGGTCAGAATCACACTCAACATGGGCGGAGATGATATTACTGAGTTCTTGTATGTCCTCTTGGAACGAATAAGTTTTCCCTATCGCGATATCAATCTCGCGCGATGGTATGACTGGGCCGTCATGGAGGATTTGAAAGCACGGCTATGCACACTGGCGGAAGTGAGTCATCGCATGTCATGTTCTTGTCACTGCTTAGTGTGTTGTAGGGTGATGTTGCCCTCAATCTGTATGACTTTGTAGTGCGCAAGCCTGGTAAACCCACGGAAAAATATGGCTTACGAGCATATGACGAGATCATACTTGCGCCGATGGTGCGTTTCGCTGACAACAGGTTTTCATCAATCTAACTGCCAGCTGGCATCTTCGATACTTACATAGTGCATATTCGAGCCCCGTGTGATAGAGTTCGACAGGAAGCACATTGGTCTGCGCTTCATACCCCATCCGGACGTCACTGAAGAAATTATAGAGCATCCGGTGGACCATGTCGTACGTATTCCTGTCCATATTTAGTATGGATAGAGCTTATTTACATCATGCTGTAAGACTCAAGCGATGATCATCTCAACGCAACATCTACTTCCACCGCCTTCTACAGTGCCGACGGATGTTCGCCATTCTCCGATTCCCATCAGTCAGTCGCAGGACGGTACGTAAAGCCGTCTTGTCTTGACTGTATTCAAAGACTGAGGCAGAGACTACTGCGGTTATAGAGAATGGCGGAAAACAAGAACAGCAGGAGGTATCACTGCCATCAACTGCGCATGCAACACCACCTCCGGCTGTAGAATCTTTTCCACAATCCACTGTAGGAGCATCGGGGGGAGTTCCTGCTGATGCTCCAATGGATGTAATTGATGTAGAGGGCGACGTCAAACCATCTCCTATCCCTGTTCTTCCTCAGCCGCAACCTTCTCAGTCTTCCGTACCAGTTTCCTCGAATTACAGTGGTCTCGGTATCGATGTCTGCTTCGAAGCAAGTAAACTTCCTCTCGATGTTGCTATCTTCAACAGTGCTCGGGCATCCGGGGGTGATGATAAAATTCGCAAGCACCTCCAGGCTGTTCTGGTCATCGGGGGAAGCGCTTTGATACCTGGAATGGCTCATGCATTGGAGAGCAGGTAGGTCACGGAACACATTCGCACATCAGGTATATTGAACCATTGGAAAAAGGCTCCAGGCAATCGCCACTCCATTGGTCCCCAGCATGGACAAGGTACAAATTATCCCCCCTCCAAAAGAGGTCGACCCTCGTGTACTGGCTTGGAAGGGTGCCGCGGTTCTTGGCAAAATGGATTCCGTCGCTGATATTTGGTTAACGCCCGCAGATTGGGTACGTGTTAACTTACCACAACTCGAATTTGTCTCACGTTGTCGTTCAGGATGTTCTAGGTATGCGCGGGTTGAGAGAGCGTTGTTTCTACCTGTAGTATTATGAATGCAGCCGCTGGATGAGTCACCCTGATAGGTCCCACTATTCGAAAACTCCGATACATGCTCCACGGTAGTTGTACACTTCCAAATTATCGATTTACCAAAAAAAAAATCGATAATGATGTTTCAGTGAATCTGTGAACTATGATAAGTGTGATTTGATAACAGTGGTGACAAATGTCAATTTGTTCCTTCCATACTCTAAACTTTCGCTTCATTCCTGGGGGAAAACAGCATCGGTCTGTCTTATTGTAAACCTTACCCATTTAAACACTTTTTCGTGGATGTCATACTTCAAGTCTGCTTTTGATGGTGACGAATTCATCCCCGTGCATGTTCGCCCACGATGTAGCAAGAGATATCATCTCATAGCGTCCAACTCTAATTAAGACGGTGCATTTCAGGAAAAATTCATGAATACTTGGAGAGTAAAATACCTTTCTTTTCGACACCATTCTTTCTTTGCGTGACCATCCGTTCCCCAGTCAGCAAGCGGGCTAGATGCAGGGACATTTCCAGAGTCAGCCTCCTTCGCGAGAGTATTGATCATGCCGCGAATTGCGTTATCAGCCGCTCTGTTTGGTGTAAAAGGGAACGAAGATTCTGGACGCGGAACGTTATCGGGAGTGTAAAATAGAGCAGTCCTACACATGGGACAGTCCACGGGTTCATGCCAGCTGCCACACACACGATGCAATCGGGAGAAGAACCATTTCAGAATGCAGGTGGCGCAGAAGGTATGCCCGCACTGTCGTGGGTTCAAACTATATGGGCACGCCCTATACCATCAATCTAGCATTGTCCATTTAGAACTGATAAACGACTCACATGGTCTCAAAACACCTGCCCGAAGAACATATAATTAATTAAGTTCATCTCACAAAGTTTCAGTTTTTTGATGGCACTTACAATGGGCACGTAAAATAGTCTTCAAGCTGTCTTATGGTGGTTCTCGCCAGCCGTTCTTTGCATTCTTCGAGCAACTTGGCAGCTTCTCTCTCCTTTTGAGATACAGTCGCAAGCTGTTGTTCGAGATTTCGAGATTTCAACCGAAATTCCTTCTCCTTTAGGATTAATTCCGTCTCTCGGGCGGAAACATTGCCAGATACGCCCGAAGTACTGTAGGGATCGGAAGTGAATGAACGACCGATAGAATTAGGTTTCCTTGCATTCTGCGTTCCAGTGCAATCTACGCGCGTTCCCCCGTGTTTGAACTGCCGTGGATGCTCCGGATTCCTGCTTATTTTTGTTACGCGTCTGTTTCTTTTGCGTCTGGTGGGCTGCTGCGGCGTAGTCGTATGCTCGTGAGCTATGATCAGTTGTAATATAGTACGTCAATGACAAGTTAGCGGGTGCTTTATCCTTGGCATCAAAACTACCTTGCATCCCGCTAAGCCTTGTGGAGCGCCTGACGGTGTTTGCCGTCATACTCCTTGTTATCGGTCTGGCCGCCGGTGTTCGAGATGCTCTGCTCATCGTCGCGGCGCGAAAGCAAGAAGCGTTACTCAACTGCCAGTGACAGTGTTAGTGTGGATGAGCGACCTATTTTAGGAAGGTGCTGTGGTTTGATATTACTATTTTGTTATCGTAAGGGTAATACTTAAGGTAATAACGTACAACTGAGCACTATAGCCTGGGCACTTCGAATGTTCTTCGCATGCACACAAGTCGGCTTGCCATGTCATTTGACAGAGCGCTACTTGAAGAAGCGATATGATATTGAGATTCTGGCTCGTCCGTTGTGGCGCCATTTCATTGATACTTCTGAGTCGGCTACTTAAAGCATCCCCCACCGGTACAATAAGAAATTCACCACATGGCCAGCGTGAGGCTTGTCATCATTCACGTATATACCGTTATTGAGGGAACCGGGGGGTGCCCGGCGCCATTCATCACAGTTCAATCCGGTAGAAATTGAACCCTGTACTACCTGTAAGGGAAGTTCAGGCAGTCCCATGGCTCTGCCAGTGTGGTGGCCTATCCGCTGTTTTCGCTGTTGCCAATTGTGGTTGAACACTAAGGTTCCGATATGCTTCTTGCAGCTCGAGGCTTGTTTGAGGGTGCCGCAAAGTGATTAAGTTCACATGCGGCCTGTCATTATGATGTACATTGTACACACGTTCAATACGTATGTAGCGCCGCATGATTCGTTCCTGGGTCTCGCAGGGACTTGCCTGGACTTGCCTGCTGCTGCATGAAAGCAGCCAGCTGCTCCGTCGATGACGCAGTCTATTGGATTTACAGGGTCGAGGCTCAGGAAGCATCACCTATGTTGGACCCGACCCGACAAGGGCGGCCGACCAATTCATTAGCCATGTTGAGCCATGCTTCTCCCGACGCGGTGCCGTTCGCACTAAAAGTTGAAACCAACCTTGCTTCTCAATAAACAAAGTTTCGCTTTTCCTTGGGTGTTTCTCACAGACTGGATCCATAAGGTTATTGCTTAATACCTCGTTATCTGCCTACTTTGAATCCATATCTAACCTCTTTGATACTCCGCTACTGACTACATTTTCATGTCACTTGTGAGTTATCTTCTCAGTTAGGATCTTTCTCATGCACACGAAGACCTTGGAGGGCCGATTACGAATCATGGTACTCAGGTACACTGAGTCGCGCTTATCAGTTGTCTATCACCTTCTTAACGGCCTTAAGCAAGCACATTCTGCAAGGTCCTGCACAGGCTCGGGGCTTAACAGTGGGTCCGAGACTCACGCCTGACCGGAAGCTAGTTAACTACCCGATATCATGCTTTGCAATCAGGTTGCGGTAGTAAGTTTTGAAACTTCGCCATATGATCATCCGCGGTGTCACGACATTGCTCTGGCAATGATAGTTTGTCGCCGCGCCAAGTTGATCCGGATATGATCGGGGTGCAGTTGCAAATGGGGTATTAACATGAACACGCAGAGACTGGTTGAAACGGCCATATATCATATATCATGTGTGCCCAATGTGTATTGCCGGACGTACTGCAGTGGTTGCACTGCTGTATCATGCTTGCACGCTTTAGATCCCCGACTCTATGGAGTAGAGAGGGATTTGTGGGGGCCAGGCACCTGTCTGGAAAATGGAGCGCGCAAAATTATTTCCTTTTCCTTGTGTATGTTTCACATGCCGTTTTGCATGGCCCGGATAATATGACCGATATCTATACTAAGTACAGAGATTGCGAATCAGTTCAATTCCATCGACAACAATACGCGGGGGACCAAGATGCATCAGGAAACCGTAATTTGCTACAGAGCGTTACAGAGCGCTCCGTAGCATGCTGTAGCACAATCCAACCCACTGATGTGTGTCGGCCACAGATGGTGTATGAGAGGCCAGGAATTAATTCATGTCTCACTCAAAAACCAGCCTAGTACCGTATGATACGGCTGGAAAACGAGGCATGCAATGAGGCGTGCGGAAGAGTTCAAGTATATGTGAACCTAGTCCCAAGAGCATTGGGTTCGATTGGCATCGATTTGGGCCCTGTATAGGGGAGTCGGTGATTGCCACGAGCGCCGCTGTATCTATAGCTAATTAGCGTGCAAAGTGAAATAGGGCTAAACTATTAGGGCTTGTCAAAGCCTGCCGATCGTTTCGACAGGAGAATGTTATTCCGTCGGATGGCAATGTTTTCATGATGAGAAGATAGGTTATGGTATTTCGAGCTTGCTGTATAAATTAATAATACACACTCATCTTGTCAACATGATCACCGTGGCGCTGTGCATATGTAGGGTTGTGATTTATTGATGCATTGAAAATCTGATAGGGCTGTTCAACAGGGTGACATTGTGTACTCCGCAGAAACGACACCAATTGATAATAGTTTGGTTGCAAGTGGGGGCTCACCGCCATGTTTTTAGTTGCGAGCCGCGAGGCATTAAGCTGGAGCGGAGAATATTCTGTCATACTAACAGACATTGGTTAGCGATGACCACCTACCAACCGGGAGCATTCACATTGCAATGTCAACAAAGGGAGATGCGCAGGCGATTTGGCAATGAGTGCCATATGCTCCACGTCGTGGCTGCGCTCGGTTCGTCGCTCGTAAGTTGGGAGGGAAACATGGAGGAGTCTGCTAATTCATAACGTATATCAGTCGTTTACTGGAGACCACGGCGGCTGTGGCAGTCACACTTTTGGGGATAATATGTGTGACCAATTTGTGATGGCACGTTTTGTGGCTGAAAAGTGTGACCGGCCCGCCTTATCATAGCATCACGAAGCAAATGATGGATGATGGCATCACCGCAAAACCGCGCGCACAATGACGATATTATTAATATGGGGAGTAAGATGAGCAAAGTTTGGAGGGCTGGCTGAAGATATCGTACTGGGCGTCGGGACAGAGTATCAGGACAGGATGGGAGCATGTGAGAACTTCCGTGGTTGACGCTGGAGTATCGAATACTGAATGGGTCTTGCGGCATGCGGTCTTCAAGTGGATGGCCGATAGGATGGCTGAGGTTCGGAGGTTGGTCATGTGCGACGGCGAGATCGGGACGCCTTCGGGCAGAAATGCGTTATTCGGGGTGAAAAGTGAGTTTGACGATTGGCACGTAAAGTACAAAAATAGAAATAATGTTCCAGTAAAGTGGTTTTTTTAAATTTGAAATTAGAAGCGTAGGGTGCAACGAAGTCACGGAATATCTTAGATCTGAGTTTATAATATTGAGGACAACGATCAGCGCGAATCGGTTGAGACAAGACACAGCTCACAGCTACTGCACCTGTCCGAGCGCTCTGGGGACGAAACCGTCGTTGATAGTACGCCCGTAATTTCATTCCGGTGCTTGAATTGATTGCAGATTTGCTCAGCTATTTCATGTCTGTCAGGCTTCGCACTTTGTCACGTATGTTTTATTACTCCCCTCCCGTAACGTATATTAACTCTTCCACCTAATCGGACAATCTCGTTGTGTCATTATTCCTCGAATCCATTCAACTTGTCCATTCCGCAACCCGTCTTCTTTTTCTAAGTCGGTTCGCAAAACCTCCGCTAGATTCCGTCTTCTTCAGGTTCGCATCCAATGCAAGCACCACTTCTCCTCCAACCACCACCTCTTCTTGCACTTGCTCAGCAAGTTAACCAAACGCGTCCTCGCGTTTCTCAGCACTTCTTATTTCACGACCTCTCCAGTCTTCTGGAACCCCCTCAATCCATGACCGTCGATAATGATCATGATTACTCTTCCCAGCCGGCGGGCACAAACTACACCTACGCACCTCGAACACAGTTTGATGAAGCGTCTCATCCAGGCCCTCATAACTTGTATGACGTAGCATCGTCTTCTCAGACGCCTCAACCATATACTTCACTTCCAAATACTTCACCAACATCTAATTATGCCCTCGTCTCCCATGCTCGCACTGACGAAAGTACATCGTCAGCCAACGGCACTCGTTATGTCTCAAGTTCCCCTTCTTCCGTTGATGATCGTCCGGCAGCTTCATTTCCTCAGCCGTATAGCGCTCCCCATGACCAGCATCATTTTCCTACATCGGCATCTTCCTATTCCCCACCGGATATGGTGCGTTACCCAATTACGTCGAACCTTAGCTCCCGTGGAACCGATAAATACGCCCATGCCCTCTTGGAACAACGCCGCATGTCCGAGCCAGCCATGTATGGCAGCGCAATAGGCGGTTATTCCACGAGTTCTTCAGCCGATCTAGCCTCCGGGCGATACCAACAGCTGCATCACCACTACACATCACAATCATCGCCCAGATTGTATGGGAGCTACGCCTCGTCTCTGCAACGCACGCTGAGCTCAGGGCCGCGCGCGATCAACTGTCGGGATCGTCGTGGAACGACAAAGATCAACTTCCATTACACTGTTACGACGGTGTCGACCTAGAAGAACCTATATCACCTCTTAACCCCAATTTTTCGGGTGGCGAGGGTTCACCCACAATGGGCTTCCATGGTATGCCCTACGGCACTGAGGACTATGGCCCATCACCGCCCGGTACGGGCACTTCCACATCGTCCAACGGAGCCAGGCGGTTCGTTGACGCTTCAGGCTCGAGTTCTGATGGCAAACAATATTCATTCGTGGCCCTGCCTGGAAACGCTGTCAAGAAGCGTCCAAGGCGGCGCTACGACGAGATTGAACGGCTTTATCAATGTTCATGGCCTTCATGCTCAAAGGCATACGGCACTCTAAATCACTTAAATGCCCACGTCACCATGCAGAAACACGGCGTCAAGCGTAGTCCAAATGGTGAGTCTTTCATGCTTGCGTTTTACTTCGGCCGGGGTGCATTCGGTACCTCGCGATGACAATGTTAACTTCTCGTCATTATTTTTAACCGTCGAAAACACCAATGCTGACTGTGTACTTGCAGAATTTAAAGAGCTGCGTAAGCAATGGCGGAAGTCCAAAAAGGAGGAAGCCGATGCTCGTGCTGCTGCGTCAGCAGTGATGGGGAGGTCAACTCATCATGCTTATCTTCAGCGTGGTATGCATGACTCATACCCCGATGTGGACTACCAGCTTCGCTCGCATCCGCAGCAAAGCTCCCATGTTGAACGGTTCACTCCAACCGGCTCTCCGGAGGAGATGCATGAGATTGACATGCAAGACGTTTACGAACGCCGGCAGCAGCGTTTTAGTGGCCTCTTCCCTTCCGCTTCTCGCACTAGTAGCCCTGCATACACCGCAACCCACCCATCCAACATGCCCTCGTCGCACACGGCCATGGCCCGCCTTCCGACCAACAGCACGCTGTTGACTCCTCTCCCGGGTTACGACCATACGGGGGCTACCACGGACCTTGATGTCTATGCCTATGGTGTGTACGGAAACAACCGTCCTGGCTCTGGGCATGGGAGCATTGGAAACTATGATGAAAAGCGACGGAGTGGTTGATTTGACGACAAGTAGTTCTGCGTTTGCGGTCCACCTACCCATTCCTTTCCGACTTCCCTTCCGTTGGGATTTTATCACGATACCATCGGCAGTCCCATGGTGCTCATGTCTTTCATGCCACGCATCACCGCCTCGATCCTTTGCTGAGGTTATATTGTTCATGCTATTGACTACTATCCTACTAAGTACATAAATTACTAGTTTCTCCTCTGATTTTCCTATGCTTTCATATTTTATTCGTTCATGTCTACGGATACCTCCTCATATTACACAGGAGACTTTCGCCCAATAATCATGGAGCTGTACTTTACGGATCATACTTGCCATCCTAGTAATAGTTACTTCTGTACATGAGTAGGAACGAAACAAATAGATTCTTCAAGTCAGGTCGACATTTTCTTCCTGACTTCTTCCTCTATAGGAAGTTCATTATCGACCTTCTGATTGGTACTTCGGAAAATATCATGGATCAAGGCAAATGACTCCCTGACTGCGTGACCAGCCGCCCATAAAATTTAACCTCAGAAGAGCTGCAAGTTGCAAAATCAGGCTGTTTTGAATGTGCCATCATCTGTGGGGCACGTTGCAATTGTCGGGCCATTCCAATTGGACAGTGATGAAGTTCCGAACTCGTGAGAACATGACGTAACAACCGCATCCATCGCGATCACATGCATTGAGTTTCTGCACGCTGCGAAGATTCATCCAGGTGAGCCTGTCTTTTATGCAATTATTGCAATGCAAATTTGATGCGATATAATATCGCTTGTCTTGGAGTGCAGTGCATGGTGCCATGAGGTCCATGTTACGCCACGCAACAGAAATCTAGCACACTTGTCTCCGAATGGCCCCCATTGAGCCACACTCCTGCCGCGCATGCCAAAGGACTGTTGCCGCGACGACGACGCCGTGTATTGGCCTTTGGGGCCGTGCACAATTGCGCCCAACTTGACTTTCTCATGCGGCCGCAAGTTTCCGCTCCACAGACAGGCACTTCCTTCGAGGCTGATCCTTTGATCTGTGATACAGTGGGAAATCGTACCCCCTTGTTATACATATCTTTATCTTCTATCCATTGGTGTCTTCGTGTCGGGCCTTTAGTCCCCTCGGAATCCAAGGTGAGCCATTTAAAATTCAGGTTGTGGTCAATCATTGTCTGTTTGTCTCCATACTATTATCCTTTCTTAGGAAAACCGGACCTTCGGTAATTATCAGAACTGTTCTTCAGAACAAGCTGGACTCTGAAGTACGTTATACCGCCCACACTTGTGCAATCATCCGATATATAAGGCAGATGGACTGACATGCAGGTTATTAATGTGCTACTTGGAGGTTGTTCACGGCCAATCCCTATGACTGCACATGACTCGAGCTTTTTCATCGGTACGATTAATGAATGCTGCGTTCTTGACGAGATAGAATCATTTCCCGAGGAGGCTCTTTCAGTTTTCGCGAAGTGAGACTCGATCCTCAACCACAGAAGTCATGGTGATAAAGCTATAAAGCTCTGCTGAATGACAACTTCGCAGTCGACTCATACCTTCGAGGCGCTCGGTGTTGTAATGGACACATATGGCCAGCTGCGTGTAGGGATGCACCACATGGTCAGTTGTGCAAGAGCGATGATAGCGCATCATGATGGCATGATGGCGGCAGCATGACCCCTGCATCGCCGGTTGCTTGAACACCGAGACGGCGTCTGGCCCTGCACATCGCGTCAGCGTAATCACTGTAACAACGTAAGCACGTCCATTGTCTGCGGCTTCATTTTATGTACATGTTTATTTGTGCCGCGGGTACTTGCGGGTACCGCATTAGTTTGTTTCACGGCCCGCCGGATTCATGCTCATATTGGACTGCCTACTGCCTAAGTTGAAAGATGTAGTCTAATAAGTGGTCGTATTATTATGTATCGGCGTCAAGCATGTGGTCCAGGAGTCTTCAATTGGTTATCTATGTAATACAGACGTATTGAAGAAGTCGATATGTCTGTTATTTATAAGTAGCAAACTTTAGCATGAGGTTCTGATTCAATTAACAGTGAGTACATAAGGGTTCACAATTGTTCTCTATGACTGATAAAGAAATATCAATGGGCAAACGTCATGGGTTCGAGAAGCCTCGCCACCATTGGTTACGAAAGGAAGATTTGATCAGATATATGAACGATGGGCCTTCCGACCCCCTTTCGCGTTCCACATCTCGTACATGGAACGCCTTCCTGCGCGTGGCACTGTGGGGGTAACTTTGTAGTTGGCGGCCGTCACGTGTTTTGGGAAGCTAATTATCTCCTTTTGTGCTTTATCATCAGTTCTTGAGGTTAATGAGAATGATGTGCGTTTCACATATCCGTGAATGCCTCATATCTGAGAACCCGATTAAGTTGGTATATTTTTGTGAAAGTCCGCCCAAACCGTGAGTGACTCACCGAGGACAGGATCACATCGCTACTTACTGTCAAAGATGTACGGCAGTGGCTGCTGAGTTCACTTATCGTGAGTGCACACCGTCAATTAGCGAATGACAAAGACACGTTTGTCGTACTCATCAAGATGTGTCAGTTTATCAGCATGACATTGCTGTCAGATTCGACGACTTACCTAGCAAAACAAAAATAATTTGCTCGCCGTGAAACCAAGTTGTGTTACGTTGGACGACCAATATAAACATCTTTCCACATGGCCATGCTATATCTCCAGAGTTGAAAGAAGCTCCTTGGAGCCGAGTAGGAATAAGAGCAGCCTGGGGCAGGGCATTACGGAGCTCCTGGTTCACTGGAGCGGAGCCGCAGCGGATTTTGCTAAACGTGCAACTACAAACAAGAAAGAGAGCAAAAGAGAGCACGCCACTATCAGTTCAGTTTAGCAGTCTGCCGTCACAACAGAAGTGCTGCGGCGATCGACATAGACGCCATTCATCGGACACCTCGGTTTAATATGTTACACTATGCCCTGGACAGTCGGGACACAAAATAGTGTTTGATGATCGTTCCTGACTACGCTTGGTGAAATTTGTTTGGCTAGCCTGGCATTGGCAATCTACAAACAAGAAGTAACCGCAATGTTAAAGATGCCCTAATTGAGAGAAGGAATCACACCAAACTTGCGAGTGCGGGAGATGCCTTGACTTGAATGACTTCAAATTACGAAGGGTGGCTCGGATCCCCTCACCACCACAAAGACTTGAAGGAGAGGAGTGGAGTTGCCAAGATGCACTGTGTTTGTAAGTTAACAACCGGTATTTGCTACGCACAGGATTCAAGCAAATTAATGGGTGCATGTATGGATGAGTTGTTGATGAAAAGCGGACACATGCATGAATAGCCACGTACTGCCATCCGGGGTGATCGAAAAGTATCCAAGTCTCATGCACTGACTGGTATAAGTTTGCCTAACGACTTTTGCGGTGTGATTCTCCGGTGTGTCTATCGAGACTCCTCAAGGCATCATTTATCGAAACTTGAGGCGAATCCAAAACCAGTCCCTATCCATGTAGTTACGGGCAACCCCTCGTAGCATGATAACCGACCCCCCAGGAAGTGACCGCAGCACGTGAGTCGTGACATCATGAATCGTTAACCGCAGCTCCCTCAGTTGTGCTCTCTGCCTTACCCGCTAGGATTCTGTACTGCAACCATTCACTCGATGACTATGCTTTCTGACTTACCCATTGAAGTTCTTTTGGATAATTTATTACCTTGGCTTGCTATTCCAGATCTCATCCATCTGGGAGAAACAAATCACTTCTTTGCGCGATTGTGCAACGATGAGACATTCTGGAAGAGGAAGTTGGAAGAGGATTTCAATTTTACAGATGAGAGGACCGCACGAATCAGTGGGTGGAAACGTCTCTATAGAGGTTTGCGCAACCCAAAGACTTATGTATGGGGGTAAGCACATCCGCGATTCCGTTACTCTTCCGCTTAGTCAAATTACTTTACGTAGCGAGCCTTCCAAGGGAAGATTAGGATTGAAAAAGATACCAAACTCAACTCTTCATGATGTCCCACACCCAGTTGAGTTGCAGATCAAATCAGGTGCACGTATAGTCAGTCTCTCAGCTGCTGGGTGGTATGTTGTCGTTATCTTATACAACAAAATTTCTCATGTGACTCCAAAAAGGGCATTTTTTGCACTAGACTCTGCTGGTAGCATATACGTGTGGGGTGAGTTCACAGATTATCGTGCGATATTAACTTGAAGGACAGAAACTCACGTCGCACTCAGGAACTTTGAATGGCACCTCATACGCTCTACAACACGATGGGTACTCCGAACCGGCAAAATCAGCTCATACACCATTGAGGCTTGACATGCCGTCTCCTACGCGGAGCATTAGGTTTGGGTGTTCCTGTGCGTTGAGTAATACTTGTTCATATTTGTTAGTTGTGGGCGGTTGCATGCTACTACGCTGGACGACCAGCATCACGTCTGGACCTTTTTAAGCTGGGGCCGTCCCTTCAGGCTCAACACGTCGGCGCTCGACGCAACTTCGGTGGATTCTACTCCTGTACTGGTTGAATCCGGCTGGAACTTTTCGTCAGTCCTTACCAAATCTGGCGATGTGTACGTCTGGTGGCCGTTCAGTGCACCCCTAAAGGATGTTATTGCTGCACAAAGTGTAGCTATGGATGCCGCGGACCTAAAAGCTCACGCTACAGAGGATGGTGTCATCCCATGCTCGACATGGGAGCTTCACGAAGAACTCACAATGTTACCACCGCTTCCTCGACTGCCGGAGCTGTCGTTAGGGTCAGTGGGACCCGTGAAACTTGTTAAGCTAGCAGCTTTGGAGAGTCGGCTCATCGGTTTGACTAATCATGGTCATGTTCTCTCAATTTCTGTTGAAAGTGATGTTGCTGTTCGGTCTGAGAGATGGGAATACGTAGGTTAATTTTAATCGCGGAACAGTCTCTGCCTTACGCATTTCCAGCTTCCTAACTTCTCCGAAGTTGACAAGGTTCAGCAGCACCCCGCTTATGTTTCTTCTCAGTTGAAGCCGCCGGAGAGCTTGCGGATATCTCATGTAATTATTTCGGCAGAGTTTCGAATGTTCCTACTTAGCTGAACCGTCTCCCAGATCTCGGCGCAATTTCAAACATTTGTTGCTTATTCTCCCGGTTCCAGTTCTGTCATTCTCTTGGGTTCTCACGAAACACATGCCGATTCGAATCCTGTGATTCTTCCCGCACTTCAAAACAACGACATTATCTCCGTTGTTCTTGGAGATTACCATTATGGTGCTCTTACATCCACCGGGAAACTTTTGACGTGGGGTGAATATTCTCGAGGTGCACTCGGCCTCGGTGATCCTGGAATGCTTCCCCCCGGCCGGCCAGGAGGCTACAGAACTGAGGCACGCAAAAGAGTTGCTGTCGCCAACGGCGGTCCGCCTCCGCCGGGCATCTCCGAGCCCGCGGAGGTCAGCTTTGGTCACGAGGAAGCACAGAGGGATAAGATGTTTTGCTTTGCTGTAGCAGCTGCTGGGTGGCACATGGGAACTCTCGTCATCGATTTAGAGGTGAGATTTTCGCTGACTGAGTTCTGACTGCTGATTACTTTCTGGATCAAAATAGCCAGAGGCAAATGTTCAAAAAGATAACGACGAAGACGAAGGCCCTCCCATGCCAGGACGGTTTCCCCAATCTCGCGAAACGGGGGAGTCACCACAAGACTATCCCGGGGAGCCAGGTCAGTGGGGCCCGCCTATAATGGCCAGGGGGTTTCGAATCGGGTTTGCTGGAAGAGGCGCCATCAGAGGCGGACATTTGGGTCGCGGCCGTGGCCTTTGAGAGTAACAGTCAAACTTAGGGTTTATAAGAATCGATGGGCCACTTCTCGTGCTTAGATGTGGGCGTACGGTCGTATCATGTCACGTTTCATTCTGCTTTCTGATTGCAACCTTTGATGTCATCACGAACACTCTAGGACTTGAGAAAGCCAGCATACAACAAGGTGTGATGTTGGTTTCTTTACCTTTTCTGACATGCATCATCAGACCTTTCGGGGGCCAGAAAGAAACGTCCTCGTGGTGAGGTGAACGATGTTGTGAGAAGTCTACATACAGCATTACGTTGTTTCCATTCCCGCAGCGGAGTCCCGAACAGGTATTAATGACCCTTCAGATGACAGACCCAGACCCACTCGATCAATATGTCATCTCCGATTATATTCTATGACCTCCCCTCTACCCTGTCGGCGAATGCGTGGTCCCCAAACACGTGGAAGACCCGGTGTGTGCTCCGTGTATGCAATGATATAGGCAGTCACTTACCTTGCACTTGCACAGATATGCCTTGAACATTAAGGGTGTTGCGTACAAGACCGAGTGGGTCGAGTACCCTGACATTGAAGCGCTTGCCAAGAAAATCGGAGCGCCACCAACAAGCATCAATGCTGATGGCAGCCCATTATATACCCTCCCCATCATTAATGACCCCAATACTGGAAAAGTTGTTTCTGACTCCTTCCTTATCGCCGAATACCTTGATGCGACTTACCCAAGTGGAACTACCTTGTTCCCCCCCGGCACAAAACCATTGATGGCAGCATTAGAGGCTGGTGCTACAGGTGCCATCGGAAGCATTTTCCCTCATCAGCTCGCCGTCAGCTGCTACATCTTGAATCCTTCCAGTGAGAAGTACTTCAGAGCAACCAGAGAGGCGACCTACGGGAAGAAGATTGAGGAGTTCTCTCCTGCTGGTGCCCAGCGTGACGCTGACTGGGCTAAGGCTAAGGAAGGCCTTGTTGCTGTAGACGGCTGGCTATCAAAGAATGGTGGAGGGAAGTTCGTCATGGGAAATACCGTCACGTATGCAGACGGTATCCTGGGAGCGTGGCTCACCTGGATCAAAATCGCCAATGGTGAAAATAGCGCTATATGGAAGGATTTCGCCAGTTGGCACGGAGGAAGGTGGGGTACCTACATTGCTAACTTGCAACCCTTCGCAAAAGTCTTGTAGCTACTCTCCAGAAATCTCCCTAGACAGATTATAGATCGATGAAGATAGCTGTTCCATCATTGACTCCACGGATTATGTACGCGGAAGCGCCGGCATGGTGTTGGTACAAAACCTTGATTCATTGATTGCTTTTGATGGCGCACAAAAAATGGAACTGTGCATGTGGTATACGAAGATTGCAGATCATAATCAGAGTTTCGATCAGGTCATCTAACGATTTGACGGCAGTGACCACTGCGCCGGGGCCATTATTTCAAATCCTAACCCACTGGTGTACGATAAAGCAGGAAGTACCGCTGAGTCGGTTTAGCGCCTTTAATCTTGACTATCGCGGTAATGGGAATCACCAAGGTCAGGGACCATGGGGAAAGAAGTATATAAAAAGGCAAAATTTTGGGCCTGGCCGGGAATTGAACCCGGGACCTCCTCGAAACACGGTTACCCTAACAAGGAATCATACTACTAGACCACCAGGCCTTGAAGTTCGCGAGTTCATATAACACTATGACGAGGCAAGAGCGTTTGACGAGTAACTCAAAAAGAGGATCAAAAGAGCGTATGATATAATGAATGTAGGAAGCAAGGAACGTAAGAGTAACGACAGGCCCGCGAACATGTAATTTATTTGAACTTGAAAATGTTCCGCAGAGGCGTAGTGAGACGGCTCTTGGGGGCAGCACCCTCGACTCCCATCCTGAGATCGTTCTCGTTCATCGTCGACCATCGCTTGCGAGCACGAGCGTAAGCAGTTTGTCCGTTTTCCTTTTCCGCACTGGCGATACGATTATGACGGCCAGGAGTAGAAGTTGCCGGCCGGTTGAGCTCGGGTACAGGCGGGACCTGCTGGCAGACATTGGTGTCGACGAATTTCAGAATGGGCACCTCAGACATGCGATGAGAGTTGAGTATGGTACCCTTTGGAACGAGCTTGGACTTCATCATGTGCGACTTCTTGATGACAGGCTCCTGAATTGCCTCGAGCAGCGGCGTAGTAGGACTTGTCACGGGTTCAGTATTCACGGGTTCCTTTGCATCTGCCGACGTAGCGCTATCGATAGGCCCCATGAAGCTGTTCCGTAGAGGAGAAGGGCGCCTTGCTGCTGTTGACTCTGGCACTGGCATAATGAATAGGCCCACATCTTGACTGCATCTGACATCCTCGAAGCGAACGCTCTTGACCTTCTTTAAAATTCCTCTCACCCGCGGAGGGGTGGAAGGAGTAATTAAAACAGGAGGAGGGGGAAGAGGGACACATGGTGGACCAGTCAGTGGCGCTGGAGAGACCTTGACCGCAGGGACTACTGACTGCAGACAAGGAGGTGAGGGAGGACGAGTTAGACTGGCACGGGCGGAACAACGATCTGGAGTGACGTTCAGAGGTACGATCTTGGGCGTCGATGAAGGTGTCGGAGTAAGAGATCCATTGTCAATGGCGCCTCGAAGATCAAGATCGAGGTCGTTCTCAAAGGCCCACTCGTCGTCATGGGAGGATGATGGCATCAACGATACAGAGTCCGTGTCCGAGTCAACAAATGCATCTTGACATTCCCTATTTTCGTGCGTCACGGGCGTTGAGATCCCACTCGTAAGTGTGGCGCATTGCGATCTGAGGCTTGATATCATACTACTGTGATCGGTGAAAGGTTTTCCATTCAGGCTGGGAACGCCAGGATCGAATTTCGGTGACCAGACGGTTGGAGACCCGCGGAAAGCCGTAGGGATATCAGGATACTCCAAATCGTCTACTTCCTTGAGCTGCAAACCGGATACCTTCTTGCCTCTTCGAATAGCCAGGGAATTAATAGAACCGAATTGTGGCAACGCGCGAGATGACTTGCGGCATGTTGATGGCAGTTGCTTTATTGTCTTATCAGAGCAAGATTCAAGAACGGGACTGGCCGAGGAATGTGTCCGTGTCCCCATTCGTCCACGGACGGGTGTAATGAGTCCTGGTCCAGATGAAACTGTATTTTGCTTGATAGCAGCCATTGGAACGTGAACGGACCATCGATTACACCCGACCTGATGACCAGGACATTCTTTCGAAATAACAGCAGTCTCCCTGCGGCTTCGGATGCCTGGAGTGCAGGGCGTAGAATGAAGGAATTTTTCTTTGGAAGACCCATTCTGGATCCGTTGATCCACCCGTGCTTGTCGTATCTTCCCATTTTGCAACTTGATAGTCCCAGCCGGAAAGATGGAACCTTCAGAAATCCAGTCATGCCTAGGAATAGAATTATCGCTGGTCCAGGGGACGTGCCTGGGAGGACGCTGGGGAGTTAGCCTATCCTACATTTGCTTTCGTCAGCTAAAGTAACAAATCACAGGAAATCTTCAACTTACAACCCACGTGTTCATGAAGAGCTGTTCCTTCATAACCAAGTTCATGCGCGGGATCGTTGGCGCAGAAAGAACGATACGAGCGATGTGTTCGTCTGGATGTATATCTCCGAGAGCGATGACACCTGAACGAACAGCAAATGGCACTTGAGCGCGGTGACCTTGGATGATAAATATAGGTGGCTTGTGATCCTTTGGGAATGGCGGCACGTCCTCCAAGTCACTTTCATCATCTGCCGAGCTCCCTGTAAACGAGAGCGATGGAACGAGTGACTTGAGATCGTCGAACGGGCCTGCTTCAGCGAGGACAGTTGCGATCTCGAGCGACGGCGGGGACGGTAAGGGAGATGGGCGGCCCGGAAGACGAGGGATGCGTGAGGGCGACCCGGAAGACATTTGATACCAAAAAGCAAAGCAGAAAAAAGAACAGTGCAGACCAAGTGCAGACACACCAAACATCAAGGAATATCATGGTCCCCAGCTGAAGCGAACGGTCGCGGCTGACTCCGGCGTTTAGTCCTCCGGTTGAAGAGGCTGACTTGTGCCAGAGTCATACCGTACAGTGACTAGGGTTTACTTGATAGGTCTACAGACTTACTTACACAGCGATCATGGTCAACTCGTTAAAGCCCTGTTGTTTTCGTTCAAGCTCAAGACTGTTGTCGGCCTTACGCTGGAGTAAAATATATCGATACGTACGGTATGTTTGCGAATTTGAAATTGGCATTTTAAGCGAAAAACTACTACAAATATGACGAGAGCACAGAACAAGGGAAAAGAAACAATTATGTAAAGAAAATTCAAAGAAATCCACTACCACCGCTATACCATGACCCGCTAAATCTTCAGCCACCCAAATTTCTTCTTTCCCTTCCCGCACGTGTTTGGCCGGGGCACTGACATCGTATTGGAGCGAGACCTCTTAAAGAGCGCCTTGAACGAAGTCATGCCAGTAGGCGGAGAGACCAAGGGCGGCGGAGATACACTGGGTACGGAGCGGCGACCGCATGCTCGGATGACAGGGGTGCTTGCAGTGAAACTGGTAATGGGAGATGAACCAGGTGTGATGACTTCGCGAGGGGGACTCCGGTACCCTTCTGCGGGGTATACGACCGGTGAGGTAGAACTACCGACAAGAAATGATGGTGTGCCCTTCATGAGTTGTCAACCAAGAGTGGATGATATGAAAGGAATATATATACCCGAGGGTCGTATATATATCGGACTGATCGCCTCCGTGCGACGGGTGTGCTGGCTGGTGAAATGGCCGAATGACTGGTTGGAAACTGGCACTTCCAAGCAGATTAATCCTTGAAAAAACGCTAACAAAGCAAATTAATTTACCTCGGATATATCATCAGTGGATTCGGTCAGCCTCCGCCTCTTACCTTTGTCCGACAATGCGGATTGTTGGAGGGAATGATGACTTAGGTCATTGCCGAGCTGTTGGAGCGCATGCGGACATGATACAGGTACGGTTGAGCCAGTGGTAAGAATATCAAGTGCCCCTGAAGCCTCTTCAGGGTATGGAAAATCTTGGACCCAACCAGCAAGCTCATCGAGTTCCTGAAGCAGTGCGAGCATATCGGGAGGAAAGCCGATATGTGTCGGGGAGGACGAGCAAGGACTTTCCAGCGGGCTTTCGACGTGGTAATCAGTCAGGTCGGTTGCAACAGCATGCACGAGGCGGTCATTCTGGGTTGGGACGAGCCTGAATATCCTACCAGAATGCTTGGAAAGAAGGTCAGATATCGGAGAGCTTGATGCAGTAGGTGGGCTGAGCGGGAGTATAGGAGAACACGGAGGGATAGTGAAGGCTAGGGCCTCCCGATCGACGACGCGACGGTTTAGCGGATTGAGTGGTTTGGTACAGTGATGGATGGCAGCATGTTTGGATTCTAGAAGTGAGGGATTGTTGTCGATACCGGGATTTCCATGATCAGAATATGAAACGATCGTCGATGAGCTACGCTTGCTAATGAAAATATTTTCTTCTTCAGCAGGCGTATCACGATTTGAAACGCGAAAGGCAAGCGCATCGACGGGTGCGTACCCTGGCATGTCGAGCAAGGGTGCAGCATGCGGAGTAGCAGAGAAGGCAATAGGGCTGACTCGATACTTGCCGTTTCCGTGGTGGTTCCTACGACGTTCCAGAGAGGAGGGACTTTCTGTGATGGAGAAAGAGAAACCGTCAAAGGGGACACCTTGTTCGATACTATAACGGCTGCTCTCGGTTGCCTGCAGTGCCAGAGTGTTTCGCAAGTCTCGGAAGATGGGTCGAGGTTTCTTTATCGATGCTCTCCCATTTGATGATGCTGGAGAATCCGAGCGCTCGATGGCGAAAGACTTCGGGAGGGTATGGGATGACATGGCGAACAACCAGTAGAGGCAAACCAATGGTCCAGAAGTCAGCAAGAAGAAGGACAGGTCCGTTTAGCAGTCAGCCGCTCAGTGCGTACATGTGACGTTCAGAGAGGCTGACTTAGGACTTGTACCGGGCACCGTCATGAGTTGCTCTGCAATTGCAAGTAGTAAACATATTGCGCATCAATTGTGATCGACAAAAATCAGCTACAAATGAGGCCAACCAGAGACTTCGTGACTAGTAGCTAAGGTCCTCGCCTAACGTCGGTTACACCCAGCAGGATGAGGGGAAATTCGTTGATGGCTGATTCGTTTCTGTTCAGATCTTCATCAGCGTACGTTGCAGAGTCAATAGAAACGTGTCTTTTCACAAGGCTTCCATCAAATTATAGGTCAATTTTCGTCCTGAATGGGTTCAGAGAACCTTCGCAGATCGTTATTGTTCCGGTCATTGCGATGATCGTTGTTGAGTGCCTGCAAAGTTGTCCAAGAAATGATACGATAAATGATGATCTGATGTTCACGATGATTGGAAGCGACGGGATCTCACGATATTCTGGTTGCGCGCTTAAACGCGTCTATGTCACTTGTTTTCACCGATTTCTGCTCTGGCAGTGCTCTTTGAAACTTCGTCTCTGTTGTCGTTGTTGTGGAGAGCCCGGCAGTGCTCATCAGATTTTCGTGCTTACACCACGCTGCAGTGCAGATCACCCAGCCCGTTTACTGCCTGTCTCGGGCTGCAGACCAGCCTGTCGACAACGCTTTTCCACCTCTCATCCCACCACCGTCCATTCTTTTTCACCGCGTATCGCGCTACTTAATTCCCTTCATCTTAGGCAGCAGCTTTGGAGTCTTGGAGCACTCGAATTCGGTGAGTAACCGTCCAGATTCGCTCTATCTGATGAGCCATTTTCTATTTTTTTATTTGCACGTCAGGCCGAATGTTTTCATTACATGCAGACGATAGACTACATGATCTGAATTTTATATTATCATAATCGATGTCCTGCTTCCACAATTACATGCTCATCTCCCGTTTTTCAGGTCTTGTCAGTGCTTGCGCAAGGGTTTGGCCAGAACATACTGTGAGTATATTGCTCTCTTGTTACAGATGGCGCGATGAAATCCGAGAATATTTGCACGTCAGTCAGAGCTGCGTGTCTTACGACGCGTGGTGGAGACGATGTATTCCATACCTGACCATAACTTATTGCAATATATGTCCGTTTATAATAACCGCCTTCCATCTCCTCAGGAATATCCCATTGGATCCCAGATCGCCTCGATAAACCATCTTTATTCATTTAATATCTCCACCTCGCTCTCACCTCGCAAATACCCTTATGTCAACTACCAATGGTTCCTCAGCGCCTGGCGCTTCCCGCACAACTCTCGCACCGCCTGCAACGAATAGCATGCGTCCCAAGTCAACAGGACTTATTCCAACCAACAATGTTACCACCAAGGAGGGCGTGACTGTCCGCACTCGAATCGACCCTACACTCACCGTCGATGATGTAGTCAGGCAGCTTTGCGTTAATCTTAAAGTTACAGAGCCCTCCTCCAATTTCGCTCTGAGGGATAAAGATACCGACGAGCTGATCGTGAATGAGAATTTGCGGAAGAAGATCAAGAACAAAGCAAACCTCAAGTGTGTAATACTAGGATTATGATTGAGATGTATTGCTGATGCTGTATTTGTAATGCTCTACAGGCTGGTCAATAGTCCCAATATCGAGGCGGCAGAGATCGTCCAGAAACTCCTCGTCCGAGATGAGAGAACCTTCAAAATGGCTCTCTGGTCATTAAAGAAGTTCATTAAAGTGCGTCGGGTTTATTTATTCGTGGGTGCTCATGTCAACAATGGCCGTTCTCCCAGGAAGAAAAGTTTGCTCAGGAATTTTTGAGTCATGGGGGTCTTTCCGAGCTCGCTCAAGTTATTTGTACTGAGCATGGAAACACACTTGCAGTGCGTATCGTTTTGATCAAGTGTAGAGTCAAGTCCTAAGCATCTATTTCAGTACGCTCTCGAAGCAATGCACAACCTGATGGACCTGGACTATGGCTGGTCAACTCTCGACAACACTTTCATTTTTAAAGTCGTCCAAATCCTCTCTTCGCCAAATTCTCTCATCAACGTTTGCCGCCCTGCCACTGCTATTCTAAAGAAGCTTGTTGAAGCTGACCCAATGAATGCGCCTGGACCACTGATTGCCAGTTCGAGTAGAGCTCCCCCAGTTGCACCCCCTGGCTCGGTGTATCGATACGGTTTCCAGATCGTTTTCCAGCAGATGCGGAGGGAGAAAGGATCATTGGAAACTGTCGTAAATCGGCTTGGAAGCGCAGATACTGCGATGATTCTACATAGGTATGCGCAACGCACAAGCAGTTCAGATAGGGCGGGCACTGACATTCCTACAGCATGATGCTGATCAATTCCCTGCTTTCGCACGTCAATGATACTGAGTGGGATGAGTTTATTTCTGAACTCGAGCGGCTCAACGTTCGGAAAGCCGTTATAGTACGTGGCATCCAATTTGTATTTCACGGACTACTCATGGAGTTTCCAGCGACTCATGTCGTCACATAATATAGATGACCTTACGTCCTCGATTCTCGACTTCCAGGCCAATATCGTGCGTGTGACATACCGTAAGAAATCGACGCTTGTCGAGCCTGAAGTCGAGCCTCTTCATGAGTCTGCTCTTGAATATATATGGAATTGTAGCAAGGTTCAGGATGGGCGGGATAATGATGGTGAAGTACTGAAGTGGCGAAAGCTTGGGTTTTCAAGTGAGAATCTGGTGCATGAGTTTCAAGAAGTGGGGGAGCTTGGGCTTGATTGTTTGGTCAGCACCGTCATTTTCGCCCTATGTTCCCTTGACCAATCGTGTTGCAGCGTAATTTTGTTGCAGATGACCCGGACCTGTTCTCAAAAGTGAGCTTTCTTTACTCTTGTTCCTCGTCACAAATACTAATATCAATGTCGTCGGTAGGTTATATTGGAACAGTTGAGCCGTCCGGTAGACAGGCGATGCCCCATTGCAAGGGCTTCGAATGAAATTGTTGAACTACTTGCAGAGCATTGGGTGATTTTCGCTCCTGCATGTCAGTAATCTGTCGCGGAGTACGCAACTCATCTAATATACCCATCATCAGATTCAACATCAACTACATACCAGCCTTTTTTCCTCAATTTTTACCGGGTCCACGCTCTTGCCACACAATTTTTCTTGCGAATGTGGAATGAGAGTGGTTCTGCAGCAGGCGATTTTTCTCGCATTGTGGCGCTCGCTCGAAGCCAGTACGTCATGATGCCTCCTAATCCTTGTAATTTTCACCGCTGATTTCCTCAAGGGTCAAAGTGGCATTGCAAAGGGAAAACACCAAGCCATGGCACGAGGTAGAGCACGATTTCCTCGACTGCGAGTATCGCGCCGTGAGGGATAGGCAGATGCAAGAGCTTGAAGCAGAAGACGACCTTCTAAGCAAGGTTCCTGTGCGGTAAGAATTTTGGTATTTGATCTTGGGGTTCTTGGCTGATACTGGGAAATCAAGGAACTTGAAAGAGAAGATCACCCGCGAGTCCGCCGAGTTCGTCCGTCAACAACGAATACAGTGCCTGTTTCAAGGGGCATGGTTCATCAATGGCATCCCCACACCAGCCAACGGCCTTTCGCGGCGGCCAAACGGCCAATGGAGATTCATACGACTGGTATGGATCTGATGCGTGCTTCCCAAAGTAAGCTCATTGGCTCGATAGGACAACGGCCTGAAATATCTCCACTATGTGGACAGTACGGTCCAGTTCCCCGTTCGAAATGGACTCGAAGATCTACCAGAGCGGATTGAGATCGCAGCAATCACCCAGATCGCCACAGGCACATGTGCATCTCCGCCAAACATCTTGCGAGATCACCTCGATCTACCTCCGCCTAACAGTCTCACTCCATCACCCCTATCATTCTCTCTCCTGACAGCCACTGAAGGCTCCCTGGCGGACCAAATCGCGTCGGATCAGTCCCGGTGGGCAGATTGGACTGATGGATTGAACATGCTTCGCCGGGACAGCGGTCATGTCACATCCGAGGAAACAGCAGGGTACATCAAAGCATTGACAGAGATTGGCCTCAAAATCAAGCTTCTCGGTGAGTCGATTGTCACTCTCGTACCGCAGAGAAATCCACAACTTCTTCTAGATCTATCAGGCGAGAAGGTTGATATACCCAGTGGACTGGTGGCAGGACCTCCTCCAAGCAATACCGATTTTTTCTTCTCAGATCTCATCTGATGCGATGAGGTTGGTTGTATTTTTCTCTTATAATTATGACTCATGTACGTCTATCAAGACGTAATGAGATTTGATGACGGATAATCATGTAAACAATCTATTAGTTGCTCGTATACGGCTTTTACAATAAACATCCCTTGTCTCGTGGAAACTATATCGAGAGGATGCATGCAGTTGATGCAGTGTGCAGTTGATGCAGTGGTGGCTGATATACAAGCTGAGGCAGTTGATGCGATGGAATGAGGACTTTCTTGTCAGTGGCGTGGTTGGGTGTCAGATATTAGTTGTGCTGGATATGCATGTCATACGGGGGTTGAACCCGCAATGCGGAACGTGGAGGGTATGCGAAATAGATCTTGTTCTTGAGATCAAGACTAGTTTGGAAGTGCCTGGGGTGCAGCAGAGCCGTTGGTGTGTTGGGCTGCGTACTCAGCACCTGCCTTGAAGAAGGGCTCAAAGATGGCTTGTGGATCCTTGAAATCGTTGTGGACGACGTTGACGAGGTATGATGATTCAAAGATCCCCATCATGAGTTTGCGTGATGGCGTCTCTGCTTCATAAACGTTGGCCCACTTGACGCCTAGTTCGTATGCTTCGTCCTGTGGAGCAATATTAGGAATGATCGTACCGAGCCAAACACGACTCGCCTTCCACGCCATGAAGCTGAGAGCCTCGACAACTGTCGGCTGGATGATCTCCTTACCGGGGAAAACTCCCCATGTAACAGCATTGGGTCCATCGGAATGGGTGTTCGTCCTCAGGTCACCTTGTTTGTTGATGACGTAGTAGGTCATATTGCTATCGCGCTCAATGTGGGCAAGCAGGAGTTCTAGTAGTTGAGGGCTAACAAAGAACTCTAGATATGCCTAACAGATGGCAGATGCAGATGTCAAGAGAGAGTTCGCGTATCGAGGGCAGTGCTTACCTTCTGGTAGATGTACCCATTGCTCGGACCCCAACCAAACTGTGGGTCGTCGCTCCTTGCACCATTAACGGCGGGCTGAGAGTTGATGGTCAAGAACCCAAGTTCATTCATCTTGGCGAGTTGCAAGGCGATGGCTGAGGTTTCGGAAGATGCTGCCTGATTTGACCATGGAAGAGCTTTGAGTTCACCCAGACAGAATCGGCTAAATAACGATGCGACTTCTGCGAATGTCTTGGGCTCTCCCCAAAGTTTCAAAGCCTCCTCCTTCTGTAATAGAAGTCAGTAACTGAATTGGTAGCCCGTGTTATATGTTACTCGCCGTTTGTTTGAGCCAGATACCGTATCCATCGAGCTCACCATATGCGGGACTCCGCGAGTCACCAAACCGACCGTTTGGGAACTCATCCCAGTTTTCAGTACGCGAAAGGTATGATTCGGTCCGGTTCGCCCAGAAGATAGGACGGATGTTTTCTTGCCGTCGGTTTGGTGTAAGCGACTGAAACAGAACATGAGAATAAGGTATTGAGCAGTAAAGGGTGTCCACATACTTGTCTCCAGGGCAAAGGCTTGATAGTCTCTACACGAGGCATAAGGTTCAGCTCCTCCAGCAACATCTTTGTTCCCTTCTCCAAGTTCATGGTATAAAAGTGAAAACCATGGATATCGAGGTCAGCAGCGAGAATCTTCCGGCACATCTCTGCCACGAGTTTAGTTCCAATCTCCCGAACCTTCTCGTCGTCGTTTTTATAGGGCTCTAGAGCGTCCAAGAAAAATTGTGGAATTTTGGTGTTCGCAAGAGATGTCGCCTTTAAAAAGCCATTCCACGTTTGAACAGGAGCAATACCAGGAACGATTGGAATTGTGATTCCAGCTGCTCTAACTGCCTTCACCCAATCAATGAAGATATCGACGTCGTAGAACATCTGCGTGAAAATGAAGTTGACACCTGCATCGATTTTATCCTTAAGGTACTTCATCTCGAGGTCGCGTTCTGCGGGCGGAAGGAGCTGGAACTGAGGGAATCCAGCGACTGCGATATCGAAGTAATCCCCATACTCATTGTGGATGTGCTTGACTAGGTCAATACCGTGCACGAAACCACCCTCGACTGCCTCCCACTCATCCTTCCCTTGAGGTGGGTCACCACGAAGGGCCAAGACATTGCAACAGCCGGCCTTTTTTGCTTCCTGTGATAAATATTAAAGTGGTATACAGGCAAATCGGACGTGAATACACACCTGGAGAGCAATGTCGACTTTTTCTTTAGGCATGTTCGTACATGTCAAGTGCATGCATGTTTCTATGCCCACTGAGCCTTGACACGTCTTCACCATATGTGCAGTTAAATCAGACGTCCGACCACCAGCATTCCTATTCACAGGGCGTAAAGAGGCTTCTCATCTTATAAGTAAACGCCTACCATGTAATGTCAATGAATTCTGGGCCCAATGCGGTCATGCGCTTTATACGATCAAGCAAGTTTTGCAGACCCTATGAACACAATTCAGATAACTGTATGTCTGATGACCGCGATGGGGTCGCACCTGAGCTGTCCGAGGCGGAAAATACTCGAATGACCACCATATTTTGCCCTCTTTGCTGGACTGCTCGATCTTTTTGCTGATTCTCATTGATGAAGGAAGGAAAGGAGGAGACTGCGATCGATAACGTTAAGAGCAAGGTCTGGGACACTTTATTTAAGGACACTTTAATAGTTCCCCGCGGCTCTTTTCATGAGGCGTGGATTTCTCCTGACCTGCGCCAATTCATCACGTAATCTAGCGAGTTGTGCTGGCTTGCCGCTTGTGGCGAAAGCCGCTCGGGTCTTCGAAGCACGAAGAGTCTCACACATATCAGAGTTCGAAATGATGTACCGAATACAGCTGAGTATACTATACAAGAGCGTGAGAGGTATCAGAATGCACCAAAACTTTCATTGAGACGTGTATCGACCAACGCAGAGACAACAAAGTGAAACAATTCTTATACAACACTTGGTTGTTATGTGCCTCGAGAGTTTTGAAAGGTGATATCGCGGGAATGATGACACGAAGATATGGGTCACATACTCTCGTGAATTTCAATTCCTTCTCACGAGTCACGAGGAATGCCCCTTGATAGAAGGAGCATGAGAAACAAGGATGCACGAAGTCACAGAAGAGTTGCCACACCTGGCAAACGTTAACTGCTCTTGACAACATATATGATACAGGTGGCCACGATAATGAAAGTGACAGCTGCCATAATGATATGGTGTATTCTGCGAGCGACTGTTATCAGTATGACAAAGTATGAGGAACTGCAAACTTACCTGTGTACAACAAAGAAGGCCCTGACTTTCATCAGGTCATCTAGACCTGTGTGATATTCCCAGAATGCTGCAGCGATTGTAAGCAGGGCAGCGATAAACTGAAGAATCGCAAGGGGTAAACTGAAAGACCCCAAGCTCTCAGATTGTCCCGTGCCAGGAGGTCCAGGGAGACGGATTTCAAGCAACGCCGAGGCAAACATGAGCAATAACAATAGGACAAGTTTGATATGCGACAAGAAATTTCGCTCTAGCATACAAAAGTCGCGGACAGTGCTGCCCACAACCAGTAGCGGCGTCGGCATCGTACAAGAACAGCACAACTCGAAAGTTGAAGTTCCCGCTACAGTCAAACGTACATATCACGTGAAGTGTCCATCCATTATGTAAATTATTTAATTAATGAGAGACGGAGACTAAAGAACAGTATTAATCGGTAGCGGCGCCAGCGGACCGAAAGTTGCCGCTGTCCAGTTCTAGATCTGAACCTCGAACTGAACCACGATTAGGTTCGGGAGGGTCCAGAGTTCGAGGTTCAGAGGATAATAGAACGTGAGAACCGTATGTAGACGTGACTGAATCGCTATAGATCTTTTTAAAGTAGAAAGACAGTAGTAGGTACTGTGCAGTCGTAATATATCAGGCCATACTGTCGTATCCGTGCATGATATGCCATAACGAGCATTGTAATAGTACCATAGCCATGCATGTTTTTACTGTTGCAAGCTGTTGGTTATATCACAGATAAAACATACATGATATCATGCATGCTGAAGATGCCACGCAAGACATGCTGATGGAAAAAATTGCACTAAGTAAATTTGATCAACAATTGAACGAGGGTATCTGACTTTTTTTAGCACCCCAACTGCAGACGCTCCAACACAATTCCTTTGATATCATTCAGAAGGTCTGCCTCGTCAATTGCCTTTGGTGAGCGGATCTTGTTCACTGTTGCAAGCATGGCGTCTATGCAAATGACGTAGACCTTCTTAGGAAGAAGCTTCTCCCTCTCAAGGTGCATTTGGACATTCTGGGATGTTTCGTCGATGAACCTTTGCCGTTCTTCTAATTTCCTTAGCGGGAAAAGAGAAAGTGTTTCGGCGTCCACGTCTGGATCATAAGGGTCGAAATCCTGCGGCATCTTCTCGCACACCATGTCGTTGATGTACTGGTCTGACTTGGAGCGAACAAGGAGCACCTCAATGTTCTTGAACGGCTTACAGGCACGGAGGATGGCAAGGCCGGAATCCAAGAAACGATCGTCTGTAAGCATGATGATGCAGTCGAAGATGTAGAGGCCCATGTCATTGAAGTACTGCCAGTCAGGCACCTTTGGAGTGCCTGATCCGGGAACATCGTACCAAACCATCCGAGAATCTTGGCGCGGATCAGCATACCTCGTGACAGTGTCAGTGATTTCGACAATTCCCGCAGGAGCGGGCACGGGGTCATTTCTAGACAAACTACGGACGGCATTAATGAAGGACGACTTGCCAGCTCCAGCAGAGCCAACAACGGCGATGTGAATAAATCCTGGACTGTAATGATACTGGGCCTTCATCCGACTGATATCTTCATCTGAAGGGTGACACTCGGGGTAAACGCCTTCGAACCATTTACGCTCAACGGCGAGCCTCGCTTCCTCTACTTTGCGACTAGCTTCTGCAGACAACCGTTGCAGCTTGCACCGAGGTTTCTATCCTCCTTGCTGCCTCTTCTACCTCCAGTTGCTTGGCTCTTGCAGAATGAGCTGGCCAGCTGGCCACAACCTCGACCACCGCAGACACTACGGCTGAGACCACGAATCGGATTGCGAGGAAGAAACAGCTGGTTACAACCCTGACCGCCGCAGGCACTGCAGGCACTACGGCTGAGACCACAGATGGGATCGCGAGGAGGAAACGGTTGGCTACAACCCTGACTGCCGCAGGCACTACGGTTGGGACCACGAATGGGATCGAAAGGAAGAAATAGTTGGCTACAGCTACAACCACCGCAGACACTGCAGACAACACTAGTGGGATCGCGAGGAAGAAACAGCTGACTACAAGCTACAATCACTGCAGACACTGCAGGCACCACTAGTGAGATCGCGAGGAAGAAACAGCTGACTACAGCTACAATCACCGCAGACAGTATGGCTGGGACCACGAATGGGATTGCGAGGAAGAAAACCATGCAGTACAGAGAAATCTGGTGGATGGGGCTGCTGAGAAGGGTGTCGTGGCAACGTGTTTTCTGTGTGGGTACGATGCGACCTAGAATAAGATTGAATATTGAGCAATTGTGGACTGCAGAACTTCAAGCTTCGCTCACCTACTATGTATGGATTACAATAATGTGAATACAATGTGTAGCTGATGATGACTCTGCAGGGAAGACCACAAAAAACGATTTGACAAGGGGGCAAGCAGGGCGGGTGTACAGGTCTTATAGTACTTGTCCAGACAGAGACAAGGCTGGTACGAACAAAGTGGAATAACTTCGGCAATGTTGAAAGCTATTCACGTAGTTTCTGATGTGTTGTGCTGAGGGTAGAATAGAACATGCCATCCGTCGATAAGAAGCCGTGGATCAGATCTCTACTACTATCTCTGGCCCAGAGTTGCAAAATGTTCCGACCAGTTTTTCATAACACAACTACACAACATTAAAATAAGGAAACACTAGGAGCATGTAGGATTTGGTACAGACTCTAAATCTATAAAATCAAGAAAGCTGTCAAGCCTACGTTGCCAGAGAGAAGCCGGTACGAAACCGTGTTTGAGCACAAAGCTGCAAAATTTCTCACCCGCATAGAAGTTATCGTGTCACACTGCCTCTCCGACGAAACTGGGGCATTTGACAAGTGCTATCAAGGATTCAAAATTTGGCTTTTTGCAAACTTCGAATACAAGCTCACTAGCGCTAAACGGAACTCGTACCTACAGCTATTATTATGGCCGGCTCATCACCTGTCCCTGAGGTATCAGTCTGTTTCACTTGTGTGCAGTGACTCCTTCAGCTGAGCTCCAACACCAACGTTGCCAATACTGAATGTGGGAGCGCTCCAGCGCGGACACAATTTACCGTTACAACCTTTTGAGATATCACCTGATCCGGGCAGTTTCGTTGTATACCTCAAACAACACGGAGTAGCACAGCTTCGAGACCCCAATAGCCGAAAGGGAGAGACATGGGATTGAGGGAGTGGTCTCTGTGAAGCAAGGCCTCACAATGGACTCCCGAGCTGAAGGAGCATCCTCTTTCCTCGAAATACTTGTTTTGTCCGATGAATTCCAAGGTCTTTGAAGTGATTTCTTCTACCGTCTTATTGGCAATATTCAACTCGGTGAAAATCTATCGGATAATAGGGTTGGTGAAACGGAAAGTGGATGTTTTTTCTTTAGGGTGAATGAACTGGATGTTGAGGGTGTTTAGAACATGACCTATACGATACGAATACACGATGTTCTTCAGCAGCGTATTCACATAGTAACTCAGACCTGGAACAGATACTTCCGAAGCAAGAATGCAGGCTGTCTAATGCGCACAACCATTAATAAGGTCTACGTCAGCCAGTCACAAGCAAATGAACCTGGATATCTCGGTCTCCCATGCTGGTAATCGGGAGGTACCTTCTTCATCTACTAACGAGCTCTGAAGAGCAAGTGGGGTAGTATTGGCACTATGGTTCTGAGGATCTGCGTGGTGAAGTTTAGGCTGGGTTCTCAGTAGAAAGTTTGTCCCATCAGAAGGAGTGCTTCCATTTGCCCAATCCCCTGTTCGATGGGTCTAAGATGTTTCTGTTCAAAAACTTGGTACAAAGCATAGGGAGCCTTCATCACGATTAACTCTGGCAGTACCTTGTCCACGACAGGGGTAGTTGTGGTTCAGCTCGAGTACAAAACGAAAATTGTCTGGCTTAGCAATCTACGATAGGAGTGCGCTGTATACCGCACCTGTTCCATTGCGAGCTAGAGCGGATGAGAGCAAGTCTGGCCGCAGTGAAATCAAAAATCAATATCACGTGCCAAAAAGACGTGTGTTGTTGTGAGTTATTTGGTTACAGTTGAGATTGCAGATCATCGACTTCTGTTTTTCCTTCCCTTCGTTACGATCTTTACGCTCTTTAAACCACGTCTATAAACCGGGTAACATACACAGCGAACGAAGCTTATAACTAACATGGGATTTTTGAAGAAATTCTTTTCGATTGGGAGCAAGAAGTCAAAGAGACGAGAATTGGCGCATCATGACCTTGAGTCCTTCCCTCAATACCCAAACATTTGCAGTCGACGCGAGAGGAAGATGCTGAGGCGGCAGTAAGCCGACTTCTGCGCTCCTCTTCAGCGCGTTTTCCTGTCGAATCAGGTTCGAATTATGCATCACTTCCACCTCTCCGTAAGTGAATTACGATCAATATCTTTCTTGAATACTTATCTGTTCCTCAGCTCATCCCATTAACAATGTTCTTCCGGCGCCGGCTGCATCTACAGCGACCCTCAATAGCGTTTCTCAGCGCCACTCTTATACAGTAACCGTACACGGTCGCACAGTCCACAGCCGCACCGAGTTCCCGAATGCATACCCTCCTATGGACAGTCTTGCAACTCCGAAACGGAATTTAAATGACTCTGCACGACGCCGCGCTAAAAGCGTACCCATCACGCCCCGCGATCAGAACCGTCTTCTTCGTCTTCGCCAGGACCCATCTGTCGCTAGCTTGCTCAATGTTTATGATGAGAATGGATGCCTAGACTCTCACGTATTCTCCAATACCCCACCCGTCGCAGGAGGCAAGGGACCTCTGCGAAGACGTCGCACTGGCTCAACCTTCCGACAACTATTGGCCAACCCATCTAGCCCCGAGCTCTGTGACAACAGCGACATTGAATGGGCTGAGAGTGTCCTGTGGTAAGCGGCGTTTTATTTTCTTAATGCGTCACTTTCTGAAGATTTGCCAGTGAAACAGATAATAATTCTTGTGCATCTTCTTCTGAACTTAAAACACCTCGCGATCCCCTTTTCATGTCCTCCCACTTCAACCACGCTGACCACAGCATCACACTCTCTACTGAATGCGACACCTCTGCACCAAATCAACCCACATTCTCCTCTCTTGATGTAGAGCTCAGCGCCTCCACTGAAATCACGCGCAACGTCTACGTCAATTCACCTTATGGGAATCCAATGTCTCACCAACGTGCCTCGCAGATATTTGGGTTTCTTGCTGACAAGAAAAAGATTTCTGAAGAGCGCCCCTCGAGGCTGCCGACACGAAAAGTCACTCCTCCCCTGCACATCATGTTGGATCTGGTATCCAGCGACGTTCAACCACCTCTCAGCGATACCCAATTACCTGAATCCACCTATGCCAAAGTTGCTTCACCGCTCGTATTTCCCTCTTCGCAATCTATGCAAGCTGCACCAACTCTAAACGCGGAGCTACCGCATCATGTTGTACACTCAGAATCTGAACCTGTCATCATCAACCATACTGGCCGGACCAGTAGCAGTGGACAAAGTAGTCGAGGTCCTCACGGTCCACGTGCTTCTACCCAGATACCCTCGCGATCTAGGTCGAATCCCAGTCCGTGGCTGCAGGATGATTTGCCACCTTTATCAGACATCAAGGCTGAAGGCACTCCTTCCAGACCTGCCTTCGGAGAAAAATCAAATGCGGATGTTAGATACCCAGGTTTCGCTACCACCACCAGTGGAGACGGAGCCTTTTTCATCCCTGCATCCTCTCGTCCGCGCTCATCTCAGCGTTCCAAAATTATTGACCTCAATGACGATAGCCAAACCCCCATCTTTGCACGCAGCAGCTCGTCACTTCATGTTTTCGCAAGCGTGCCATCTCTTGCAAAGGATAAATCTCAAGTCGAAGCTTTTTCATCTGCTCACATGCCTCCGCGCGATAAAGAGAATAACATGGCATCTCAGCTTCCCCAACCAAAGACACCCCTGCGACCCCTTGGTTTCCGTTCACCGCACTTGCAGGACAAACCCTCACCTGCGTCGTCCTCTGAGTTGTCCCCCACGGGGAAGCAGATTATGACAAATCTACGACACCAACGGATGCAAGCACGTCAGAAGGAACGGCAGACGGGCCGCTTGGGAAGCAGTCACAGTCGTATTCGGTATTGATGAGTTTTTGTTTTGTTTTGCATCGTGCTATCTTTGTTTTTCAAAGCTTTGATATGGTTTCGCCTTTATCTGGACTCTGTAGTGGTCATGATATACCTCGTTATGAATCTCTGAATCTCACAAGAATCAAGTATACAAGTAAATCCGTGTACCAAACAGACAGTGCACGTAAAACTGAGCCAGATGAATTACCAAATGGGGCAGGTACATATTCAAATTCCAGTGTGGCTGACAGAAGAGGGTCGCCTCGTGAAGGTATTCCTTTGTTTGTCGTTCTCTCACACCCTGGCTTGGTTTATCCACTCCCTATCACTGACCAGTACTTGGTTCAGCCCCGTGCAGACCAGCCGTGTGTTATCCAACCCCATTCGTAGCGAATACTTGACCCCTGCTGCCAGCCTGACTTCCGAGTCCTTAGACCTAGACTTAGATTCATACGAGATGGTGCAGAAATACGGAGCGGTGCTCACAACGACGACTGACGCAACCGTAGGTGATAGCGAGAGCAGTGCCCTTCTTGCAGGGGGTGCCGCTCCTTCAGTTCAACAGAAGGAAGGTCATGCCAGCATGCTGAGCTGCGTGAGCAACCTTACAAATACAATCATGGGCAGCGGTGAGTGCTTTCGTTCAATGTATAGTTTCTTGGAATTAATTAGTTTGTGTGCAGGCATGCTCACCTTTCCTTTGGTAGGGTTCCGCAGACCTGCAGGGAGTTTCTATGAGCTTATTTGATGTCATCAGGCTATGGCGTCTTCTGGTATCATACCAGGAATCCTTACATGTATATTCTCCGGTTGTGTTGGCGCCTTCGGTCTGTACCTACTCTCGTTATCGGCTAGACGCGCACCGCATAGAAGCAGCTCCTTTTTTGCGATTGCACAGCTTACATTTCCGCAAGCTGCCATATTCGTTGATGCTGCAATAGCCATCAAGTGTTTCGGAGTATCTATCAGGTGGGCGTTCTTGAGGTTATTCTTTTGGTGATACTAACGGCATTCAGCTATCTCATCATTATCAAGTCGCTCATGCCCAATGTTGTGGAATCGTTATACCATGATTTGACTTCGCCTAACACTAATCCGCCTGCGTGGGCCCTGTCAGGCCGGAATTGGATCACGCTCATCATGTTCATCCTCGTTCCTCTTGCTTCCTTTCGTCGCTTGGACAGCCTTAGACACGCAAGTTACGTCGTCCTATTTTCCGTCGGTGAGCTCAAACCCGTAGTATCATGCATTGAGACTGGTGACTAAATCTGCGTGCACGCAACCCAGTATACCTCTTGGCTATAGTCATTATATGCTACTTTAATCCTTTAGAAGGTACAGCTCCAGCTGGCGACATTCATCTCATCCACTTCACGCCAAACTTCATTTCGACTTTCCCTGTGCAAGTTTTTGCGTTTACGTGTGCCCAGAATGTATGGATTTTCTCTGTACCATGATGATCGACTCAATAGTTCTTCAAGCTGTTCCCTATCTTCAATGAACTGAAGACGAACTCGCAACAGCGCATGAATATCGTTATTGGAACTTCTATTGGTAGTGCCATCATGGTATATGAGGTCATCGCACTCTTTGGCTATCTGACCTTTGGTTCCAATGCGAGTAATTGCTTTGTGCTTCTGTAACATGTGTATATTAACGATTTTCATTAAGGTCGGCGCTAATATCATCGCCATGTATCCCTCGACATCGATATTCATCGCTATTGGGCAGCTGGCCATCGTCCTGCTTATCACGTTCTCATATCCCCTGCAAGTGCAACCTTGCAGGAATTGCTTGGACAAGATCTTCCATGTAGGAACCCCTATCAAGGTTTCTAGCAGTGATAATGACGATGAAATTGTCGATGAGGATCATGCTGTTACCGACATGTCCCCTTTCAAACACACGCTGCTGACCGCTGCTATTACTGGTTTCGGTTTCCTTATCGCGTACTTCGTTGATGACCTTCAGATGGGTAAGTTGTTTGGCTGATGCTGAGGAGGTGACCGTTTTGATCTAACAATTTGCCCTACTTAGTGCTATCCTTTGTTGGCACCACTGGATCCACTACTATTTCATTTATTCTTCCTGGGCTCCTCTTCTGGAAGGTGAGAATCTGACTTCCGATGCTTTCGGAACCGCTGCTAAGGACCATGGGTTTCAGATCTCTCGCGATGATCCCAGCATGAGCAGAACGCTCAATAAAGCTGCCCTCGCTTTAGCAGGGTATGGGTGCTGTGTGTTTGTATTCTGGTACGTAACGTTGTGCATGTACTGCTGTCTAAAGCAACGGGGTTTTAAATCGTTTCAACAGCTCGGGTTACAACATCTACCGAATTTTCAATCCCTCAGAAAATTTATCCAACTGATGGAAGGTCCTGTAAAATATCCGTACATTTAAACATATTTTGTTCTCTTATGGAGAATATAATTTGCATTTTGGCAAACGACGTGTGGACTTTGTGGAAGCGCCTTACATATAACATGCTGTGGAGACTGTCAGAGTCGTGGGAAGAGGTGGATTAGGCTTGGGATTTTGGGGCCTGTTAGACTTTCATCCTGAACACCTACGTTCCCCTAGACCACCAGATGCCTCCAATCTTCTTGTCCTGACCTTTTCTTTAGACAGGTCCTTAATTTCAGTGTACGACGCCGACAAACCATTTACTGTTCAAAGTCTCCATGTCATTTCGTGAGTCGCCTCCAGATCCCTTTCAAGTAATTTGTGAATGCGTTTCCGAATGCTGACCATGATAATTGCATTGGTTGCTGTACTTTGCGATACAGAGCCGCTATCGACGCCTTCCTTTTCAGCATCTCCTGCGCCCTATATATCCTGCTCTTCATCACCATCTCCTTCATTGTCCCACACGTCTTCCAGTTCTCAGCTAGAGTCGAGTCTCGCACGAAGCATGACTTCAACATCACCCCCTCTTACAGAACCAGCAAATGTCCAGTCACCGTCGCGCTCTGATTCTGACACTTTTGCAGAGTTGGAGGGCGCTAGCGCCCTCGCCGACGTCGATCCTCAGATTATCGAAGCCCTCAAAAGTAAAGATAGGATATACGTCCTGAAGCTCGGTGAGCAGATGGAGAATTTAATCAATGACCGAAGGTGCGTCTTTTTGTCTGTTCGTTGTGCATGGTGTTGTTGCGTCGCGATGTGCGACATAGTGCTGCGTGTGCTCATGCGGCGCAGCTGTTTCTATGGCCCTTTACGACGTTGAATTAATTTTGATGTGCTGACGGCTTTTAGCTTTAGGCCCCGGCTTGATCTGATGCCTGCTACATCATATCAGCGCCTTTTGGTGCATAGATGCTCCGCCTACTATAAACTGTCGCCAGAGACTGACCCTGTATCGAAGACGATTAGCGTCCTTCTTTCAGCGGATAGTAAAATGTTCGTATATTTCTACATCATAGTATCATAACTCATGCTAGTCAAATATAGCCCCAACCGTCGCATAGCGGCCCTCGTTCCTGCACAGCCTTCGACCCACCCAACTATCAAGATCATGCGACGATCTACTGCTGACCGTGGTCGGTCAAAACCACACTCACAGGCTGGTTCAATTACTGGAGAAGATCCTGAGCTTTCCGATGTAGAACCATCCGAATCCGGAAGCCAGGGTGGTCGAAGTAATGCTACTGGAAGTAGCAAGAAGCATAAGACGATCGCAGAACGCGAGGCCGCGTATAATGAAGCACGTTCACGCATCTTTATGGATTTCGAGGAGAGAGAGAAATGCAAGGAGAAGGATTTGAGCGCTAGCTCGTCGACGATCAGCCTTACTTCCGGTTCTGTAACGAGTGCTGGGGAGACTAGTAGTACCGGTGACATTGATGTCGAATCCGTCAGTTCCCCTACTACGGAGAGCGAGTGGTCTGGACCTGCCGTACGCGATAAAAGGTCAAACGGGTCTACGCGAAGCCTGCGATCGAGCGCCCCTGTATTTAATGTCAGTGGTTCAAGTAGCTCCAGAGGGTCCAGAGCGCCATCACCGTCGTCTTTCAAATACCCCACCCTGTATGAACCCTCCCCGGCGGCTGCCCCGTACGATGGAGCCCAACCTCCTGTACAACCTGGTTATGTCAATCCTTATGTGTACGCATACCCTCAGCCACCACCACCCTCAAACTATATTCCTGGTTATCCTTACTACGCCCCTTACCCGTATCCTCACCCGCAAGCTCCAATGCATGTGCCAGACAACTCGGCGGCGCATGGGACAATGGAGGCGTATCCCTCTCCACAACATGCCGCGCATCCAAGCGTTTACGTACCGTACACATGGTCACCCGCTCAGCAACAACAGTCACTTCCTCCTCCCATGCAACATACGGCGCAGCAACCTTCTACTACATCGGTCGCGCCACCGGCGTCGCAGTATTCTACTTTTACGCCTCCTGTACCGCCTTATGGACCATACCCTATGCCTATGTCCGGCTACTTCCCCCAACCGCCTCACATTCCACACGTACAAGCCTCACCTTCTGCTGCTCAGAACCATGGACACTATCCGGGTAATGGATATATGAATAATGCTGGAGGCAACGACGCCATGCCCTCGAATCGGTCGTATCCTGGCGACTTGACGCACTCACCTTCGATGGGCCCCAAGCCTCGTGGAGCCCCTCCGGCGCGTAGCGCCTGGAGTTATGGTCCAGGAGTGGGTATGGGTGGCTTCGGTGTAAACAATGTGGCCAGCCGTCCAGGTGGTGAGGTGGTGGGCCCACGCCTGAGCTCATCGGTTAGTAGAAGGCCTTCTGGTAACTCGAACACAAACGCTTGTGGCAGGATATCAGCAGGTGACGAAGCATCATCAACAGCCGTGAGTCATTTGACATGGCTGCCCCTTTCTTTGTTATTGACTCACTCCCCCTATTGTAGTCATCTTCAACGACTTCATCCTCTTCACGAAGGACATTCACGTCAACATCATCTCAACATCCTTTACCCGCAAGACCTGATTGGGCCGTCGGCCTGAAACCCCAACCTACACTCCACGCCACCCATCCTCGACATCACGATCACTCAATGAATTCCCGAACTATGTCTCCCGCTAGGAACAATTCCCAACGCGGCCATCAAAATCCATCTGTCTCACTTCAGCCCACCGACTTTCCTCCCCTGTCGTCTATGTCGCCCACGCCTGAGAAGCGCATACCGGCTGTTGCAGGTGTCTGGACGAACTTATCATCGACTCGATCCATTCTCATGCCGGGTAATAACACTTCACACGGAAACACACTCGCCAATCATTCCAACACGCAATCTAATGTGACAGGCGCTCCCTGTAATACCCGACTTGAGGACACAGACGGGGGATTCGAGAGGCCGCCGCTGAAGGGAAATGTAGAGTTATTTAATCCAAAGAGTGTTTGGAAACCCGGGGGGCCTCAGTGCCGTAGCCCACCAGCGGGCTCACAGGACAAGGACAAGATCGAGGAGCTACGCGGCGAGGCTATCGCCAATGCCATTTTGGTTGACAAAATGGCAATGGTATCAGTGGAAGATAACGATGTTAGTTCAAACGTGCCGAAAGTTTCCTCTGTTGCTCTTGCGACGTAGGATTTAGGTAAGTTCAGTCTTCACCCAGCTCGAAGTCTACTTAACGCGCTTTCAGTGATGCCGCCCCATGTTGTGTCTATTGTTTTGCGCTAGCTAAGTCTGCATGTCGTTGCTATCGTTGCATGTATTCGCACACAGGGAATTGGAGGTTGTTTTCACTAGATATATTACAAAAATGTGTAAACATATAATACAAGTCCTTTTTGCCCAGAGTATTGTTTGTGTCTGCTTATAGGTATTATTTTCGGAGGTCTTTGCCAAACAAACCGCGTGAACACCCAGTGGCTGAACATGACCACCCGACTACGGCACAGGCCTCTCCTCGAGGAAGAAGATGCTTCTGCGCTTAAGCTCGGAGCAGGTATACTTTCTTCCATCTGCTGTAACGTTAGTTCTCAACAACTTACTCCACAGAGTTCAACAATGCTGGTTGCTTACTGATATCCGAGGTCAAGTATCTGCTGGAAAATAGGGACAAGGATGCGCCAGACACTGCGTATGACTTCTGGTTCCTATCATAATCCGTTCCCTTACCTCTAGCCAGTGTTTATAACAAGACCCTCGAATACGTAAAGACATTTGCGAAATTCAACACCACCGATTCCGCCAGCGCGGTGCGAGAGTCTGTTTCAATTATTATCGATACCCTCTACTCGCCCTAACTGACTTCACTTTAGAACACTTCGACGCGAACCCGCATTGACGCAATTCGAAACCGCTCAAATCGCCAATTTGTGTCCCGTCGATGCTGAGGAGGCAAAGAGCGTCATCCCAAGGTAATGCACGAGTTCTTTTATTTGTTTATATCGATGTGATGAACGTTCTTGTGCAGTCTGGTAAAGATCGAGGATGATAGATTGCAAGCATTACTCGACGAGATACAGTTGATGAGGAAGTTCCAGTCCTGAATGATATCGGTCGTTGCCATGTTGTCCGACGTTCATCGCTGGTCCGCTCCTATCGTTGTCGACTTGCTCCAGTACTTTGGCACCTCAAAGTACATGCATGCTGAGCCTCTATCTGTGGGTTTCACATCTTGGAGACCGAGTAAAGCACATTACTACTGCCCTCTGTGTCATTCAGGTACCAGTTCTACGTGGATTATCATACACTGCCATTCCAGTGTTTTCATCATGCGAATGCCTACCTCATAACAATAATAACAAGCCTAGAACAATGTCAATAACTTGATAACTCGTATGTCTCTGCCCATTAGCGAGCTTAAGGTGCCAAGTACATAGAGCTCACGCTCCGATGCCGAAAAATATTCAACGCAAATCTTGCTTCAGTCAAGTGAAAATACCTCAGCTCGCTCAGTGCATTGGGCTCGTGCATGTCGATCGATGCCTATTTCCAGAATGTAAGAACGGGGCATAGTGCTAATCAATTTGTAGTCCGGGATTAAGCTAGCACTGTCACACCAATGATGCAATCGCAGAACATGAGTGATTGAATCGCGAAGACCATTTGGCTTCACAATTCAATCGAACCCCTTGAAATTATAGTCGCTAATGCTCATGAAAACATCTGCATATCTTTGCATATCCAATGACTTCTAACCCACTTTCCCTGCATTTACCATCACACAGATTAATATGTCATATTTCCTAGCTTACATTCTAACAAGGCGAATGCTCGCTCATTAACCGGTCACGTACCAGGTTGACCAACCCAACTCGCAAGTCCTATATTTCGCCGCCGACGGTGTAAGCACGCCGGCTTACCTGAGTTCCCATAATCAGTACATATACTGTTGCTGATGCTGAAAGCTAAGCTTTCAGTATTTCACCTTTTGGTGTAACGGTTATGCGGGTGGCAGTCTGACCATGTTTTTTTTTTTTTTTTTGCTTCAGATTTAGTCCTTTGGGGTCGTAGACCCTATGTTGGACATTGTCTCGTCATTAGCTATCTTTCATCTTTGGGGGGTTTGGATGCTTTTCATTTATGGTGCAGACATGTACTCTGTCACTGAGGTGAGCAGGCACGAAAGGAAAGCTGCGGGAGGAAGACGTGTTAGTAGGGGAGGTTGGTTATAGGGTCGTAGCTTCATTGTCTTGTCTGGTTCGTTCTTTGATTTTGCTATGTGGTTCCTCTGTAATCGTGTCTTCTGTGGTTCCCGTCAGTGACAGCTTTGTTGGAGTGTTGATCCTTTCATGGGAGAGTGTGTGGTTCGGGTTGGTATGTGCGGTTTGGGTATGTTTCCCTGTGACATTTTTACTGTGGTGTGTTATGTTCTTTTACATATGTTAATTCTCACCGAATATTGGTTTGAATCTTCCAGTGCTATTGATGTATCGGATGAGGTGTGGGGTGATTTTGTCGGATGTTAAGATGTGGGCTATTGACAGTGTGTCTCGACGTGTGGCATTTGCGAAGATATGGCGTTCCTTTCAGTATTGGGGGCATTTGAAGATATAGTGGTGAACCGTTTCGTTCGTGTTGGGGCATATTGGGCAGTGCAGGGTGTTGGATTTGTTGATTCGATGGAGGTGATGATTCAAGGGGATGTGTCGAGTACGGAGCTGGATGTACATGCTGGCATGTTGTTTGGGTAAGTTGTTGATGAGTTTGAGATATTTGGCGGAGGGCATTGATGGGTCGATATCGCGAGTTCGAGTGTAGTGTGGTGACTTTGTCCATAGGGTTTTCCAGAGTTCTTTTACCTTTATCTTCTGGGCGGCTCATAGTGCAGGCGCATTGCATAGGAGTGGCTTATCTCGTAGATATTTGGGTAGCTGACGTTTTGGGCTGCTGTTTTTGGGATCTTCTGCAGCTTTCTTGGCTTCGCGGTCTGCTAGCTCATTGCCTGGTATGTTCTCGTGTCCGGGTACCCAATGGATGGTGAGATCGAAGTCTCCTTGTTCGTCCCGTCATTTCGAAATCGATTTGATCATGTTGCTGAACTGTTCCGGAATGAAGTTGCTGCTGTCCTTGTTTGCTTTGGTTCCGCATACTATGGCTGCTTGGTTGTCAATTAGGATTGATGCTGGGTATGTCACATTTCATTCTGTGGCTAAGAGGCGAGCTGCTAGCGTTAGGCCCAGTGTTTCAGCTTCGTATACTGTATGTTCTGCATCTGATCCTAGGTGGTAGTGTAAGATTCGCAGTTCCTGTCCTTCTCGTATCAGTATTGCTGCGGCTCCAATCCCTTCCTTGTATCCTGATCCGTCTGAGTATATGCGGATGATGTCCTTGAGTTGTTCATGCTCTTGTTTTGCGGCCTTCTTGTCCTTCACTATCTGTGTCTTGTATGCTGGTTCTTCTGACGCTCTCGTTTGGTTTGACGAGTTGATCGTTTTGACGTCGTTTGGGAAGATGCGGAAGGTGTGGAGTAGGTTGTGCAATGATGAACAGTGAGTCTGAACGTTGTGTCCTGCTATCCATTGGAGTTTGCTGTATAGCGGATGGGATTGGGGGAGGGTGGCTAGGCGGAGGGTGGCTCGGTGACAAATCTTCTGTAGGAGTAGTGGTATTGGTAGGAGATTTGCATGGGCTTCAAGCATGTCTGTTGGCGAGGTTCTCATGGCACCAGTTATACTTAGCGCTGCTATGCGTTGTATGGATGTGAGTCTTTTTGCTATTCCTTTGGAGCCTCTTTGGGTGACATTCACATTGGATCCTCGTCTGAATATCAGTTTGAACCATATGTCTGTGCCGTATGCAAATTTTGGGACTGCCACTGTTAGGTAGAGTTGACGCATTAGTTTGGTTGGGATTCCCATGGTGGTTCTCGAGAGTTGTCGGATCTGTAGGACATATTCAGTTCCTTTCGCTATCGCATATGCTGCATGCTCTTTCCAGGTGAGTTCTTGATCCACAATGATTCCTAGGAAGTGGGTATGGTGTGCTGGTTGGATCATAACTCCGTTGAGGATGATGGGACTTTGTTCCTTCGTTTTGCTGCGCGTAAAGTCCATGAGTGCAAACTTTGTTGTTTTGAACTTGGAGTTATGTTCTCTTGACCACTGATAGCCTCTGTTTTCTTGTTCAAGCATGTCTCACAGGATTTCATGCGTCTCCTTGAATGTTTCGGCTATGGTGATGTAAGCTGTGTCGTCCACAAAGGCTAGTGCGATTTCTTCCCTTCGGTTACCTATTCGTCCTCGTGCTACTTCAACTAGGTCAGAGTTGTATATTAAGTAGCATATCATCGATAGCGGGTCGCCCTGGCCTATCCTGTTTGTTACTGGAAACCATTCTGATGTGAAGTCGTCAAATCGTAGTTGGGTCTGTCGTCCTGTGAGCATTCATTCTGTGAATGAGATGAGTTCCATTGGTAGTCATCGACGTCGCATGTTGTGAATAAGGCAGCTGGTGACTGCATTCGGGAATGCTCCTTCGATATCTAGGAATAGTACTGATGCTACTTGTTTCGTTCGCCATGCATCCTTGATTGTTGCCTCGAGTAGGTGTACTGAGTTGGTAGTTGAACGTCCTGGTCGTCCTCCAAAATGGTTTGCTGGCAAAAGTTGGTGCTTTTCGAGGATGTTAGTGACTTGTTGGGTAACTATGGCTGTCAGTAGCTTACACATGGTGTTGATCAATGCTATGGGACAGTATGCCTTGGGTATGCTATAGTTGGCTTTGCCTGGTTTTCATAGTACTATGGTTGTGAAGTCACGCCATGGTTCATAGTACATTTGGAGCATGAAAACTGCGTTGAAGATTCGCATTAAGTATGGTACAAGTGTGTTGGCATTTCGTTTGAAGACTATGTTGCAGATCCCGTCTGGTCCTGGGGCTTTGAATGGGCTTGTGTTCTTGATTGCTCATTCGACATGTTCTTCCGTGATGCGTTCAAATGGAGTGATGGGTTCTGGGTACTCGAATTCTTCTGGGATGAGGTTGTCCGCTGGAGGTGGGGGGAAGAATGTCTTGGCTAGGAGCATGCTCTTCTCATCGTTAGATATGGCCTCCGTGGTTGTGCTGTCTGCATTCTTGGATTGTAGGACTGGTATTCGAGTTTTTCCGCCATCGGTGCTGGGGGTGGTGACATATTTGTTTGCTATCCAGAGTTCACGTTGAGTGGTTTCTTTGAGAAATTGAGTCCAGTGTTCTTTCTTGGCCTTGTAGATAGCTTCTGAGACTTGGTTTCTGAATTTGCAGTGTTCCTCATGTGATGGGTGATTTGGTAGCACTCTGAATTTATAGGATAGGTCACTTAGCTCGTGTTTGTGGTCTAGCATTTGGGACAGTTCCTTGGACCACCACCGCTTTGCGTGAGGATTCGGTTTGGATTTTGGTATGGTTTCATCAACTACATCTTGAAGGACTTTTGCGAGGTGTTTTGCTGTGAGTTGGAATTCTTCAAGGTCAACTAGCGGTCTTGGCTCTGGTATTGTTGTCAGTTGTTCCTTGAGTCGCGAGTTGAATTTCTCCCAGTCCACGTCTTGATAGTTGTAGTTGGTTGTCGTCATAACTTGAGGGATATCCAGGTCGAGTGTACTGAGGATGGGGATGTGGTCCATTTTGGGGGGGCATAGTCTTGGGGCTGTGTCGCATATTGTGAAGGCTTCAAGGGTGTGTTCGGTGCAGAAGATGTTGTCCAGTCGGGTCCAGTTGCCTGTGCGAGTTGATTGCAGTGTTGGTTTGTCCTTGACAAGGGCTTGGCACATTCCATAGTCCACCATGAGTTCAATCCAGGCCTGTGCATTTGCTTGTGCTTGTCGAGGCTCGCAGAGGTGTCAGTTCCGTTCTTCTTCCCATAGCGCATGGTGACAGTTGAAATCTCCTAGCCATAGAACATGATCATCATGCATGGGCTGTATCGTGCGGATGTTACTATCGAGGTATCGATGGAGGGTTGGGGGAGTATCTTGCTTGTCACCGTTGTTGTAGATATTAAAGATAGTTAGTTTGCCGAAGGATCCTGTGAATTGAATTATTACTATGTCAGCTGAGGGAAAAGGAAGTTGTCTCCAGCTGTTGGTGTTAATATGTTTATGTACTAGTGTTACAGTATGCGAGCACTTTGCTTGTGTGTAGTGGTGCGTTGGGTATACAACGTGCCAGTCAGGGGTGGCTCTTGTATTACCTTTTGTGTCTATGGTGGGTTCTTGGATGGCTATGATATCCCAGTCGTGAGCTGTGCTTGGTCCGCTGAGGATGCAGTGTTGAGCATCTGAGGAGGTGTTGAGGTTTTGCTGCCAGATTCATAGTCAAGTTGTTGAGTTGTTCGGTGTGTTCATCATTTCCATGCGTCGTAGTCTCATTGACTGAACTGTATTACGTCTGACAGATTGAGTTGGGATGTGGGGGATTCAGATCTTTGGCATGTGGTCATTCGGCTGGGTGCGAATCCTCTTGATGGTAGTCTGGTGCCTCTGGTTGGTGCTGCTCTTCTGGTTGGCGCTCTGTCACTGTTATCTCAATTGCCTTCGTTCCTTGTTGAATAGTCGTCGAGTTGTTGTTGGTGTAGTTTGTTATTCGGGAAGGTTGTTGGCAGCATTTTCTTGTACGGTGGTGGCTTGGATGGAGTTGTCGCATGGGTCCATTCTTCATCTGTAGGAAAGTATGGTAGCGTGTTATCTGGGTATCTTTTGTCAGTATCTTCGCATTTTTGAATAAAAGAAGGGCAGCCGCGGCTCCAGCTAGCGTGGTCATCTGTGTTGCAGGCCGTGCAGAAAAACTTGTCTTTGGTTGGGCAGTCTGATGTTCAATGGTTGTTTCCACAATTTGCGCAGGTGTCTCCGTGGGCTATGCATTCCCTAGCTATATGACCAAAGTGTTGGCATTTTGCGCAGCGAAGTGGCTCGCGTCTGTTCTTCTTTGGCCAAAGGAGAAGGTGATCTATTGTGATGCTGTCGCGTATTGCTAGGTTTGCAGTTTGAGGTTCTGTGAAAGTGATCATTAGGTGTGTGACTTTTTGAGAACTTGACCATTTCTCTGCTGGTTTAACCCAGCATGTTGATAGGATCGTTCCGTTGTTCCATCCATTTTCACTCTCCAGCTGCTGTGTGCTTTCAACATCAGTTGGGTTGTAGCTGACTGGTGTGAATGGGACAATCAGTGGGTAGGAGCGTTCTTTGAATGTCGCATCTGGGTCAAGGTTGCGCACTAGTTCGTCTTTGGTTCCAGGGTTGCTGCGGATGAAAGTTGCTGCTTCTTTAGTTGTCATTTCAATTATCATACTACCTTGCTTGAATTGTGTGACTGCTCGCATGTCCAGTTTCAGTGATTCATCATTTGTGGCTAGGTTCTTGAGGGCCATTTTGACACGTTCAACAAGTTGTGCATGGGATGAGTTGCCTGCTGCAAGTGGGCTGTTAGATGTGAAACCTATCATGATTTGCCTTTCCTTGATTGCTTCACACGCAATGAGTTGCAGTCAATGGGCTTGAGTCTCTGTTTCCGGTTGTTGGCCTTGGCTTGTCATGACTGCAGCTGCATATGATGGTTTGGAGTTTGTGGATTCAGTTGCTTGCTTTGAGAGGGTGTCTACTGTCGTTTGGATTTTCTCTAGTTGCAGGCTTTGGGAGGCCAATGTTGCATTTATATCTGTGGATAATTTTGTTAGTTTTTCTTCAGTATCTTGTAGCTTAGCTATGTGGGGAGATATCGCAGCTGTGACATGTCTTGCTATGATTTCAGTGGTTTTGTCTGTTACAACTTCCTTCAGAACGAAAGCCACTGCATGAATTGCTGTTTGTGCGGGGAGGGATATGCTGGTTAGCTGAGTTGTGTGTAGGAGTATTTCGGATATAGCATCTATTGTGTATGGTTTCCCACTGATAGCGAGGGCGATACGTTCCAAGTAAGCTTTGCCCATCATCACATTGATAACTTTGTTGTTCAGAGCTATGATCTCCGGAGTTGTCAATTTGGGTGGCGTGCGTCTGCTTTGTGTTGGTATCGCTGTTGCTGGTGCTGGGGTTGGAGGTCGGGAGGTCTCGGAGGTGTTATTGGTGGTGCTTGGTGCCATCATATCTCTCAGATTTCGCGATCCGTTTCCTCTATTGCCCGCTGGGGCGGGTGCCGGTGCCATTATTATATGTATGTATAGTAGTAAAAAGGGTTTTGCGGTGTGTTGGACGCGTTGTTGACGCGCGTTGGGCGCGTGGGTTCCGGGGTCCTAGTCGGAGTGCCACTTGGTTCAGGTCCAAGGGGCTCTAGTCTGACCATGTTACAGACGGCTGTCACAGTGGACTTGGGAACAGTTGCAACAGACAATAGGAAATATGTAAAATGAATTCCGTCCCTGCTCTTCGTCCGACACGTCCATCGCGTCCGCCTAGTTATCCCCACTGCCGCCTCGCATAACATTCCCCGCAGTAGAGGCTTGCTTTGTGTGCTTGAGATACCATTGTGCACCGATTGTGTACCTTGTAAGTAATATAAGATAGGAAACACAGCTACTAGTTAGCCTTCCATATCCTCCAGGCGGGATTTGTTCAGTTTACTCTCTGTCTCCTCATCGTCTTCTATGACCGGAATTCCTTGTTTATCAGGGAAACTCGTCAGGTCAAACTTTCTCTTCTCCTTGAATGGATTGTCTCTCTTGTCTCCCTTCTTTATAACGGCAGCCGCGGGAATAATGCCTTTCGGGTTCAAATACAGCAGATCATCACCTCCATACGTGTCGATTGAGCGCACCCACGCATCAAAACTGTTTATCTTCATCAGTTTAAGTGGCAATCAACACAGTCAGAGGTACCCACACCCCGTCGCGGTCCTCAATGCACCGCATATTATCATAAATAAAGGTCTGTTTAAATGCATCGATGGACTCTCGGTGTTTTTCGAAATCAATTTCAGGTCGGTAATCTGGATGAGAAGGCTCGATCTTTTCGTTGATCGAAGTAACTTTCTTGTTATATGAGTCGAATATTGGGTACTCCAGCAAGAGACCAAGGGCAGGCATTTTTGGGACCATGACTATGCGCGGCCCGTATAGCTGTGGGGAGGGTCGAATTATTTTGTAGCCTCATCAGGTAACACAGGAACTAACCTCGTCGATGACTTGTCCTGGTGTACCTGTCCTACAAGACAAGACAAGAGCGGACATCATTTTGCGCTGCGACCAATTTGTCATCGTATCACTTCTACCAAAGTACAAACTCTTACGATCTAAACAAAATGAATAAGAGCAACGTTATGAATAAGAAACTAGCTCACCTGATGTAACATAAAGCTCTGCCCATGGAAGAGGACGCTTATCCACTCGGTGTCTCCATAGACCGCAGGATCAGATATCTGTCGAGATGTTATCAGATGTCAGCTAGCTACAACTTCACCAGCCTACCTCAATTTTCCACATATGTCGCTGATTACTGCGATCTCCAAACTCACGTCCCACAGTAAAGTTATGGAAGTTATGCGTCCCTTCGAACTTCTTTGCAGTTTCACGGATGAGTTCTACCTGATCTGCACTTATCCTCCACATGCGCTTGCGTACGAGATCATCCATAGAGCTGGAAGAATGAGACTCAGGTGCACTCCAGAAGGGGTGAGCGGAAGCATCTAGAGGGACAACGCCCTGCATCGACTGTGTATGTTGTTCATATGCACGCTGAAATCCCGACCCCGGCTTTGGAGGTATAAGGAGGTACGAGGGGAAGAAGTAGGTATACTTGCGGCTGTCGCAAGACCTGAAAAAGAGCTTGTGAGATGGTCCACTGAAATCACACTCGTGAACCCACATGCGAGCATTGAATGAGTTTTGCACGCGGACCTGAGTCACTTCGAAGTTATTTCCTGCCTTGGAAAAGAGAGAGAATGCATACGGAGCCCCAAACACGAATCTCTGGTGGGAGTTCTTCGTTTACACGTGCCACCCAGTCTTCCACCCCAGGAATCGCAGTGATCAGTTTCATAGACACCAAGTTGCCAGCTGCGTGGACTCCCGCGTCGGTGCGAGCCGCGCGCCCGAGGTTTACCTAGAAATATGAAGCCTCTGAGTAACACATCATGACATGGACCGCGGAACAAGTGCCATACCTTCACAGGGTCGTCCGCATTGTCTGATGAGACTGCGCCAGCACGCACGAGTGCATCAAACAGGACACCTTCGATTGTCCGCACGTCGGGTTGTCTGTTTTCATTACACACGCATATTCAGCAGTGCAATGATAGCGGAAGGACAGGAGAAAAATATAAAATATTTTCTCTAGTAGGGCAGAGATAGAAGACAAGAAAACAAACCGCCAAGAAACTAAGGACGAAAAAATAAACCAAAATTCAGCGTACATTTGCATTCCATTACACCCCGTCCCGCAAAACCCAATAAGCAACGCACTCTGTTTCTTAGGCAGGCGCGGGGCTCTAGGGCCCTGCTCCTCACCCTCCTTCTGACCATCCTTATCATGATCACGCGTCCCCCGTCTACGCCCCTTGTTCTTCGTATCTTTGGCCTTTCCCCGCCTGGACTTCGCCCAACCCGCTGCATCCCTCTTTCCCTGCTTCGTATCGGCGGCGGGTGCGTCGGAAGGGCCTCCATGTTCGGTTGAATGCAAAGTTTTCTCAGGTTCCTCATGTTCAATCTTCACGCGTTTGAAGGACTCTGAGCTCCCTTCGGTGATTGGTCGTTTGGCAGGGGGAAAATGTGACTGCTCTGGGTTGTGCAGGTCATACATCACGTATATGTTCCTTCTGCGCAATGTCTTTGATTATTGATGCAAGGGTCGTGAATGGGTCAGCCAGAAAACAGAACGATAAGCATACCAGTAGTGGTGTCCGATGGAGGGTGTATTGAAAAAGTCTCCACATATGATCGAATTCGAATTTCAGAAGTTGCCGATTATGGTGATCTTAATTGGGAGCAAGAAACTAACAAGAAAAAGGCTGATCGTTTCCCCTAGCCAGACCTTTATAGATGAAGGAAGACAGTCATTCATTCTAGTAAGAATTATTTACATAACAAGGTGAAGATATAGTATGCTCTATGGTCTGTACATGATGTGTAGATGCAAATTGCAAAGTATGTCCGCTTCAGATAAAAAGTTACCTCAGGTGCATCACGCTTGCCCACATAGGTGTACCACCCGCTCCTCGCACCGCCTATAGTTACCCACAAGGTCATCATAGACCTTGGTCATCTCACCTTTCGGGGTTGCAACCAGCTTCATCCTCTCCACCTCACCCGTTTCCATTGACATCTCCTCAAAGCTCCCACTCGCGCCCCCAACATGCGCCTTCCACCATGCAAACTTCGCGAGCACTGCACCTCCCGTCCCCGCAGCCTCCTTGCTCTCTGCAACGTAAACTCGCATCCCAAACAGGTCAGCTGCGAGTTGCCGGATCGTCTGATTTGCCGACGAACCACCAGTGACAATCAGCCGCTGCAGCGGCGGTGAGTGCGGCGGAAGAATGGCAGCAATGCGTGATTTGATGCTGAGGAATTGGCTCTCGAGGATCGCGCGTGCGTGCTGGGAGGCATCTGGCTGCAGTCCATGCACTAGCTGTGGTTCCTCATTATCTTTGCACTGGAATATGAATTCGCCCTGAACCCCTGGAGGAATGATCTCGGGGAGGGGGAAGTAGAATCCCATCAACCCAGAGCTGCCCTGCGACGACTGCTCTACGAGCTTATTGTACCGTGCCCAGTCTGCGCCAGCACAGCGGTCACGGATCTGCTCTCGCGCAAGAGCACCGTTCTTGTAGCAAAGCATCGCAATCTGCGCATCGACAGTTGTAGGATGCGAGAGGAGGTGCGAAGTTGTGAAACGGGCGGGGGGCGAGTCGGCAGGGGGAATGCTCAACAGAAGTGTTGTGCTTGTGCCCAGGGACAGGAGTGCATCACCTGGTGCTGAAAGGGCAACGACGGTCGCAGAGTTATCACCCGTGAATGGTGCAATTATGCAATCTATAGGTACTACAGATGAGAAATATTGCCAACCAATATGAAAAATAAAATGCAGACCTGGGTTGAATCCCCAGCGTTCAACCCACCACTGGGAGATGTGTCCGAGAATGGTGCCGCCGACGACAGGCTCAGGGCCGATTTTAGCGCGTAGCTCGGGACCGCCGCATGCCTCAAGGAGTGCATCGTCCCACTTACATGTGAGTACGTTCATCAGGTTCATCCCGCTCGCGTCAGAGACCTCGATCGGGGCGATATGCCCGAGGAACAGGGAAGGGATGAACGACGAGACAAGAGATATGCGCGCAGAGTCACGGTAAGCGGCGGGTTTGAGGCGACGGATCTTCGTAGAGCAAGAATTGGTGCTCAATCATTGGACACTGGTAATACAGTATGTACTACGCACCCGAGCAATTTGGGGTCCTGTGAACCGCTCATAGGCTCTGCTTCCTGTAAGATCTGCAAGCACCTGTGGACCACCGACAGCGGCCTCAAGGTTACGGCAGTCCTTGGTCGTCGAAGAGTCCTGCCAGATGGGTGCATTGGGCAATGCAAATGCACGGGGGGCGAGATGGCCCGGATCAGCCAGTGAGCGCTTTGGATCCATTGCAGCAAGAGCTTTCTCGGCCTCCTCAGACCAGTATACCGAACCATGTTGCTTGATTCACGTATGAATCAGGCTCACCTCACATTAAAACTGTTCACACGCACTTGTCCAGCACCAGATATACCGGCAATAGCACTGAGGTCAACGCCAACGTTTTTAACGCGCTGCATGACGAGGTCAATGGCTTCGAGCCACATGAGCACGGGGCTCGTCACTTCACCTTCGTCTGGGCCTTTGACCGCGCCATTCGTTGTACCATGAGAGGAAGGTCTCGATCGAAATGCACGGCGCTCTCGTGCACGATGGAAACATCCTCCGCGATCACAATTGCCTTTAGCTGCTGAGTAGACAAGTCAAAGCCCAGGAAGAGTGGAGAAGACATCCTGGCCTGGTACTGAAAATAAAAGTCTGGAATGAAATGGGAAATTCAGTAATAACATTCGACGGACGTTTTATTGACAGCGAAGAATTCAGATGGTCCGTGTGGAAAATTATCGGACCATGAGAGTCTATAAGGTATAGTCATGGAGCCGCTATATATGTTCGGATCCAACGCAGTGTACGTCAAGGGTTGGTGCCGAACACAGTCACAATTCAAGTGCGGGGTTTTCGGAGTACTATAGGTATGCTGTGAAATTCACTGAATAACATCGATGTTAGATTGTTTGGGAGACCTGCCTTATTCTTTGGTGTGTAGTTGCTCCAAGATCCCCACTTGACTCATTCAAGCTTCAAGTTGCTAGGCGAGTTGTGCTCCCACTGGTTGATTTTCTGAACACGTGACTAACGCCTCGGTATGGCTGCGCGAATATTTCCCTTCTCATACTTTACCCTCTTCTACGCGTCGTACCAGCGATATCCTTACGATCTTCATCTCTCTCAGTCACCGTGATCTCTTCCACTATGAGTCTATTACTATTACTGCTTGCGTCGCTGTCGCTGGCTTCCTTAAGGTCTCTTGCTTCAAACGGGTTGTTGTCGACAAGATCGCTTAGGTCATGTCCCGAGCTAAAGCAGAGAAGGCTTCTGCTGGCCTCATTGTATACTCTGTCTGCTTGTCGACAACCACTTTTTTTCTCGCCGCCGACAAAGCTGCACAAATCATTTTCCGCAACAAAGCCAAGCATACGCCCACCGCTCCCAAGAACGACGACGACAATTGTAATCCTCCATCTTCTAATGCCAACACTGCTTCCACTACGCCTAAGCCTGTTATTTGCAGTCATCTCCGTCTCCACCTCTATCACGTTTGCTTAATCGAATCGACAGAAACAATATCCGCCCCAATTTCTACTTGCACGCCTCATGACAACGCCGCCTCTGCTATGCCTAAGCCTGTCGAACTATCTCTTTAGTAGCCATCTCCAACTCCAACTCCATCGCGTTTAATTGAATCGACGGAAACAACATCAGGGAAACATAATTTGTTGCAGAGTGCTACAGAGCGCTCTGTAGCACAATCCAACCCACCGATGAATCTCTATCCCAACCAAGTGTACTGATACTTGCACCCCTTGCATCACTCACTTCGTTGGACATCTACTGCAGATGCCTGTCTATTGATTCAAATACCACTCTTGTACTCCATGAAAATGACTCGGTTAGTATTAATGTCTTCTTGGACGATGCCCTGGACATCGACGACTGCGAGTCGTGTAGTGATGACATTGGCACCATCCGCGAGGTAAGACGCAGCGTAACCTCAATTCCCACATACCTGATGTTTGAATCTCTGGGATGATCGTTTTGAACCACGGCCTTGGAAGGAACATGCACCAGAACCTAGGCTCGACATACCAAATGCAAAAATGACAGCTCTCGATGACCCACCTCGTCCCTCCAAGCTTCGATCACTCATTCTAGTCGCCAACCGCAAGACGGGAATTGGCCCGAAGTATGGGGGCGCTCTCTCTAGGCTGATTGTCCATTTTCCGCCTCCACCTCTAGTCCTGGTTAGGAAATGCGCCATTGGACAACTCAAGGACCCTCCTCTCATTACTACTCCACACCGACAGCCTACGATCAATTGATAATGTAGCGCGCGACATAACAGCATTTTCACTGCTCCCTACGACCTGGAGCTCCACGGCCTGAGTGATTTAGGGCTGCCTCCGCGCCAGCATACGCACACCTACACACAATGTGGGGTATAGATTAGACTTTGCATCCTAGTACGCAATTGGGGGTGTCTCAGATAGTGAGGACACTCTACGATGAAGTGGTGAACCGATTCTGGGGAGTGTGGACCTAATCACGGTGCAATGTGTTCGGTTTTATTGACTTGATAGAGGTGGCAATTGAGGGGAGCGTGTTGGGAGCGGGGACTCCTGAGTAGTCCTGTGGGGCGTTTGGTGTAGGATGCGGTTAGCTTGACGAACGAGCAGTTGATAAGCATCTGTCAATGCGAACTGCATTCACGGAAGCCCTGGGTGCACGGGCTTGCCCAGCCTCCTTGGCTTTACTTAGATGCATGATGTTTACATCTTACGAATCTCGCGTTCGGAAGTCTCGGCTGAGATATTGCGATGGTGTTTCAAAGTTGTGCTAACCTTGTTTGGACTGTGCCTAGTCCCGGATATCACATTGGCACCCGGTGAGCGCTTGAAACCTCAAGTTAAGAATACAGTTGTTCTTTCTTTTCAAAGGTAGGTATTGTGTATATCTGATTTGGTGTCATACTTGTAGGGACCACAAACTACAAGGCAATAACCTTAGGCATCAGATGCTACACTCTCCCCAAGTACTTGAAGTTGGGGATAGAGACGCAATTATTTGCATACTCACCTAGTAGGTTCCAAACTCAGAACTTGCCGAACTCTTGACTGACTAACTAGTCAAATACCTATGTGTTGCGCAGTTGATCCTTACACTGTACCAAGTGGAGCGCCGTTTCACCGCTGACATCGTGAAGGACCCAAAAGTCACTCAGCGAAAACTCCCTGATGGACCCGAAGTTTCCGATCATAATTGCACTGCAGCATAGCATACAAGGGCTCTCATATGTCAATGACTCGACGTACGTAGAGTATAAGTACAGGGTACATGCAACCCATTGCAGACATTCTCTCGCCAAATTTCTCCCTGCACAATGACAATGAACAACCTGCCCACATCCACCCTCGATCGCAAAGTGCGTGCTTGTGTTTTGATACGCTTCGGACTCCATGTCCCGATTTTAATGTCGAATATAGCCTGAGGTTCTAGCAAACATCCGCCAGTCCATCGCCGATTTTTTTCATCGTTGCGGCTTGCAATATAAGAACACCACGCTTAACAAAGTGTGGTACTCTGAATGCTGCCAGGAGGCCATCAACCGCGGCTATCCGATGAACGCCATCCTCCCATACATGGCCGCTGGCGTGGCTATGATGTCTAACACTTACGATCATCTCCCGGACCGTGCAACCAAGATGTGGATTTGCTTTCTCACTGCCGTAGGCATGTGCATCGACGACATGATGATCAGGGCAGAAGATCTAGTGCATGTGTACCATTTCAACGAGCGATTCGTGAATTGCCAACCGCAAGAACATCCAGTTCTGAATGCGCTTGACGGGCTTTTACGTGAGGTCGCTTGCCATTATTCTGCACCGGTATCAAATTTGATCATCACGTCCTCGCTCAACTTCGTATCTTCCATTTTACTTGACAATGAGACCAAAGATATGCCGGTACGGTATTACTCCAATAAAGGCAGCTTCAATCTTTAACCCTTCGTGTGAACAGATCTCGCTGCAGACTCCCTCATACCCCGAGTACTCTAGACTACTATCAGGCTTGGCAGATGCGTACGGATTCTTCATTTTCCCTTCCACACTCCCGCTTCAGGAATATATTCAATGTATGCCGGATCTAATCGTAGTCGTAAACCACACAAAGTAAGTACATCGATGATTTTCTGTCAACCTTTATAACCTGCCATAATTCAGTGATATATTGTCATACTACAAAGAGGAGATCGAAGGCGACTCCGCAAACTATCTGTCGCTCATAGCGGCCTCCCGTGCGCTCACCAAACAGGACACTCTCCATGAACTCATTGAGAAAACTGTGCAAGCACATCACAATGTCCTCGAATTCTTGAGACCGCGCCCTGAGGCATATGACGCCTATGTTGCATTTTTCGATGGATATTTCAAATACCATACTACCTCAAGAAGGTACAAGCTGGAGGAAGTCATGTCGGAGAGGTCGTCTTCTTGATGCATAACTTTCTTGTGGTACTTTTCAACTTTCTGTAGTTATTACATTACTTGGTCTCTATATCTACCAGGCGCTATTAGATTGTCCGTCCCTTGAACTCTTCTTGCTCCTTCCAGTTTCGAAGGGTTTGACGAGATTATGGGCATTTTTTCCATTGTACTTACTTACCTCTGTATTAATTCAGTGTATGTAAAGCTCGAGGACTACAACTCGAATTGCTCACAGTATAAAAACTAAGGTAGCGTTAAGTTGTCTTTCCTTGCAGTCTGTCTCCCGCACCTCAGTAACTTTTGTGTTATTTAAATTGTCTTTAGTTTTATCTGCCAGCCTCCTGCACTTCCCCTCATGGCGCTAGTAGTAGGGATCTGCAACCCGTGCGGGTCACGGGTTCGGGCACTACTGGGGCACGGATATCGGGATTCTAAGACCCCCGCGCCAACCCGTACCCCTGGCATGCCCGTGCCTTCCTAATGTAGTAATTTGTTTGGCGTTCAGTTCTACAAAGTACCACTGACGCTTCTTCATGCACATGCTCTTAGATGTTATTGCTCATTCTAATGCTGCGCTCAGAAGGTGCGTTCCTAAAAATCTATTATGTATGTATATTACTTACAGGTGTTTTCAATATTTTTTCAACATTAGGCACTCATCTACGCACAGCGCCGCTCGTTTTTGTTGACTGGTTGTGCCTTTCCTCCGCTGCTCTGCCCCTCCATCTTATTCAAATAACACTTGTCTTCAAGTACCGAAGACAAAGTGTACATTTTATTGGATGTTGATGATGTTGAGCACGGTAGAGGGTTTGTCGTGCGTGATCTCATCCTTTGACCTGCTTACCCGATGCTGGTGGTGCCGTGCCCTTGTCCCGCTCTCGGATAGTGCGTGATCTCGTCTTTTGACCTGATTACCTGAAGCTGATGGTGCCGCGACTGTGTCCCACTCTCAACCTGTGCGTGATCTCGTCTTTTGACCTGCTTACCCGACACTGATGGTGCCTCGGCCGTGTCCCGCTCTCAGTAAGTGTGTGATCTCGTTTTTTGACTTGCTTACTCGGCGCTGATGGTGCTGCGGCCGTGTCTTGCTCTCAGTGGGTACACGATCTCGTCTTTCGACCTCCTTACCCGACGTTGATGGTTCTGCGGCCGTGTCCCACTCTTAGCGAGTGCGTGACGTTTTGGACCTGCTTACTCGACGCTGATGGTGTCACGACCATGTACCACTCTCAGCCAGTGCGTGATCTTGTTTTTTGAGTTGCTTACCTGACGCTGATGGTGCCACGGCCGTGTCCCACTCTCAGAGCGGTTTGACCTGCTGATGGTGCTGCGGCCATGACCTGCTCTCAGATTGTGCGTGACCTCGTCTTTCGAACTTCTTCAGACATTGATGGTGCCACGGCCATGTCCCACCTGTATGTGCAGTACCCGCGGGTAAACCCTGCGCGGGTGCAGGTATGAGTCCGAACTTGTCCTACCCGGCCTGAAACCCATACCCTTGCAGCGGGCACAGGTTTTGAACAGGGTACAGGTGCGGGTATACCCTTTGGTACCACGTGGTTTACCTGTGCGGATCCCTACATCGCGCTTCCATGTACACCTCCGGCACCCCTGCTATCCTCTCCCGTGGTTCCATCAGTTGTCCCTTCAAACCCTGCCACGTCCCCTCGCAGCCTTCCACGGTCCTGACACTACCCCCTACCTTTCCAGATACTGCCGATCCATCTCGCGTCCTTCATCGTAAGCTTTTAGTATCTTTTTCCTTATAAACACGCCTTCTGCAACTCTTGTCGCACTGCACCCTCATACTCACTCCCCTCGCACATCTCCTATGACATCTCTTGCAGTTCTGTAACTATCAAATTGCCGGTACGTAGCTCATTAACCCTCAAGTTCTGGAACAGCCGGTAATCCACCTCCACTGGATAAAAATAATATCGCAACCGGCGACTGAAGTTGAGTTTGTACTCAATCAAGTCTGGAATTATCCTATTTACAACCATTCTAGGCCGACCCTCGGTGCAACCAATCATTTTGGTCTGTATTCTGATAAGGTTAGTTTCCCCGAAGTATCCCACGCGAACCCCCATACAGTTTCCCTATTTTCGAGACCTAGCATGTCACGGTTGCGCACTGCATCATTTTTAACTTGCGCGGGATGCTGCACTGGAACGCCTGACACGAGGGTGATGCAACAGAAAAACGTGTAGCACGAGGAATGGTGTTCAATTCCAAATTGAATCAGTGAGATAGTGACTACAGCTGTGGCATAGGAAGGTATGCATGTATGAAGACGTGTGCAAAATAAAAACATGAAGATGAATTCAGCGTGCCGCCGCTGGTTGTAATTTTATCAATCCTGAGTCTGGGTCCGTGTCTGGTGTGATTTTGATCGTGGTGGCGTCTGATGAAAGTTTTTGGTTTACATTTAAGTAGATGCATCTTGTGCTCTGTCCTCGAGCACGTTTTTGTCATGAGGTCGTGAGTCGTCTTTTGTCATAAGTGATGTGATGCTTTGATCAGAAGAAGACTCACGGTTGCATGGGGTCGTCGCCTGCTGCTGCTGAGCGGGTGCACAGATATCTGCGATGATTTGTTGGCGTCTGGTGACGGGACGACCGGTGATGAAACGTTGCTCGTGATTGGCGACGAAGAGGCAGATGAAGAAGCCGCCTCTTGGGTTTGAAAGATGTCGCGCAAGTCGTAGGAGCTTTTCTTCTTCTTCAATATGGGGGGACGACCCCTATCGCGTCCACGCAGCTCTGGAAATTCTTTTCTTTCGTCTGTCTCTTTCACGACTTCGTTTCGGTCTATATTTATTCCTGGGTCGACTTGGCACCGGAAATGAGGGACTGGCCCATTGCTGTCATTTCTTACGGCGTGCTCTCCGTGAGTGGTGCAGCAGGTCATAGCAGGTCATGGACGATTATGGAATGAGAAGAAAGAGTTATAGAACGCCCCTGTCGACGTGTGCATGAAATCTAGAGTCATATCATTCCACCACGTAGAAGCCGTGAGGTGAGTCAAAAGTGAGTATGTCATTTTGTCCTGTTTAGGCAGTACCGGCGGTAATGAATGAACAAGGACCCCCTGTCGAAGGGGTATCACGTGTGAACGCTTCGTGAGAAAGCTTTGTCATCAAAGGTCGAGTAGGGCGTTGGTTACATCGAGCAAGGGCTGTTAGATCCAACAAACTGCTCGAGGACATCAGCTTGATCGACATTGGCGATTTAAATTTTGGTTGTATTGATCGTTGTTCACAGTGACAACGAAATTATTCACACTCGCTAGGTTGCCAACCATCAAAGCGGCAACGGTTACTAGCAGCGATGAGTGTCCATCGACACACACCATCTTCAACACGCCGCCAAAGTAAAATCACAATAGAATATCACCGTCCTTCAAGAGAGAGCGTTCAAGAATATTCGGATCTGCTAGCAGACCCAGCTCTAGCTGCTGCTACCGTTGCTCAAGCAGCGACTTACAGCTACAAAGACCCTTATTCAAGTTCTTTGCCTTCGTTAACTCCTTCTCGTTCTGCACCACAACCACCAACAAGTCGCAGTAAAACACCTGTCGACCCATCTTCACCAAAAGTTCGGAATAGTCTTCACAAACCACAGTCAAGAGGAAGGAAACACAGTCTTTCAGCTCCAGATCCTTTCGCTGCAGCTCCAATAAAACAACCAATGTCTCCTACTCCTCCTGCTCGTCCAAGTAGGGCAAACACCGCAACTCTAAACGATATCTTTACAAGCAGTAGCCCAATCGCAACGCGTCGTCTATCAGTGCCAATCACAGATTCTCCATACACCTCAGAGCCAGTCGACATCTTACCCGATCTACCCGCAATCTCAAGTACAAGTTCCGGCACTCGCAGTCGTAGCGCCACTACCGTGAAGCTTAAAAAGGGTGGCATGCTAGGCGGCATGTTTGACTTTCTCGCTCCTTCAAAGCGTCCAGAAATCAGCACTCCTTATGATCCTGTTCACCTCACACACGTCGGTTTCAACTCTTCCACTGGCGAGTTCACAGGTCTCCCAAAGGAATGGCAGCAGCTACTCCAAGAATCCGGTATCAGCAGGAGCGAACAAGAAAAGAACCCGCAAGCAGTTATGGAAATTGTAAAGTTCTATCAAGAAGGAAGAGGCGACGTATGGGACAAGATGGGTGCCGTAGGCGTAGAGCAATCCACAAGCGTTAACGAAGGTTTTGCTAATCCAGTACGCCCTCCTTTTTTATATATCTCCGCTCATCTAACCTTGTCTCCTTCTAGCGCAACGCCCCTCAACCACCCAAAAAGCCCGTTCCTTCCCCGTCCGTTCCATATTCCCCATCACCTACCACAACCCCCATCCGTGCAGCACCCCCTCTTCCAGCAGCTGCCCTTGACCGCAGCACATCCCAACGAGCACCCCCCAAATCATCCAAATCCCAGGACCTGGGACGCGCCAACACAACCCGGGTCCGATCCCCCAGCATCGGCGCTAGCCAGACCGATCTCAGCATCAAAGGCCAGAGAGACCGTGACCGCGACCGCGAACGGGATCGTGACCGTGACCGCGAAAGAGAGCGTGAAAGAGATCGCGACCAACCCAAGCCCGCACCACCGCCCCAACAGCCTCAAACCCTCGCAAAGCAAACCGGCATCGCTACCCCGCGTCGCAGGGAGAAGAAGGGCGGCGGTGACAAGGAAGACGATATCATCAAGCGGCTGCAGCAGATATGTACCGACGCGGATCCGACGAAGCTATACCGAAATCTCGTCAAAATCGGGCAAGGGTGGGTGGCGCTGTCTTTGTCCTTCCTCTACTAAGCCCTTTTTAGTGCTTCTGGAGGCGTGTACACAGCATACCAAATGGGCACCAATTTATCAGTCGCGATCAAACAAATGGATTTGGATAAACAACCCAAGAAAGACCTCATCATCAATGAGATCCTTGTCATGCGCGCCTCTCGACACCCGAACATCGTAAACTATATCGACTCGTTTTTGCATAAGAACGATCTTTGGGTCGTGATGGAGTATATGGAGGGGGGAAGCTTGACAGATGTCGTTACTGCGAACTTGATGACAGAGGGCCAGATTGCAGCTGTGAGTAGGGAGACGTGCCAGGGGCTGGAGCATCTCCATCGCCATGGCGTTATCCATAGGGATATCAAGAGCGATAACGTATTGTTGAGCCTCGGAGGGGATATTAAACTCAGTGAGTAGCTCTCTTGCGTGTGGTCGTGTCATTTTGACGTGCCCCGCAGCGGACTTTGGGTTCTGCGCGCAGATTTCAGACCCTGCGAGCTCGAAGCGCACGACGATGGTAGGCACGCCTTATTGGATGGCTCCGGAGGTGGTGACGAGGAAAGAGTACGGGCCCAAGGTTGATATCTGGAGTTTGGGAATCATGGCCATTGGTATGCACTTCTCCTCTTTTGCTAGTGCTATGGTTTACTGAAGACGCATAGAAATGATCGAAGGCGAACCTCCATATCTCAACCAAAACCCACTCAAAGCGCTCTATTTGATCGCTACGAACGGAACGCCTACGATTGCGAACCCCGAGGCGCTCTCGTCGGTGTTTAGTGATTATCTTGCAAAGACGTTGGAGGTGGACGCGGAGAAACGACCTACGGCGAGCGAGCTGTTGCAGGTGTGTCACCTCGGTTTCAGTTGTGAATTGGACCTCATGTTTTTTACTCGAAGCATCCGTTCTTTAAACAGTGTGAACCGCTCCGCACACTTTCACCGCTTATCAAAGCTGCACGGGAGATCGCTAAGAACAAGTGATCTGCTCGTCTCCCATTCCATTCCTGTCCTAGCCCATAATGGTATCCCAGGCTCCACCCTTGAACTTTAAGCTTCTTGTTGCTCCATGCCGAACCATCTACCTCTTGCATCTACCCGCCCACTGTAACCCACTCGCTGATACCAATTCCGTATACCGAGTTTTGTAATACATGCATCCACCCTCACCCCGGGTTCTAAACATCATACAACAAAATCATGTCTTATCAAATCGATATCATCCCATTCATCTATACTTGTAGACGAAAAATGTGCGCGTCCTTTACAATTACGCGTCGAAGAATTTTATCTTTCTACTTTTTTTTGCTTGTTTTTTTTTTTACTGTGTTCTCTTCCTCTCCCTTGTTTGTTTGTTTTTACCCCCGTGATTACCCCCATTCCACGACTGGACTTGTCTTGCGCTCGTTCATGTTGGAGTTTTTCTTTGTGTTGTTTGATTGATGTAATCTCATGTCGTTTTGTCTGTCGTGTATGCACGATTGATTGATGTATAGAAATGAGAATGAGAATAACTAAGGATACAGGTCCTATGCACGTGCAGGATGACTGATGAACGGGATACTCGAAACTTGTGTAATCTGAGAAAGCGATATGAGCATAAGTAACCGAAAAACCATTCTATTTTAAAACGCCAGCAAAGTTCAGTAGTCGGGACTCCATCCTACCAAGCCAGTTAGCGACCAGAAATCACAACACGACCAAAACTCACCTTGGTAAATAGTCGCCAAGTTCACTATGTCTGTGGCTTCCGCTATGAGTTCGTTGACCGTATACTCTACGCTCAAAGCCTTGTCCAGCTTGCGCGCGACGCCTGCAAGCGCACGATCAGCAGCTTCGTCTGCTGACCCGCTCTGTAGGTCTATGGCGATGGCACCGAAGCGGGACACATCCCGGGCAACTCGGGTAGGCTCCGCTGTGTTGTCTTGCACCTTTTTAATCTTAAGCTCGCTCGCTGTCCTGTTGTGGAGGTCAGTCAACGTTGAGTGTGAGTGTGTAGGGGGGAGGGGAGAAGTAGACGTACCAAGAATGCAGCGGGTCGTGTTTGAACACCTCAAGAACTGTAAGTATGACGTCTGACCTGTCACGCAACACACGCAGGGTTTCTTCTGCGCAGCGCTGGAACACGCCTTGCGTCCCGCACTTCCCCATCCCATCGACCATATCCCGCGTCATTCGGAATGGTACTCTTTCTGGGATACGCAACAGTTTTCCCTGTGCGGAGTGAGCAGACGCTTGGTCAGACAAAAAACAAACGCACCTGATCAAAAGCGATCCCTAAATCGATATGCACCACCTCTCCCGACCCATTATCAATCAATATATTCTGCACATGGCGATCCCCGAGACCTAGAATATGCCCCACGATGGAAGTGGTAGCGACGCTGCGAGTGTAGTTGAGACGCATAGCGAACCAGGTGATGGGGGTTTTATGCTTTTCGGTAAAGTAGTGCCTCATCACCGGTTGGGTTCGTTGGCATATTAGTTGAAAGGCTTTGACCATAGCTTCGGTCTTTCCGCCATTTTTCTCGCGCGTTTGTTTTAACATCGTTAGGATCTGTACATGTTTCATGTCGCCAGGACGGTACCTACGAGTACGTGATTTTTAAATTCTTCATAGACGGGAATTGGGAGCAAATTACCTGTTGTGCGCTTCCTGGAGCCATTTTTGGAGGGGGATGGTGTTGCCTACGAATTCGATGACTCCGGCTTGGGTGGCGAGAGGTAGAACTTTGTAATCGCGGACATTAAGATTCCGTCTTCGAGTCTCTTTATCGTAGCGCAGCACCATGTTGCACAGGTGGAAAACTTGCTCCATGACAGCATCCTGCCGCATATCGTCGTTGCCCTCGCCTTTAAACTGCAGAGATCTCTAATGTTAGAACACGAGTGAATTTTATGAAGATGACGTACGAGCTGCTTGAACTGCTCCCCATTGCTCCCATAGCAGATGCTGATTTTTGGGAGGTTGACTCCCCCGGCTGTAGTGAATTCTGGGTGGTAGCGACTGATCCAGATACAATCGTTGTACTTGAGGGTTGGATCGATGGGTGTACGGCAGGTGATGACAGGAACCTGGACATCGCGCAGCTTCCGAATGGGCAAGGCATCGGGAATGAGTAGCCCGTTATTGGTTTTCTTTATCGTAGGATGCTTGGCGGGATATTTGGCCCATTCCAGAGAAGCGTTACAGACCTGCTCGATCGATCGGATCCTCGCTGTTTGTGTGGGATCGCTGAGCAGCCTATCGAAGATGGCGCTCGCAGCTCCACCGCGATCCGACTGCGATGATGGGAGCTCAAATCGTGAGGAAGTCCTTCGCACACCATGGGGTTGCTCTGGACGTAAGCAGAATACCTGGTATAGGCTGTGGAAAGGATGCTCTTGACACATGCGCAAGACGAGTCCTTGAAGATTTTGCTGGTTCTTCAGGATCTCTGCCGAGGATTTTGACATGCGAGCAGATAGTTGATGAGAGAGGAAGACAAACTTGCGGGAGGGCACGCGATCGAGAGCGGTTTTGAGCTTGCCCTGGATGCCAAGGTCATCGAAATTCGCAAACCAAAGGGACGAGAAGCGGATGGGACCATCGTCATCAAAGCGATCGGAGGAAGCCAGACAGCGAGAGTACATGTCAATAGCTAGCTCAAGGAATGCGTCTCGCGCCCCCATATGGGACGCATAGGCTTTCAAATCTTCAGCTAGGACAGTTCTCGCCTTCTTCTGTTCTTCAACTAATACCAGGTACTCATTTGTTCCTTGTGGAGTTTTCTGCAGCTGGCTCTCTCTCTGTCTGACCTCCTGTTTCTTGCGCTCTGTATAGATGTGCCAGCGCATGGCATCTGACGACTTCAAAATCGAATGATACTGTTGGTCTGCAAAAAGTGCACACTTGCGGAAAACAGTGGCACATGCGTGGTCGCGAACGTCCATCCGCTTCTCGGCTGCGATGGCAAGCTCGACGGCAGGATCAAAGAATTTGCGCTTGATGTCGGTTGGTTTTTCTAGACATGCCTCGGCGATCCAGTCTCCCTGTCAAAGACATGAATAACGTGCATTATTACAGAAGAAAGAAGCGCACAAGTCGAGCAAACGACAACGCCTTTTCTACTGCACCATCAGCACCCAGGTTCTGACCATCTACCAAGTCCTTGAGGTACTGCACTGCCAACTTTTGCTCCTTCTGGAGCCACAGAACGTTGGCGAATTCACGAGCAACTTCGAAGCTGGCATTTCTCTCGAGCCGCTGTGCTTTCACGATAGAGTTCAATGCCACTTGCAATTGATTGGATTTCCTAGCAGCAATGGATAGGCGAACGAGGCATCGCTTTTCGATGTCTAGAATCCCACGAACGAACGGTGTAGTGAGACTGCCAATTTGCTTTCGTTCTTCTTTCTGCCTGACCGACCGTACCAATGAGATCCTCGTTGCAAGGATCTGTTCCAAATCTGTAAATCTGTCGCACATGGGAAAGATCAACACAAACTAAATCACAATCATTGTCAACACTCACTCGAAGTCGGGATTAATTTCATCGAGCTTGAGCAGATTGTGAGTACCCTCTGACTTGCTTGAAAGCTGTTGCTGCATAGAATGACTCCTCCACTGAGTAATCTGACCGAGACACATTATGTTACGAGCAACCTCGCGGATGCCTGAGATGTTCTCAGTGCCGAGCTGCCGCAGGCGGGTCATTTCATCGTCAAGCGAGCTGCGAACAATGGCGTCGACTGCCCGCGGGTCCCGTTCCCTATACACTGCTCGCAGCGCCTGATAAATCGTGGCCCCGGAACTGTCTCCTGTATTGTCAGGCAAGTCCCAGGTTTCAGTACGCCAACCCAGCTGAAAGCACATGGCGGATGAGGAATTCCTCGTATCAAGGCCAATCTGGGACGTCTGAAGAGTGCCAATAGCAAGACGGTCGAAGCCGAAGGCATGGAAAGAACTGAGCAGACCATCTGTGTCGACTGCCTCAGGGCTTCCAGCCTCAAGTGCAGCACCGTGGAAACGAAATGCTTTCTCCCATTGCTTCTCATGATGAAACCGTTTGATGAGGAAATGCCGTAGATCAGCGGTCTTGATCCCATAAAATCCATCGGGTTCGTCGATGTGGCTGTAAATTTCGAAAAGGAGATGTTCTGTGCCTGCTGTATTATCCATGTCCAAGGACTGGTACTCCGCCGCGAGTTCGAGGAATAGAAGAGCAGTCGTATACGCGCCACATGTCACTGCACTTCTTGCAAGGAGCATGTAATCGATGTCAAGCCATTTGTCGTGAGCCAGAGAATCAGTGGAGCCTTTCGGGCAAAAGTTGCGAAGGTGAAGCACGACGCCGACAATAGACCTTAAGCAGGACAAATGGACGTTCTCCAACACAAGTATGGAGCTGAAATATTCTGATAGACGAGATTTCGAGGGCGCGTCCGCTGATTTTGGCTGATCAAGTTCGTCCTGCAGCAAAGTGTGTACCAATACGGGAAGCATTTCATCGGCAAAAGAAACATCGCGCCCCAAAAACGTTGAGAATTGTGCGTAAAATGGGTCCACAGCGCTAAGCACGTCGCTCAGCAAGATGGCCAGCTCGCTGATCCATTTTTGGAATTCAGACTCCAGATGACACTTGACCGTCGCCTCCAGCTCGTCAATGCCGCGGACATGCCGTGACCTCGCTTTGATAGGATATTGTTGGAGATATTCCAAAGCAGCTCTCGACTCGACAGGCCAAGATTGGAGGAGGAGCATATCCGATGAAGAAGCTGACACAACGGATCGAAGAGTGGAGTAAGCGAGACTGACTTCTTGTGGTGAGTTTCCATCCACCATAGCGAGCAGCGTTTGAATGATCACCCGCTGAGGTGAAGATTCCATCTGTAACTTTTTTGCACTGCGCCGATGTCGCCCCCGCAACGTCTGCAGAAAGGGCTGTTCACTCCCGAAGCTGTAGATGTTCCCATTATTCGCGATCAATAAAGAAGCGAATGCATCCACGTCGTCAGTTTGGAGCTGGTCCCTGGTAGGAATGAAATCTTTAAGACGCCAGAAATCTGTCTTGGCGAACTGCGCTCGATCATAGACGTGCTGCTCTGCGAGGTCTCTGAGCCGCCTGACAAGGCGAAACTTGTTGGACGCAATGCGAAAGTCACTCAAAATCATCGAAAGACCATCTGCAGTGATATCCTCATAAACTGACAACAGTTCAGATGAGGGCTGATGTGGCCAAGCTGACAGGGCGTTCATGACCTGCGACCTGATTTTGGAACTTCGGCAAAGTTCGAGAGCTTGCCTGTCGATCCAATGTAACAGGCCCTTGCCTATGTTCGCAATTTGAACGTCATCGGTGACCAGTGAATAATCATGAGCCTGAGCGCACACTCGAATGAGCACATCAGGAAACCTTGGATCCACCTGAGACGTCAAAAGATACATGGTAAAGCCCCATTCGAGGAAAGAGCGAGCCGCCTGTACGAGGTCCACCTGAGCGAGAAGAGAAGTTGCTTCATGAATCAAAGTATGGAGTAATGTAGGTTCTTGGAAGTCCTCATGACGGACCGCTACTAGAAGAGAAATGCCGTTCAGCAAGCGGATCTGCTCATTGACTAGTGGTGATCTCTGGACTTCGGAGAAAAGCTGATGGAGGACATGATAGGATATGGCTTTGACGTGATTGCGGACCGCGAGAGAAATACACCAATTGAGAGCTCGTAGGACAGTGGATGAGCCAAACGCAGGAAGATTTGGGCTGTGGAGGTTGAAGTCATCCAAGGTTCGGTACTTGGACAGAGCCTTGAAAACCTGAGCAGAGTGACTCGAATCATGCGTCTTGATTGCTTGCATGATCGGGCCATCAGCGGAGAAGTCCTGGTCACCTAGGGACCGAACCACTGCCGCTGCAATGCTCGCTGCATTTTGCTCTACACTCTCGTTGAAACTCTGCTCTTGGCTAAGGTCGACGCCCTTGTCTTTCAACATCTTTTTCAACTTCTCCGGTGGTGTGTTATAATCAACTCGCCCATCATCCAGCCAAAACACAAGTTGGAATCCGATGAGATCACCCAAGCATTCCTGCAAGCCATCAGCAGCGGTCTTTTGAACTGCGGCGCAGTGAGCCAGGAATAGTCGGCGGCCGTGTTCCACCGCTTCTGAATTTCCGCCTGCCATGACATTGGTCGGCGTGAAAAGACGAAAGGTTGCTTCTGCACATTCCTTTCGATCCCGGTAGCCAAGGAGTTCAGGAGGAAGACCACACACATCCTGAAAAGCCTGTCGAATGGAGTACGCAATCTGTGAAGCGTATGCTTCGAAGAGGTCTGACAATTTAGGGAGTCCAAGTCTCTCAGAAACGCCAGTCAGAGTCGCTTGGATGTGCTTTGCGTAATGTGAGCTATGAAAGGCCGCTTCGATCAAGTGCCAGTAGGGTCCCCGCCTCACAGCGGAACTCACGACCATGATATTGCCAAGGCACAAAGTACGAGTGAGCATTTTCTCGTAACTGTGTCCTGATTGTCAGTGGTTAGACAAGGAAATGAATTAAGACTCACTTGGAGAGATCCTTTGTCAACCCCTCTTTAACGATATTGTATATATCAAGGGAGTCCTGACCGGCAAAGCGAGCCAGGGTGAAGAGACGAGCATTGACGACTGCAGCCCGGAAGCGTACGCGGATATCCTGATCCATGTTCAGCATTGGGATAATGGTAGAGGGTCGCTCTACGGGTTTCTTTTGGCATACTGTTGGCCAAAAGGACTCGGAAGGATCTTGGGCAATGTACCTAGCGAAAAATTGGGAAACGAAATCGCGCATTTTCCACGAAACGAATTTCTTCTGTATCATGTTATGACTGAGCCAACCGCATAACTCGCGGATATGATCTGCGACATCACTGTCCACATTTGACTTCTGGAGCCAGAAATGCGAAGTGGAGTCCAGTAAATCAACAACCATAAGCTGCAGATCAACGTTGCGACCATGAGTGTGCAATCGAAGGAGGTCTTCGAGTTTGTCAAGGAGCGCGTTGAGGACATCGATATCAAGACTCCAAATCCGCCGTCGGACTGATCCTAGGACTGCATTGCCTATCAAAAGCAGCCTTTCTGCGGGACAATGGAGTATCAGCTTTGTCAGCTCTCTGTCGCGCAAAACTTCCGCAGACGAAGATCGAAGGACAGGAGTCGTCGCGAGGAATGTGATACACAGGTCAGCAAGGTACTGGTTCGCGGCGGTGATGCCATCATGAGAAGCATCCTCTTGTGTTGGTGGTCCTGTGTGAGTTGTCATGATATCGCCAAATCCGTCCGCATCTAGAGAATGGACATCTTGTGCTCCTTGGCGAAGTTGGCCTGTCATGGTGCGAAGAGATTCCCGAAGGGCTTCAGAAACCGCGGAGAATGCATCTTGAATCTGAAGATTTGTCAATACGTTGAACACTGGTCTGTGGCGCAACGAGAACCCACGTCTGCATTTGCCCAAAAGACACGCTGAAATAGTCGTCGAACTGTGTGAGAGTGACGTCCTCTCAGAGAGATTCCGTTTCAGGCCCTTGAGCGTATGCGATCTAATGCCAGAGCCAAGATCCGGGCCAAGCATAGCTTCCCACTCCTCGTTCGTACTACGCTCCTCTCCATTCATCACCAGAGGCTCCAGGCCATGGAATATTAGCACGCGTTCATCTATTGTCCAGCGTGCATCTGTTAGGAATGGTGCAAGAAGTGATATTACTCGACCAGCGGATTGCAGAACACGTCGATTACACTGCATTCCGTTCCATACAAGTAGGGTCTCAAACGCAAAGGCGGTCACAACAGCATCGAGTGATTGACGGAGCTTTTCGGCAGTGGGGTGGGCGTTGGTTTCCTTGAACATGTCCCACTCGACAGTGAGAGATTCCATCGCTTTGAGCAGAGACGATGTCACTCGACGTTCGCGCCCTCGAGGCTGAACGAGCTCAGAGTCAACAGTCAACTCGCCATTAACAGAGCTGTGTGTAAGTTCGTCGCAGCCTGAGCCTGCAGATACAGCGTCCTTGCGGAAGGAGGGAAGTTGAGCATCAAGCAGGAAATCGCGGATAACCTTGGTCTTCCGCTCTTCCTCCATGAGCTCTACGATCGCACAATCGGGAAGTAACACGCGGCAAAGAAGATCGCTTCGCTTCGACGTTCCACATATGCTCTCTAGCAATCCAAGAATGTCACCAATGGTATGAAGTGGCATCTGGGATTTTCCACTGATATCCTTCACCGCTTGTCCAGCACCAATTCTCCAACTATCAAGAAGCCAACTAAGGACCTTCTCCTCCAACTGCATCCTGTACAGCCTCACATCTTGGCTTGCGACATGCAAACATTGCGCCAGGAACATACACACAGAATCATATGGAAATGCAGGGCCCTGCAGATCCAGATCCTTCGCTAAGGTCTCGATTTCGATCAGAACTCGCTGAGATGTTAATAGGGGCTTGGAGTGGAGGATAAGTGTGTATGCGGTATGACATGCCGCCCTGCAAACTACAGGTACGTTGGCTCTGCGCATGGCATGAGTCCACACAGGATCCCAAACAGCGGAGTCACGGACGACAACTGCGGTCCGTGTGGCAACTGATGGTGACTGGGTTACACGTGAACTGAGAAGGCCATCTGAATGTGCAATTGCGGCGAAGCATAGGAAAGTCCAGGATTGGATGATGGGATCATCGACGGAGACAAATCGCAGCAGGGTGTTCATTACATTCTCTTGGAGTTTATTATGCTTGTGCAGGCATGACCAGTGCCGATCAATGAAAAATAGGAGAACTTGGAGATGATACGTCCGAACGCCGGAAGTGGTTGTCGACTGTATGGAATGAAGAAGAGATACTATAGGGTTTTCACGCTTGGCACGCTTTCCTGGCTTTCCTTCACCGTCCGAAGTATCAGCATGCTTCCACTCGGAGTGATCGAAGAGCTGTATTATAGCGGTCAGTTTGCATAAAGTCAATTAATGGATGAGGACTCACCTTCTCCGCACAATCAGCTTGTAGTTCCATTAAAGCCCACGCGAGGGCTTGAGAAGAATCAAAATGCCATCCGGTCCTGAATGTGTGGGCAACAAACGCCCCACGTCCGTAGTTCTCGGTGTTGGAGGGGAGCACCAGCACCTCGAGCCTCAACGAGTCGAGAGAGAGACTATCAAGACCCCATCGACTCTCAGCCTCACCGCTCAGGAGGGTCCAAAGTTTGTACACTCCATCAGCCCAAGCGTACTTAGGAAGGTCGCCATGTGCAGCTGTTAAGAACGGAAATAACGTTCTCAAAATGCCAACCAGACCTTCCTTCATGCGTTTGTTCTTGGTACCCCACAGTCCTACCAGTTGATTCCATGTTGAATGAGCGAAGTTTTGAACGTCCTTTGTCCGATTCAGGCAAAGATGAGACAATACTGGCTGCAGGGCAAGAAGGTAGTCGTGGTGAAGGGATGCGTCACCGGGGTAGCATTCTAAGAATCGTGTCATGCGGGCCAGGATAGCAGACGATAGGTTTGGCACATCCTCCGAGAGAAAGGGAGCTGTAGGAGAGCGGAACAGAAGGGCAAGTAGGGAAGCACATTCGACTTGCTCCAAGGAAACCGAATGGTGTGCAGAGGCCTTAAGCAACCTCGTAGGATGTATGGTACCGGGGGCAGGCGTGGAACTGTGTTCCCTTGCCTTGCGCTTGCGCTTTTGTGTTGATGTAGAGGGCTCGTGATCATCGCCCTCGTCAGAGTCATCTTGGTACATGGAGGAAAGGTCGGCCTGCATGCTCTCATCATTACTCTCTCCAGTAACATCGTCGAACTTTCTCTTTATTGGATCGTCTAAAATGATGTTAAAAGCCAATTCAGCTATGCTGATCCATGTGGCTGCGTCGATGTGGTCCATGTGTGGCATCCAGCTGAGAAGTAGCTTGATGGTCTTAAGGTAGTCAAGAGCGAGCGGAGCATACAGCTGTCCATGGTGAACCATCATCTGTAAGAGATGAGCCAGGAGGGATCTCAGGACTTTGGCAGTAAGCCTGCAGTTGCTTCTCTCTACTAGCCAACGAACGGTGGTGGTGGCATCTCCAAGTCTGCGCAAGGCAGCAGCACCTGTGGATGCATTCTTGCTTGACGTGGCTTTCTTGTCGCATTCTGCCCTTTCGCTAGTAACTGCTGTGAAGAGGGCCTGATACACGACAAGCCAAGCACGTCCCTCCTCGAGATTGAGGACAGCATCATCGCGTGAAAAAGCTTCTTTGAGAGAAATAATTCCTTCTTGTCGTTCCTTTACTTTGGAGCTTTTCAGAAGCTCGATGACCGCCTTCAACTTGGTCATTATAGCTCTGAGCTGGTGAAAGCGATTCCGATCATTGGTTTCGTGGCGTAATCATGTACTTAATACTGATACAGTCTAAATGTTTGGCTATGTTTGGTAGAAATGTTGATTACTATAAAAAAGCCTTCTGTTTTTTCTTCTTCTCTTTATACATATCATTATGGCCTCTTTCTGCCCGGACAGTGCTTAGCTATGCTTCCACCCTGTACCGGTTCTGGTGAAGGGCCCAGACAAATGGTCGTCTCTATGTCTAATCAACGTCGAGATAGGCAGTTGAGAATTGCAGGTTCCATTCTTCAGGAAGTCTGACATGGTTATACTCTGCCTTACATACTTCTTCGAAGACTCTTTCGCTGCTAGTTTACCATACTCGTGGATGTAACAGATTGACCAGGTCCATCAGTCAAATATATTATTTCTGATAATCATTCAGTTTCGAGTACCAAATGACCTCTATCGCTCGCCAGTACATGCATCGTCCAGTCTGGCAGCGACTCCAACGGCGCAAAACCTGAACATAAGTTTACGTAATCAGTGCGTTCCTCGTGATTGTGCACTAATCACGTGGATGATACTTGATTCGCGTTTTGCTGAGGACCAGACGCGTCGTTCGTTTAACGCGCTTCCTAACTTTCTTGGACAACCACTTAACTTTGCGCACGGCTTGTGTTTAGCATCTTAATTTTGTTTAGAAAAATCTGACCACACTCCTACCAATCTCTAGCCTTTGTCATTGTTCCGAGTTCTCCGCACTGCACGCGTTCAACGGCCAACATGTTCAATGGAGGCCAATCAGCACTTTCTGGATTGCGCACAATTAGACGCGACTGGTCGCAAAGCAGTTCTCAATCTGACGACCGTATTTCATGGCCGGCCACCCAGCCCACTCAATCTCAGTCTTCAAAAGCACCTAAGGCTGAAATTCGATCACAACGTATGAAAGATATCCAACTTGCGCTTGATGCGCTCACAGGGAAGCAACCGCCTGGAGAACGGCTAGAAATTAGCACGAAACAGATAGCAAACGGGACCAAACGACCTCTCCCACCTGCTCCAAATTCGCCGCCAGCAAAAAAACGACAGCTTCCGCCCAGCTGGAATGAGGACGCGTTATCATCCTCATCCAACTTCAAAACTTCGAGCAAATTTTCTTTGCCATCAGTAAAGTCCATGTCGTTGACGGTCGCTACCTCGTCATCAAAGCCTAGCTCCAAGCTTGCTGGAGTGTTCCTTAGTCAGGAACAGACACAGATTCTTCGTCTTGTGGAAAGCGGAAATAGCGTGTTTTACACTGGTAGTGCTGGTACGTAGTAAATACATTCTTCTTTATGATTTTACCCGAACGTGTACCGATAAGGTACTGGAAAATCGGTCTTACTCCGAGAAATCATTCGCACATTGCAAAAGAAACACGTCAAATCTTCCGATGCTATTGCCATTACTGCATCAACGGGTGGGGACGCATATACTCACTATTTGATGTCCTCTGATATCATATGACTAGGAATTGCGGCGTGTAACATCGGTGGCGTCACGATTCATTCATTTGCAGGCATTGGCATCGGAGAAGGCTCAGCAGAAGAACTCATCAACAGAGTCCGTAAAAACAAGAAAGCTGCTTCGAGGTGGTTACGGACAAAAGTCCTCATTATCGATGAAGGTAGGGTGGTTTAGCAAGTGCAGACTTTCACATTACATATATCATATCATTAGTTTCTATGTTGGACGGAGATCTCTTCGACAAACTTGCACGAATTGGTAGTCTGATACGGAAGTCCCCAGAACCCTTTGGAGGAATTCAGGTTCGCTTCGCAGTCCATTTCATTCAACGCCACTAAAATCGATTGTTAGGTTGTGGTCACTGGCGATTTCTTCCAACTACCCCCCGTCGGGAAGGGTGCCAGTCTGGTCAAATTTGCTTTTGAAGCTCAGCTCTGGAGCCAGACTATCAAGCGTACATTCAATCTGAATAAAGTCTTCAGGCAAAAAGATCGGCGTAAGTAAGAGGAGATCAGTAAAACTGCTTATATGCTGAGCGTTCTTCAGAATTTGTTGACATGCTCAACGAAATGCGTTTCGGACGGCTTTCACAAGAATCTATCGCCCGGTTCAAGTCTTTGTCACGACCCATTAACGACGACGACGGCCTGGGAGCAACTGAGCTGTCAGTCCTCCGTTCATTTTGACGACCGCATTAATTGATTCAATGCAGCTTCCCTCGTCGAGAGGACGTGGAAAGATCCAATAATGGCCGCATGTCTCATCTTCAAACCGAGCAAAAAGATTACATTGCTTCGGACGGCGGGACGATCACTGATCCAAACCAGCGTGACAAAATGCTTGCGAACTTCATGGCACCGAAGAAACTTGTCCTTCGTGTTGGTGCCCAGGTCATGTTGATCAAAAACATGGATGACACGCTCGTGAATGGCAGCATGGGCAAAATTTTACGTTTTGTCGACCCAGCGTTGTACGGGACCGACTATGATGATGTTGATGGTAGCGGGAATGCAGGAAAGCCGAAGTCAGAAAGGAAGAAAACCGCGACGACGAAAGACATGTTCATGCCAGTCGTGGAATTTTCGGTACCGAACAGAGGGCGCAGGGAAGTTCTAATTGAGACTGAAATCTGGAAAGTCGAGTTGCCTAGCGGAGAGGTACAAGTGTCGAGGGCACAGGTGTGGCGTTTGATTATCTGGTTGTGCCCGCGAATCTAACCCTTGGTGGTAGCTACCCTTGATATTATCTTGGGCCATGTCCATCCACAAATCGCAAGGACAAACACTCGAGAGAGTCAAGGTAGACCTTGGCAGAGTGTTCGAAAAGGGTTCGTTCTGGCAGCCAATTCATGTTCTCACACTTGAAATAATCTTTCCCGTTCAGGACAAGCATATGTCGCGCTATCTCGAGCAACATCATTGGAGGGTTTGCAAGTTCTGAATTTCGATCCAAAGAAGGCGAGAGGAACTTATTCTCTCCCTGTACGACAGTGCTCACCCCCTTTAGGTACAAGCACATCCCAAGGTCGTTGAGTGGAGTAAAACGCTCGAGATCATTTCTACGGAATGAACCATTGGCATTTTTTCTCTTGTAACATTATTGATGCCTTTATTTCATTACCACGCACATGGAAATGGACCACTAGAAGCCTACCTTATGGTCGTATATGTAGTTATGTTCATGAGTGTACTGGAGGTGTGCTCGATAGTATTGCTGAGTTATCGCCTAGACACACCTTGTAATCGTTCAGAACGCTCGATTTTGCAGCCTGCTGTCTATCCTTGGGAATTTGAGCAACAGACTCGACGATTCGGGCGTGTTTGCATCTATTTATGTAATTTCTAATTAACATATAAGGACTCGGCGTCAATTGGGTCAACTCCGTCATGCTGTACAGCGCTCTGATCCTCCTACCACCTTCTTATTTTTGCTTTTCATCCTTTCCTTGCAGCACTATATGGCAACTACCTCTACTTTTCTTGGATTGGTTGGTATTCAAAATAAATCCCAAGTATCAATATGACCATAAAAACTACTGGAAATATGACAGCTACATCACTCTCCATACAGATAACAGCTCTACATCATTGATTCATCAAAGTCCAACTGCTCAACAATCTTGGCAATCCTGCATATTCCACACATCACTCACAGACAGTTCCCTTTGAGACTAGCCTATGTGACTACTTTCAATGACTGCCAAGGTTTCACACTCTCTCGCACAGTTCTGGATCTCAGAACTGTGCTCATGGTCAACTATACATGACTGCATCATGTTGTTCCATGACAAAAGCCATTGAGATACACTCTGCTTATTAATTTTGGGAGAGAAAGATAATATAGTAGTGGGATTCAAAGCTGGCCTTGAAACTTGCTTGGAACTTCCCTGAAACATCAACAAACATGCAAACTTTTTGGAACCCCAGCAGCAGGTATTGGAGTCTGAAATCAAAACTTTATGCTACATGCACATGATGCCCCCAATATGTTCACCCACTGTAAGGCGTTCAGCACGCCTCAAGCAACTTTCTCAAATATCTGCTGGTCTAAATACAGTGGCTCAAAAAACTGTCCACATGTTTTTGCATTTTTTACTATTTACAATATTGTGTGAGAATACATAAAGACCTCAGTGACATGCTGATACCATATTGTAGTGCTGCTTCAGGGCTTTGGATTGAGCACCACATTGTGAGAATCAGAGGAGATATGGTGGAGATACAAGGCTTACAATATCATGACTCATGTGGACAGTTTTTTGAGCACATATTAAAACTATATAAATCATCATTTATGACACCATAACAATCATGCCACCATTAAATAAATTATAAAGTGGTGTCATTATGTCATTTTAAAACCATATCTAACTATACAAACCAAAAATTTCCATATGTCATGGTTATATTCACCATGAAAGCCACCCCCCCGCTCAAAGGGATAATATCCTCTCTCTTTCCTATTCTGGCCTCTCTGCTTGTCAAATTTCCTCTAGAACTGGAGTATCCAAGTCCACTGTGGCCAAGTTCATCAAAGAAAGTCACACAGACAAGGAAAACTTCTGTGAAGGGTGTCCATCCAAGCTCACCTCTACTGATAGGAGGGCTATTATTCAACATATCACTACAGGAAAGGCTGATAATGCTGTCCAGGTCACCTATTACATCAATTCCACCATCACATTCCCTGTCTCTTCACACACTGTGAGAAACATTCTCAAGACAGCTCATCTCAGGTCAGTAACAAGGAAGAAAAGGCTCTCCTCTCTATCACACATATGCAGAGAGGACTAACCTTTGCCTTAGCCCATCAGAATTGGATTACATGGACTGGAAGCATGTTATATGATCATATAAGACCACAATAAATAGGATTGGGTCAGATGGCAAGGTATATATGTGAAACAAGAAGGATGCTAGTCCTCTCTGCATATGTGTGATAGAGAGGAGAGCCTTTTCTTCCTTGTTACTGACCTGAGATGAGCTGTCTTGAGAATGTTTCTCACAGTGTGTGAAGAGACAGGGAATGTGATGGTGGAATTGATGTAATAGGTGACCTGGACAGCATTATCAGCCTTTACCTGTAGTGATATGTTGAATAATAGCCCTCCTATCAGTAGAGGTGAGCTTGGATGGACGCCCTTCACAGAAGTTTTCCTTGTCTGTGTGACTTTCTTTGATGAACTTGGCCACAGTGGACTTGGATACTCCAGTTCTAGAGGAAATTTGACAAGCAGAGAGGCCAGAATAGGAAAGAGAGAGGATATTATCCCTTTGAGCGGGGGGGTGGCTTTCATGGTGAATATAACCATGACATATGGAAATTTTTGGTTTGTATAGTTAGATATGGTTTTAAAATGACATAATGACACCACTTTATAATTTATTTAATGGTGGCATGATTGTTATGGTGTCATAAATGATGATTTATATAGTTTTAATATGTGCTCAAAAAACTGTCCACATGAGTCATGATATTGTAAGCCTTGTATCTCCACCATATCTCCTCTGATTCTCACAATGTGGTGCTCAATCCAAAGCCCTGAAGCAGCACTACAATATGGTATCAGCATGTCACTGAGGTCTTTATGTATTCTCACACAATATTGTAAATAGTAAAAAATGCAAAAACATGTGGACAGTTTTTTGAGCCACTGTATATACCAAATTAGCTGAATTGTTTGAAGAAAATGGATCAATGTCAGTGTCATTGCTGGCATCACAGACTTTAGAGACCAAGGAAAGACAGTGAACAAATCAGCTCTGAGGCACTCGCAACTTCAGGAGACAATGGACTAAGGGTTTCAAGGACAGGAGCTATGCACCAAGGGCCTATCGCTACAGCTTAGTCAGCATGTAAACTGGCCATCAAAATGAGATTCCATAAATATTGGTTCCCAGTTTGGGTAAAAATGACCTGTAGACATGTTATGTAATATAAATTGAGTTACCCCACTCCCCTACTAGGGCATTAGCCAGTCCTTTATATAGACAGTCGTTTTTTCTAATACCCAATACCCATCTCGAGTGAGCATTAGGCTCTTGAAATAAGTTGTTCCTTATAACTGACCAACCACCTGGTTATTCAACACACAGTCTTATTCTAGCAGTACGTGCCCGGCGGTTGAAGACCTCAAACGTTTCAAAACTGATGTCCCCTTCAGAATCAATCGCCTGCGATATGACCTTTTCCTGTCTAGAAGAATGGTCAAGTACGTGCTAGTTGAAAGCCTCGGAGTCTTCGAATGTTTCAAAATTGATGTTCACTTCAGAATCACTCGCCCGCGATATAACACGGCTTTCCGGTCCAGAAATAACCGCAGACATTCCTGCCCTAACATCGAAAGCTCAATCAGAAATTGACGATGAACTCACGGCACTTAAAGAGAGAATGCGATATCTTCGGACGCGCCGAAACAGTCTCTCTCCCGTATCCTCCATCCCTCCAGAGATCCTTGGCGCCATTTTCGACCATCATGTTCAACGGACGCAATTGCTTCATGCTCCTGATGCCCCTGCTGTTCTTTCGTGGCTCAATATCGGACATGTTTGTCGCCACTGGCGCGAAGTTACTCTTGGGACACCGGAGTTATGGGCTACTCCGTTTCTTGTTTCCTTACAAGCCACAGAGGAAATGCTCTTGAGGTCTAAAATGGTTCCCTTGAAATTGAGAACCGGTCGGCGATATCGTATTGACTGCGTCCAAAAGACATTGACGCACATAGAGCGTCTGCAAGAGGTCTCTCTCCCATTTTTCAGTCACGCCTTCGGTAGTGGCACGACGCACCACTGCATAGCAGAATTCCTTGACAAATTATCATCTTGTTCTGCTCCCAAACTACAATCGCTTTTTTTTGAAGTAGAGTTCAAACAAACACCACGTATAACAATTCCGACTTCTTTCCCCGCACCCAACCTTCGCAGTCTCCAAATCAAGCACTGTGATCTATCATGGGTGTCACCCGTCCTCACAGGACTCACAGTCCTTACTATTAAAAAATTATCACCTGAATGTCTTCCGACTTTAGAAGAGTTGATCTCTGCGCTCCGTCGTATGCCTGCTCTGCACACTCTCGAGTTAGAAGATGCTCTCCCGACTCTTCCCCTTCAAACGACGTCACTTCCTCGCACACCTCGCGCCATGAATGTTCGACTTCCCCACTTGAAACAGTTATGTTTGGCGGCGAAGATGTTGGAAGTGGCCAACGTGCTAGCTCGCATTGAATTACAGGAATCTACAACGGAAGTTCGACTTTTTTGCGAGGGGTTTTCAGGAAATCCGAACCATCAATGGAATGCGAGCCTTCCCATCATATCTCGCGCCTTGAAAAGTTGCTTCAAAGCCAGTCCAGATAAGTCTCGACCAGTCCCGCGTTCCATGCGACTATCAAGCACTGGTAATTGCATTCGTTTGCACTCTAGTGCGGTCCGGAACCCTCCTTCGTGGGTGGGGTCAAAGTCTGGGGCTTATCTGGATCCGGATTTGTTGGCAGAGAATTCCGTCACTCTCTTATTTGACTTTCCGGATAACATGAGGAGGACAATCCTTAGTGACTTGCAAAAGGTTGTTCCTCTTGGGAGTATTGAGGCCATGTACTTCCACTTTTTCTTCCCTTGTTGGGATGGCTTCTGGACTGATCTTCTTGGCCGCGACGCTACTCGTAATCTTGCATACATGCACATACAAGGACCATGCCAGGCTCTTGAAGAACTTCTTAAATCCCTGCGTTCACGGAAGCACAGTGTATCGCGGCGTGTAGACGGGCGTTCGCAACAAGGACCCATTTTTGCCCCAGTACTCTCCCATCTTGTCCTTCACGACCTGGAATTCGGTTCCTCCATTTTGAACTGGCTGCGGCCTTCTGACCTCCTTGACGTGCTCATTGATCGCGTCAACGAAGGTCGGGGGTTAGACCGCCTTGAGTTTATTTCAACCGCGGGTATACTCGCCCGCGACGTGAAGTTGTTGCGAGAGGTGGTGGCCGATGTGAGCTGGGACGAATACGAAAGTTCCGACGAAGATTCCGACCACGACTATGACTATGACTATGACAGTGATTATGATGATCCCATTGATTACGGTTTCTACAGTGACCACGGATATTCCTCCTGATATGATTCTGTCGGCTCAAATAAAGGCCGTGCATTGCGTAGATAGCTACGTCTGTAAAATTCAGTTCTGCAGTCTGAGTAGTAGTCCTTGGGATAAGCAACGATTTGGGACTCACGTGTTTTCGATTTATTTCTCTCGCTAAGTATCATATTTATTCTAATGGGTCTCGTAGAAGCGCAGGCCGCGTAGCCAGCAAAAGGATTTTCCCGGAGGCGAGCTCCGATACTAATCGTCTCTGCAAGGCAAAGAGTGCTCAGCATGCCGAGCAACGGCAAGGGATAGACCCTGAGGTAAGCCCGCACATAGAAACTTGAAAGTAGACTTGTATAAAGGAAATTAAACTCAACATAATGTTAAGTCTTGTCTACCAATTGCTTGCTATCAACATTTCAAGAACAAGCTTTACCTTCCCCTCGTGATCTTGTTGTGATCCCTTATTCTAGCAGTACGTGCCAATTTGAAGTTTCAAATGTATCAACTGATGTTGTTTGTTGTTCTCCAAGTCGTGGAGTCTACTTACTGCAGATTCATTCGCCTGCGAACTAATGCTAGCCGCAGATACTCCCGCCCTAAGCTCGAAAGCTCAAACAGAGATCGATGATGAACTCGCGGCACTTAAAGAGAGAATGCGATCTCTTCGGACGCGCCGAAACAATCTCTCTCCAGTATCCTCCATCCCTCCAGAGATCCTTGGCGCCATTTTCGCCCATCATGCTCAGGAGATGCAGTTACTTCATGTTCCTGATAACCCCGCGGTTCTTTCATGGCTTAATATCGGACATATTTGTCGCCACTGGCGCGAGGTTGCTCTCGGAACACCGGAGTTATGGGCTACTCCGTTTCTAAATTCCTCACAGGCCACGGAGGAGATGCTCATGAGATCCAAAATGGCTCCCTTGAACTTGAGAAGCGGTCTGCGATATCATACGGAATCCGTCCAAAAGGTGTTGATGCACATGGACCGTTTGCGAGAGGTCTCTCTCCCATTCTTGAATGGTGGTGTGATGTACCGCTGTATCATGGATTTCCTTAACAAGTTATCAACTTGTTCCGCTCCCAAACTACAATCGCTTTCCTTGGAAGAAGAGTATGCGCAAACACTACGGATAGTGATCCCGACTTCTTTTCTCGCGCCCAACCTTCGCAGCCTCAAAATCAAATACTGTGATCTATCATGGGCATCTTCCGTTCTCACAGGACTCACTGTCCTTGATATCAAAAAGTTGTCACCGGAATGCCTTCCGACTTTAGACGAGTTGATCTCTGCACTCCGTCGTATGCCTGCTCTGCACACTCTCGAGTTAGAAGATGCTCTTCCGACTCTTCCCCCCCAAACGGCGCCACTCCTTCGCGCACCTCGTGCCATGAACGTTCGACTTCCCCACTTGAAGCGGTTACGTTTGGTGGCGAAGGTTTTGGAAGTAGCCAACGTGTTAGCTCGCATCGAGTTACCTGATTCAACGATGTTGGAAGTTCAACTCGGATGCAGAGCATCTTCATCTATGAATCCAAATCAAGAGTGGAATTTGAGCCTCCCCATCATCTCTCATGCCTTGGAAAGTTGCTTCAAAGCCACTCCAGCTAAATCTCACCGAGTCCCGCGTTCCTTGCGACTGTTTAGCGTTGGTCGCATTCATGTGCAATATAGCACGGTCCGGAACCCTGCTTCGTGGGCAGGGTCAATGACTGATACTTGTCTGGATCCGGAGTGGGCGGTGGAACGCCCTGTGGTTCTTGACTTCGACTTTCCCGCTGAAACAACTACAGCGATCCTTAGCGACTTGTGGCGGCTCGTCCCTATTAGGAGTCTCGAGGCCTTGTACATCGAAGGTTTCTTCGCTTGCTGGGATGGTTTCTGGACTGATCTTCTTGGCCGCGGTGCTGCTCGCAATCTTACATACATTCACTTGCGAGGAACGCCTCAGGCTCTTGAAGATCTTCTCATATCCTTGCGCTCACAGAAGCACAGTTTAGCGCGGTTCATGGGCGGGCATTCACAAAAAGGACAAATTTTTGCCCCAGCACTCTCCCATCTCGTCCTTGACCACCTGGAGTTCGACCCCTCCTTCTCGTCCTTTACCAGGACTTCTGACCTCTTTGACGTGCTCGTCGATCGTGTCAACGAAGGTCAGGGACTAGACCACCTTGCGATCACTGGATGTACGGGTATCAGTGCCCATGACGTGCGGTTGTTGCGAGAAGTGGTAGCCGACATTCACTGGGATGAATACGAAAGTCTCGACGATTACGACCTCGAATATGACTATGACTCATTCGAAGATGATGATGACGACGATTACGGTTTCTACGGCGATGGAGACTACTATTACGGAGAAACGTACGTGGAGTAGGTGAAACAGATTGTACGATTCAGCTGTTCAGTAGCTAGGATTTATACTTTTCTTCGCTTTCACACAACTGTCCCATAGTATGACATTTCCTACGCGAATTATGCTCGCTTTGAATACCGACAAACATGTGTAGGTACTGTATACGCTCGGTACGCAATGTTTTCAGTATAACAATGGGGTGTCACTGATGTTGTTTCTCGTAATTGCTATGCATGACAATATATTCTTAACTCTGTATCTAAGTCCACATATATTCATACATGTCATGTCATTGAGTCATAAACGTTCGAACACCAGTGCCCCATAAATACTACCGGCACACCCCAAGTCTACAATAGGTGAACCAAGTGTCACAAAATCGTGTTTAACGCACTTCGCACATCTTTCGTGTCACTGAGGTCTGCAAGAAGGGGGCAGATGTCTATCAGTTCGGTATCGTGAGGATCGTTAAACCAAGAGGATATAGGCACGGCATTTGTGGGGTGGAAGATATATGATGCCGGCGAATTGTCGATGATGATGGTATCTGCCATGGGTCGTCCAAGTTGCGACAGGTCCTGAAGATAAGGATGATCAGATACGGAATCTTATCTGCAAGGAGCAAACGAACCTTCACATAGTTTTCTCTATACCGGAAACAACTTTCCCGGAAGAGCCTATGCGAAACGGCATTGTAGATATCAAGATGGTCCAACACCGGATCTGCATACTAAATGCGACGAAACAAGGAAGAGAAAGATCAGTTGAATTTTACACCCAGCCACCTGCAATACACGCACGGAACCCAGACTTGCGGTGTACACTACTACTTCGTATACCTCACCCATCTGCCGAAGAAACTCGTCCACTCCTGGGCGTTTCTGTACGTACATATTGTGCCAGCGATGCTCGATTTCGACAGGAACGATGAAGTCTGGATCTGGTACGGGCTGACAGCGAGACAAGTCAAAAACAGGCCTAGAATCAGAGTGTAAGATATACCCTGAAGTTACTATGAACGAGGGTCTCGTCCAGGTCAAGCACTAAACACTTTTTGCCAGCATGTTTGGGCGCGATTGGTGGCAAAAGTGGACATGGCTTTCCATCCTGTAAACTCTGAGTTAGAGATAAATCCATTAAAGTACGGTTCCGCTCACAGGGCCAATGGGAATGCCTGCACCCCCATTCCTGATTAGCATTTCGTCTTCCTCGCTTAACTCATCAAACGGAACGTCGTCGAACTCGGTAGCATGTTCGGACGGGTAACGCGAAGAGGTTTTCAATACCTGACCAGGAACAGAAGAACCTGGCGGCTGCACGGCTCCACTGGTGGCGCCCGCAGTCTCTGCAATAGGTAACACGTCCTTAGGAGGTACGGCAGGTTGGCTTTTCTCCTGTAAGGGTGCCACCGGAACTACTAGTGCAAGGCCGCTTGTTCCTGGTACTTTTTCAGAAAATTCCTTCACATCATTGTCCGCGGTCTTGTGAGTCAGCAGAGTAGGACCCGACCCAATGCTTGCGACACCATCGATGTCAATGTCATGAGCTCGGGAATTGAGGCCAACGCAGGAGATGAGCTTGCGAAATAAGCTAGCAAAGAAGCTCTCCTTGACACGTTTGATCTCAACGACAGACCCCACACAAGTATGATCTTTGGATTGAGAGCGACACCGGAGACTGCTGCGCCTGGAATGATTTGGCGGAAGGAGTGTGGATGTGCCCGCAGATGCTTCACGCTTGTCGAGTGCCGGAGATGCAGTGGATGATGAAGAAGTAGATCGACTGGCACTGCCTACATTATCTTTGGAAGAAATAGAGGGATGAACGCGTGGTGGGACCTGCCGGTCAGCATGTGGCGTCTTCAATAATGAATCGTTCGAAGGTGCGGACGCAGCAACCTTCTTGTAAGCTGCAGATTGAGTATTTGATGGCATGATAATTACAGTCCCGGTATCTTTATCAGGAGAGCGTCCTTGAAGGAGGGGTCCTCGATGAATGACAAGCAGAGCTAGTAGTACGAGTGCCGAACAGTGAGCTTGAAGTACACTGCGGGAGGATCCTTTGGTATTGAACTACTGCGATTGTGAACAGTCGATATAAAAAGGGGGAGAGCTGGTGCAGGGACCTACTAGGACTAAGACAACTTAAAGGCCGTGGTCCAACCACAATCTAGCTACAGCGCTGCCTCCCGTTAAACAGCACTCACGGCCGTCGACCTAAGCGTCAATTAATTGCGACCGCGCGGAAACAACAAGGCAGCGCCAAAAAACGTTACATATTGCGTCTTATTGGCCGTAATGTGAATCCGAACCAGGAACGGCATCTTGAGATCAGTGACCATCATATCTGTCGAAGATCACTAGCTCGACAGATGCAACTGAGATAACATTGTAGTTGAATCCAGTATCACGCACAATTCTACCACAAACCAGTGGGTTGTCATTATCAAATTGCACTACATCAACCGACAGGGGGATTCTGATACATAAAGTGACTAATTTACGGTCTACCGGTACGACGAGCCGTCGAATGCGAACATACACTCCCAGCAACCATGTTTGTGGCACTCATAGAGCTTGAAACAATCAAAGCAGGAGGACTGTGAACCATCAAATGTCCGGACTGCTTTGCAAATGAGAAACCTCCTGTACAACGTCTGATTTCACATAGAGCTAATTCCAGGAACTGGAGCAACAAGTTAGCTGTAAATGATCGTGATCCGACTCGTCCTTCTTTAGGGGCTAGGCGGCCTTTATAGCGGTTGCGGTCAAGGCATGGCCGTGCGTCACCACATCAAAAACGATCGGCCCTGGCAGGTGGCTGTAGATAAGAAAAGTGTGCGCCGTCCTTTGCGATAGAAAACATTGGTCAAGGGTAGCCTAAAGCTGTATTCGGGTTATTGCTGTTGGACACTGAAGATCTTCCACACTCACTTGGGAGGTATCAATCGAACATCCAACAACTATCTTCTGTGCATTGAGAGATGGAGAATCTGGAACTCAAAACACAAGCAGCTCCACATCGAACTGGACTATAACAAGAAAAAACGTGTGATCTTGCTATTGAGATGGAGCCGGTGCTATCGTAAGTATGATAGTGTATGATGACATAGGGCCCAGCCCCGACACCAGTTCGAGATTGAAACGAAGGTGTTAAAGCCGGTCGTCCGCGTTCATAACATAACGAGAAAAACACACCCTCGGTGGGCTGCCGTCCAGACCGGCGGCATGAATTTGAAATGCGCAGAGTGAAAGGGACATTGGTTGCCATTGTCATTTCATTTGTGAGTAGGGGATGATTGACATCGATCGTGCAACGAACATGAACGAACCTAGCAGGCTAAGCGTGCCTAAGCGTGGAAATGACATGCGTGGTCCCTGCTGTGATGGTAGTAGTAGACAAACAGTTACAAGCCAAAGCCAGCAAACAATGAGCTTCGTCCAAATAAGGCAAGTGTTGTTGTCGAATCAATGCTTTTGTTCGAACCTACTACATTTTCGTGGTGCCAGCAATAATTATGGATACCAAGACAATGTACATCTTTTGTTTCCGCGTAACTTTCCAGACTATAACACCGCACACGATTACTGTGGAAATTTCTCCGCGGGTGATTGTATAAAAACCTTACCTTGGCCATGATGCATGAATGCTTCGACACCTCGCATTTCACTCCGCTATCTATCATTACTGAATCAGTATAACAAAACTCTACCTTGCGGCAGCTGGTGATACGGCTATTCGCGATTTTCATTCCTTCTCTCATTACCTCCTCTCGACGAACCTGACATTCACAATTTCACACTCGTCGCGACACCCAACATGACTAGCCGCGCCGTTCCCCACCATGCATTCATCACTTCCGAGCCCTGGATCACTGAATCTAAGCCGATGTAAGGATGGTCTACGCCGTCCCAAATTTTTTACTGATCTTTTCTTGCCTCGATCGGTTTATAGGAGAAAGACACGCATCTCGTGCACTAAATTGATTGAACGCCAGGTCGTTCGCGCATGGAAGCGCGTCACCGGTGTTACTCGCAAACACCAACGTGCTTCTTTCCTTCCCAAGGATTTCATCCTTGTCACTTCTCGCCGCCGCAGTGTGATGTTGGCCTGAATAGTTCCGAGAGGAGGCATCTGTGTTGTCACAACCATGCGCAGGCGCACACGGACAGTAGCGGGATCGGACTTCTGAATCACACGCACTCATTTTTCTATCTGGGACATTATATCATTATTTCATGTAGCGTTATAGTATCCACCGGAACTCTAGTTGTATTACTTTTAACAATATGCATAATCATTAATCCAGTGTATCCATTGAAACAGACCGATCTAGAAGCCAAAGCAAAGCTAATATGATTTTGAAACTGGCCGGAATATCAACGTAGTCTTCATTGTCCTGGAGCCAGTAGTATACATCATGAGGTCGTTAAATTTACATGTAATTTCTCGTCAAGTCAAACTTGTGTCCTAGACCAAGCAACCAAAAATCAAGTTACTACAGCGGGATCAACTACGAATGCGCGAATGGTAAGCGTACAAGCAAATGAACAGCAATGGAAAAACCTACCCCGCGTGCAATTTGGGTTATTTGTTCCACACCATTCTGCAAGCGTGATACCTCATCCTTGAGATGACCAACTTCCTGTAGCAAGCTGTCCTTTTCGATTGCCTCCCTTGCAGCGCGACTTTTGAGATCAGCGATGTTGATGCAAGCATTGTGGAGATCTTCAAGAATACCTAAGCATCGCTCTTGTGACACTTGGGTGGTCCTATTTGCCGCATGAAGTGCATTTTCTGCAGCAGTCAGGGATGTTTGCAGATCTGTGACCTGTGTTTGTAGTGAAGAAATCTGCGCGATTCATTAAACTTTACCGCATAACTGAGAACCGGAACCACCTGCCTCTGGGAGGAACATGTGAGATGACGATCGAAAACCCCGAACGAACCCTGCAAAATAACCAGTGACAAGAGAAAGGGGGCCGAAACGGGAGCCAGGCGTTTGAGGGTTCTGCCTATCAGAATGGCTATGAGCATCATTACCAGAAGACGTGACTTCGGAGGATGATGCTGTGGATGTAGGTGATGACCGTGATACAACCACTTGTCGCCGAGGCAGTGACTCGGGTGTGGGGAGGCCAATGTCTCCTTTACTGTGGCTATAGCTCAGCGTGCGGGCACTGCGATCAAATATCAGCACGGAACTAGCGGTGTCTTTATGAATTGCACTCACGGTGTGAAAGGAACAAGTTGATTGTTATGGGGTTCTTCAGACGGCCTGTATAATATAAATACGATGCGCAATAATATATAAAATGCTTACTGACATTAAGTCCATCGAATTATCACCTTCATTAATCTCGTCGTCCGCGACAGTGTCTGCCTGACTATTAGCGGCATCTCTTTCTCGACGTACAGAGGATGCTAAATCCTGATATTTTCTGGAATATTGGAAAGCGCATCTAGCTGCCTCTCGTAATAGGCGTCAGGACAAAGCATACAGGATGTCAAGTTCACCTACCTGGAGCACAGTCGGTGTTCGATCCTTTCCAAATAATTTGGTTGCAAGCGACATATACGCACGGTATTTTTCCCGGGCCGATAATGTTCCATATCCATCCAGGACTTCTTGAAAGCCGCGATAACTGTGACAGCCGAAGACGATAATATGAGGGACATATTCGATTAACTATATGCCAGCACTTGCATGTTGTAGAAACTAGATTGAATTTCGATCTGTTGGACCACATCCCGCTGACGGCCATTGTGGGCAAAGGTCAAGTCGATGTGCCCATGCTCCCACTGTGAAAGGAGGAGGTTCGTTTTCAGTACTAATAGAAGTCTCACACCGTCGGGAGATGTCTTACGAAGAATAAGAGCACCCGCCGCAAGTAAGCATGCTGGCAAGGGCCTAACTTCAAGCCAGCAGCACTCGCGCAATTTTTCACTGCATCACAGTGAGACGGGGCGAAAAAGGATCAGAAATCAACAAACGAACTTGTAGTCTTGAATTCCTCGAAGGATACGCTTAAGGTATCTGCGGGACCAAGATTGCGATTTTCATCGCAGATGAATAGCAAAGTGGTACAGACAGCTTTATCGCAGACGTTCACACCATGTCGGATTCAAAGTAAAAACGCTACTCACCATTCTGTTGCGCAAGTTTGCGACCAGCGCAAAGTTTATCGAGTTTGAGGCGCCCCTCAGGTGTGTGTGCTGTCGTGGAGACGTCGAGGTATGTACTCCCGCGTCGAATTGCGGGCATATTGGACAAATAAGATTACAGGATAACAGTCGAGCATAGATTATAAGCCTGTGCAAAACAAAGAAAACGCACGCGATCGATCTGAAAGCCCTTTCATGATCGTTATGCGACGACTTATTGTTGAGATCAGACAGCCAGGACGGCCTGATCGAGTCGGGATAAAGAATTACAAAATTAAAAGCCTCCGAATGTCAGTACAGCCGTAGCCCGTGACGTACCATCACGAGTGTCAATCTATTAAATCGATATCATAGTAGTATTGTCTCTGTAAGTAACCAATACAACGAAAACACAATAAAAGCTATAGTTCGAAGTGATCCGCCCAGTGTCGTAACACGCCCTCGCCTTCTAAATGTTGCTTAAACATTTTAGGGTCACGACAGACTATCATTGCATGAGAATTGCGTACACCCTCAAAGAAGGCTCGTTCTTTCTTCAACTGCGGTATCTTGTTAAGATTCTCTATGCACTGAAGTTGACCGGGTGTCAACAAAGGTTGGTATGGAGGTGGCTTTGAACGCGATTTCTTTCCTTTTTCCTTCGTAGGCTCGGTGGGGATGGTCGAATCAGCGGGGTCAGCACCAGGTATCGGCGATGTAGCGATGGGAGTGCCAGCAGGGTCATCGTATAAATCAACTGCAGCGCTTTCTAGCTCGCTCTCCAGTTTGCCGATAATGTGAACAAGTCTTTCTCTGGTTGTTTGCGCTTCAAGATGCCTTAGTCGACCACGAGACTGATGCGACTGAAATGATAGACGGATGAGAGCAAGGCAGATAAATGTCGGGAAGAGGACTGGTAGGAGGGTATAAACGGCCTATATCATTGTTATGAGATGAGGCGGTCAGTTCAAAGGATATTTGCATACCAAGTTCAAAGGAAATTCGGCTTGGAATCGTGGAGGTAATGGCGCGCGCATGTTGCGAATACTCTCGAACCAGCCTTGCGGCTCTTTTGTGGTTGCAGATGATGAAGGAAGGGCCGAGTACGATTTGATAACATGCTTGTACTTCTCGTGGAAATCACTAAAATATGGTCAGCATCAACTCATGCAACACGAATCAGGTAATTACATTTTGATGCCATTCTTTTCGTACTCGCCAAAGGGGTCTTCTGCGCTGATGCTAGAAGTGACATATGGTACAGTCAAGTCATTAATGCTGGGGTCATAGTCAGCGATGTTAAACGAATGCGAGATGTTTGAGCTTACGCATTAGCAGTAAATTCTAATATTAGGAAATAATATCAATGCCTGATAAAAAATGCGCTCAGGATCAGCAAGGACCTCTACGAGTGGTCTTCCTCGCGGCGACCACTTGTCGACACAGAAGAACTGCTCGCCTGAACGGGAAAGAAGCTTCGGTCCCAGAAATGCCGATATCAAGGAGAACTGCTGAAGGGAATCTGGGTATGCCGATGTGTGGGGTAGTCAAAGTGTTAAAATTCACGGGTTGCACCGTCTCGAAAAACTTCGACTGGTGAAGGACACTAGGCTTGCTCGTTAAATTATCCACAAGAGTGGGGACTCTCACACGCACCCAATAACATAACGGGCAACCAGGCCACCAAGACTGTAACCAGTGACCGAGAAGCGAGTTACCTTCCGACCTCCTTCTCTAGGTCTGTGGTTTTCTGTCGAATCTGAGTTTCATGCGCGGTGAGAATGCTCAGATTTGTTGACGATAATAAATAGAAATACCTCTTCAGCCACTCTTTCACCTCCCCAGTCAATTCCGTCATATGTGGATTCATCCTTATTGGTTTCAGCGACAAGAACTTCAAGTTTAATGTCACCGTCCTCCACTTCGCCCTTCACCTCGCGGATAATTCTGTTCGCATGAGCAAGATGAGAGGGATTTCCCCACATTCCATGGATCAAGACAAGTAGATGGACGTTTGGCATGATGGAACGGCTGACAATCGGGATTGGCGGTTGATAGAGATTGATAGAGTAAGACAAGAAGAAGACGGCAAGTTATAAATACGTGGAGTCTTGGTCCTCATGCCATGCTGTATACTGTAGCTTCCACGCCGTGGGTGTCGAGACCGCGTTAGCCTATCGGCCGGCGGCTTGGTGCTGCGCCACAGTCAATGCTGACGCGTCGACCCATGTGTCACACTTGCATTTGTTAACGCAATGGGCCGGCATCGTTAGCGAACAACACTCGAGTTGGATGTAAGGCACAATATCGGAGAGTCAAGTTTTAGTCATCGTGAGTCTGTATATGTCAATTCGGATGGCATTGACAGGAACCTCCGGACCGAAGTTCGAACAGATTGAGAATCAAAAATACCAGTGTGCAAGTATATGATGTAACTTAATTAGGCGATGGGTGATGCAGAACAGCACTGGGCTGGATGTGCTAGGTATCAGTTGCCAGCGGTATCTGAATGTTAGTAAAGACTCAAAATGGCATTACAGTGCTTCATTCAGAGACGTGGAATCAGGCCGAAGGGATACGGCGATGGACCACACAAAGATGCAGCGTACATGGTTGCTTCATCAGGATAGGGGGGTTATCATAATAAGAACCCGGTTCTATGGGTGTCGTCTTAGAGGTCGGGTCCGTCGGGAGACCAGAGGTCCTGTCAAGGTCACCTCGGTGCCCCCACTTTAAACATTTAACGTACTACATTGACTTTTCTTCAGGTTTTGGTAATGTGACATGCAACCCTCACGTCCGACAAGATCCCGATCCATCTTTGGTCGATACTTGGTAATTAATGTGCCCCACTTACCCAACATAACCATAACACTCACCAAAGATAAACAAGTCTGTCTTGCGCTACGCAGGGATCCACGAGATGAAAAAAATGTACCGCGTTGTTCTTTCTGTGAGTGTCACCAAACATTGCGGGTTTTCTTTACAAACAATGCGAGTAAATTAGTTCACTGCTAGGATAGGCCTTCGAAGATGATAGTCCCATCTATCGAATGCATAATCGTCAATGAAGCTCATTGGTCCTTTCGCACCATCGATTTAAGGCAGCACTGTGCGAGGTACTCATGAGCGTGTGTACGACCTATACAACGAATTTCAACTGTCAAAAGTCTTCCATGATGTCAGAGCGAAGCGTGATAAATCTCAACATTCCCGAGTGGTGGATTCAAGATGACGGATGAAAATGCCTCCAGTATCGCAACCAAGTTCTCTTTATCCGCGTGAAAGTGATCTCGGAGTGCTGCAAGCGAAAGCTGTCGATAAAGATGGGTGGTGTACGTCAACGTTCGGTAGTGCACAAATAGATTCTTTGAAATTGCAATGATCTGCCTAAAAAGATGATCGATATCAGCAACGACAACCAAGCTCTCGCAGAGCAAGTGATCTAACCTCTACTGCGGCAGATGGACCAGCGGACATAAAATTGATAACCATCGCAGCTTAGACGAATAGACCGTCTGCATTACACACCAATATCTCAAATTCCTCCTCCGATGGCCAAGGTAGGGACAGCCGGCCAAAAATATCCGAACGGTTTGTGCGTATCTTGTCCAGGGCTCGCAACGCTGTGCGGATAGGCATCCGGCAAGGGCGACTTGTGAATAACAGGTGGGTGCTGGGAAAGTCTGGGCCAGAGAGCGTCTCTGTCAACAGCGTGACCAGCCGTGCTGCCTCTTCGGTAGAAAAGTACTCATCGATGACCATGACATAAGATGACTCTTTATGAATTGCATGGGTATAGTGGTTTGATAATGAGCTGTTGCATCCGATCGCGAAAAGATTTTTCAGACGACGGGAGCATCTCGTCTTCGTCGATAGTTTTTGTAATATCTGGTTTGATGCGCGGGAAAGCCAGTACCAGCTGATATGCGAGGGTAAGAATAAACATAGTGGCACGTTGCGTGGGGAGAAGAAGGATGCGACAAGCCTTCCGCTTTCCTCTCCTCAGCTACAGTGAACGCAATGGAAGTTTTTCTAACACCGGCAAGGCCATTGAGCCAAACATTCGTCCTATCATGTCGGCTGAGGACCTGTTTCGGACTTGTTTCGGACTCGGACTCTCAACGCAACACGTGTATTCTCCGTGCATTGTGAGTGACGCTAATGCTTTTCAGAGTCGAAATGGCACTGTGATTTATGACATGGTATGGATTCCTCCATGCGTCCTTAGAATGTGCTCGGAGGCAACAAGTACTAGTGGAGATGGGATGAAATACTCACCTAGATCTATTGTAGATAAGCTGAGAATAAAAAACAATAACTATTCTGAGCAGATGCCGTAACACCTGGTCAACGCGTGTCAACAAGCATACCTGATTAAATCGCGTCAGAACACGAGCACGGTGCCAATCTACAGCATATGATCGTGATGTCAGGATCGCAGACGTCCGAGGTCGGCAGCTTGTGCACCACTGCAAAAGCTGACACATGCACTGGTTAATTGTGTTACCACACAACTGCCAAATAATACAAGTATTCTGAAACAGTAACATAGGCAGCGGGCGGATTCCCATTTGTATCATCATCGCCTGTTATACCATCACTTACGCGACTGCACATTAGCGCATGTGTGAGGATGACTCGTGGTACAAAAAAAACCGGGGTATCGTCATGGTCCCGGTATCTGGTCGTTAAATGAAAGGTTTCGCTTGCAGATTCCAAATACGAGCATACTCTCCCCCTTTCTTCATAAGTTCATCGTGCGTCCCTGCTTCCTGGACAGCTTCATGGACGTACCTGCAGTGACCACGTCAGCAAACAATTGGTATGCGAGTAGACAGACTCACAAAATAAGGTCCGCATGTTGGGTAAGATTTCCAAACCGGTGAGTGGAGAATAGCATGGTCTTGTTGCCCCTTAATTTCCGTAGACGCTCGAAGAGATCTGTTTCCACCAGTTATAATTACATTTAAATTGGCATCTCGAAGAAACGGGGCAGCACACCATGTTCAGCCGTAGGATCCAGAGAGGCACTCGGCTCGTCGAATAACAGCATGCCAGCGGAAGACTCAGTTTCGGAGACCAGTGAGCGCATAAATGTGCGGGAGCTATTTGAATACTCGACACCGACACCTGAGAGGTAAAGGCATGGTCACGTACATTGCAAGCCGCTGCGCTTGCCCGCGGCTGATTTGGAGGCCTGGAGCTCGGGAGGTATGGACATCGTCAAACAAATTCCAATTCGAGGAGCTGACGGGCTGCCCGAAGAGTGTCGTGGTACCTTCAGGGAGGTCCCCATAGTAATCAGCCACGAGGCAGTCGAGGTAGGTATCGAATCCATCAGGGAGCTCATCGATGAAGTCTTCTGCACCGCCGAGACGGGCAGCTTCGCGAACCTTGTCGTCGTCATGTGCGAGGGCGGGTTTGCCAAGCCCGATGTTCTCGCGCATCTGCATGTGCGTTAAATATGTCGCTTCCGGGGTGCGCAAGTATGGCTTACGGAGAGGGGGAATTGCGAATAGTCTTGGAAGAGGATGGACATAGCAGCACGGAGGTCAGCAACTCTGAAGGTTTTGATGTCGCGTTCGTTGATGAGAATGGTGCCCTCTGTTGGGTCGTAGATGCGGGAGATCAGTTTCAAGATCGTACTCTTTCCAGAGCCGTTCACACCAACAACGACCTGATATCGTGATTAGAGAGCACCACAAAGGTGGAGACACTTACGCAAAGCTGACCAGCCCCGATCTTGAACGATACGTTTCGCAGAGCACAGCTGTCTCTGCCAGGATACTGGAACGAAACATTCCTGGTACATGGATCAGAAACGCCTGTATGAAACAACAGATATTAAACAACCTGAACTCAACAGAAATACCGCTCCTGAGAGACTGCTGGTTCTCGGGGAACGGTTCGGTGCCATCCACCACCTTATTCTGTATATACTCTGTCTCGTATAGGTTGCGTATTCCAGACAAACGGATCACAAGACTGGACAACTTGTGGGATGATAAGAAATCTGTGTCACTGAATGCATGAAAGGAATGCTTGATAAGTATAAGTGACGCCAAGGAGATGGGAGTGATCATTGGATTTTTCAGGACGCGAAAAGTGAAGACGATCTAATCGATTTTATCAGCCTCATCAACTCCAAGGTCAACTACAAGTACCTGAGGTAGCATATGCATTGTTTCTTGAAAGATAAACGCGATGCTCAGACAGTCCTTGAAAGATCGAAATTGTTTCAGCTCTGAGAATTCAACCGCATCATGACCGACGTGCTGAGCTGCTTCGCGAAATTCTGGTTTCGACAGAATCAGCATCAGATTGTCTGGCAAGGTGCGTCGACATACGTGTACAGACAAATTCGCCAAGGTTGCCTGCGACAAGCTCCTGGCGGTGGTGATACCACACAACGAGGCCCTTCAGGCCATGCATGCGAATAAAATCCTTGTTGGTCGTTCTCGCGGCCCAAACTACGTATCTGGATTAGACAATGGCTTAGAATATCAGCTGTTGACCTACCCAAAGATTTGACCACTGCCTGTCCTGCGCTATCCCAGGGTATTATATGTTGCAAAAACTGAGGCCCACAAGAAGTGGACCATCCTGATGTTCCCACATGACTGTAATAAGAACCAAAAGCTGAAAGAGCAGACGAATAAACATCATTGTGATGTTCGTTGACCCCTTGATGGCCTCCCAAACTACGGAAGTGCTCCAAGAATCCAATCCCATCTGAAACTCCTGCATTGCGTGCGAGCCTTGAAAGGTTTGGAATGTGGGCATGTCAAGGCGGGCGGTCAGGTGGAACATGCGCTCATGGTAGAATTGTTTGATGTACAAGCTCAGAGGGGGTGTTATGCAGGCTTTGGAGTATCTGAGAAAGCGCATAGCAATTGTGCATATAAGATGTGCCACCGCAAATTGTACGAGCAACGTTGTGTCCACAGTACGTGTCTCCATTGCGCTCTCTACCTAGTGCGAGATAAGCTGGCAGTGCAGGTGAAAATAGAAAAGACATTACAAGGCGGAGCAATTGTCCAGAGTACCTGCGCGACGACATTATGAATGTACAATGAAGTCGCCCACATCGTTATGACGTACCACAGGGAAACAGCGGGTATGAGGGAAGCTAAAACTTCTACTACCAGGTATGCAGAGAGAAGCATGGGGCATCGTCTGATGCTGAGTACATCCTTTAACATGCGAACTAGAAACGGCACGCTCTGGATTATCTGCGCATATGCCTCTGATATCGACGAGGTTGGTATGCGTGGCAAAACTGATTGGCGTTCTTCATAGAGATCCCATATACCGACACGAGTGTGCTTGAAACGGCGATCATCCTGGTGGTCGAATTCTCCTGCACGTGGTTTCATTGGTCTCTCTTTCCCGATGGTGGAGGAATAAGTGAGTCGGAGAAGCGTCTACTAGTGGCGCCATTCGTTGGCCAAGCGACGGGCGTCAGGTGAATCCCGAACAGGGGCAGGTTTGGAGCCTGAGTTAGCTAAATTAGAACGTTCTGAACAAGCGATACGTTCAGCAAAATTGAAATTGACTCACCTATATAAGCACTCTTGGAAGGCACACGACGTTGGACTCCAGACACCGTAGCGAGGGCTCGGCGGACTGGCCAGCGCCCAACGAATAATAACAAAAGTTACAAAACGAAAGCTCCTCCTCCATATCGTCAGACATGCTTCGTACTAATATACTATTACGTCGGCATTCTCATCGCGTTACACTTTAGACGCGTGACCAGTCTGACGTACGTCTTTTGGGAGGTTGGAGATTTGCTTGTCCGTGGTTATGAGCCGGACTAGTTGCACTTATTGAAAGGTCAATTCAGAAAACACAAGTACATCAAATCCAAAAGTAGCATTAAGATGGTATAACATGCATAAGCATAAGTAGTGCAAACAAAACAAGAACAACACGACAAAAATCAGGTATCATATCACATCACTGGGTAACATCATAGTTTACAACCATCGAAGTCGGCCACGGGCTCTGCAGCATCTTCTCATTCAAATACGCATAATGCAACACCGGGAGCGCAGCATCCGAGAACCGCGTAAGTTTACCAGACTGTCCAGGTCCACGACGCACATTCTCGAGAGACAACACGGCACGGAGGACTTGAGCCATCATCGTAGATGCTAGTTCATCACCTAGGACACTGAAGCAGCCGTCCTTTGGGAGGTAGCGCTCGCGCGGTGTGCGGGTGGCATCTAGGATGTGGGGGTTGGGGAAGGAGTCTTCCTGTTGGGTTGGGGTGTGTGAGAGAGGTACGGGGGTTCTGGACGGTTCACTTACGTTCATGTTTGCAGCAGCGACGTGCAGGAACAGACGTTGGCCTTGCTTCACGTTCAGCGACTCGATGGTTTCGTCTTGCTTCGCGATACGGTAGGCACCAGCGAACGGTGGGTCGATTCCTGAGTCTTCCATCAGAAAATGAGCGCATGAGCCAGAACGAGACACATACTGAGCGCCTCATTAATGTAAGCAGTCAAACTACCAAGGTCCTTAGCGTTCACTTTCTCAGCCGCCGCGATCGTCACTTCCGAATCATACTCCTTGTGAAGGAGCAAGTTGACAACATTCGTCAAAGCTACAGTTCCATCAGTCCGGTTCATGAACACACAAACAGAAAGAACATACCAAGAGACATCTCGACAGTAGCCCCGACCAACAACGCCAGAATCGAGTTCACGACATGCTCTGTCGAACACCCAAATTCAAACAAGCGCTTCACGATCTCATTATGGTTCTTCTTCTTGCCAAAAAGACTAGACATCGTGCCAATCAGCCCAGCAAACGGCAACTTGCTCCCTGCACTCCCAAGAGCACCCTTGATCAGATGCGTCAGCTCCTGCACATGTTCCTTCACCCTCTGCCTGATCGGCATATAGTATGCTAGATCGACTTCAAGGAAGACGAATCTTCAAAGAACAAATATCAGCGATCATTAGGAAAAGGGAAAAGGTATGTGACGACTAACTGATAAATCTCCCCGAGCATATCAAACAATTGAGACTCGGTGAATACACCATGAGGATGTTGTTTCGTCTTGAGCGGGATACCAGCCTGTAATACGATCACAGATCACAATATATCAACATTCCACATCGTCCTCCAACGTTAATAGACGTACAATTTCCGTAGCAGCCCAATGCAACGGCACGAACTTCAACACATCCCTCACGATGTTGACACCACACGTGTTCTGCCCGATCAACGAGAACGAATGCAGCTCGATGAGCTCCTTCGTCTTGTTGTGGAAATACATCCCGATCGCACTGATGGCTTCTGGAGAAGGAGCAAGCGCACTGATGAATTGCTTCTGCTCTTCAACCCCGTTTGAAGATGCCGTAAAGAACCTATTTATCCTATTCTGTTAGTGCTGATCCAAACCTAAGCATGTCAGGTGTGACGCACCCTTTGCCTTTCAGGACCTCTGACGCGCGTTCGACGTACTCGGGTACGTATTTATCGGTGCTCCGCAACACCTGGCCAACCTCCACGTAACCCTCAACAGTAGTAGCAGGCTCGCTCTGCTTCGGTCTCGCAGCATCGTACCCATCAACCTTGCCAAGGTTCTTCAAGTACCCTTCCATCGAATCGGGGTGTATGAGAGGGAACCATGTGTAGATACTGTCTTTGCTGTAATCGTTGGGCAGCGTGCGGAGGAAGAGACGGCCGAGGGTGGACCCGAACCCGTATGCATCAGGGTCCCGCTGGCAATCAGCGAAACCCCAGGCGGTCAAGTTGTAGGGCGTAAAGTCCTGCGTGTAGAAGCGGTCACCACGCGTTAGGGCAAATGCATCGGAGAGAATGGCACGGGAGATGGTGTACCCTGCAACACGTAAGTATTCACGAGTATGGGTTAAATGAAAGGGTCTTGCCTGGGCAGAGACCTGCGCCCTCAATGAGAGGTTTGGTCTCCTCCGCCTGGAGGCCGACATACAACTCCAAGTTGTCGATGTGACCATAGAGCTTTTCAGCAGCGTCGGCTACTTCACGGTTGGGATTCCATTCCAAGAAACTGGAGTATGCTGCAACGCACTAAGCACCTATGAGATGTTGGAGCTGAACGACTCACTCTTCAAGCCAAGGAACTTCCTAAAGTCATTGAGCGAGCAAACGCCCCATGCTCGGTTAGCCTCGATACCCATGATCTCATGGAGACGCATGACTGCGGGTGTGCCACGAGCACCGAAGCTCGCAGCACGATGGGAGGTCCTGAGATAATACGTTAACTCTAGCACAAGATAAGATATAATGATCACTAACGCGCCCTGGAGCCAACCAGCAAGATCAGAGTCCTTGAATGATCCCTTGTTAGGACCTTCTGTCTCGCGCTGAAGACTGCAAGGAAATATGAGCAGTTGCATCAACTGTAAGTCCCAAGATCACTCACTTCCCGAATGTCCAGCGTTCAAGATCCGGCTCGGATTTCGTGAGCGAAACTTCCTTTGAATAAAAGTCCTTCAAGGTGATATCCTCAGGGGTCTTGTCAGGGAACAGCTCCTTGAGCTGGAGAGTGATCCACTCCTCGTCCTCGACGGAAGTCGTTGCGTGCCATCTGTACAGGCAGTTGAATTCGACACTGCAAGCATTACCACGGCCACGCTCGAAGACAGAGTGGTCTTCATTACGAAGCTCATCGAATGGCTCCAAACTCCAGCTCGACCCTTTTCGAACGAGGCCCAAAATAGCTGAGAAGTAGTCGGAGAAGACTACAGCTGCGAACCATGCACAGTTACATAGACGGGCGATCTGGAAGATCTCTTCGTCTTGCTTGGAGAGTTGAGCATGGCTGACGTGGTGGTGGTGAGCAGGATCCTTCCAGGTACCGCGTTCATTGATTTCAAGTAACCGACGGGCAATGTACTGTGATCGAATAGCTTGAATTAATGATCGTGGAAACATCAGAGGAACATACATTGTGGTTTCTGTTGAACAATACCAAGAGGACACAAACTGGAGGAGGAAGGAGAAGGAGACGATCCTCTGCGAATACATCTGGGTGAAGCAAACCTCGACCGTCCTTGTTCCTGACCTGTAATAGTGATGTAAAATATTGGTAATTCAGCTTCGATGTGGAGCTAACCTTGTTCTGAGTGTCCTGGTCGTTTCCGTACAAGGGTGCAAGATCAACGTAACCCGAAGTCATGTTAATATGTTGCCTGCCGGGAGTATGGTCAGAGCGGAATACACTGTGAATGACGAGTGCTGCAAAGGAAAACATGAGGGCAGATAGACCCTGGGGATGCGGGTTAAACTAGAAATAAAGTTGGGTAAGAGATTGGAGGTGATGTGGTCGAAAACAGATACCTTGTCTCTGCGAAGGAGAGTATCAAAGACGAGACCGGCATCGGGCATTTGGTTGCGTGGCAAGGGGTTTGATCCTTGAACAGACCGTGCATAAGGTGTACCGGCTTTTCCGAGGTTTGGAGCATCAGGGTTATTGCCTGAACCGTCAGCAGCGCGGAACTGATACTCGGGCCCGATGTATGTAGCAGGGGGGTGGGCGAGGTCGTTGTACACTATGACAGAGTTAACGTTCCTGGTTTACTGGCGTGTGAAGCAGCTGCTACTTACGTGTCTTGATGGTGAAAGTACGAGCCAGGCCAGAAATTTTTCCTGAAGGGTGATTGGCCATGAACGACAACAAGTGTTCCAACTTTGCAGGCGACGGTTAGGAAAATCTGTGGTAGGGGTGAATAGACTCACGAGCATCTTGCGATCATCCAGTGCATCTGCATGCTTGATGGCATCAAGAGCCGCGGACTGTAAGCCAAGGTTAAATTGTATGGACACAAGGTGAGATGGACAACTAACAAGGGCAGACTCGTTTATTTCTTCGAGGGGGCGTTTCATCTAAACAAGTGAGTTGTTGAGCGAATATTGTCAAGGGTTAACATACGAGGTCCTTGATGTGTGCCACAGCTTTAGCTGTGCCTGCGTCGCTCGAGGAAGGAGGATCGGCAAGTGAGGTCGGTAATGTTGAACCATTCTATGAGTAGTGAAGGGTTGGTACACTATATAGAAAAGAGAAAACTTACCGCCTGGCTCTTTGAAGAGAAGCGGGTGGAGAGAGTTCTGTTAAGGGACATGGTGGTGATGAACAAGGACCTGAAGCTCGGAATGAGCGTCTGGCATCTTATAGGCGATGACTGGTACCGAGCAGGGCACCGGATATAAGTTCGAGTTTGAACCGAATAGAGTGTGGGTGCGCATCTATCAATCGATCACTAAATTTGTATTACTTCTTTACGGGATTTGACATAAGCGAAGCCGTACCGGCGTTTGCATGATCTGTGCCAGTTCTCCGCGAACTCATTTTAGAGGATGATGGGCTAGAATGGGTATAGTACCGCTCAGCTTTTGTTCGTTGTGCTGGACGATGAGTTCCCCAGGAGGTTTTCATTTGCCTAGGACCCCGAGAACCATGCTTCGACAACGTTCCATTCTGAAGCTTAATGAAGCGCTAGTCGGTCTTGTGATTGTGATCACGGTGGGCGTATTTTTGCATCATGTGAGAACAATATGAATAACTTGGTAGGGCGCGACATCTAGCCTACGTAAGACGCGAGTAAGCACGTGAGTTAACTTTGACCACGTCCGCCATGGACATCTACTACATCAGACAACAATTCACCCTCGGCGCATACCCCGCCATCTTATCACTCCCACTCCCCGATGACTCTTCACCCGACTATATCCCTACCCTTCTCTACAAAGCCCGTGCGCACCTGGCCCTGGGTGACAACACATCAGCACTCGCCCTCCTTCCTACCGACACGGAGAATATCGCACTCCGAGCGGCCGCCGCACTCGCAAGGGGCGAACAAGGCCTAGAAACACTCCGCGACTTATGCGTAGAGATAGAAGGCGATGATGACTCTGAAGAATGGGAGAAAGAAATCGTTCAAGTATTAGCTGCAACCGCATTCGTACGTGCAGGCGAAATAGAGGAAGCCCTCGAAACACTCCGTAGTGAAGACAAAATCGGTGATGAACCGTTAGCGACCTTTTCTTCTTTTTTATCAAACCATTCGACTGATGATGAATCGATATATAGAGCTGCGCTGTTGTCTCAAGTATACCTCTCACTCGCTCGTCCAGCACTCGCCCAAAAGGTACTAGCACCAGTTTTGAAAGCAAACCCAGACGCACTCGTCCTCCAACTCGCGGAATCAGCCATCTCCCTCGTAACAGGCTCGCAAGGCACAAGCGGCAAGTCTTCCTTTTCAAATCTATCGTACTATCACTCAAATATAACAGGCGAACCATACGCACCCGCACTCTCATTCTACAACGAACAAGTAGCAAATCCCTCCATCTCCTCCGCCGCTCTCCTAGTTGGCAGAGCAGTAGTCCGCATCCTCCGCGGCGAACTCTCTCCTGCCCAGAGCGATCTAGAAGAGGCAGAATCGATCCTCTCCCGCGCTAAATGCGAACAAGGCTCGAGCGATATGCTTGCTGCTATGGTCGTTGCTGCTGGCCTGAGTGCCAAAAAGGGCGAGGCTGATCAATTATGGAGGTAAGTCTCTGTCCTCTCTGATGATGAGCGGTCTTAACTGGGACCACGTCAGTCGCTTGTTAAAGCAATACCCTCCCATCCCTTGGTCGCAGATATCGGTGCTAAAGAACTCTTGTTCGATGAATGCGCTTCCAAGTTTGAGGTTCCTCCTAGAGCTGTCGCTGTCGCTTAGAATGAATCGGGTTGTGTATAATCCATGTAATGACAATAACAGCGGTGGAACAGGAATACATCGAGGATGATCGATCGCAGACCCTTTCATAGAGCAGCATTAACGAGCTCTGGATCAACATTCATGATCATGAGTCATTCGGACGTAACATGTCATTCATCCGCTCGTCCATCCTTAAGTTGCTGTCATGTCATGTGAAAATGGGTTGCCTCGCTTCTGCATGCAACCATAAAAATTTGTGCAAGGAAATAATACTGTGATTGATCAAAGACAACATCATGCGCTTATTGTGAATGATTAAAGTAAAAACCGATCCGCCGCAACCAGTCAAAGAACAAGTCCAAGTCCAAGTCCAAGTCCGCACTAGAGATTAGCTTGCTGAACAGGCGGTATCTCCTCTTGCGCCAAAATGCCCGAAATCCGTGTAGCGAGGTCTGAATGCTCCGTCTGGAAGGCATTCTTCAAAAACCACTCCTTGCTCATATAATTCCGAATGCTGCAAGACAAGGTCAGCAGAGGCAAACCAACAATTCAAAAGTAACGACTTGCCCATCTGGAAGGAGCACAACAACGTTCAATCCCTCTGTCCCAGCGACTTTTTGCCCCTGTTCCGTCTTGAGCCAAGCCAAAGCACCACTAAGCGCACTTCCGCTACTCCCACCAACAAGCAGGCCCTCTTTCCTCATAAGACCCTGCACAGCCTTGAACGCATCCTCATCAGACGTCTTCACCCAATGATTCACATTCGCCTCATCCCGAGAAAGAACATCAGGAATAAAATCATACCCTATACCCTCCACGACGTATGGGTTGCCTTCCCCACTGACGTTCAGACTATTGGGCACCGCAAGGATGCTACCGATCTTGAGGAAAAAATGAGTGACAGCTAAAGGGTACGACTATGCATAGCTTACTGGGTCGACACCGACTACGATGCAGTCTGCATTATGCGTCTTCTTGAGTGCACGTGAGACGCCTGTGATGGTGCCGCCTGTACCAGCACCGGCAATGAATGCGTCAACTTTCATTGAGAGGGTCTTGTACGCGTGGATGGAGTTGAGACGACAGAAGCGATGATCTCTGGTCCGGTAGTATACTCATGAGCGAGTGGGTTGTTCACCTATAGTACATCCCAATCAGCCCTCCAAAAAAATACAACTCCATCAAAACAACCTACATTCCGATACTGATCCAATATAATCCCATACTCGATCTCTCGCTGGAGCCTACACGCAACACCTACGATCGTTAAGGAATTCAGCCACGAGGGGTTGAAAAACGCCAATAGAATGCTCTACCTATATGGCTCCTGGGCGAATCCCAAGGCTCTTCGTCAGGCGTACGGATAACCTGTGCCCCAAGCGCCCTCAAGAGCGCCTCTTTCTCCTAAAAACCCCATTTGCATCAGCAAACAACATGTGATCAAACGCAGTTCTCACAAGCGACATTTTCTTAGGCATGGTAATCACGACCGAGTATCCCTTATCTGCAGTATTCAGTAACCATCCAGGCACCTGGGCGTAGCGTGTTTACCTTGATCGCGCACGCCATCGCCAGTCCGATTCCTTCATATCACATCGTATCAAAATCACTCGCGATTCGTAAGGACTCGGGAAGACACTTACCGGTGTTCCCGGACGTAGGTTCGATAACGACGCTCTTCCCGGGAATAAGTTTACCCTCTTTCTCTGCGGCTAGTACCATCGCTTTTGCGATCCTGTCCTTGACGGAACCACCGGCTGAGACAAATTCCAGTTTACCAACTGGGTTGAAATGGGCGTCAGGTTTGCATTCTGATATAGGGCTCCACAGGAAGCGCACGTACGGAGATTACACTTGAGGTCTTGTTCGGCGGCGATCTTGTCGAGCCGGATGAGCGGCGTGTTGCCTACGGCGTCGAGCGCGTTGTCTAGTATACGTCTTGGAGTGAATTCCATGATAGTAGTACTAGGTGGTGATGGTGGTGGTAGTGGTGAAAAAAAAGGTGGGCCGATCGGCCACAGCTAAATGCATGACGACGCTCATATCGCCCATCGTTCCATATGATCGGATCCGAACCGGTTCGGATCTATAACCATTCCAGACTTGGAGTTCATAGCAAAATAGTATATGTACATACTTGCGTTAATCTGCTGCACCCGACTTATAGATATGATACACAGGGTAGCGATAACGATTACACAGGAAGATGCTCAAACATACGACTTCCTCGTCCTATTCTTCAGGCGATCTTCATCCAAAGGCCATCTCCTCCCCATCCACGTTGCCAACTCTGTATGCTCTCTGTACAAATCATTTATATTCGGGTGGACGAGGACGCTTTGAAATGCGTGTTAGCAAATTTTAAAAACAATCGAGATACTATTATAAATATTTGATGTGACACGTACTCGCAAGGCCCCCGATGCATGACAAGCCAGGAAAAGAACGCTCCGGTCTGGTGCGGGGTGAACGTATTTACCTCGAACATGCCGGTAGGATGGGGCCCTGGGATGGAAAAGGGTGAGTACCGCGCTGCGGTGCTGTTGCTTTTATAGGATAAGCGGATACGCACCGACTGCTTCATCGAAGAACTTGTAGATGCGCAGCTACCTCACGAGGAACATTAATGAACAAATGACTACTGGACAACGACCCCACCTCTGGAAACTCTCTCCTTATACGCTCATATAGTTCTCTCGCATACTGCGCCTGAGCAGGTACAGAGGGCATGTGGAAAACTAAACATTCGATTATGAAATCGAAGCATTAATCACATGGGGCACACTCACTGTGGAAGTCGAAGCCATTCTGAGTCGGATCAATTTCTTTCGGGAATTCGTCGTAGGCGGCCGAGCGGGGACCAGGTGGGTTGTACAGGGATTTTCCGTCGGGGTTGAGAGTGGTTGGAAGAGGTTCTGCACCTTCATACCCTTCTAGAAGAGACGGCCATTGGCTCATGTTTGTCGTGGGATAGGGTCTTACGAATGAAGAGGCTCAGACTAGGAAAAGGAAAGGGACTTAGTCTTGGATCAAAAGACTGGAATATCTGCTATGAATCATACCTAGAAGGGAGAAGGATTAAGTAGGGTGAAAGTGTACGTAGAACCATGAATGAGAGCGCTCACCTCAGTCTTGGATCAAGAGACTGAGGGGGATCATTAGTGCGAGGGGGGGAGGCATTAATACGCTGATTGAGACGGAGAATCAAAGTCGAGCATGTGTGAGGTGTACATAACGAGGAGTAAGTACGTACGAGGGTGATGGCCGATGTCCAGAGTCAGCCAAGACTCGGAGGTTGCCAAAAGATCAGAATTCTGCGTAATATTATATAAGCTTTTAAACCTTAATACATAGCCAATTGAACTTACCAGCAGACCAGTTCTGAGTTCCTCGATAGCGACATCTGAAATTAATTCGCTGAGCGGCGAGGGGTCATTTTCAAATGCTGTAGAAGTGGACCATGCAATGGTAGTACTAGTAATGAATATGAATCACGTGACATCAGCCTTGCGTCGCGCCTCAGTCTGGATTTTCTTAGCTTATATCCTTTGCCCTATATCTGAGGGAATTTTATAGAGAAGATCTCCGCACACAACCATTCAAAGATGAGCGAGTATCGACGACGTTCTCCTTTGTGACTAGGGTGCAGTTCCATGAAATCCGAAGGCCTTGGAACAACTAGATGAATGTGAGTTTACTATCGCTATTTCTCACTCTTGAACTACACGAGCTGCGTAGCCCAGCACTACGCCCTGTTCCCATTAACTCTCAGTCAAATCCTACGATACGTGATCACTGAGCTGCACCTGACTCTCAGCGCTGGAAAATGGAATTATGACAACTTGGGGCATCCTCATGAAGCTGGGGTTGGCACTGGAGCTGAGCTATGGCAGAGTGGATGAACAATGGTCTGGTCTTCGAAACGCACTTTCAGGGCTCTTTGCGCTTCTCTTCTCTTGGGTCGCTAGGTTACAGCCGAACATTATCACCGACGGTCGCCTTCCCTTTATCAGGGTCTACCCCTATTTTTGCCCCACACGAACTTCGGCACGCCTCACTTCCTTGAGAGAACGTTCGCACGGTGAATCTAACGCCCTTCTTGAAGCTACTTCCGTGCAAGAGCCATGCAGGGCTTGCTGCACTTCTCAATCCTGTTTGATGCGGACTGGCATGGCATGGGGATTCACGTGATATGGAAGGAAGACACTGGTGTGGAATTAAAATTCACCTTGCAAGTGGTACCCAATCCGGTGCGAACAAGCGCAAGGAAGAGACGAGGTGAGCCAGTAACCGATTTATGATATAACCCTCGCTGATAATGTTGACAGACTGGAATCTTCAATCACTGTTTGGTCGCTTCATTGCACGATCATGCCCAGTAACGAGCTTCAGTTCTATCACTGATGTTCTACCAGAAGAGAAAGATCACCAAATCACCCCTGAAAATCTCACTCGTGTCGATGGTTTAACTATTTATGACTTATCCTCCTGTGCGTTATACAGGTATTTCCCTGCAATAGTTTTGAACCAATAACGTGTCAAAGCATCTAATTCCATCCAACATTGCCATGTACTGACCGAGTGAGCAAAGCTTCTTCCAGTATCCTAAGTCCCTCTCTGTCTGTGCAACTGGCTCACTGACGATTCATCAACGCAGTACTGCCGCTATTAATACTGGTCACCCTGCTCAGCGTGAAACGAACAATTCGTGGTGCAACGCAAACACGAGGCGTTCTATCTGTTTCTGCGGCTAACAATTCTCCTCAGGAGATATCAGCAGGTTATCTGGAGATAATCCCTGCACTCCTCACGCTGTAGATGCACACTCTGAAAGTCGAAATCAACTCACAGATACGGAGTATGACTTACGGCCATAAGAAGATTGTCTTTGCTGATTATCTTGTATTTGGGGGACTTACTTTCAGGACTAAAGTTTCATCCACCTTTGCCACAACCTAATGACCGCATCTCTCCCTCAATGTTACAAGTTGTCCTCACAATTCCACCAAAGATAACGCTCAAAATTTCCATGGAGGTCAACAAAGCTTTTCTGAAATACACCGAATGTCCACCCGATGTGATGAGAGGCTGGGATCTACCAGGGGCCGTGTTTTTCCCGCTCCCTCAATCGTCTCACGACACCTCTTCGAATTGTGGTTGGGAGAGAATTTATAACAACACTCCTTGTCGACCTCCCCACCCCAGATTTCAGCATGCCCTATAACGTCATTTTCCTCAGTTGTATGACATTGATTTTCGAAAGCATCCTTAATTTGCTGACGCGCAAGTGGGTCGTGGCAGAGATTCAAGAATAGTTGGGGTCAATGTAATCCCATCGTACTAATTTAGTGCTCTCGTGCAACCCGCTGTCCTTTTCTGAGTCACTCGATGTCTCGGCCCTTGCACACGCCTGTCGACGAAATTGATCCATATATATGTTCCGGCGGCATCTGTCCAAGTGCCTGCAGTTCTCGACTGGCCATAATATGTCCCACCACCAGGGTCATCCGCCGGAAGGGAGTATGGTCTGAGTCGCGCGACGGTTTGCCCGCGGTAATAATAATAGTTCATTCCGAAAATTACTGGGTTTGAGATTGGCTGAGCATCTTGTGTATATGATAGAGCCATAAGCGAGCGGATCGCGTTGCGTGCTCACAACGTCTTCATTTCCAACGTCCCCGCGAGCATGATTGTCACTGGCTTATCGTTGGGGACCCTTTCAATATTAGCGTGTTCGGTGGCTGCACTGCGCGCATTGCAACTCTTCTTGGATTTCCGTCGACTATTGGCAAGCATTCAGTGAGTTGATCAGCTTTATCGAATTACTTACACAAAACTAATTATACTGCACAGTCATCTTCCAGGATACAGAACAATTCTTGAATCCTCAACCGTACTCGGAAACCTATTTCCCCGGACCCCCTTGTTGACCTTAGGTCATGATCATTCTTGGCTGTCGAAGCATAGCCGTACGTCGAACATTTTTCATGCTGATTCATTTTCCCTAGTTAACGTAAATGTCGGAAGCCTTTGCGGAGAGGGGCCTCGATATAATTTCCACTGTAAGTTGCTTGTAACACTGTGGTGCATCAGAAGTCAATGGTTTCAGGCGGCATGCTGGCCGAAAGTAATGGGATCGCTGTTGATAGCAGACGCCAATGTGATTAAGGTATGTCCGCCTATGTCGGCCATGAAAGACTGATAAATTGATTATTTGTATCAAAGGACATTGTTTGGTCTCGCGGAGGACGCTTCCCGAAACCTCTTGGCAGGTACGCCATATTAAACTTCTTCGGCGAAAACATTGTTGCTTCCGAAGGCAACGAATGGAAGCGTTACCGCAAAATCGTCGCACCTGCGTTTTCAGAGGTTAGTAACTGATGTCCATGCCTACAATAGAGCTTCCTAACTTGTAACTTGAAGAGGAACAACAGATTGGTTTGGGATACAACGACACAGATAATGCTCGACCTTTTTGATATAATGTGGGCTGGACAAGAAGAAGTGGTTGTCAATCACTCCGTAGATTTGACTTTGCCGGTGAGAGCTCTTAATGCCACCTCCGCGCTTCATTGATTCCATTCGGATCACTAGATTGCCCTGTTCGTGATCGGGGCTGCAGGTGAGCATGATCGGCGTCATCAATAAGTAGCTGTCATATAGCGAATTCATTATAGGCTTCGGTCGTCCTATATCCTGGAAAGATGACGCTGTGGTCCCACTAGGACACCAGCTGACTTTCAAAGATGCCCTCCACACAGTGACACAGGAGCTCACCCTTAAATTGTTGGTACCGAGATGGGCCATGGGACTCACTAAACGTTTTAGGCGTGCAAGGCTTGCCTTCGATGAATTGCATGTCTGTACCATAATTATGGCTCACCACTTGACATGTTTAATGACCCTCTTTTGCAGCAATACCTTACAGAGATGATTCATGAACGACGGGGATCTCAGCACGAAGGAAATAATAACGACCTATTATCTAGTTTGTTGTCAGCAAATGACGATGATAATTTGTCAAAGGGTGAAGTAAAGCTAAGCAACAGCGAATTAATTGGTAAGCTACAATTTCAGACTCTATAACAGAACATGGCATGTTACATTGTCCAACAGGCAATATCTTCATATTTTTGGTCGCAGGACACGAGGTATTACATCCCTTTCACACTTTTGCCTCACGCTGACGACTCACAGACGACAGCCCATACATTGTCTTTTGCATTCGCACTATTGGCTTTACATCCCGATAAGCAAGAAGAAATGTACCAACACATCAAGCGCGTACTGCCTGATGGAAGAATTCCTGTATGGACCCCTGAATTACAGACAGCTATACAGCCAGGCTCATAATTATTTTGACAGACTTATGATGATATGCCGTCATTGGCCTACTCTTCTGCGTCAGTTTGCCTCTAAATCGACCAGGGTTATGGACTAACATCGTGACAGCGTGTTCAACGAAGCACTGCGGATGTTTCCCCCTGTATGTTGGTGGAGCAAATATCTCTGAGCGATTTTGTTAACTTCAGGTGTAGGCTTGCGGTGTGCCAAAGACAAGTGCCGAAGACACGACCTTCACCCTCACAGATGCGAACGGGACGCTGAAAACAGTTGTTGTGCCTAAGGGATTGGGTCTCACACTGGACGTGCCTGGGCTTCACTACAACCGTAAGATACTTGCCAGATGCAAAGAGATGCAATGACGACCTGGCGCATAATTGCAGCTAAGTACTGGGAAGATCCATTCGCGTTTAAACCCGAACGATTCTTGGGTGACTGGAACCGAGATGCATTCCTCGCCTTCAGTGGTGGTAAGTGTCTATACATCTTGCTAAGAACGAACTTGACGACGCTCATACCATAAAGGTTATAGAGGGTGTGTAGGAAGAAAGTAAGCATATTGTCATTATTCTTCGTCATCTATTTGAATTTGCTTAGGTTCTCGGAAACCGAGGGAGCAGCTGTTCTCACCATTTTAATTTCGCAATACACTATTTCGATCAAGGATGAGCCGCAATTTGCTGGCGAAACGTATGAGCAGCGCAAGGCGAGAGTACTTGACGCACAAAGTACACTTACTCTGGCGTACGTTGAACTTCTGCTCCTGTAAGATGAGATGTTGATGGCTGTTTAGACCAACCCGCCTTCCCCTGGTGTTCAGGAGGAGGACTTGAAGAGAAGACTTGGGAATGATAGTATACACCAATTTGGACATGCGTGCAAGTACAATATACATTTGGCTTGGCTTTGACTCTATAAGTATCTTGTGACTACATTAGATGTTCAGTTTGACATCTCCAAGATGATTCTCCCCGCTACTTTGCATTGTTTGAGTGCGTCATATGCCCTGTGAATCATGTCAGCCATGTGTCCTTACCACCACAAACTACTACTCACTCCTTGAGCTCGGAGAGACCCTTGCACTCACACCTCGCTAACACCCTACCTCTTGATGCAATCTCCAGAGCCTCGATGGCATGATGCCGCGGTCCAGTTCGGCTTTTTCTGGTCCGAACGCGAACTAGACACGAAAATTTGCAGTAGCAAGCACTAGAACGAGCACCAGAAAACATTGACGAAGTGCTAGTCTACACATTGAGTAGCTAGTCTACTAACATAGCTGCATACTCCTCTGCCTCTTTAACTACTAAACATGTCCATTCCGGTAGGCTCCCTTCATTAACGAGGCAACAGCACTGCCTGAAGTCGGTAAATAGTCGTGTGAATACGAGCCAGCGTCAGATACTGTAGCAAGTGTAGCTAATGAATAATGTCAGTTGAGAATGCAGTATCTCTTCAACTACGACGTAGTACGAGTAGGGCTAAGACACTCCTCATACAATGGCCATCTCCTTCCAATCCATGTCGCCAACTCTGTGTGATCTCTGAGTGCATTGCCAGTGTTCGGGTGGACGAGTACGCTTTGAAACGCGCAGCTGAGTTAACAAGCTAACGTGAAATACTATAAATATGACACTTACTCGCAAGGGCCCCGATGGACGACAAGCCAGGAAAAGAATGCTCCAGTCTGGTGGGGGTTAAATGTATTTACCTCAAACATGGCGGTAGGATGGGGGCCTTAAAAGAATAAGGGTGAGTATCACGTTGTGTTACATCGACGGGATAAGCGGATGCGCACCGACTGGTTTATCCCAGAGCCTATATATCCGCAACTACGTCGCGAGAAATGAATAATCAGCTATTGGATGATGCAGGAGAAAGAACTTACCTCTGGAAACTCCCTCCTTACACGCTCGTGTAGTTCTTTCGCATACTGCGCCTGAGCAGCGACAGCAGGCATGTAATAAACTAGCATCCGTGGTGAAATCGATGCAATATCAACGTGTGTGATAGGTTCACTCACCGTGGAAGTCAAAACCATTCTTAGACGGATTAAATTGCTTCGGGAATTCGTCGTAGGTAGCCGAGCGGGGACCAGGTGGGTTGTACAGAGATTTTCCGTCAGGATTGATAGTAGTTGGAAGAGGTTCTGCATCTTCATACCCTGTTAGAAGAGATGGCCACTGACTCATGTTTACTGTAGGACAGGGGGTGGCGGTTTCTGTGAGATCGGTTTGGCGTTACAAGGAAACGACGAGAGTAGAATCGACTCGGGGAGACCTTATAGGATTGGAGTAAACAGAGAAGTTCCGGTACGGACGGACAGATTCAGCTTTGGAGGTACGTACCTATGTCCTGGAGCATTAGTAAGGCTCTTCAAAAATATAATTTACATTTGTCACCAATTGCCCATGATCACTCAGCGCTCAGCAAGGAAGTTCGTTCTACTGCGGAATGTTAATAATAATAGGGCACTACACACTTGAGGCCCGCTATCAGCACTAGTACTTCCCGCTATCTCGGGCAGTAACTGTTGGGTGTTGATGCAAGAAGAACATGATCATGAGATAGAAAAACATAATGTCATTGAGAAGAGCGACATTGCTGTGTGTAGGAGGCGAACTTGAAGCAGTTGACAACATGAGAATCTGTTCGAAGACCTCAAACATGCGGCACTTGTATACATTGAAGATATATCGCAGATAGTCGGTTCCGAAGAGACTGATTCAGATCTGCACAGTGCTGGTTGATCAGTCGACCTGATACACCAGGATATATCTCACATGATGTAATCCCAGAGTATAACCGCAGATGGCAAATTGAAGAAATTGAACTTGTTACGTAACTTGGCAAGTATTAGAGGGTGGAGAACCTGAGAGTGATTGGAGAGAAGCTTCGTGTGTACGGACGTTGGCGCGAGCGTTGCTACGTCCCAGAGCTGCTCTTACGACTCGCCTCCTCACAGTTGAATGTTGAATGTTGAATATTGAAGTGAAAACTCTCCAGCTTGCACTTGCGAGCTGTTTCCCCGCTCACATGGTCGGACATACCGATCCATATGCGCTGCCAAATCTGTGGGGACGAATTTATCGCTGAACAAGCTACTGGCTCAAGTATGTGTAGCACCGAAAGATGATAAATACGAAGCAGTGCAAAGGCCGTGAGAAGGGCGGATTCGGAATCATTAATCAAGCTCAAATTCGGGGAAAGGTGTGCCACGGGCCACGACCATAATGTATCCAAGTCTAAACTGTGCTGTCAGGTTTCAACGACCTCGCACAGAAACTATTCGCGCAGCAGCAATTATTTTTCATCCATCATCCATCATATACATATCTATGACACCGTCAGTGCTTGACTTTGTTTTCAACCAGGAAGATATTCAACGAAGCTGAGCACAAGTCTAGTGCTGCACTAGACTTCAGCTGGAATAATGCCCTCGACGACAAGTTCACAACGCTTGTCATGTCGCGTCGCATGCTCATTAATGTGTATACCCTTTGGATGCACGATCATGATGACGCTCCACCTCTCTGCCGATCCCACGCCCGACTAAACACTAAACACGGATCTGGACAGTATCGAATGACTACCACAATAAAGCATAAACCAAAGTAGCTATCATTTGCACTGCAATCGAACAAGGTGCGGTTGATTCATCCGGTTTCGATGCGAGCCTCCCCCCAGCTACACCACCCCATGTTCTCTGTAGACCTTCGACCTTGAATCGTCTCAGAAATCTAACAGGAAGCGAAAGATGGTTGTGGATGCACACTCGCAGGGCGAACATAGAAGCTTACAAAACGACAGAAGAAAGCAGAGTTGAGGGCGCTGACCCACCAACAACTAAACACGGTAACAAGAAAGAGATAGGCAGCACACACACCCACGGCGTTCCCGAGTCATAGTTTTGAGACTGCGCACCCTCTACCGCAGTAATCCTTGAATCCTATCAGCGGTTTGTGCCTCCTCGCGCATATTCTTCTGTGCAAAGTGGGTATAAGTATTCGCTTTCGGCAGTCTCTCGTTAGAGCTTTGGGCTTGGGTACTAGTTTTGGAGGTGGTGAGTTTATGGAGGTCTGCTAGCAAACATTCTGGTTTGACGTCGCTCTCGAACATGATGAGACTCTGTTCATGTAAAGTTGAACAAGGCGCCGTAGTTTGGTCGTCAAATCTTTGGCGTTGTAATGAGAGCGGACAATCTCGTCGTCGCTTGAGCCATGAATTACTGTAGTAGAAAGCTACCCACTCCCATTCTCAGTAGTCATCGTCAACATAGAAATTGGAGAGTCTGCACCACAAACTGGCCATGGCCACAACGTCTCACCATTGTTGACATACTCTAGCCAACAGCACGAGAATACGGCTTTGATCTGCGGCTCAAATGATCGTCTAGGAGATGGTAGTAAAAAAGTTAGAGGTTCGGATAAGATTTCAGTTGGCAAGTGCGAGACAGTCGGTGCAAGTCCCTTCGACTCAATAATTTCGTCCTTCTTTTCCACGAGCCGCTGGCTGAGATGTTCCCTATCCATGACGGTATCCGCGAGGTCCAATATCTCGTAGAAGATCATCGGTTCATGACAAAGTGGTCAAGATTTGGCAACCTGCAATAAGTGACTCACGGGGTGTCAAGGTCTGGAATCTGGACATTGTCAATAAGGCATCATATCATGTCTGAATAGACAGCGAATAGACAAATCGGTGACCACTTGTGAATGCATCAGCTAAGACGGAAGACAAGCCGTGATATATCTCTGGTATATTACATGAATGAATAATACCAAGTTTCTGTAAGACTGATGACAAAAAGGAAAGAGGATCTTCGTACCAGAGGACGCTCCGAATCCAAGTATGTCTTCAACTCGAACAAGTAGAGTCATACAAGACATCCCTCATACAACGGCCAACTCCTTCCAATCCACGTTGTCAACTCTGTGTGATCTCTGAGTGCGTCGCCAGTGTTCGGGTGGACGAGGACGCTGAAACGTGTACGTTAATAAGCTAACGTGAAACACTATAAATATGACGTACTCGCAAGGGCCCCGATGGACAACAAGCCAAGAAAAGAATGCTCCGGTCTGGTGGGGATTGAATGTATCTACCTGGAACGTGGTGGTAGGGTGGGGACCTTTGAAAATAAGGGTGAGTATCACGCTGTGCTGAATCGATGGGACAATCGGATGCGCACCGGCTGGTCCATCCCAGAACTCATGTATACGTAACTACGTCACAAGGAATAAATAATCGGCTACTGGATGATGCAAGAGAAAGAGCTTACCTCTGGAAACTCCCTCCTTACACGCTCGTGCAGTTCTTTCGCATACTGCGCCTGAGCAGCGACGGCGGGCATGTGATAAACTAGCATCCATGGTCAAATCGAAACGGCAATAGCATGTAATAGACTCACTTACTGTGGAAGTCGAAGCCATTCTTAGATGGATCAAATTGCTTCGGAAATTCGTCGTAGGCAGCCGAGCGGAGACCAGGTGGGTTGTAAAGAGATTTTCCATCGGGATTGAAGGTGGTTGGAAGAGGATCTGCACCTTCATACCCTACTAGAAGAGATGGCCACTGACTCATGTTTACTGTAAGGTGGGGCTTTTGGTGTCGTTACGAGGACGATAACGACAACTTGAAGGATAGTCGACTCGAAAAGACCTTATATTGGAGTAAATGATTGGAGTATGGAGTCTGTGTAATGATTAGTTTAGTGGGGCATAACAATTTATATTGCTGATCAAGTCAGCTGCTGCAAGGGGTGGTGAGTATCATCGTCATCAAAGCATAGGCACTATTTCCTTTCCATCACATCACCAAAAGGGTAACATCGTCATGCGAAGTAAACCTGCGAACTGCAAAACAAACAGTCCAGTCACTGGCGGTCACGACGTGACGACGTGACCGTCTGAACTCAGCCCGATCCATCGAGTGTCCAGCCATCCTCCAGCTCTCCATTGACCTGCCAAATGCTCTCGCCATCAACCACTGACCCACTCTGACCCACTGAAAGAATGACATGGGAAAAGGCAAGAACGAAACAGGGACCAGAGAAAGACGAAACACGGCCTGATGGCACGCGCTCTGTGGCATCTCCTGTGAAGCAGCGACGCTGTCAATGCCAACGCTAACGAAAATAATGAGACTTACACATGGCATCTCGCAGGTCCAGGCTCCCTAACTGAGAGGTTGGGAGACGAGGATTAGGATATGGGTGGGGCATAAGGGTGTGAATGGGAGAATGTCAAGGCTGCTGAGAGTGGGAGAGAAACAGTGGGTGAGGGAATCAAACTGTGTGCTTCCCCAGCCCATTAAATATCCCCTGGCCTGTTTGCAACACAGATGCACCTTTGCTGCCCAATATGGAATTGTTGGTACTGCCTTGAGCAGGTGGTATGTGAGTTGTGAGGGCCTTTGATCATGGTGTTGGCTGTAACACTTATGGCTGTGTAGTTTCACATCCCACCGGAGATCTTCTATGGCATGGACATGGTGATCACTTGCAGATATCGAGGTGTGACTGGTGGCAAGCCATATGGACTAGACTGTTTTTTTCTGCAAAGGAAGCCACTGGTGAGCAAGCATATTCCTCAGCTAAAGTCGATGGTTTCATGCTTGTCTGACACCATTGACTAGAAAAAAAACGGTCCCAATGAGCACTTAGATGGTACTTTTGTGCACCTAGACAGTCCAGTGTTCACTTCATGACTTAGGTATCTTGTTCTGTTGTCCCATACAACAAAGTTTGCTGCTGATTACATCACTATTACATAGGGGCCTGGTCAATATAAGGCTCAGTCTTGTCTGTCCTTACCCACCACCACCATCCCACATGCCACTTGACCGTGAAACATATCCTGGGCTTTACAATGCCCTTGCAACACCAGACACAGTGCTTGAGCTGGATGATGTTGCTGATGATGTTGCTGCAGAGCAGGAAACTCTCACAGTCTGAGTTGCCTGAAGTTGCAGCTGATAACAGCACCAGTGTTACAGATGGGCTCTTGTCCCTTCAAGAGACTCTAAAACACATGTCAAAAGGAATCTCAGATAGCACTGAGTCTGAGTATAAAAGGTGTGCAGTCTGTTCTCATTGATCTATGCAGCCCCTTCACTGAAAATTGCAGATGAATCTTGAACTGCGACACCTTCCTGAGGGAGCATGGCCTCCTTCAGGATGGTGAGTCCCTGTTTTCTCATTCACCCTGCTGAGAAGCAGCTTACCTCATTGTGGCGTGGATCATGGATGCATAAGTCCTACACCTCCCACTTCTTTTTTTGCTTTTCACATGCTCTCAGTACCAGATGTGACTCCATGAAACTTGATGGGATGAATAAGCCATCCACCTGATGAGAGAGGATCATATGGCCATGCCCAGAAGATGCGGGCAGCAATGACATATGCGTTTGGGCATCTGCAGGGTCTAGGCAATCTGCATGTGCATGAATCAGAGTTGTGTAGCAGCCAGATGTTAGGTAACCCCTCAGTGTCAGTTGAGGTGTCTAGTTACATGTGCAGCTTGTGGTGCCGCAAGGTAAGATTACTCACTAATGCTAAGAATGTACTTGACATGTCTGCTTGCTACTCAACAGGTTCAGGCAGGCAAGGTTGCAATCAGTGCTCGTGCTATCATGTCTGTCAGTACTTTCCCTCTGTATAGCTACTCCACTGATTATTGCTGGCCCACAGCATATTCTGAAAAGAATGTATCACTTTAACCATTGCCCTGATAACTGGGCTATCCTTGATTACCTGGCCTGGAGGACGTAGTGATGGCTCTAGTGAGTCATCGCAGTGGGCTGGTGGACACATCAGGCGTTGCTTGCATGCTGCTTACACAATAGCATTTCTTTGTATGTTATGCTCTGATGAAGTCCTGAAAATACAGCTTCATGACCTTCATTTCTTTTCTAATGGTCTTATTCTGATGCTTCCATTCAGGAAAACACACCAAAATGGTGGTGCGGAATAGTTTCTTGGCCTGGATTCAACACACTAACAACAATTCAGATATCAAACCTTTTTGGCTGTGGATCATGCCCACAGAAGAGCACCTATGTGCCATTCAAGCTATTGCTGAGTGGATCGCAGCCTCTAAAATTCTGACTGGTTATTTATTCTGAAAGTTTGCTTTGGGTGATTGAATTGCAGAAGCCAACCAGCCTTTGGTAAGCCCCTTTCTGGATGGAATACATCATGAATCTCATCAAATCACACGATTTAGACATCCGAACAATTTTTAGAGTTGTTCTGCAACAATCTCCTGGATATTGGGGTGGATCCCTCATCATATGGTACACATTCATTTCAGCATGGGGGCTGCCAGTATCTGCACATTGAACGCTGGTGGCTGCTGCATCACATATGTGAATGGGGAGGCTGGAGCCTCAAGTTTACTAACTTAATGATTGTCAAATATCTCATCTCACACAACAATGATGCCACAGAGCCTCATGAGCATTTTTTCAACCCTGACTGCAGCCCATCTGTCAAGTGCCCACATTGTGGAAGGTCATGCCCATGTGCTTGATACTGTTACCTTGTACTACCTTACATCAATTTAATGATGACCATGCTTTGATTATGCAATATAGTGTGAAAGTTTTAAGTGCTAGCCTAACCTTTGACTTATCAAGGCATCACCCATGGCACATTCCAAGACATGACTGAGCATCATTTACAAAAACTCAAATGAGTACCAGATTGATTCAACATGGGTTGCAGTTTGGGAACTATGGGACAAAGCAAGGGGAAAAGTACAAGTATACCTACTGGAGTTTCTTTAACTGCCAATAGTGGCAGACAATTGCTGACTTGTTTCTCATAACATGAACCTCATCTCCCTTGTGATATGAGAATAGTGAGTCAAATGCATCCCCAAACTCTTTGCGGACCCGTGTAACCATGTCGTCATTGCTGATATTGCACTGTCTGTGAAGTTCGTCGACAATCCTTGTGAACTTCATTGCATGGCCATTGACTGAAGATTCCTTCCAGAAGTCTTCTGGTGTGCTTTGACAGTATCAAGAGACAATATCCTGCAAGAGTGAGTGAGTTGACTATACTAGCAAATGCATTCACTTACCCTCCAACCCATCCATTGACTTTTAGTTCCCTGCCACTGGCCATATTTGCCATAACGGTAAACATATGGCCAGTATACTATTGGAATAGGGTGTCCTTTAATCATTAGCACTGATTCTTTCCCCCAGTAAGGACTGGTATCATCCCACATGGCATTGAGATGTGGGATATCCTGCTTGAATGTGACGGCAACAGGATCTGGCATGTCGCTAACCACAAAGCTTACTTCAGTCCCATCTCCTAGCTTGAGGTGACGTGTTTCATCCACTGCATGGGCTATGGACTCACTATCAGAGGAAGGTGCCATGAGACTCTTGGAATCCAAATCAATATTACAGCTGTCAGCTGTATTTGTTGCATCTAGTCGGGCAATTATCCCAGCACTAACTTTTTGTGCGATCTGAAAAACCATGGTTCAGATGGTGACAAATGACTGAGTGAGTGCCCACCTCTGATGTGATGGAGGAAATTGTGCTCTTGGTCTGCCATTGAGGTAGGAATACCCCACTTCTCCTAGGCCTAGCTGACATTGGCTCACTGGTGGTTACCTCAGACTCAGGCCTGTACAGGTGCTTTGTGATGATGGTGTGTGCCTGCCAGTGACCATTATTGTAAGTATGATCAAGTCATTAACTCATGGCATTGATGACTTACCCATGGAAGGATCTCATCAATCTCTTGTGGAGTGCATAAATCCTTCGAATGCTCGACTGCATTGCGTTCATCATGGACTGCACTGGCATCCCTATCCCCATGGAGTTTTGCAAGATGCTGCACCGATAGTTTCAGATGGCTTGATTTTTTCTTACCCCCTCCAGTGACAGTGTGACTGCCCTTGTGTGGCCAATGCATGCCTGGACAAAGCCTTGTAGTAATTTATGCGATAGTCAGGTTCCCTCAGCAAATGAATATATATTTTATCAGACTCACCTGTCCCACTGGCCTTGGTCCTTACTGAATTCCTCCAGCTGAGATTGGAGGAGGCTTTTATTGGCACAGACCTTGAGACTGAACATGTGGCAGTAGTGTTTGAGAGTCTTCACCGTCATGCTCAAACTAGTATTACCATGTTGAGTTTGAACCTCCAAAGTAAGAAAACCAACTTACATGGACAATAATTCTACTTGTGGTTGCCCACTACTAGTGTCAAAGCCTACAGGAAAGGGCAAGGTTGTGGTCTCCATCATGAAATGATGGCGTAAGACAAACAGTGTCTGAAAAATTTCGTGAGTTCAAATGCTATCATTGAATTAATGAATTACATACATGATGAGCAAATAGTGGATAGGGGCCTCTATCCATCCTTAAGCTTGCCTGTCATGGGAATCAATGATCTCTGGACAGTATATACATTCACCTTGCTACTGGTTTTTTGTATTCTGAGAGCTATTTTTATTCAGGCTGTTGCTCCAGCTGGAGACAAGCACTCACTGCTTGAATATGCCACTTCCTGGATTGTTGCTCAGAAACAAGATCCTTCATCAATTGAAGGGCCCGAAAACAACAGGCTTCGGCTGGGTGTTGATGGAAAGTGAGCATTCTCAATGATTGAGTCTTCAAAGTCCAAACTCACATAATATGATGCAAGTCTTTGGATGGCTGAGAGCCAACATATCCCTTACCGAGGTCATGCTCAAGCCGGAGCAAATGCTGAGTTAAAGTCACTGTTTTGAAAATTAGCTCATCTGTACTGCATTCCAAGTGAGGTCATTGTCATCTTTGATGGACCAGCCAAGCCCACTATCAAGAGAGGCACGCACATCATGAAAACTCCGCCATGGTTGACAGAACCATTCAAGCACTTTGCACAGACATTGGGATTTGCCGTCCATGATGTGAGTCATTCTCAAAGCTGCTTTAGATAATTATCTACTGTTACTACTAATCTTTCAAGGCTGCTGGTGAGGCTGAGGCAGAACTTGCTGCACTTAGTTGCAGTGGTGTTATCGATGCGGTCATCACTGAGGATAGTGATGCACTGGTATTTGGGGCTTCACATGTCTTCAGGAGGTAATTCTAACACCATCACTATTCTCAAACATCTTATGCAGTGCTACAGTGATCCAAGTTGCTCTGACAACATTATTATCTACTCTGCTGACAATATTCAGCAACATGGAGAGGTAATGCTCTCTAATGGCGGCCTTCTGCTTATGGCTCTGTTGTGTGGTGGTGACTACCATGTAAGTTTAGAACCTGCTCGATTATTTGCAGTTGATTTTAGCATACCTTACTCCCAGGATGGACTTCCAGGCTGTGGGTGGAGAATGGCACGTGGATTGGCACAATATGGTATTGGTGACTGATCTCCTTCAAGAGGCTCAGGCCCATTCACTCACATCAAACCATGAAGGACTGAAGGACTATATCTGTGGCTGGTCCTGTCACCTGCAAGAAATCCTTGTCAAGGATCCACTTGGCCACATTGGCTGGCATCACCCCAGGTTTTTGAACAATGTTCCTGACAATTTTCCTGATGTATCAGTTGTACTGGCATATGTCAAACCCCCGACCTCTGCACAGCCAGTCAGTCATGATTTCATCCACTCAAAGGTCTTGGACTTAGAGAATCTCGCATACCTGTGTGAGTTCCACTTTTGCTGGTCAAAATACACACTCCCAGGCCCAGTAAGAGATGCAGAGAGTATGGGGACTATGTGGAAGTTGCAGGACTACATTTGGCCTGGAATCTGTATCCATGTGCTTCTAGAGGTGAGCTGGCCAGTGCGTATTTACTGTCACACTACCCCATTCTGATATTATGCTAGACTGAGCCAGAGTCCATCATCCAAATCCACTCTGAACAAGACGCACCATCCTCGCATGCCTTAAAACAGTACTGGGTCAAGGTCAAGTCACGCACACTCATCACTGCTGCAAAGAAAGGTGTGATGCAAGTCCAGCACATGGCAGAGTGGACACCCGCTGAGTCTGCCACCATTATCAACTCACAGTCTGACATGTTGGTGGATTTGGCAAGCCAGGTTTGGGTGCCTGTACCATTGGTGGAAGATTATCTTCCAGCACTCATTCATGCATTCAGAAGCAGAGGTGGCAAGAGGTGGCGACTGGGTGCATCCACTGCAGTGGCATCCTGTGATCATCAGGGCATGGAGGTAATAGAACTAACTGATTCTGATGGAGACACTGCCAAACAGCAAGCGTCACATAACACAAAGAGGAAGAGACATACTTTTGATGCTTATGCCTTGGAGGTACTGGAACTTACTGATTCAGACTAAATAGATGCACAGAGCCCATGTCATTTTTCATATAGTACTTGTATCTGCATATATGATAGTGTTAGCGTCTCTTATTGTCTCCCTACTCAGCACTAAGCTGTGTGAGTGTGCTCACTTGGGCTGGTATCTGTCTGCAGGATTCCAGGTAAGTAAGTGCCGAATAAAGCAAGAAACACTGATACACCATGGAGGTGGACTCACCATCTCCAGAAAGCTGGCATTGCACTCACTGCAGTGCTCAATGTCACTAGCTTCAGGGCACCAGAAGGAGTCGCTGTCACTGTCTTTTGGACAGACAGAGGAAGCACAGCTCTTGGCCCCATTAGTAGTAGCAGGTGGCAGCAGCACTGAACTCATGGCAGCAGGCTCACTTCAATGATCACCGAAGCTGATACTGGCCACATCTGACATCTGCAGTTCATTCCCAGGTAAGAAAACACTAAAAACTCAAATACTAAATACTCACCATATCCATTGGCCAACAGCTGACAGTGCACTCACTGTAGTGTTCCCAGCTGTGATTGCACACTGTGCATGCTGGGGGGATATCAGGAATGCCCTGATTTCTGCACTCTTCACTATGCCTGTGCTCTTCTAGTGGGATGACAACAAAGCATGGCATCCAGCTGTAGAAGCTGTGGACTGGAATGGCAGGCCACCACCAGTAGTATGTTATGCTGAGCCCAACAAGGACAAGGATGACCACAACAATTGCTATTGCAATCGTTGTGGTCGTTGTGGTCTCTTGGAGGCTGTCACTGCCAACAGAGGAGGCAGAAGCAACGGCTCGAACGGCCTGGACGACGGGGGTGAGCTACAACGAGAAAGAGAGTCAGCGAAGGGAACGGCAATCGCAAAGGGAAATCGCAAGGGAATCCGTGCGCCAAAAAAGGGAAGGGACGTGACCAACGTAAGCGACGCCGAGCCCCCGATGGAACGTTCAAGAAACCGATCCACGGCATTTGCCGAACGTCACGCCCGCCAGCGGACGGTTTTGTTTTTGTGAGTAGAGTTCATCACGCCCAGCACGGACTTACCCAAGCGAGGGGCGTGGCTATTTTAACGCGGCGTGACGCGGGGGTGACGCGCTAGTGCAAGCATTTCTATGTTCTATATTTGACTCCCACATCAAGTTGCATGGATTCATGATCATTCTAGGCTCGAGAATACGGTTCCGATCTGCGGCTTAATTCATCATCTAGGGCTCCTGGACGAACATTTAAGCCGCAGATCAGACACTGTAATCAAAAACTTAAAAGTTCGGATAAAGATTTCAGCTGGCAAGTACGAGACAGCCGGTGCAAGTCCCTTCGGGGGTTCGTCGAGACAATAATTTTGTCCTCCTTTTCCACGAGCCGCTGGCCAAGATGTTCCCTATCCATGATGGTATCCCCGAGGTCCAATATCTCGTGGAAGACAATATTTGTCCAACTCCTGTTGTCGTTCAGTGATATTGATAGTTCTCTGGTCTTTGAGCTTCATGGCGAGTGATCAGGATTTGGTGACTTGCAATACGAGGTATCGGGGTCTGGAATCTGGACACTGCCAACATGACACCAGATCAGATATCTGAATAGAGACAAACTGGTTTGACCAATCGTGAATGCATCAGCTAAAATGGAAGACAAGCCGTGGTATACTACATGAATGAATCATGCCGAGTTTCTGTGAGACTGATGCCACAAAGGATAGAAAATCTTCGTACTAAAGGAACGCTCCGAATCCAAGTATGTCTTCAACTCGAACGAGTGGGTCATACAAGACATTCCTCATACAATGGCCATCTCCTTCCAATCCATGTTGCCAACTCTTTATGATCTCTGAGTACATCGCCAGTGTTCGGGTGGACGAGGACGCTGAAACATGTAGGTTAACAAGCTAACGTGAAACACTATGAATGACACGTACTCGCAAGGCCCCCGATGGACAACAAGCCAGGAAAAGAATGCTCCAGTCTGGTGGGGATTGAATGTATCTACCTCGAACATGGCAGTAGGGTGGGGGCCTTCGAAAATAAGGGTGAGTACTATGTCGTGCTGCATCTATGGGATAAGCGGATGCGCACCGTATGGTTCATCCCAGAACTTATGTATACGTAACTATGTCGCAAGGAATGAGTAATCGACTACTGGATGATGCAAGATAAAGAGCTTACCTCTGGAAATTCCCTCCTTACACGCTCGTATAGTTCTTTCGCATACTGCGCCTGAGCAGCGACGGCGGGCATATGATAGACTAGCATCCATGGTCAAATCGAAACACCAATAACATGTAATAGACTCGCTTACTGTGGAAGTCAAACCCATTCTTAGACGGATTAAATTGCTTCGGGAATTCGTCGTAGGCAGCCGAACGGAGACCAGGTAGGTTGTAAAGAGATTTTCCGTCGGGATTGAAGGTGGTTGGAAGAGGTTCTGCACCCTCATACCCTGCTAGAAGAGATGGCCACTGACTCATGTTAGGCTTACTGTAAGGTGGGGGTTTTTGGTGTCGTTACGAGGACGATAACGACAAGAATAGAGTCAACTCGGGGAGACCTTATATTGGAGCAAACCATACGGACAATTGGAGTATACGGAGTCTGTGCGATGATTAGTTTAGTGAGGCATTTGCGCCATTAGTACTACTCAGTGGTACTGTGACCGCTGCAGTATTAATTACCGTGACGTTCGAATTAAAGTCATGTAAAGTCTTTGTAGAGCTAAGGCGTAGTCTTGCTTATCATCACATGACATATCATGTGCCCGCGTTTGGCGCACCTATCACCGTCAAAAGACCTCAACATGATTATTAATTTATGATAAGCTTACTCGGTACTTGGTGTCTGCAACTACAACAATGAAAGCTCGATTGTAGTGAGTTTTGTCCTCTCAGTTTATCAGACTTCTGAATCGGTCTAGTGAAAAGCCACCACTGAAGTATACATTGCACCTATGTAAGTCTGTCATAAAATGCGAGAAATAACCACTAAAGGATACATTACTACTAGTATGACTCGGAGGACCTGAGCCTAATATCTTTTTTTAGCAATTAAGACTAAGTTAGTATCGCAGCACCGATCGCAGCGCACCGCAGCGTCAAATCGCCGCAATGCATCCCAGATATGAGAGGTGCTGCGATTGGTGCTGCGACGAGTCTCATATAGCGCTTATTTTTCACCAGTTTTGTCTAACAAATCAGATGCCAACGCTGTCTGATGGGTGCTTATCTCTTTTATTTTCGTTCTTTAGAGCTCTCGTGCGTAGATGAGTGCATCGACGTGCAGATGCCATTCCCAATCGCTGACTCTATGGCTTGAGCAACTTGCATAGTTATGCGTCATTCAGCACTTTCTATATCCTCAAGATTATGCACTAACTACAAAAAATAATATTTTTGTCAGTCTACGTCTTCCAATCTTCCGTGTGCAAAGTTGACAAGAAGAACCACAGGGCAATCTGACACATATATCTAACATATGTAAGGACGGAACGTTTGATCCCGCGGAAACAGTTTGCGTCTACCCCCATGTGCATGCACCGCCTGAGCGCTCCTAGTCGCTCAAGCGCTTACTATTTGTGTGCGCTCGGCAGTCTCCTACTTGCATGCGTTGTTCGCTTCTCTCCGTGTCTCTACTCCTCCTTTTGCAATTGTGCTCCACCTTTTCCAATGTGTCTTGTGGGATCTAACAATACTGACCTAGTATGTTCTGTCAGTGTTTCGTGTCACCAAGAGCTTGCATCCCTTCGTCTATGCGCGATGACTGAGGCACAGCACTGTGGCTATACAGTCACAGTTCTGTCTCTCCTATTTACATCTCAAGACAGCACTGCGTCACGTCATCCAGTATCAGGCATGACACCGAGCATGACGCAGAGCATTCGAACAAAGTACTCACATACCGTGTCAATGTTTCAACAGCAAAACTGTGCGTGCGCATAGCAGAACGTGGCTGACACAAATAGCCTGTGCTGTGATTGACGAAGTGGAAGATTCTCGACCGATCGGGTTTCATTTCCACCCAGCGGCACTCAACAAACCGACCTCCATGGACTGCCCGTCGACGACGCGCCTAAGTGAGTCAGCTTCTCTTACATTGCCTCTGAGCGCCTTCGCAGTCAATTTTGAATGATTCAGCTATGGGCGGTGACAATTACCGCCTCGCAATGGCGCAGCTTTGCTTAGCCTCTTTGATTTGCTTATCTGAGTGATTGCAGCGCACAGAGCCATCTCTGGTCATTGTCATCGCGTGACTCTCTACCAAGGTGCTGTAGAAGACTCACGGAAACCTACACTTTGAGGAGTTTCAGTCACAGTTCTTTCCGACAGATTGACGCCTTTACGAAACCTATAAAGTGTATCGCAGCATGTATCTTCATTATACACCACAAGCTTCATTATGAGTATCAACCCAAATCGTTGGCTCACCAACGGACCAGTACCAAAGACAACACACCCAGCAGGATCAGCCAACACGACGGCACATGTTCAACTGTACGTGTCCTTCAATCTGCATCACTCACCTATGTAATATTGACATGCTCTCTGCGCACCCGCTCAGACCCAACCGCCTCAGGCACATCCTTCAAGTTAATTCAGGCATGCGCTACGACGTTCGCAAACCCACGCAGGAAGGGATCGCGTCATCTACATGGCAACAAATCAGCCACCTTCCAGCATTATTAGATGTGCCCACATTCAATATTCTCATCATCTCGAAGGCATTCCCTTGGTCAATCGTGATCCGTGCGCCTGCCGGGTCTGTGGTCACATGCGGCGCGATCTTTGAGGAATTGCATAAACAGCTTCAAAGGCACATCGAAGACTCGGAGTGGGGAACCGTGGCTGTTGATAAGACACGGAGGGAAGCAATCCAAAAAGCTGCAAAGTCGAGGCAAGAGAAGGACAAGGTCAATCGACTGAAGAGAGTTGATTGGCTGGGGGATACGTCAATGTTTGAGGGGCTGGAGAAGGACAAGGAATTTGAGAAGCAGAGACATTTACCCGGAAATGCGAATGTTACGGAGACATGGGTAGTGAGATTTGGGAAACGGTGATAGTTACATATGTGATCAATGTATCATCGATATCATCCACCTGTGACTCTCACGTATAATGAGAAGGAGAGGAACGGTACAATCTCGGTCTCTTGAAAAGAGCCCTATTACGACGCAGATAGCATCAGCCGCGAGCCTCCTTCAGTATCTCCTCGGTAAAGAGGGAGAAAGAGTAGCTGTAACCGTGCGTCGGCGCGTTAATGTTCCTGACTTCGGCTAAGCCCGCCCGTTACCCCCCACAAGCTCAGGTGACCTTGTTTTACTTACTACTTGGTGGAGGATCTCTCTAGTCATCTGGTATTAAGTTGGCGTCCCAATAGCTCTACCCAACCCCGTTGTAGTGATTTGGTTTGGCAGGGAGAAATAAGAGCAGGTGTCTAGATACCATACCATATATATGCATGCATGTTTTAGGGTTAGGATTATCAGCTCATACAACCTAATTGAAGGATCCATCATGATCATCAAGCTCAGCCAAATGGTAACAATACTCACAGCTTCCCCTTAAAATTCCCAGCTCAGTCATGAGAGGGTCAAAAAGGCGTGTTCGCGAAACTTGGGTTTTTCACTTCTCGGGCGAATGCAGATGGAATATTCAGTCGACGGTATTGCAACAGCCAGGAATTCGAAACTCTTAGCGGTGCGTTCTTTCTTAATGTGAGAGTAGGATAATAACGAACATGTGGTCACCAGTACATTTACAGTGCGTGCTGTCTGAACTGCTTCTTCATTCTAACCTGACGGTTCAGCATCGACGGCGACATTCTGGGTACACTTTGTCTCGATCCATTCCTATCCGCCGTTAAACTTGCTTATGTAGACCTACGATTTTGTTTTCTTACTCCACGAAGAGGTAATGCACTTGTTCCGTGATGCGCCTCGTTTTGGATGTTGATAATATTGTGTTCGAAGTGGACATTCCTACTTCGATCGCGTTGGACAAAGGTAAAAGGCCTTTATATCATTGCACGACATGTCCCATTTGTCCTTATCATCGTGGACCTATGTCGTGCGTTCCTTCCCAACTCTGCACATCCCCCCGATAACGAATTAACACACTTTGCTTCAGTGGCCTCGACCCAAAACGAGAACCCCGAGGTATGTGCAGCAGACTTCCACTGATGAGGACGCCTAGTGTATGACTTCGCTAGAAATGCCAGATATTGAATAGTATTTTCGCATGTACGTGCACAGTCCATGCTGCTTACACATCCTTACCGAGCGTTGCTCGCTCCTCTCACAGTTTTCGCAGTGATATCACTCGGTTTCTCTGAATGTATCCATCATTACCCCGTGATGTAGATGTTCTCCTGATCAGATTCACCTAGCCTTTTTTGTTCTCAGGATGTATGCACTCTGGAACAACAATAGAATCGTACTCGGGGCCATGCTGTTCGCCCTTTTTGTGAGTCACATGCGCACTCCACACCCTAGCTCATGTTTGACGGACCAGTCAGGCAATCTTCGTATCATCCATCAGCATTTTGCTTGTTGCTGGTGTTACCTCTGATGGTTTGTGCTCTCACTTTCCCCCGCCATTATGCCATTCGATATATTCACTCCACTTTCGCAGTCACGACTGACGCGATCCCAGGTATCCAAGGCTGCTCCCGGGGCCCACACGACATCCGATTATTCTTGCTTTTTATTCTCATGTTTGTGTTTCAACTGGGTGTGTAGTCGGGAACTTGGAGTACATTTCAGACTCACGCTGACCGACGCTCTCTCCAGGATTGGTCTGTCTCACAATCACGCGCGCTATACAGAGCTGGCGGTCGGCTAATGGCCCTCTGTACGCCATGCTGGTGAAGCATAACATATTCTACTATGCATGCGGTCTACGTGAGTCAGGCCTTACAAATATTTCCGTGCTCATCAACGGTGATCACTGTTTCAACAGTTTTCTCCGCCGTGAACGTTCTTCTCCCAATACTGCTTTTAGATGTGCGTAAACAAATACCTCTCGATATGATGTAATCATTGATGTTTCGCAGATGTATTCCGTATACTCCTCCTTTCAAGTGTATGTACGTCACAATTCTATTGCAAATTCCTACTGACAGCGTCTCCAAATATGCATATGCAGTTTGCAGATCTTTATTCTTGCAATCCTCGCCACGCGCATGCACCTCCACCTCTGGCATGCTGAGCGGCACGTGGACGGTTCTAAGGCCATCGTGTGGATTTCTATGTCCAACATGCCACTGTAGGCTGTGCGGCATGATGCCCTATCACGTGGCTCATTCGGCACCGTTTGTAGAATGGAACTTGATATTATTGGTCGGATTTAAAAATTGGGACGTAGTTGTATAACTCCCTCGTAGGAATCCATTTTTGTCATGTGAGTGAGATGTATTGAGACATGAACTCGTGAGAAAGCCAATCGAGGACAACGTGAACGACGACGACGATTTCTTGGTTGCTTTACTCGGTGGTTTCCTTAATTTTCTCTGGAAAAAGTCTGCGAACAGCCAGACTCATTAGCCCTGCCTGGCAAAGACCCCAAGGACATTGGCAGCCATGTAAATTAAATTGACTCCAATTGGAGTGGAGACTGAAGGAATTTGCAGGTCCTCGATTCACTGTTCTTAAGTCCAGTATACATACTAGAAATTCCACTAGTAGTATATAAGTACTGTGCACCAAATTTGCTTGCCAATGTACGAAGCCAGTTCGATTGGCCCGTCATTTATATATTGAATTTTCGGTTTGAGTACAGGGCCGTGCATCCAATTTCCTTGATCTCTGATACTCGATCATAATGCTACCAGCTTATCGTGGCCGATCATCGTGTAGACCTTGCCCGCGCTCATGGGCAAGCCGTCAACATGTAACATATAATTCGTTATTGTATGTTCTAGAAGCTGTTCATTAGCATCTGTGCTTTGTTTCCCTTTCAAACGAGGTGGTGGAGGGAGGTATTTCATAGGATATAGGTAATCCGAGGCTCTCAACCTTCGCGGCCCTGTTCCAAGCTCGCCGTTTAGACAATAACTAATTTTTGCATATGTTGTCTGAGTGACGCATTAAAGAGAATCTGCGTGATAATCACCCAGACACAAAGGCTGGTGAATGTCTCAAGCGTGCGCATCGGAGTGCGAAAATGCTGTCGAGTGCTTTGATAGGTAGCTAGATAAAGATAAAATATATCATCTGTACAAATTCGATGGCTACTCCAGCGGGGTAGCACAACAGATGTCGCAGTTTAGGCTAGGTCCCAGACGGGTCCCCAGCTTGCCTCACAGCTAGCGAAAGCATCAGGATCTTGGCAATCATATATGCATGTACTAGCAAGGGCTGCATTTGTCCCGCCGGCGGCGGCAAGGATGGTGAGGTAGTAGGTGAATCTTCATGGTGCCTAATAGCCCATACTTTGTGTCAGTGATGACTGCTAGTGCCGGAAAAAAAAACACCAACCGTCAGAGTTTGGTTTTGTGTGGTGTACGCAAGGGTGCTAATAGCGGCACGTCCAGGAAGAGCTAAATGTGAAAATAGATATCATGTCCAAGTTGTCCAAGTCTTTTGAGTCTCAGGATTGCTCATTGTAGACGAGGTAACCGTCTGTGAGGATCCAAGCTCAAGCTCGGGAGTTGCCACATTCAATTTATATGAACTATGCAGTAGATCCAGTTCTAAAGGTAAGCATATGTGGCAGAACTGCGTCAGGGACAACGAACACGTCGCTGATAGGAACTAGACGAAACGTATACGCGGGGTATTTCAAGTTTGCCCATTTAAGCAGCCGGGATGAGATTGAGGCCTGGGAGCACAGCTCCGTCGCATTCCGTTAAGACCGCTTATAGTACTATGTCCTCTTGAGTCACGGTGAGTAGCTACTTCAATTCCGATAAGGACTTACCTCGGTCGCATTTTTTGTAATCCTGGCACCCTCTACCAGTGATGCCCTCCCGAACCGCCCTAGCAAGAGTCAAGGCGGTGCAGTCATGACTCAGAAATCTTTCCTTCTAGCCTTAGGCTTGTCCTCGATAATACCGTACCGTTTTAAAATGCTGACAGTCACATCGCCCTGCTTTCGATATCAACAGGAAAGACCTTATATGGGTGGCAGATCGTCCCAAAGAATCCAACAATTAGGCGCGAGTGTCGTTGGTCGGACATTACACGAACGTTTAAACTCCAGGTAACTCCGAGATGGAGTGCCTGGCGCTGTTGTCACTGAGAAGGGGTTATTATCCAATGACTTACAGACTACATTTGGATGCCAGCCCACTCTATACTCGACGAGCAATTCCGTCGAATCGGGCGCGTCTTGTATGCGCGAAATTGGTCGACTAGCTCGAAAACCGGTATGACAATATGTATCTTCAAGTGCGAAAAGCACGTATCACTGTGTCCTTTTCCATATTGTCGCGTTTTCCCATCACCAGATACCTATATGCGGCCATTGCGACGGCAATCCTGTGCGATTCACATCAGAGACACCACGGATGCCGTCCTTCAGCAGGAAGGAAACCAAGATCGTCACGGGGAGCCCTCATCGAGCCATCAGCAAAACTACAAGTCCCTTAAAATTATGTAAATGCCATTAATATTGGGAAGAGTTCCATGACTGTTGGAGGCGAAGAAGCGGTTGGCAACTTAAGAGAACCCGTTCAAAGACTCAAATTCAAACTTGATGAACTCGTACACATTGAAGATGCTACTACTGCAGCCCACGACCGTGACCAATAGTGAAAATGTCCAGGTCTAAATTGTACTATCAAGTTTCAAGGACCTCGCACAGAAACTATTCGCGCAGCAGCAAATATTTTTCACCAGATATGGAGGGCCCATATAAAGGCACATGCTGTCCGGAGATGGATGAATGTCCTAAGAAACGAAGCTGCAATTCTATTCCTTATGTTTTCGTGCTGCAGTGCTTGTTGACGATCATTCATTATATACATATCTACGACACCCTCGGCCGCCAGCGCTTGACCTACTAGCTTTCGACCAGGAATATTCGCCGAAGCTGCAGGTCTACTGCTGTAGTAAACTTCGGCTGGAATAATACCCTCGACGACAATTGCCCTCATGCTATCACTAACTCACAAAGCAGCCAATATTAGCATCTTCGACCAAGTTTCCAGAAATCTAGCTAGCATAGGTTGCATACCCTTGTCAGACTACCTATACAGCTCCCCATCCGTCCCAGCACCACCAGCACCAGCACCGGAAACCCAGTTTACTCCCAAAAATGCTCCCACCCAACACCCACAGCCCCCCACGCCAACCATAACCAAGACCTCAGTTGACACCGTCTCAGCAAACGCTATCAGCCGTTTACATCAAACATCTCAACGCACATTTGGATCCATCGAGCCACTCAAGTTCGAATTCATTGAGGAAGCTGGCCAGCGCAGTGTGTATCCATTCTTACGTCAAATCATCATCCCTCATAATAACTCCACAGGCAAGAAATGCATATTGACAATATCTCGTCCCAACGGAAGCACTCGTTCTTATGCAACCGATCCCGTCTATTCTCGCAAATCCGATGCAAAATCTGCTGCAGCCACTCTTGCGATCGAGATGGGCGCACTGGATTTCATCACTCATGGAGATCCTGAAGAGCTCAAACTTAAACGTGGACTCGTCCTTGCTTCCATCAATAGCTCACAAAACCAGGAGCGTACACAGGCAGAGATCGGATCAACCGAGCATCCAGACGGCAATAATGCGATTGAGCAAATCGAGACCTGTTGCGCAGAATGGCGGGGCGGATCCATAGCACCGCATTGGGTGGCATTGCTAGAGCCCAAAGTCGGTCACAGTAGGTATCAAATCTCGGATGTCCGGACCCTGTTGAACTAAGAACCTTGCAGCTCAAGGATGTGCCCTTAGAATCGAGCTTTCACTACACGTAATCAAGATTTACGCATCCGATACCATATACAACACGTACAACGAAGCAAAGGCCGCATGTGCTGAAGCTGCACTTCGTGAGGGCGTTCTCGACTTTATCAAGCACGGAAACGGCCAACTACGCCCCGCATCCCCCCAACTATACTCAACCCCCAGTTCCTCCGACATCAATGGCGTCTCAGCCAATAAACAGCCTCCATCGACTCTCCAGGCATTCTACGAATCCCTCCCCCGCCCATTTCCCGAATCGTTCGAAAGCAAAGACGCCAACGAGTTGGGTGCACCTGGATACATGAACACCCTCGTACAAAATGCAAGAGGCGGAAAGTTGACCACCACATTTATTTTCACATCGGACGGAACTCCAGGACGTACGTATTCCTCTCTAGCATCATAACACACGCCACGCTCACGATAATTATTTACTCTATTTAGTCCACGGCTGTTTCCTCCGCTTAGATAGACCCACAGAATATAGAGCATACCTCGTCGATCCCAGGTTCCCAAAACGCGCAGATGCAAAAGCGGCCGTATGCCTCCAGGCGTTGTCTCACGGTGCTGGAGATTACATGCGCGCAATAGGAAAGGCTGTTGAGGCGAGAGTTACGCCTTTGATGAAAACATGGGTGAACGATCAGGTATACCCTGTCCTCTTATCCGAGTATAATAAACTCAGGAATCGGCATCCTAATTTTACTTATGAGAAAGAAAAAGATGGTCCGTTTCGTCTTCATCTCACCATGTCGCGTCGCATGCTTATTGCATATAGCCTTTGGATGCACAATGACGCTCCACCTCGCTGCCGATCCTACGCCCGACCAAACACGAATTTGGACTGTGTCGAATGACTACCGCAACAAGGCAGACGCTAAAGTAGCTGTCATTTGCACTGCGATCGAACAAGGTGCGATGGAGTTCATCCGGTTTCGAGGCAAGCCTCTTCCTTCCGGCTACACCACCCTGTATTCTCTGCAGACCTTCGGCCCTGAATCGTCTCAGAAATCTAACGGGAAGCGAAAGATGGTCGAGGATGCGCACTCGCAGAGTGAACATGAAAAACCTACAAAACGACAGAAGAAAGCAAAGCTTGAGGACGCTGCAACCAAACACGGTAACAAGAAAGAGAAAGGCAGCACCCACACCCATGGCATTCCCGAGCCTGGCATCATCCGTGCTGGGCAAACTTCCCGAAAAGGGTACGTTTCAGCACCATATCAGCCAGGACTTGGGGGTGAGAGTGGTTCTGGGACTGTGCACCCTCTACCGCAGGTGTCCTTGAATCATATTCCACCCGTTATACCTGATCAACGGTTTATTCCTCACGCGTATTCCTCTGTGCAAGGTGGGTATAAGTATCCGCTTTCGGCGCAGTCTTTCGCTGGAGCTTCGGGCTCGGGTACTGGTTTTGGAGGTGGTGGGTTTACGAATGCGAGTGGGGAACGCTTAGATGATTTATCTGAACCAGAACCTGGAGAGGTTGTTTAATTTCGTTGGATTGAACGGAGTTTGAGATGGCTCGTAGTGCTACTTTTGAATCAAGTCTTCAAATTCGCGATTAGAGCTATGGGCGCACCAATCATTTTCGATAAGAACTGTTCTCATGCACAAGGTAATTGACGTATGGCGCTTACGTACAGTACCACTAGTATTTCACCTTCATCACAAGCCACTGATCGTTACGTAACTTATCGTATGCCCGCATCTTTGTCGTACACTCAGCGTTGTTCTCCTCACTCGCTGAGGTACGTTTTTACATTATTTCACACTCGGTTTTGTGCTTATTTGAGCCTAGGGAAATTTCCTAGTCTACACTAGGAATGTTACTTGTCGAACTCATCAACTATGAGTCTCTCGATCATGCCATTAAAAGGCTGAATTTGCGAGAGAACGTTGGGCGTGTTATGGCACGGATGTGGTAGTGGGTGCGGTGGCGGGTGAGTTTTAACATACTGTGCATATTGTATGAGACATTGACATCCAACTCCAGAGCACCACTTCACAATGGCCTGTCTCTCTTGATAGGCACCACGCTAGCCACAATGTATTATATATGGCCCAGGTCTCAGATGCGGCAGGGAGCCTTCGAAGGGGTTCGCGCATGTCGTTGTTGGTTTTTCCCCAACGTTATACACGAGCCCCTTTAGAGGTACTACAATCCTTTGGACCAGTTCCAAGAGATCGTAATACTATTACCAGGCCAGCGATAAGGGCCAGTCAGTGAAGTTTATCTATGAAGCAGTCGAAAAGCAGAGTGACAAGGTATCGTATATGAATGTACTATCATTTGTATTTGTTTTCCACCGATACTACCTAACAAGGCCGACTCGGTGGGCTCCTTGGCCACTCATCGTATCATGTGCCCTGCAGGATTAATCTACTATTTGGGTTCTCGAATGCCTATGTACGTGTGCAATATGTGCATTGATTACCCATTCAATTGACACTGGTTGCGATGTAGTTGTCTTCGCTCAGTTCCCTGTGGTCTTGGGGAGTCCTAGTGTAACTCTTGACTCTCTGCATGACAAACCAAGTGGAGGAAATCGAGCGACCTTGTAGAGCCATCTCTCTGGCCATTATCATCATTCCACCTGCCTTCATATGAGATTCAAGCAGCAGGGCGTCCTGTCTGCCTTGATGAGTCTATCGAGCTGGGCTAGTCCTCCATCCCTCCGGCCATTCTGATCGATCCGGGTTTCTCAGCGCTCTTGCCTCGTGCCTTTATGTCAGATTCAGCTGCAGAGCATTCTGTCCGACCTTGATGAGGCATTTTGGTTGTGTCTGCAAGGCCCGGTCAACTTACCTCTACAATCAGTGTTACTCTGGTAATCCCGCAGAAGATATTCGGCTTAGGTAATACGCGGGATGCCAGGTTGTGTAGTACTGCTCATAACGATGCCAGTATGATTACTGGTACAGTCATCACAGGTGGAGCTGCAAATTTTGGAAGGCAACCGTCGGCAAGTCTTTCGATGTTTAGCTGCGCACCGTTTTCATTGACAATTTATCCAGGCATATCGGCACCGTACTGTGTGAAACATAGTCTGTGTCTGCTAGCTGTCTGGAAACTCACGAGATGTCGAGCCAGTGGGCCCACATTCGGAAGTTACTCGAGGATGACTCGTATCGAGCTTGATAAGAGCGATGTATCAGTTCGACCTCTTCGACACTACCACTTCCTGTTCAATGGGCTCTCCGAAAATGACGTCGTGGAAACCTTATTGTCCTGGAAATTGCAAGATTTAAGGGCCCACGGATTATTCTTGTGTTCGATTATCGCAATAAACGATCGATATTTGTCAAGAGTAGACTTTATTCAGCCCACGTACTGCATTAAACATGGAGATGAGGACAAGGCGTAACCGACAGGCGTGAAACGTACCGTATCCTTGTCCCTCATAGCCGCAGAAGTGCTTAAACAATATGTCACAAGGCGTGACAAAGTCCGTCTCACAAAGACCTTTGGTGGCGGGTCTTCTTCAAGTTATCAAGTAACAAAGAGTCAAAGACCACCTTCGGCGTTAATTGGTGCCACTCCGTTCGGCTATAAATCCAGCTTTGACCAAATGTTCTTGACTATCTGCCACGACTACCAAGCTCAGCTGTATCACCATCTCGCGTTCCTACTGTGCTTCGTTGCAGACTCTTCTGCTATTCCATTACTTTAATACCCCAGCTGTATCTGCATACCCTCGGCATCACGAATCTTTTTCTCCATTTTCTACCCCTCCGAAAGCCACAGCCAGCTTTCTTTCAATCCACAAACCACCTAATCGAACTATATCGCACGTCAATCCTTCACGTGAATAATGAATAGTATCAATTTCTCGCCTGGTTTCTTCCTAAATTTCATTGCCGAACCGAATCCCTCCTTCGCATCTTTGGCCCCAGTAAAATCCGTGTCTCGGCCGCGGACAACATGCTGTGACATCTCGATAAATTCGATGCACAAACAGTCTACCCAGTTACGCGAATATTACTTTCATGCATTCTTCAATTGTTCTTGGATGTCTCGCCCTCGCCCTCGGGTTATCAACTTCAATCCGGATGCACCTATAGAATGTCAAAAGGCCACACTTCCTACACCCGCGCCTCCTCGTGTCAACGCGAAAGTGCCCGCCGTGCGTGAGGCAGATGCTACGAAATTGGTACCGTCCCAAGATTGGTCACACAAACCTTGGAAAAATATCGCCATAACCGAATACGATGATGCAGAGTTCGAGGAGCTGCAATCACGGTTGGTGTTCACCTGGCCGCCTGACTTAGCAGCCTACCGAAGAGAGGTCGAGGAGGAGAGGGGCTCGTGTGAGGCGACAGAGTATATTGACCCTGCGTTCTTCTCTGGCGCGTCGTCGATAGGGTCCGCAAGCACAGAAGACAGTTCTATGATCTTGACGCCGACTCAACGAGACTACGATGCCAATACAGCCTGTGTACCGCTGGCTATTCTCCGCGAGGCGCTCGTAGATCCTGAGGCTAGGACCGACGCTCTTGAGAAGGTAGTGGGGCTTCAGAGATTGAGACGCAAAGCACCACCTCCACTCAGTCTCAATAGCAAGAAAAAACAGGATCTCATCAACGAGATTGGATGCACCCTGCTGATCGGCGATGGTGAGCGCACTGCACGGGAGATACGGGTAAGTTTTTCATACCGCTGTGTGAGTTTGATTCTAAAGCGAAAGCAGATGCTAAGTCCGCTGACGGCAGCGATGAATATCACTAGCAAGTTATCCGCGGGGGTCCTCCGCAATATTCATACCTTTACTGATGAACTATTATTCTGATAATCTAATTTTCGTCTATTACTGTAGCATTACCCAAGTCGTTGGTCGGAGGTTCACTGTGTCTGCATTTTCCTTGTCCTGTAGCGATTTTATTTTATTTTTGGTGCATCACTAGCGACATGAATCTCTAACCGATTTACTCACTGGCAGATTGTTAGACGCAAGTCGTCGTTGAAACCACAACGGACGTAATTTGCCACTCGAAGCTGGACACTGTGGATGAAATTGCGGCTGAAAATCCTTGGCAGATTCTTCGACTGATTGATGGGCCTGAAGTCATGACGACCTTGGCTTGGAGAATTGAGATCCCAGTGAACCTAAGAAACAAATACTGTATATGTGAGCTATCGCGTGGCTGTCTTTGTTAAACGTTGACGGCCTGCGATCTCCTGCAATCCAGGCGTTTCACCGGATACGGAAGATATCTTTTCATGACAATGGCAAAGGATAGCAACTATATCTCGAAAACTCTGAGTGAAGCAATTTGGGCTGAAGGAGACATGAGATGAGGAATCAAACGTTCGTCTAATTGGGCTCCCCGTCAGCTCACGCCTCAATTTTGAACTGCACACTCACATCGGAAATACCTTCAAGGATCTTTGCGTCTATTTCGGACCTAGCCAGTGACAAGAAAAACAATGCAGACTTTGATGCAGATAATTCGAGGAAGCTCGTCTCCTCAGGAAACCTGGCGCGGAACTTCGACAAGCGTCGAGGTAGAAGTAGAAGCTACCTGATGCACTCATCTCGTAGATACCTGGGATGCTGCTTCGAGTATATCTGGAAGCTCAGGAGATCCTCTCATTTCCTGCTTCCCTGGCCTTGTTCTCCGACATCCCAAGCTGTGCCGCATGTGATGGGGCTGTCGTTGTTTCGTTGTAACAAATTTGCTATGCCAGTACTTGAAATTATCGTTTCAGATAAATTCGCACAAGGAACCTCCAGCTTTGGACCAATGGAGAATCTCCTTCAGTCAGTATGTCCAAAGCCTCCTTTTATAAGGTCGTATGTGAATCAGTATTCGAACAGATGGGCCGTGCGCGTAAAAGGTTAGATTTATTGTGCCAAAGTTCACATCATGATGAACAAAAGAGAGTCTGAATCGGGACTCGGAAAAGTTGGCATTGTTTGTTCCCGACAAATACAGCTTTGCTTTGAAGTTCGCAAGGTGATTCACTGATTAACAACCACATACTTGTACGATGCACTTGCAAGTCCTTGCAGTATATAAGGGACGCCGCCGCCGATGAGCCACACCATGCACCGATATCCCAAGCCTGTCTCTTTCCCCACAATCCATGTCACATCCTCCTTGTGCCCCGTCTTTGCATTCCAGAGGAATGCAAAGACTTGCTTCGCAAGGCGAATCGTGATCTCCTGTTTGATACCAGCACACTGCATACTTGCACCGTAGCGAATGAGGACGGTGCACGAAGCTGCACAAAATATGACATGATTATGATGAATTCCATAACCCGATATGTCTGGACGGAATTATGCATATCGGCTTATGGCCTGTCATGTACGTCTTGTTACTATGTTGATCTGTGCGTTTTTGAACACTCGATGACACCATTAAGGTGAGTTGTGGGTAATTCCTTCGAAATTTGCGTCCTCACATGTGAAATCAACTTGATAAAGGTCGCCTGAAAATTCCATCGTCAGCCGATGTCCGGATCGGTATTTTGGAAATTCCGTCTCTTGTGCCCAACCCTACTTATCTGTCCACGTTGCAAAGCAGTCTCTGTACAAGAAAGCGTTGTCTGAAAAAAGCAACGGAGTGACGATTCGACAGGTTCGTACGTTATCCGTCCAGTGAGCGCTGAGCTTGTCGGACGCACTAGATTATCGAATTCTTTCTTGGCTTGTGATTCCCGGAGCCGTGGGATCGGCTGTACGAGTCTCCCCCGATTCCTTCCTGCAGAGGTCGATATGCTGCTCATGAGCGATTGATGTTTTCCAGACATACGGAGATATGTGATACTTTGTGGTTCACACGCATGTACCGTATGGAAGCCCGGTTATTTATTTTGCAGTGTGAGAAATGAAGTCTCGCGGTTAGGTTATTGAAATTCAAGGGACCTACAAGGACCTACTGATATGCTCCAACATCGCTATTCAGAATCAGATTGATGAAACTCTTGTGGCCGTCGCCTGGTCTGGCAGTTACTATTACGAACAATGCGCAGCAGCCAGCGGGGCCGAGCGTCAGCGCTAAACGCTGGCCAGGGTCATTGCATAAAATAGACGTAGACACAAATGCCGAAACAGATTGATTGTTTTATTATTCATTACTAGCTTGTACGTTTAGGCTAGCCCGTCAACGTCAACGAAGGAAACGAGCAAGCCCGCGCCAACGGTTGAGAAAGAATCTTGAACGTCAACCGTCACGACATCAACTCATACCAAACGGTTATACCACAGTTATACCCTCTCTTTCTCCTCCAGCGCTACTTTTGCGTTACCTGTTGATTACAACGTCGAGCTCGTTGTCTTTGACGACGATAAACACACTCTCTAACTGTAATGAAGCAACCACCAGCGTCCCCTTCGTCAGCCCGGTCCCCGCGTAATCAATTAATAGGCCACCCAACTTTGGACCTTCATCACTCCCATCATCATCATCTCTCTCCCACTAGTGCCTACCCATTACCGACGAATCCACCAAAACCCACCAAGAGCTCGGCGTTTAGAGGTTTACAATCTGTTTTTCAGCGTAAACCACCAGATCGCTCGTTGTCCTCGAATTCTCTCCGATCTTCCTATTCAGCTTCCAACATATCCGCCACAGATAGTCACAGCCCCCATCCATACGCCGCAATGCCTCCTGCTCCTTTACCTGTTGTATCAAACAATGAACATATCGACGACGAACAAGAATGTCCTGTATGTCTTGAGCCGTTGAGCTTCAGCTTCAGACTTCCTGGAGAAAAGCCCCATGTAGTACCAGAGTGTGGTCACTCTCTTCACGAGGTCAGTCCCTTTCCTTATCGTGATATCTTGGTCCATCACACTCCCGCTTGTCTTACCCTAGGCATGTTTTACCGCTGTGTATGGTCCTCCACCAGCGCAATCTCGTTCTGCAGTGCCTCGCAAATCAAATCTCGGCGTCTGTGGTGTTTGCAGACGACCTATGAAAATTGGCGACGGAGATGGTAGCAAAAATAATAGTGAGTCACACTAGGCACACCTATTTTCCAATCTCACCATGTCACAGAACTTGCCGCTCTGACTGGCATGGGCAATCCCCATTCCCCTGCAGTCTATCCTGGCCGAGATCAAGGCTCGCGCTCTCGCCACAGTCCCGTACCTCAACAACCCTACGATCCCACAGATGATGACCCAATAGACCACGCCGTCTCAGTCAAGTCAACGCCTAGCGAATCACACTACATTGTCGCACCTTCCATCCAAGTCCGCCCCGAATTTCCTTCCATCACCCGGAGTGGCGAAACTTGTCAACCCCTGACCTGCATTGTTGTAATCGAGTTACCTGCTAGGCGTGGAACAACTCATGTTCCGGGTCCTGTCATGGCGGATGCATACGGTTCTCGGAGTGCTCATACGCTCACACGAAATGATACTGTAACAGAGCTGCCTCATCCGTCCCAAAGACAAAATGATACCTTACGACACCCATCCCAAACTCAGCGCTATGACCCATATACCGAGCCATGGTCAGCTATCAGTGAAGCTGAGTCTTCCCGTTATAGGCCAGGCCCACCAGCGGAAGAAGAGGGTGAAGAATCGTCACCTTTCGACGCTATCGTTGAGGATCTGCGCAACCGGATAATAGATTGGAAGGGTCACGCGTTGTCTGGCCTCGGTCCCCTGCAAATGTATGACATGCTGTCCGTCCGCCGAGATGCCCTTGTGCGGGAGTTTTATGTGTACCTTTTTAAGGAGGCCATCATTTGCGTCGTAGAGGAGAAAAAGCGGTCTCTTGGCAGGTTCCTGTCGTCGCCAGCCTTCAACGATGCCTCGACTTCCATCTCGGGGTCAAGCAACCAGTCCAACAAGGGTGTCCTGCGCCTCAAGGGTCGCATTTATGTGCGACATATCAAACGTATTACTGCCAGCATAAGCGGGGAAATGAGCCTTACGATTGAGATGGAAGATGAGCGACTCGACTCTTTCATCCTCGTTTTCAAAGATCGCTCTTCCATGGATGCGTGGAAGAGTCAGATCCAGGGCCTAGTAAACTCCTTCCAAAATCAATCATCGCCGTCGCAGCCGCCTATTGACCGTGGCCTGGACATGGATGAGTTCGGGGGTTCAGAAAAGGCTGCGCGGATGCTTAGCGGGAGCACTGCATCCACAGCACCAAGCACAGTCGATAGTCTACTCCACGGCTCCTCACGCTCCACCATGTCCTCGTCGACCTCCCATGGTTCCATGCCGCAACCTCAATCTAGACAAATGCACAGCAAACTTCAACCCCTCGGTGAGGACGATGTACTTTCACACTATGAGACGCATCCTCCAGGCTTGGTCGCACCACATGTATCTGCTGGACCCTCCAATTCACTTGCTCCCCTCCCACATCCGGCACTTGATCTCATTCTTATCGTGTCGCTCCCTCCACCAAGTGCTCCCCGCAGCACCGCGGGGCTTAAGCTCCGCGTTATCAAGGCATCGCTGGACTTCATTCTCGCTTCTCTCGGAACCAAGGACCGTTTGAGTCTCGTCACTTTCGAAGTGGGTCCTGGCGGACGTGTGCGCAAAACTCCTTACCTTTGCGTTGGTAAGGCGCTCAGCCGAGGGAGGCTGTCCAAGTTCATTGATGAAATCGGACGTCCGGATGAGGGACAAGATGATGAATTCTTGGTGAGAGCTTCGAAAGAGGAGAAGACGGACGTTGTGACTGCGGTTAATCATGGTTAGTGTTCACCTTTTCATCTTTACTTTCTGCTGACCATATGTCTTGAAGGTCTCGATGTTGTACTTCAACGCAAAACTCGCAATCCTATCTCGGGGATGGTCCTGGTGAGCGATGCTGCAGACAGCACGAGACGTGCACAGATGGATCTTGTTCTTGCCCGTGCCGAAGCTGCAAACATGCCCATTCACTCGTTTGGCTATGGTCGCTCGCACGACCCTGCTTCGCTGTGGCTCATGTCGAACCACACCAGCGGGACATACACCTTCGTCAAGGACTGGTATGACCTCCGCAGCTGTCTCGCTGGCTGTATCGGCGGCATGATGTCCATTGGCCTGCTCAATATGAAGCTGCACATGAAGATCGTCGACGGTCAGCGCTTCCGCATCCGCAAGGTCTCTGGTGGACCTTCATCCATCCTCTCTACGGATGGCCATAACGTCGACATCGACGTTGGCGAGCTTCGCTATGGCGAATGCAAAGAGATGCTCATCGAGTGTGAGCTCGACAACACCGAGATTCGCCGTCCTTCTGCGCAGAACGGTAATCGCGCGCTGAATGCCACGGATCAATTCGTGCAGAGCATGGGTCTTGATTCTATGACCATTGACGATGGTACTGATCTCGTGGACGGCATGATGGATCGCATGATTGATGAAGTTCCGGTATTCGAGGTTGACGGGTCTTTCTATGATCCCGGCGCATCGAAACATGTTTCACGCCTCGCCCATCCCGTCCTCTTGACGATCACTCTCCTTCCTCAAGCTACCACTACCTCGCCCAAGCCAGTCAAACCATCAGATCCAGTGATCGTCCGGCGCAGAATGGAACTTCTCGCATCTGACATGATCACGCGCGCTCTCGTCCTCGTTTCGAGAAAGAACTACCCTCAAGCGCAGAAGATCATGAACGAGACCAAACGCATCCTGCACACTGTGCTGCAGAGCATCTCTAAAACACTTCCTCCGCCCAATACCGAAGGCACGACGATGCGTAACCGCAAGGATATCCTCACTCTTGCTGCGGTGCGTGCGATGCAGGCCATACTCCAAGACCTTCAGATTTTGGCGGAGGCTTTGGAAGAAAATGTCGAACTGTTTGCACATGACCAGCGGAACTTTGGTGCACAGCAGGTGCGTGCTTGTTTTTGAAGGTTTCACAAGCAGGACTGACTGCGGGCTATGATTATAGGCCATGATATTACGCGACCAGAAGAGCTGGAACGGACGCAGCGCCACAGAACGCCTGTTCTGGACCATGGACAACTCCATAGAGCTGGTTTCTCGGAGTACTGATTGGGTAGCGCGCGACTGATACCCTGAGACACCATCTCTTTTCATTTTTGTCATTTTTTTCTTTTCTTATTATCCCCCGTTACCCTATCTAATTTGTGTTCATGCTTTCTCGTTCTGTTATGTCGTTCTAGCGTGGTTTCAACCTCATTGCGTTCCTTCCCTTGCGCCACCGTCCTTTCTTGTCGTTGTCCTTAAGTATTACCCAGTTCTGGATCCCCTTAATGTAACCCCCCGCGGCCTCGTCTGTATGTCGAGATACGCACTTTATGATTCCTCTCCGCCTGGTTTTTAATTCCGTGTTACTTATTTAACTGTGACTTCTCATTATATATCCATACCCGCTTCTCATGGCTGTTTTCTTTATTCTTGGCCCAAGAGGTGGGAGTAATGTAGTTGATCGATTACGTAGGAACAAAGGAAGCATTTTTATCATCATTCTCCTGTTCATTATAGAGAGCGTAAAGTACCTATGTATGATGAGAATATCACGGCGTGGTGGTAGGCTGTCAGTGTCTATTCATAACCTAGTCGTTGGCGCTCTTCGCGATCACGTTCGAGCTTTGTGACTTTATTTTCGGTTTCGGTGAGGACGTCGTCCCATGCCACGAAGAGTTCTGAAAGTGCATCCACCTTAAAACCAGTAAATCAAATTGCAAGAACTGATTGAAGGTACGAATGGATACGCACATGAGTAGCATGTCTGTCGACAAGAACTGCTATTCGTTTCTCTAACGATGCAGCTAATCTAATATCCTCCTGGTGCGCTTTCAAAAGCGCGTCCAAGCGAGGCTGCAAGGTTTCATAGTCTAAAGACAATAAAAATGAGATCTCGGTGAACAATCAGTGAGGGTCTCCACGACGGACCTGCGAGTTTTCCAGCTGCTGTCACGCCTTTTTGTTCTAGTATTTCGATCTCGCGCATGTCCCTATCCGCAGCTCGAATTTCTGGTTCCATTTCTATCAGGAGCGCTTCTAGTTCTTCTGGGGACATGTTTTCGTATGCCGGGGCTGGCCCAGGGAGCACCCCTGACAGAGCGAATGCTGCAGTTAGTAGATGGGCATGTAGGTCATCTAGGATGGACGCGTCAGAGACGCGATGAAAGACGTGTGTCACGACTTTACATTTGCTCATGAACCTCTGAAGACCGTCGTTGGATTGTATGACGTTGTCGAGGCGCCGTTGTACATCTTCTGCTAAGCGAATGAGGGTTTCACCGTGCTTGAGCTCTGGCACTTTGTCCTTCCCTTTACGATCCCGCGCATCCTGCCGCACGCCTAGAAGTAGCGCTTCGAGCCAGCGGAGTCTTAGCTCCAGTGATAGGGACGGGATCTATGACGGGAGGTGCAGTTGATGGTTCGAGTTGTGTTAAAGGTGTCACAGCAGCAGTCGGCTGTTCAGCAGACAGCTCTGACTGAACATCATCTAAGGTCCGAGTTCCTCGAGTGATTGCGAGGCAGATGCGACGCTCATTTGATGTCCAAGTTGGCCGGGCGGAGGTGATGACGGCGGAGGCGTGGAAGATATTATACGGTGTCGCTGGAAATCTCCCAAGAATACACTCCCAATAGCTGACATGGAGACAGTCCGTCAATCGTGAGATAGTATCAATACTTTGTAGATCTTGTAGTGAAGTTGTTCGTTATTGGAGCGATCTACTAGGTGACCTACTAGAAAAGGGACCAGAAAGCCTCGTGCCTTTCTCCAAGTTGCCTTGAAGCTGCGCGCACTTACTAGTTACTATCCAGTCTTTCCGGGGAGCCGGCGCCACTGGGGCCCGGATGGCGTCTCACACCACTCGCAGTCCACACATGAAAGTAAAAGCGTTTGAATGTCCAGTGTACAATATTAACTAATATCATAGTCGGTGTATGGTACAAATAAGCTAGTGATCATGAACATGATAAACGCGGCTTCCAAGCGAACTGATAATACGATATGTATGTCAGTAATAGTTTAGAATGATGCAATGGATAGAGTGGATTTTGGTAAAATGCTCAGATATAAATCGGTTTATAGTTAGAAGTAATACTTAGCTTGGTTATATCTCCAAAGTTATTATGTATGCGAAGACTTCGACGACGTGCACCAAGGGATATAACATCATCGTGTCACTGAAGATCAAGAGACCGTACTCCGTACGTTTGCGAGGGAAGTGACCCAAGCTCCGCAACGATACGTTTGCTTGTAGATACTCGTCTGAACCGGCCATCATGACAACGTTCCAGCAGCATTGCAAATAACGGGTTCTTGAGTCGTTGGCGAAGCAGCGGCATAGTTGGTGTGGTATACGTGCGAAGAGTCGTAAGAAAGTAGCGGATCCCAGGTTCGTGCCAACAGATAACGAGGTGGGGTACCGGCGGTCTGTTGAAAATGTCTTCAATTTCTCGGAGGTGACAAGACTGAATGGCTGGATGCCATCTGCACGGCAGTGGTATGATCCCGAGACCGGTGTGAAGTAAAGCGACAGTACTTCATGCACAAAGCACCGCACAGTGATAGTGAATTTCAGGGTTAAGACTATATGGCTTGGAGGCTTCTCGAGCAGTTTGGCAAGGGGTATTATCTCAGCTCCCTTCAAACGGGAAGCTTGTAGACCGTTTGAGCGAAAAAATGCTCTGGTTGCTTGTGGTACTTGCAATGTGTAGTTTGACATCGTCATCAGACCCGTCAACGCTTGGCTTCTGACTTGTGTTATGACTATGCTGAAGATGAGACGAGCTGAACGTAAAGCATGTAAGTACAAACACGTATTTCAATTGAAATATCTCACTCTCTTGCCCTGCGAATAGCCCCTTTGAACACATAGATGACCTTTGCAGCCAGCGCAAAACTCAAAACAGGAGGAGGGGGGCCGTCAACACCTATTAGGATAGGAACGTCCGAGAAGCATCTTGGGGAGGAGGGAAGGCAAGTGTTCAGAGTCGAAGGCTCCCCGATCCAGTCCAGGAGAGTCGCATCTCCCGTGCGCTTCATGACCTCCATCAAGAGTCGAGAGAATGCATGATAACCCTCTCCGTAGGTAACTGGCATGGTGAAGCCAAAGATTCCCATCAAGCAATATGCTTCGTCTTCCTTCTCCTTGGTCACTCTATGAAGAGCCCATCTCAGCTTCATTCGAGGGTGCTCGACGCTTGGACAATAGAATTTGAGGTAACTTTTCTGTATCCCAGTTGCGGATTCTAACGCATCCAGGATCTCGACAACGTTCTTGTGGTTGAACGCCGCGGATTGAGAAAATGGGCTCCAGTCCTTCTTGTAGAGCCGAATAACCTTGGCAGCAAGCAACTCTTGAAGAGTCCAGCCCCGCCGGAACCACTGACTCAGCAAAAGTGCCTGCTCGCTAGATTCCACGACATCCGAAAGGTAGATGATCGTCAGTGCTGACCCGCGATACCACGAGAACATGGAAGAGATGGACTTCTGTACTTCGGCGCTGCTGTCCTGATCAATGCAGCATGTGTCGATCCATGCCCAATTGAAATTGTGTTTGCGCGCCTTGCGACAAAGATTCCGAACTTTGTTGAATCTTGATGTAGAAGGCTTATAGATACCCTCTTGTGGGATATCTCTGAAGCCGGGTTCGTGGCCCTCCCACCTGTGTGAGAGCATGACATATGCAAAGAAGCTTTTGACCACTCAAAGATGTACTGCTTTTGTTCCAGAGCAGACCTGGTGGTGGTGAGGGCGAGAATCGACCGAAATATATCTGACTCTTCGAGCTTTGTGATGAGAGCGGGGCGAGCATAGATTTTGCCATCTTTGGTATTTAACAACCGTAGGGGCATGTCGCGGAGTATTGAGCCTGCAATATCTTGGACCGTCTGCTTGACTTGTTCTTCGCCCACGCTTCCAGGTGGGAGGTCGCCTTCTCCGTCACTCCCTGCGGTATAAAAGCTCTGCGATTCAATTTACCCGTCAAATCATGTATCACGCACAAGGAATGCTTACCTCTACAGAAGATTGTCCATCTGCGATCAGAAACATCTGTGGTGAGTGAGGTCGTGGAAGTCGATAAAAAGCAGGTTAATAAGTCGTTGCCCCAAGGAACTTGCAGATGAGAATAATTAATCATACCTTCCGTAAGTTAGCCGCGACCCCTTGTGGAATTCAGGCGCGCAGGAACGTGTGGCGCCTGGTAGCAGATGGGCATTCAACCCTTGATATCACCTGATAAGTTAATACCCTGCAATGAATCATTGGGTTGGCCGACACTATTTATGGACTTGAGCTCGCAGCTCCGGGATTAAGTATCTCCAAGTCTACTCAACTTGTTTTTAAAAACCGGCATAGGTAGATGGATATTATGCTACGATAAGCGGGGAGACCTCCCCCTCAAATGACACACTTTTTGTAGCATTGCCTTGATGACGTTTGAGTCCGGAGATGAAGGGTGGCACCTACTAGGGTCACCGGGTGGCTCACAGCCTAGTGCATCGAATGTTATCAGAGACAACGGTTGTTTCGCGCAGCGTTGAGCAATATGACGCACAGTAACGCATGATAACAATGTATGAAATTGAAGGAGGTTGGAATTGCCGTCTCAGATGGCGTGTCTCGGGCGACTCTCAGACTGGGCAGGTTTGATGCCATGGTACCGATGATCATGACAAAGACCACGCCGCGACAACGGAGTTGACAGGACAGCCCAGGCTCAGGCCGTAACGTTAACGTAATGCAGTAACTTGAATTCAGAAGACACAACAATATCACTGACACGCAGGTACTATTACCATCATCATGAAGGGACAACTACTATCCACATGATCTGATAACCGCGAGAGTAGCGTGTTCCGGTCGATAATATAACGATCGTTTCTCTAAGAGTACAGCCTAAGTATTAGCTTAGTAAGATAGTCATTACGTGCAAAGACTAGGTGTAGCATCAATTGTACATACAACAAACTTCCCGAAACCCCATCTTACTCAAACACTATCCGACATTTCAATCGGAAGCTGGCTATACCCCTCATCCACCCTCCGCCTCCTCACCAATCCCTTCACCGAATCCCACATATCATCCAACGTATTCCTCCACGTCTCAAACAATGTCTCCCCGTGCACTAGTCTCCCCGGGCATCACACTCAACAGCGGCCGTTGCCACCATCGCAGCATCAGCGAGCTTGTCACTACGCTCACCGACGAGAACGCCATTGCGGCGCCTGCCAGCATCGGATGCATATACAGCCCAAAGGGCAAGAACACGCCCATCGCAAGCGGGATCCCAAGTACATTGTATATACACGCCCAGACCAGATTTCGTCGGATTGTCGAGAAGATGCTGCGCGAAAGGTATAGCGCAGCAACGACGTCGAGGAGATCAGAGCGCATCAGAACGATGTCGGCAGCTTCGATGGCTACAGAGGTCCCTGAGGAAAGGGCGATGCCGACTGTAGCAGCCACAAGGGCAGGCGAGTCATTGATGCCATCACCGACCTGGAAGAATAAAATGCACAGGTCAGATTCAAGATATTCAAACAGAGTAGAGACACATACCATTGCAACACCGCCATTCCCCTGCTTCATGAGGTCCGTAACAAGGGACGCCTTGCCTTTGGGACTCATATTGGCCCAAACGCCATCGGACTTGATCCCCACTTGTTTGGCAACCGCCAAAGCTGTGACCATCCCGTCACCCGTCATCATGTTCACCTCTATGCCCATGCTCTGTAGTGCCTTGACTGCGTGCGCAGACGAGGGCTTGGGGGCGTCCGACAAAGAAACTGCAAGCAAGGGCAACGGAGCAGAAGATCCCCGGGACGAAGAAATGAAGATCACCGTGCGACCGAGCTTGCTCTCTTGAGCCTCGTAATTCGTCAAAATGGAAGGTAGCTGTACAATGGTGGACTGCGCGATGAACCGCGCATTTCCGACGTATAAAGTATAGTTGGAACCAGATGATGAGATAAGAGCTTTCACACCAGCGCCAGTCACGCTCTCGAAAGACTTGATGTCCAATGGTGGTGATTGAATGTCGGCACTGGCAAGCAGGCTCTTGCCATGAGCGGCGATGGCTTTAGCTAGAGGGTGCTCGGACTTGCGCTCCGTCGCAGCGACCATTGCCATGATAGTTGCGCGTGTAGTAGTGCCGTCGGCGCATTTGAATGACAAAGATTGAGAGCCGACGTTATCATCAGGTAAGAGCTCAGAGGAATCACGCGGGGGCATCCATGTCATACCCGCAACAGTGAGTTTCCCCTGCGTGACGGTGCCTGTTTTGTCCAGCACGATTCGTTTGATCGACCGGCTGGCCTCGAGCGCCCTGCCACCCTTGATAAAAATCTGGTTCTTTGCACCCACACCCGTGCCAACCATGATGGCCGTCGGTGTACTCAGTCCCAGAGCACACGGACATGCGACCACCACCACTGATATGCACATTTGCAAACAAACTGCTAGCCGGCTCGCACCATGGCGGTGGAACATAGCTGGGAGTTTGTCCTCGCTAATGACATGTGAAATCACCATCCACGCAGCGAATGTGAGTACTGCGAGCGTGATGACGGCGGGAACAAAGAAGCCTGCAACACGGTCTGCAAATGCCTGAATTGGTGCTTTGGACGTCTGTGCCTCTTCGACGAGTTTGACGATTTGTGCAAGCGCTGTATCTTTACCTGCACGAATCACGCACATGTCAAAAGTCCCAAGGCCATTAACGGTGCCCCCAATGACGCTATCTCCGGGCTGTTTCAACGCCGGAACCGGTTCGCCGGTGACAGCGCTTTCATCCACGGTGGATGATCCTCGAATGACTGTCCCGTCAGCGGGCACTTTGTCTCCGGGGACAAGTTTGACGGTATCCCCCACTTGCACCAGCTCTGTAGGAATGCGTTTCTCTTGTGTACATGCCGGAGAATCCGTGTAGATTGTGGCCATGGTTGGTGCGAGGGCCATGAGATCTGTTAGAGCAGCGCTTGTCTTTCCCTTTGCGCGGTTCTCGAGATAACGCCCGAGGGATACGAACATGATGAGCATAGTACTCGTGTCGAAGAAAATGAAAGGGCGGTAGTCAGGCGTGGTGTTGAATGCTGCAAAGAATAAGGCAAATAACGAATAAAAATAAGCCGCGGAGGTTCCGATCATAACCAAGACGTCCATGGTCGCGGTACCATGTCTAAGTGCTTTGAACGCATTCCGATAAAATTTCTGACCGACCCAGAATTGTGCAGGAGTCGTAAGGGTAAGAAGGATAAGATCACCGATATAGATACCGTTGAATAAATGAAAATTGACGAGGGGTCGGAGGAAAGGTATGTGCATTGCGATCATGCTGATGAAGAACACTGGCACGGCGAATGCGAGCGCCCATTTAAAGCGGCGAGCCCACTCTTGGATCTCTTTGGTTCGGGCAAGTGATTGTTTTTGCGTGGCATCCTCTTGATCTGACAATATTGCATCGAAACCCATATCTTCTATGCGTTCGACCATTTCCCGAGGGCCAACGAGACTTGGTTCAAATTCTATCTTGGCTGTCTCGGTGGCGAGTGAGACGGCAACACTAGTCACCCCTGGCATCCCACGCAACCCAGTTTCTATAGCCGACGTGCACGAACCACATGTCATGCCAAATATCCGCAGTGTGATCATATCACATCGCGCTATTGGTATTTCAGTAGCATCAAATCCTATGTCTGAAATTTCCTGCCAATAATGATCAGTATGCGCCTGATGTGTCAGCGACGGACTAACATTGACAATCCTCTCCGGCGTCCATACAGAGGGGTCATACTCGACTACACCTCTTTCAGCAAGAAGTGCAACTTTGATTGAATGTATGCCAGCTTGCGATCTAAGCATGCCTTCGATGGACTGCAACCAATGAGTATATGTATAATGCACTGGTATGACACGAGCTTACCTCTACACATGCACCGCACGTCATACCTTCTATTCGTAGTTCGCATTTTCCTAAGCCACTGTCATCCACCTCGGTGACTGCTAGCGGTTCATCATCTATGAGAGGAAGTTCGACATTTCCAAGAGCTGCGAGCTTTGTTCTTTCCAAGACGCTTGACACAATGCCAAATATGATGGACATGGTTTAGATAGCCGCGAGGGAAAGAATGCTTATATCTGAAACGCCTGGTGCACTACGCCAAGCTGGAAGTTCGGAACCGTTCTCGATTGAGATGTACGTAGTGTTTCAGAGAAGAGAAAGTAAGCGCCAGGGACTACGATAGCGGTGGTATTACTTATAGAGGAGCTTTGAGGCTAAATCAGAGGCGGAGGAAGGCTTTGTAAAGGAGACCGAGCTGTCACAGTATTCACCGCATTTCTAATTAGTACAGAGCACACGTCTGCGTTACTATGTACTTTGTAAGGTCTAAATATCTTACGTCATCATTCCATCCCCACGTCTTGAACGGCCATCAACTCTTTCTCACCTTGTCTGATGTCATAGTGTGTACCTGCAATAAGAGTTCTGAAGTCCCGCTGTCATTGCTGTCTCCTTCCTGAACGTTGAACGATTGCCCTGGATGGGTCTTCCTCTACTACCGTGAAGTGAAGGTGACAGTCGATGCTACCATCGTGAGTTGGTGTCGGGAATTCCCAGGTTGTCTGCGTTCCTCCGGAGTCTGCAGGCTGTAAAGCTCTTCCTAAAGCCCTAATCCTAATCAGCGATGCCATTTTAATCACTGTCGATGCTAATTTGGCTGATTGTTTCCAGTACGCTGTCTTCGATTGCGTGCCACAGATCCTTTCAGTACTAGTGGCACTGCTATGTAATCGGGAGCGGTGTCGGTATGTAGGTGGATCCAGGTATGATATTTTCCAGCTGACATTCGTGCACATTCTGCTCAGTCCAAAGGTCCTTCATCACTTCCTGTGTTCTCTTCAACGCCAGTACTGCCGCTTTTCAGTAGCTTATCGTGGTTCACCGTGTGCCTAGAGGTGCCTGGTGCCAGATATGATTCATATGTGGCGACCCCTCTGGACAATTCCATACAGCGACTACGGGACTGCGTTGTCTTCCGTTTCTGAATGGATTCGTCTGACTTGTCTGCTTTTGCAGAGCTGACAATCACTTCTTCTGCTCTGCTCCTCACCCAACTTAATGGAGAACCGTATAATTTGCCACCGATTGATAGCCATGGTGCTTGTTACAATATAGTAGAGACTTTGTATATTCGGATTCGCCGGAGCTAGAAGTCCTTTAGATCCTACCGATGCGATCAACTGATTCATTCATTTTCCCAGTACCTCTGCCAGATCAGCAAGTTCTAGAATTCAGACATTCAATTTGGATGAAAGACAAATTAAAAGGAGCCGAGAGTCCCAACTTTGTACGACACGATCACAAAAACTCTCGACGTATGATAAGCAAGGTATATCCGTAAACGATAGATATTATCACTTCGCTATGACCATCAAACCTTACTCCCGTCGGAAGCAGCAACACGTTTCAGGAGGACTTGTTGGTAGTTTTCCCATGTTGTAATGAGCTGCAACAGTGTTGAGTATCCATTTAAGCGTCATATTGCAGCACATACCTCTTTCTGTCTGGTGATCATCCCGTCCAGGAAAGATTGCAAAGATATCTTGAAATCATCCACACGCTCCTGCTCAAATCTTGCCATTTCAGATTTGATCAACTTTGAGCACTGATCAAATTCGTGCTTGGCGTCCAGAGCTCGGCGTTCAGCCTGACCAACTGTAAGAATGTGTAAGAAACAAAAAAAGAAATTGTCACACCTCTGATATTTGACTAACGGTATGGCTCATCCGATCCGTAGGCAGACGGCCTTGAGATCGAAGTCGTTCATGATTTTGCTTAACACGACGGACGTCAGAATCAGCATTTTGCCATGCAGTGTACGTTCGCATGCGAGAATTGAAAGCCATCTAGAAAACAGAGTCAGATGAAGCAACGTATGAAGAACACTGGGCAACCGACCCGAACAGAGTTAATCAACCTTGAGTATTCGTCCGCTAAAGACCGATTAATTATTACTAGATAGGTAAAACAGTAGACTTACCGGTAGCTAAAAGTGTCATTATGTCCTGTTGCGACTGAATGGTCTGAACCTCCTCAGCCTTGTGCTGGACGTCAGCCATGGCAGCCAAGGATTGCGTCAGTTGCTTTCCAATGTCTGAGAGTGACAGATCAGTGACCGCAGTAGCAAACTCCCCGGTCGCAGCAGCCAATTCTGTAAGGCAATCAAATAATGTACTGGCAATATATCGAAAGACGAAGACACACCGGCTCGCTGCTTCGCAACGATTTCTATTGACTTCACTAATCCACGCAGCTGTGATTCGAGACCATCCAGATATGCACGCTGTCTATCAAACCACTGCAGAAATGTGAAGTGAACATGGATCGTGATAAACAGGCTTTATGACGAACCTCATCGGTTTCATGAAACCGCGGACCCGTTAAGGTTTGGCCGATGGATGCCATGAGTCCTCCCCTTTCGTGCGAGAGCTCAGCTTTCCTATGTTTTATCTGTACGTCACTTAATACAAGGAAACTTAAGCAGCGGGATCGTATAACGCACGTCTAAGGAGAAAGTGTCACTTTCGAGGAAAAGCTTAAGGTCAGGATCCTTCGCCAGCACCGGGTGATTGACAATCTTTTGGATACATTTCTCGAGCGCCAGTCGTCGCTGCTGTACAAATGTCTCGTCGAAACGCCCAAACGGGCTTTTCTCTGGTACGGGAGGAACAACGACACCCGGATTGTTGGCTGAAAGGGTTTCGTATAGCCATAGAAAGTCTGAATACCGACGTAGCACAGAAAATATTGACTTTTGGAAAAGCGGAGAGGTCGTCTAAGAGGCTCCTTCAGTGATATTATCGGCAGCACGAAACAAAAGCAGCTCACTCGTGTATGCACAGTATACATGATGAACGACCGAATGGGATCACCCACACGCTGAGGATCGTCGACCGAAATGACGAAGATTGGAGCTGATGATTCGCTGCTGTTCCTGGTAGAAGCGGGTGATATTGCCAGCTACCGCAAAATAGGTACAGCGGTTTATAATCCATTGGGCAGACACTTACCTGGGGAGAGTTAATCCTGTCCATGCCCTTGAACTTGGCAGAATGGCCAATCGGCTTGTCATCATCGTCTTCCTCATCGGCTGTAGTATTTATGATAGGCGAATGAACAGGTGGCAATGGATCATTCGCTCCCCAGTCAGACTGCCAACCTCGCCGAGATTCCGCTTCTACCGCAACACTTGCAAAAGTTTGTTCAACTACTGGAGAGAAGCTCCGCTCCAGTGGCGAGATAACAGCACGCTCTGGACTATCAGAAGGTGTGACGATTCTGGTAGAGGAAATAGCTGGAGCAGGGGATGGAGATGACTCCTGGTGAGGTGATATTACTGCTCTGACCGGCTTCTCATCATGAGGAAAGGGCGATGCCGACGTAGGTTCGGAGACGGTCGTTGTATGCTCTTCCGTGGTAGATGCATACATGCTGAAGCCAGGTATATGTGGGGAGGTAGTATCTGTCGGCGCTGTACTGTGCTCATCATCATGGTCATCAGTAGTCACTGCAGCCGCATCTAGTGGGTCAGCTGCAATCAGGCTGTTCCGGTCGCTGTGCCCGTGGTCGCCTGTTACATATGACGCAGTTGTAGGTGTTGCACTAGTACTGCGTACTGGCTCATCCTCGAAGCCGGTCCTGTAGTAGTCGATATCATGATGCGTTGGCCCTGGCAAGTTAGTATGGGAGAAGCTAGACCATGGGTCTGGCGAAGAAGAACGTTTAGCGAACGGGTCTTCGAATGGATTTTCTTCGAGGACGTTCCGAGAGGGTGCGAGAAGGTCGTCGAAACTGTCCATGGAATGAAATGTGAAGGACTGAATATGGATGACGGGCCTGGGAGCGAGTTTTAAGACATATAGTACTTAATCAAGTTTTAGCACACTAAAACGAGCACTACAGCGTGTAATCTCACAGACATAATTATTCTGACTACATACAGCGTCAAGATATATCCACATCATAAGTACTAGTAGTCCTACTCATATGGCATCTCCTCGACAGCATTTCCAAGAGATACCCAATTAGCAAGCACACTACTGGTGAAAGCTTGCTCATCATGAGCCAGATTCTGCACTAACTTGCTGAGCAAAGCATTCTCCTTATTATGCAGCACCACACGAAGCTCATGCCACATCCTGGAGAGCATTAACAACCACAAAAAATGGCAGTCGTAAAACACTCACGAAGCACGGATAAACACTCTTCGGTTTAAGAGTGTAGCGATCGTCGCTTGGTCTTTCTCTATCAGACCAATAATTCGATCGGCGTCATCCTGCCAGCCGTCCTTCTGAGCAGCCTTTATACCCTCGAGTTTCATTGAATTCAAATCAACTCGTTTCTTCAACCGGTCGACATTATCAACAGAAAGACGGTCGCGGCGGACGAACAGATCTCGCATCGCAATATACAGATCCCTTTGACTCTGCATCATCGAGAATAAACGCATCAACAACCTACTGGCGATTTGCTTACCTTCAGTGCCTCCAATGTTGAGTAGAGCAATGCATTCGTCTGAAGTGAAGTGTTCAACAAGCAGAAAAACTAGACAGAGTAATACACTGACTCGTTGTTCCAGCAAATCAGATTGCCGTTGTGTATGTGAAGCAACTTGTGCAATCCCCTGACGCACGCCATCACACAATTCACACTCATCCCCCCTCCAACACCGTTCGTTCACTTCAACGACGGCCCTCAGCACGTTGGTCAGTCGCGCCAGGTCTGCCTGATCATCCAATTCAAGGTCATCGGAACGCGCAGTGCGCGAGGACAACATTGATAAAGAACCAGCCAATGACGTCGTTGACGAGGCGGGTCCAGGTATACGATCGTGATCATGGTCATCCAAAGGAGAATGATGAAGGGAGAAGAAAGGGAAAGTGAAGTGAGCCGGTAAATAGGTGCGCCTGAGACTTGGAGGGATCCGTACCGCAGCTGATTCGCGTCTCTTTATTATGCGTTCTGCCAATACGCATATTCTCTGCCACTGCTCTATCAATGGACTGATCTTCCCCCGCACAAAACTTCAAAACCCTTAAGTGGACGGTTGAGATAATGAATATGTTGCACATACGCAAGTTTGTCTTCGAGGTCACTTGGGACGGTGATTTCTTCTATCCTATCAACATGTCTGCTAGCAGATTCTTCTTCTAGCGATATTGCGGTGTGCTTTCGCCAATTCTCGAAGGAAGGTTCCGAGAGGAACGTCGCAAGAAGACCGTCCTCCTTGATCACCGGATGGTTCCTGAAGAACCCTTAATCCAAGTATACCTAATGAGGGTGGTAGTCACATACATCACAGCGTTCAAAAACCTCACAAGACCTTTCCTGTTACAAACATTTCAGATGTCCTGACTAGCAAGCACCATGTTTCCACACCTTCGTTGCTCAATAAACGCAGCATCGGCTTCAATCCACATGAGAATCAAACCAAAGATTGCATAACACAGGGCTTACGCTGCACACGCTTGGGCGGAAGGGCAGGTAACAGACGGAAAGGGTATCGTCGCACCAAACAGTCCCATAAAAATGCAAACTCTGAATACCGACGATGGACAGGTGTGCCGTGCTAGGCACCATATAATATCAGTGTGTTGGAAAGGGATAGATGAGTGTGCTCTCACTTCAGTGATAATCTCATACACTGTATACCGATTCAGGATAAACCCCTGCTGCCCTTGGATAGTCACATCCACAGTTTCTTGCATCTTCCACCACTCCCTCGGCAACCCCGACCCCGCCAAACTTGATACAGCTCCGCCATTGATGGTCGTCGCACTCCGAGGGGCAGCAAAGTCAGACCCTCCCCCATTACTTCCAAAACGAGGTACGCTCCACGGGTCCAAAGTGGCCTGCCTGTAGGTTGGGTAGGGGGAAGAGAGAGCCGACGTGCTCGGCTGTAGGGTATCAAGGTGGAGAAATGGTTCGGGTAAATTGTTTTCCGCAGCACGAGCAGCGACTTGCTCCACGCTGATGTCTACCCGAGCCCACTTATGTATTGATGTAACTCATGGTTGAGTAAATGAATCTCGCACCTTTGCCGGACTGAGCGAGCGCCAGTAATGCAAGAGCCACGAAGAATTCGAGTTTGGACACCCTTGGTCGAGAGCTTACGAGGTTCACGATCTGACATGGGATGAGCAATCTGTCCCACCGCTAACCACTGCATCACTCACTTTGTCTACAGTCATCGCTGGCAATCCAGACGTCGACAGAACACGAGACAGAGCATTTACGGACGTCTCTCCAGAGTTTGTTGCATCTACGACGGCAAATGCCCTGTTATATGATTCCGGGACATTCGCTTCCGCTGTCCAACCGTCACTAGTCAGGCGCAGACACAAATTTTTTGTTTCAATTCGCACCTAATACCGAGCTAAGAGCAGACGTCGCATTTTGTATGAGTTGCGGAGAAGGTGAGGGGGCAGCGCTCCACGGATCGTCATAAATCGAGGCAGCCAGCGGATTCTCGTCGACGAAACTGCCTCCAAGACCGTTGACAGGTGCGGAAGCATATCGTTGGGCTGGCCGCGGTGCGTTGAACATCCTGGCCGCGGCAAATTGAGGTGATCGTAGTGCGGACTCAGCAGTAAATGAATGAACAGGAATGAACTAAGAACCTCAAGTGGTCAAAATCACCAAACAAGGAGACTGCCGCACGTTTGCAGCACCATCAACTTACCGCTCGACCAATAATCTTGAACTAGTGATTGAAATTCTTAGCCGGCGGAAGCTAACTGCAATCCACGCGCATACTACATCTAATTGGCAGCTCGCCAGCACAGGCGACGTCCATGAGCAGTCAGAACAAAAGCCATCGACTGACGTCTTATCTCAGGCTCCTTTTGTTGCCGTAACTCGGGCCAGAGACCCAGAGCAAACCTCGCATGATTGATATTGTAAAGGTCCATCATAAATACCAAGCCATAGTTCAACGAACTAGCAAGCCAAGTAGATTATCATCTACTATGTACAAAATCCCGTCGCGCATGCTGCGCCATGCAATCATGATTATCCCTAGTTCCGTCTCACGATACTTCAGCAATCTCCTTTGCTGCGAAGTGCAACGTCCACGATGACAACAAGCGCTTCCCGTTGATCGTCTCTCCATCAAGCCTGAATGGCGCATTAATGGCACTCGGTTGCAAGAACTCGAAATCACCACTTACCCAGGCGTACCATATGTCAATGGCGTCATGTATAGGAACATCAAGAACAAGATGAATGTGAATACGCCCACCACCACAGGCCCTTTCATACCAAGGTCAGCGTACTCTGATTTGCGCATTTTCGTCCACCGTCCTACGATACTAATCGGGTAATTGACCGTATCCGAAAGGACGAAGCTAAGAACAGAGCCAGCAAGGAGTGCAGACGCAAGATGCGATGGGAGATAGTGGTGAACGAAGAGCTGTCGATTCATGAGGAAGAAGGGAAGGTAGTGTACGGCCCAGATCAGAAGGAAGAATCCAGCAGAGTTCCATAGGCGGCCGCGGGCAGCTGAAGCAAAAGTCAATTTATTATTCGCTCAAAGGAAGTGTCTACTGACCGTCGGGAATGGGTTCAATGCCACGACGACGGGCAAGCAGGTCAGCACCCATGATACCAACGTAGATGGACAGTGCGATGACGCACGTCCACCAGCCAACGATGTTACCAATAAGATAAATCTGTTTTTGAGCGTCGTTGTCTGTCCAAAAACTGATCCCGCTGATGAGGAAAGGCCAGTTGATCGGACCGCTAGCATAGGGGTGTGATGAAGTGAGTCCCGCATTGTGCTGGAGCATCAACAACTGCAGCTCAGCGAACTTCCTGAAGAAGCTGATTTTTTTAGGTTCCTTCACGACTTGTTCGCCAGAGAGACCTTCAGAACCTAATTAAGGGGTCATTATAACCAAATCCACCTCATGAAAAATTCTACTAACTTTCAGTCGAGATCACTTGGTCGACAAACCAAGTAGCGCTCTTCTCTGTGGGATTCTTGTTACCATTGATCTCCTGTTGCTTGAAAGCCCATTCCGGCAACTGTTTAGAATGGGTCCACATGGACACCCTGGTGGGACCATGGACAAGCCTGAAGTGGCTCGATTTGCTCTTCCACGGATCCTCAGAGTCGGCGTCAATGATATTCAAGTAGAACAGGGTATCATTGTGTCGTGAATGATCATCCTTAGCCCATGTAGTGAATTCCTGGTTTGTTGGCATGAGCGGGGAAGCGACGTCATGGGTGAGTAAGAGCGTTTGTGTGTTGACGTGCAAGAGTTGAATGACATCGTCGTGGCGGACAACACGACCGCGGCCAGCCTCAGGAAGGGCTTTTGTGGGGATGATCTGCCAGTGATTGTTCATATCATCATGTCCATAGCCGGTGACCTGTTGTCCTTGACTACTAATGCGGCCATCGTCGTACTGCAAAGGGTAGCGGTCGGGA